GTGTAGCTCGCCGTTGTCTACAATGAGCGGACATTACCAAATCAGGAAGGGCTTCATGTGCGCGCCATGTTACCCGCTGGGATTCGAAGTTTGGTACTGTACAGTTTCATTTTAGATATGACACCACTTGCCTCGACCTCTCGAGCCCAACCCGACTTTTGACGCAGCCCACTGCATACCGATTGCTCTTCGCAAGAGCCGTTCGGTGGTAGTTCCACGGATTCGTAAATGTACGCATCCGCTCAACGCCCTCCGAACTGCTATTCGCTTGACAACTGACAAAGAGTCGGTCAAGTTTGTTCGCTGTAAGATGCACATAAATTCAAGCGCTGCACTTCCAGATACTTTGTTCCATACTGAAAGGCTCCGAAGGTCCACCAGACAGATATCGATGAGTGCATTATTGTTGTGGCGCAGTATACAGCGGATGCAACTATTTTGCACTCTGGCAATACTGCTAATCTCAGAACCTTCCCTCCTCCATACCGGCATCATGACGACATCACCACAAAACTCCTTCTGTTCACTAAGCGAACTACTTCCATGGAAAGAAGCGTTTGTGACATGGGTATTATGGAGAAGGGATTCAAATTGGTGGATTTTGATTGGCTGGGGAGACAGGATCCGACAACTAATATTGACCGGATATGGCTCTGAAGACCTGGAGGTGCGGATGATGGGATTATGATGAACATTATATTAAAGGCGACCACAATGTTCAATTGTTCGATTATATGCGGGTGTTGATGAGCCGACGGGGTGGTGCATTTGGAAAGCGAAGGATGTCAAAAAGAGACTTGTCACTGGGGAGGTATGATACTGAAAAGGTATGAGTCTCTGATGGTAGCGATTGAAATGTCAGCATCGCACACGCCGCGAGTGCGATTGATCGGTTCAGTGCGATATAGCGCAGCAGTGGGGGAATCCCAGCGATTGACGAATCAAAACTTTTGTTATCTTGAAGAAAACCAGCAAAATGCGCACCTCCTATACAGGGTCATAGCGCTCATTCCATTATCCAGGTGACGAATTCATTGCCATTCGAAGACGACGGCTCATCAAACTAGCGACGCGTGATCAAAGAACAAATCTATATAGAAAGGGCGAAAGGAGACACAGTATTGATGGCACATCATGACATGTCTACGTCTTGAGCGACGTCCGGTCGAGGTTCTCCTCGAGCTACTGAGTTAACCAGCTCCCTTCTCACTTCGAGGCCAATCTGTAAATGCGGATTAACGCGAATGACATCCAGGAGAGCGTCCTTTTGGTCAGGGGTGAGATCCGGCGAGTATCTATAAAGCCAGACTGAGATTGGTACCGACAAATGTCAAATACTACTGACCTCTGGCAGAAAGCTAACAGACTTTGGTGCCATAGCACAGGAAGTTTTTGCACGTCACCACGCCCACGGGCCTTGTAAGTGTTGGAAAGACGAATGAAATGGAACACCAAGGCATCAACAACTTTATATGGAAGTTGGTACTTTTTATCGATCAGGACGCGGATAAATAGAGAATTTGGCCCTGGAAGTAATAAGTTGCCATGAAAGATAGCGAAGAATGGTACTGTACCTGTATAGTCCATATTTGCTATTCGCAGTAGAGCTGCTGCTGAATGCAAAACAGGCACTTTCTTCTTAGCAACGACAGAAGCAATGATAGCAGCCTCCTTAAGGCTACAGCCACTCTAGTAGGGGCGATTGAGCATGGTTCAAAATGTATTTCCGATAACTCACCTCCAACATCGGAAACACGATACCCTTGAAGAATGCTGCAGGTTTGAATAATGCGCGCTTCAGGCACTCATAATATTGCACATTAAGCTTTTTATTGCTCTGTATATCCTCCCGTATCGCATCCAGGAGAACCACGGAAAGAAATAGTTGAGCCTGAGCAGGCTTCATCGTCGACACAAAAATTCGTGTTGCTGCTCTACATGCGTGGGGGCTCCAATTTTCGGGGCGAGTGAGTGCCAATACTCTTGCCCATGCTGGTAGGGAGGGAATAACTTTGAAGAATTTTGGTAATGGCCCCGACTTATACCCGTGCAGGAAAGTTGCGAGTCTGCAGGAAAGAAAGAGACTCAGTGAACGCCATCACGTGAGCGAGAACATACGTACTTTGAATAAGATTCTACGAGTCTAGGATCAAGACCGAGTGCTGGATCAGGATGCTCTTGATCTAGGAAATATGAGATAATAGCTCAAACGACCAAGATTTAGTCCGTACCCTGCTGCACCTTTTGCATGACATTGACACCATTGGTCTCCCCGCTCTCCAATTTAGCGAAAATGATATCTGCTAACGTTCGGCGTTCACCTGAATTAGAGGGCAATAGTGAATCCAATGCTTGGATATCTCCAGAATCCAATTGCTAAGGGTAAATGTGAGAAGCAAGTTAGGCACATCAGAATGCACTGACAAACATATCTTCCGCATCACCATTGTCACTCATGTCGCCATCTTCGCTGTCATCGTCATAGTCGTCCATGATCTGCACTCTGGGCTTGAAGTTCTCGCGTTCATCCTCATGTCGAGGCTCATCCTCGTCCTCGGGCATATCGATCTCTTCTTGTTGATCCCTAGCGAGCTCAAATATTCTCCTCGACATTTTTGGGTCAAGAACTGCCTAAGCATTGCGCGATCAATCATTTAACGGACATGATTAGAGAGTACACACCTCTGTGCTCTCTTCATCCCCGGAGGATTTTTGGCGCTTCGTGCGCTTCCCCGGTTGAGATACGCGACCATATTTCGCTTGTGCTTCATCGACATCCAACTGGGCGTAGAGGGGGTCATGCCTTGGTTTCACCGATCTCTGTACTCGAGGCATGATGGAATGTAGGAGATTTTCTTTTGAAGTTATTTTCTGATAGGATATTGATTACCTAATAATTACGGGGTAAATCAGTGTAAATCAGGCCAAGTCCCCTCAGGCCACCATCAGTCATTGGGCCTTGACCTGGTGCCTCCTCCCGACGCTGAACTAGTACTAGTGCTGCGTCGTAACGTTAGTTCAGGTGTTCTGCCAACTGCTTTTCCAAGTCGAATTTGGGTCTGGTACAGCTAATAATAATATTTAGCAGGTACGTTAGGTTCAATCTCGTTTCCGCAGTGGCAGCGCTGGAAAAATCTGACCATCAAGTTAAGGCACGTCCTACTTTGTATAGTTACCTCTCTATCTCCCAAGATGTCGTCGTCTTCAGTTAAAGATGTAAGTCATTGTGCCGTTTGATCAAGGACTTCTCTTCCTCACTTCCGCGTACAATATGGCAAACATTTTATCTGAACAACCTGTACTTCATCTTTTTCTCATCGATCAGTGCCACTGATACATTTCTCTATCAGACACAGACCCTGGATAAGAATGGCCAAGAAATCAAAAGCGTTGGCTTCCAGCGCTTTGGCTTCGACAGCGAGGTGGCCATTGATACCCTCCGATCACTTTATCTGCGATCGCACTATGTGGTCACAGCTTCTGAGTCCCAGGTTCAGGAGCTAGACGCAAAGGAAGAGGAAGGACACGGGCATTTGACGCAAGGCCCCAATGCCTACCAATCCAAGTCAATCTTCCATCCAGACACACAGTCGATCTCATACACAACCCTTTCCCGCTTCCCCCCAGTTAAGCTTTTACCTCCCTCTTCCAGAAAGCGCGTTCTCGTCACCGGCGGTGCTGGTTTCGTGGGTTCTCATCTTGTCGATCGTCTCATGCTCTTGGGCCATGAGGTTACTGTCCTGGATAACTTCTTCACTGGTTCAAAGACTACCGTGAGTCACTGGGTTGGTCACCCAAACTTTGAATTAGTCCGTCACGATGTTGTCGAGCCCTTCATGATCGAGTGTGATCGTAAGCCCTTCGGCTTTGTGCGCTATTCGCTTCCTGGCTGACAGCCGACGAACCCCAGAAATCTACCATCTGGCTTGTCCCGCGTCTCCTCCGCACTATCAATTCAATGCAGTGAAAACCATCAAAACTTCTTTCATGGGCACGCTGAACATGCTTGGCTTGGCCAAGCGTACGAAGGCTAGATTCCTTATTAGTAGTACATCTGGTATGATTTTTTTCAATCGGGCTTCTTCTTTGCTCATGCCGTTCCAGAAGTGTATGGTGACCCTGAAGTCCATCCTCAACCGGAAGATTAGTAAGTTGCGTTCTTATGGGTCCAATCATGTTTTTTATGATCTTGTAGCTGGGGTCACGTCAACCCGATAGGACCACGCGCCTGTTACGATGAGGGTAAACGTGTTGCGGAAACTCTCACGTATGGCTTCCATCATCAAGATGGCGTGGATGTTCGGGTTGCTCGTATCTTCAACACTTACGGTTCGTCTTACACCCTATTGCCGTTTCTATTACTCAACTGTCACCCCTTAGGTCCCCGAAGTTTGTTGTCGTCATGTTTTAATCAAACATAAGCGCTGATCTAACTACAAGTGAACCCTCACGATGGTCGTGTGGTGTCCAACTTTATCGTTCAAGCCCTGAACGGGGAGGACATGACCGTCTACGGTGACGGCAAGCAGACTCGTTCCTTCCAGTACATCCACGACCTAATCGACGGCCTGATTGTCCTCATGAACTCCGATGAGTCGCGCCCGGTCAACATCGGCAACGGCGACGAATTCACCATTGGTGAATTCGCGGAACTCGTTCGCGAGATTGTGGAGAAAGTGCAAGAAGAAGATGGTATCAAACTCGAGCGCCGCGTGCAGATTGTTTACAAGCCAATCCCGACTGACGATCCTCAGAAAAGACGCCCTGACACGACTAGGGCAAAGACTAGCCTAGGATGGCAACCGCGTTGGTCAGTGCGGATGGGCTTGGAGGAGATGGTCCGATACTACAAGGCCAAAATGGCAGAAGGGAGCATGTGAGCGATGCTGCGACACAGATGGACACTCAGTCCTCTTGCATACATTGTTGTTGGACTCTATGTATCCGATTGAACATTATACATATTGGCAATTACTTGGTACATGGGTAATATGAGCATACTCTGAACTTTTTAGATGTGGATACATATATAAGCCTGCCAAACACATTAAGGTATGAAGGATCCAAACGTCGTATGTGATCTGTAGCAGCCTTGGTAAGACAAAATGAGAGTAAATACTTTTGTACAGGCATCATGATGAGTCAGGACGGTAACAGAGCCTTCGTTATCATCCCCTTGGGTAGATGAGCACGTTGTGTTACCACCTTCTGCATCGTTCCTCTAATAACGTGCTTGTCGACCGAGCCAGCGTTGTAGGTCGTTCGCCGCATGCGACCATCCTGCGCGACCTCGTCTGTGACTAGGCTTTCTTTGTTCGCAGTTAAAGATCCCGCCACTGGACGTTCCGGAGAGCTGGTAGATTTAGAATGCGAATGTTTGTATCCCTTGTAGTTGCGAGCAGCTTTGAGCTCGGAAGTGTCTGTGGTCTTATGAAGCACGATAGGGTGAATACGTAAAGCGCGAGAACGTACCGATGTAGCTATTGCCATGCTTGTCTCCTTGGAACCAGTGAGCCTCCTTCTTCCGTTCAGAGTACCTTGGAGGAAAGGTTAGCAAAATGTGAGTAGAGCGGGAACGATATGACTGACTTCCGCAACGGCCGACCATCTCTCCCAAGTGGACAGTATGCCGTATCCAGGCCCTTCGCGTAAAACAACAAATTTTCCAGCTGGCTTTTCGCAACATCGGGTTTTACACATGAAAATGAGAGGGGACAACAAGGATCCTTCTGGGCAATAGATGGGTCGCCGATAAATTCCGCGAGCTTCGATAGCGCAATCTGCGATCGTTCTCGTATGGACATCCCTTTAGCAATGAGGTCGGACCGTGTTCGAGGCTGTTGGGCAAGAAACTTTGAAAAGACCTGGTTCACTATCGAAGCGCTTCCAGGGAGGATGTTCAGGCAAGCTTTGGCACCTGCAAAAGTCGTAAGGCAGGTCGTAATGTGCGACAACGGTCGCGCCTACCCTTGACAGTGTACAACCGGGGACCATCTTTAGCATTTATTAGATGCTGTTTAAGTTTCTCCGCATATTTCAGCGGAGCTATCGGGCTTGCTTCTCCCTGTGGATATATATCAACGATCTGCTCGTTCCTCAAATTTGCAGCAAATACCTGAATAATAAGAACAGGGCAAATAATACTAGCAAGTTCCTGGGGCCTCAAAAGTGTGCGCTTACATGGCAGGTGAGCTGGAGACGTAGATGGACGCTAGTATAGCGCTCACGTTCATCATAATGTTAACAAGTTCCACTATCCTCAGACGTTTTGTAGGAGGTGTGTATTTCTCCCAGTAGGCTATCAACTGTGGTGCAATCAGCATTGTGGTGCAACTGGTCAGAAATGACATACATCATCTTGAAGGTCTAAATTATCGGTCTGCACATGATATCGTCAGTTTGCCAACAACTTGCACGCTATGATGTGGCTTACCTCCCCAGTCATGAAAGTCACTACTTCATTACCTGCATGTTCAAACGAGTCGAGGTCAGGCGCGTAGCACCACAACTGAAGGAGTTCGTCATAAGCGTGGAAGACCCATTGAAGTCTAGTAAAAGTATCAGAAGACGAACATCGTCGCGATAACAGGGAAGGGGACACACTCTGTCGGAGGAGGAACGTCGCATAAAGTTAGACTGAGGACCTGCTCAGGCCACCTGGACTAACGGTCAGCTGTTATCTATCAAGTATCACGGAACATACAATGCAGCCAATCTGAGAGCCGCGTTAACAGAAATCCCCTCGAATGCCAATATATGTGCAGGAGGCAAAAGCAATGCCTTTAATTTCACAAGTATCAGAAGCCGGGCCGTAAACTCCAATGAATGCATCGCACCTGACAGGCCATGGCAAGATCGGCTGCATCAACATAGTTGTCGTGCCATTGGCTGGGTCTGCATCGTGATCGTCCGCATGTGCGTTGGTCAAAGGCTATCAAGTTGTAATCCTGGGAGAGTCTGGGATCATCAAAATGCCTAATCAGCCAGCTTGAGTCCAAAAATAAAGGATGTAGGAGGATGCAGGTGGGCCGTTCTGGATCAAAGCTGCCAACGTTCCCGTGGTCGGAGTTCGTGATGTACCATATAGAAACGTAGTCCTCCCTGGATGGGATATCGATGTAGGGCATACGGGAGAGAGCAAGAAATGGACCAACAACAAGGCACCAACGCAATTTACAAAACAGTGTTATATATATGAAAAAGGGTCGAACAGCAACGACCGCCCTCCCTAGAAGGCCCTGACTCCTTGGGTCAAATGCGATCAAATTTCTCACTTAGCCGAGTAGTAGCATCATAACCACAAGCTAAAAATTGTGGAAAAAACTTGTACACACAAAGAATATCCATTGCACTAGCATGATCTAGCAGCTAGCTACAAAGTCCCTGCCTTCTTGCTACCTTCTTGAAGCCATCGCTCATCAATGTCCGAGTCACAACCTTACTTACGGTCCGGGTCATTCCCAGCCTTTTTTTCCCCGTTGTCAAGAACAGTCTTCCAAGAATTTTGATTGACGTTACGAACTACGTTGTGCGCTCCCCACCTTCACGGGATGTCGCGGTAAGAATGAAGGACTGGGCAGATCTTACTGATTCCGAATTGAGCTTGACAACTTCCAAAACACCCGCGCCGTCTTGCCGCCGCCCTTCAAGATCCTTGATACTAAGACTAGTAGGGCTCATTTTTTATCAGTCCCGGTTTTCTCGGTCAACAATTGCTGCGTCGAGGCCAGAAGATCCGAGGACGTCCTACTCCTCAGGCTGCTGCACTGTTACAATCGCGCAGATAACTGAGATTCGTTACCGCGTACGACATGCCGGAATGCAAGTAAACGGAAGCGACTGAGGCTTCCTCCCAGAGTCTCAGTTCCTCTCACGTCTTCGTCTCCTGGCGTTACTTGAGGATGCAATTTGAGCTTGCCTCCGATAAGTATGACCCGTGCCATATTTTCTTCTTCTTTCATTACAGCCCTTCAAGGACATTGTGGACTTGCAACCAGCTCCCGACTATCGCATTCGACCTCCGTTTCGGAATAAAGCTGCCTGCGGCCCGCAGGCTCCCATCATGGACCCTGCAGGGATGGCACACTCTTTGCCGCCCGCACTCGGAGGTTTTATTACGCTGGGATCCGGAGGCAATGCAGGTCCTCAAAAAGTATCTGCAAATATGGTAGGACAACAAGACACATCGAGCAGAAAGATTTACAAATCCTCGTCACCCCACTATACCTTCCAAGACTTGGACTACTTTCTGTTGTTTCTGGTAACACGATGATGAGACTAGTCCGTTTCTTGGTGGCTGCTTCGATACTCACCTCTCTATCGGCCCGCAAATCGGTGGGGAACATGGTTGGTACTCCGAGGGCTTCCAGCGAAGACTGCTGCTTCTGCAAGAGGCCGTCCCATGCGAAAAGCACGCGCTCCGCATCAAACTTTTGCAGCTCTTTCCGAAATGCATCGTTCAGCATCTGCCATGTGGATTAGAATGGAAACGTGTAGTCAGTTTCACTCACATCTGCCTCGTGCTGTGATATGCCTGCGCCAATCAACCCGGCTCTGCGAGGGACGTCATTAATGATGAAAGGGGATGTATCACTGAGAAAGTGCACGGACTTGGTCTGTGCAACCTTGACTTTGTTCTCGTGTTTCCTATGTATAGCGAGCCGTTCTTCCCACAATTGTCTCTCCAAGTCATTCTGCTCTTCTCGTAACTAAGTTCAGAGATCAGGTAATGTGCGTGCGTGTGAAGACCGCGCGACGGACATACACGGGCTATGGCAGCAACAAAGTCTGCACTTTCTGCCAGCAGTGTGAGATGGGGCAAGGCCTGTTGAAATGACATCATGCGGAGGTCCTGCCCGCGCGTGAATGCCCTGGTACCTGCAGCTGACTGATGAGCCGAGGTGTCTGGAGGCTGAGGGGTGGAGTTGTGGCTAGCCGGTTGTGAAAGTTGTTGCAGGGATGTCTGTTGCGTAGTGAAACGCGATGTTGAAGGTTGTGGGGGCCTCGACGGGATTTTACATTCGGATGAATTAAGTTGGGAGAGTAAATCGGCCACCGAGGACGACGATTTAGATGGATCGCTTGTGGTAGCGGGTGGTTGCAGTGTCAGGGGTGGTGTAGCCTGAGGTGTGATTGACGTCGGCGGTGAATTCTTGGCTACGCCATTGGGGTCAGTGCCAATACTCTCTTGCCAGGCCTGCGACGATCTCAGTTGCTCGAGTAGAGCTTTGATACCTGCGGGATCCTGTCAGTGGGATATCAGTGAGCATTTGGCGTTGATCAACGTCTTCATCGCTCACATTGATGTTCGTGAAGTTCATGATGAGGTCAGGTGTGTCATGACTAAGACACTTTACACCCAGTTGTCTCAGTACTGTTCCGTGTTTAGCCTGCTCGAATGCTCCGCTTTTCTCGATCGACTAATTAGACTCATGTGAGGAATATTGCTATGTAGGATAATCATATACGCCCCGTCTAAAGCTGGAAACTAAGCGAGTACCTCATTTTTACCAATATTTGCTCTGGCCAGCTCTGGCCTCGCTCCACGACGGTCTGACCCTATCCGTCCCTTGAGGCGACGGAAGTTCCTCAACACTTATCACGAACCTTATGTCTGCCAGAGGCGTCCATCAGATCGCTGACAGGAAAAACCTCGGGTAATCTTATTGAAGGCACGTGCCTTGCAAGGCTGCCAGTCATCTTCGGGACTCACCCTGATTAAGGCGAGGCGGCAACTGGCGGCAACGTATACTTTCCAATGTATCCCCGATCGAACGTCACCAGCGGCCTCGATCTTACCCTATCGTGCCGCGTGCAGCGGCTCATCCGATTTCGGAGCCCATCGACAACCGTAACCACACAAGCTCGATCGGTTGGTCCGCTGCGGAATGACTCGGATGATCCACTATCATCAATTTAGAACTTTGTCAGGGGGCTCGGAGTTGTGACATTTTACCATACCCGAGGTTTTTATGCGTCAACGGTTGGGTAACCGAGCGCGTGTTTCCGTGTGTACACGCAAACGATTTACAACCTGACAACGGAGTGAGCGGACAGTGGACAATGGGAAAGACGGAGCCAACTTACCCTAACGTACCGCTTCAAGCTTCAAGATTTGATGGATGAAGCTCTAGCCACTCCGCCGATTTGCAATACCGCGGAGATGCCTGATAATCGCGCACTTTGTGCGACAATGGTTACTAACATGGTGTGTGAGACGTATCATAAACCATCCACATACGATGTATGTACGCAAAGCCGAGTGACACCTATTTGAGGAACGAAACCAGTGTTCTGCCAGTGTAAATCAGTGTACGTTTTGACTTTATGGAAGTTGATTATTATGTATGTTCGCCAACAAAATTTCCCATCATACAAATGAACTCACAGTGTGAATGCGTTCAGTGCCAGAAAATTAATATGGGCATTACAACGATAATGAAGTTTGGTTGCATGGCGGGTTCTGAGCGAATATACTTCGTAAGCTGGGTGTCCGGGAATCTGGCGGCAAGAGGTGGCAAAACGCGGTTAGCATGGAACATTCTAGCCTGAGATTACAAGGAAAACCTACTCATTGAGGACCGATCATCGGAGGAGGAAAAAATCAGATCATCCATGCGCTCTTGTATCTGATCCAGGATGAAGTTCATCCTACTCGAGATCATTCATTATCAGCTCGAGAATAGTCGAGTAAGCCCCTAATCCCGATCGCGAGTGAACGGACCAAGGCAGTGTGAAAGGCTGATGCATAATTTCCGCAGTTGATACATCATCCCCGCCGAATGAGGTCCGCGCCGTCTTCCCGTGAGCATTGGACTGCTCGAGGGGCTCTTTTTCGCCAGCATTCTCGTCATAGTATCGGCGCTTAGCGGGACAACATCTTTGCCAGAGTGCTTGTTGTGAATATTTACATATTTTTAGTTCCGCAAGAAGAGTTAATTTCGCCATTTGGTAAATAGGCCAAGTCAGTCGGATGTGCCGGCTGCGCAAGTAAATTGACGAGGCGGGACCCAGTTTGAAAGCACGACTGCAGTTTCGGGGTATTGCAAGGTTCGTGCTGGCGAACAGTCGCGGAGATAACGCAAGAGTATAGTCGCGAAATTAGACAGTTGACCTGGGAATTATTATGGGCAGCAGCACACAGGCTCGCAGTGCAGCAGTTCAATGAATGAGACGGGCGTCATTGCAGAGGTTTCGCGCACATCTCGCGTTATTGTTTGGGGTATCCTGCTGGCCTGAGAGGAGTCGTTGCTCGTCAGGCATATGCTCGTAAGCAATGCGTCGCGCATGAGTAAGTCTCCCCTAAGCAGAGCAAAAAAGGATGACAGCCGTTCCTTCTCTATGATTCACATAAGTATCACCTTGGCAATACCGCTAAGTCATAGACATGCACATGATGCAAGTGGCTTCCTTGGTAGCATAAACTCCACGTAGTAATCCCAGCACTAGGTTTTGTTCGAGGATTTCTTGCAGACCTTCGCCATTAGACCAGTCTATCGCAAGTTCTTGGAGGGTCCGACTTCAAATGCTGTGCAGTGGTCGATACACGTGGAAGCAGCATGTTCAAGTAGAGACGCCTGGTACGTGACCAGACTGCACGGATTGTACGGCGTATCACCATGGATCATGATGCGAAACCGGTCAATCTGTCAAAGTAACGTTCAGGTCCGTGTCCCTGTCATTTGTCAGTAAGTTTCCCCGGTTTCCCACGAAACGCAGCCTGAGCCATTGTAGTACTAACCGAGGAAGAAAGGAGCCATCGTCATCACGCAGAGCAGAAGAGTCATCAAATTGATGAGGGAGCAACGGCTGCTTAACCTTGACTCAGAGCAGCGAAGTGCGACCGAGTAGACTAGATTTGAATATCCGGATTGAGGCCACAGGCGAGAAGACAACTGAATGGGATCGAGGAATGTCGAGTCAGTCATCATGTTACGGAAAGAGAGGCGCCTGGTGCCTGATGGGAGGCGAGGTGCTAATAAAGTATGTCTTGGGACTCCTGCCTCCTTGCAAGGGTGGTGACAACATCCCGTAAACATGACCAATAGGCTGTGCTAAAGTAGTTGTGTTTACTGAAGCGGCAACAAAAAGGATTGTGTCGGGTGACATAGAAAGCGGCGCAGAAGTTGTGAAGCAGAGAACGTACAATGGATTAATGAGCATCTAGTCAAGAACACGGAGCCGCCACTTAGTCGGGCGCGGTTATGGTATGAAGGCTGTTGCGAGAGTCTCGGAGAATACAGTGACGGATCATTCATGGGACATCTCGGGGCAGTGTGCCGACGATGATTGTTGTGATCAAAATGCCCCGCCACAACCCGCCACTGCTAAAAGAGTCACACGCAAAAGCGGAAATGGTTGAAGCCGTCACCCGTGCGGTGCCAATGCGAAGCGCTGCTCTCGGCGCTTGAGAAGCACAAACGCATGCATTCTTGAGAATTTTAATCTCGACTCGACGGTGCCTACGTTGCAAGTCTATCAGTCATGTTAAGGGACAAATACAATGATAAAAGATGCATGACGGCGTCGTCACTAGAGCAGATTTTTAGCAAATCTGCTGTGGGAGGAAAAAGTCACAAATAAGGCGGCCGAGGGCCGAGGTGTTTACGGTTCTTGTGACAAAAATGTGACAATAAATATATTGTCGCCACCGAACTTACCCACGACTACCGAGCCTCCTTCCTCTTTACGCCCTGCCTCGCTGCCATCAACATCTTCCTTCTTATCCTTCCCTCCGCCTTTTCTTGCCGTGTCCGTCGTTTAATTCTGTACTTTCATCATCGTTATCATCCATCATCATCTCTATCTTCCTTGATTTTAGCCTACTTTTGCCCTATCAATGTCATCCGTAGATCAGGCAGAGCAGTCTGCTCAGGCAAGTTCCTCTCATATGATGAAGACAACAAAACGGGGCAGGCCTTTTCTCAAGGTGAGTCTTCACAATATTTTTATTCAATCTAAATAACTCACTTGCTTCTGTGCAGGATACCCTTGACCTTTTTGCAACACTCATCGTATCTCTTAATCTGACTACGCACAAACAATATTTTCGCACTTTCCCCAACTCTTTCTCCACGTCTGTACTTCATCGATCATATCCCCGTATTCGTCTCATATTTTTTTTGATAGGGACGAGGCTGCTGCAAACTTGGCATCTCTCAAGTTTTCTCAGTCAAATCGCGGGCCGGATCCCAGAGACAAATCACGAATAGTGACGACTACAACTACCACGACATTCTCAATGACTCGTGACATGGCAAAGGCTATGTGCCAACACTTCATGGACGCTCGCTTGATCGAAAACGCCGCTGATCTTGGCAGCAACCTCTTCAAAGATCGCGGTACTTATGTCCTGACACCCAAGGGTCTCCATGTCCTGGAGCGATTCATATCCAAGAACGGCATGAATTCCGACCATCTCCAACCCGTATTCGCCTCTCAACCTATATGCATCAAGCTCTTACATTTAGAGCGTCGGTCAGCTGATGACGAAATCATCGTTACACAGTCCGTCATCACTGCGCTCTTCCGTCGATTCGTTGGTCGTCAGCCCAACTACCCCGCTCAGCTCTCGGCCAATCCGCCAGACGCTTTTCAAGAGTACCACGAGCGTTCCAAGGGCGTACCTCTAATGGATGTGCAAGAGCGCGCGCAGCCTATAGTAGGGAGAGCCTCACTCATGCACAAACACTGCTTTGCTGCCGTGAGTGCTCTTGAATGGCTATGCGACTTCACCTCCGTGGTTGGAAGAGAAGAAGCGGCAGAGATGGCTGCCCAGTTTGTTCGCTTCGGCCTTATCACGTTGGTCAGCGATAAAAGGAAAAACAACGACTCTGCCATAATTTTCACTGTCCGTGGTTCTACCCCAGGTGGGAATTCTCCAGTCAGCGTAAGTCCCCGTCAGCGATTCATTCACAGGTGTTCTTATCGCCTCGTTTGTTCCAGCAACACGGAGAGTTCCGATGTACAGCTAAGGCTATCTATAGAATCACAGACGAAGGCAAACGGCTCGCTCAGTGGGACGAAGCTAGTTCATCTCCTCTCAGCTCGACGGTGAACCTGCATCATGCCGAGCGCTCGTCACTGGAAAGTGAATCCATCAATGGCACTTCAATTCCAGTTACGAGGCTGCGGAGAAGAAGGGCAATGTCAAGAGCAATACCGACCGTCTCAAGTACATCTTGGAAGAGCCATCTTATCGTGCTCTCTTCCGTGATTTCCTGAAGGCAAACTTCTGTGAAGAGAATTTGGCCTTTTGGATGGATGTCGAGGATTTCAAGCGCAAGTTCAACACGACATCTAGTGCACAAGCTGCCGCTCCTGCTCGGTCGGGAAGCAGAGCAACTCCTGGACAAGCCGCCATGGAGAGACATCACGAGGCTTTGATTCAGACCGCTTTCCTGATTTACAACAAATACCTCGCACCTTCAAGTCAGAACGAGCTCAACATCGACCACGGCCTTCGCCTCGATCTCGCCAATTATCTTGGTGAAGTCATGGTTGGCCTGCACGGCAAATCGTTCGACGGACAAGTAGATGCCAGTCAAGCCGTCTCTTTCAACGCAACGCAACTGCAGGTTCTAATCAAGCTTTACACGCGCATTCAAACGCATGTTCTTCGGTTGATGGCTATGGACTCGCTGCCCAAGGTATGCTTCTTTTCGCTCCTAAGATTTTCTCATCTTATGTAATTAATGTGTCTGCAGTTCATTAAAACGCAGAGGTTTCTGGACGCACGGCAGTGGCTCGGAGAAGGAGATGCGCCAGGTGATGACGTTCATTTCCTCACCAGTCCTCCTGCTCCTCCTGGCCTCGGTGCTGAGGAGACTGGTGGAGCATACATCACGGTGTCTTTGAAAGGCAGTGAACGAGAACACCGGCATAACCGCCGAGACATGCCAGGGTCGCCACATGTCTCATGAACGAATGTTCTCTCCATATCGCCTTCCATGGACTTATTCATTGCTACTCTAATTGTGGCGTGCTTGCGGAAGCCCTTGCACGACATCGTACATTCATCATCCCGGCTGACCACCGTATGCTCACCATTCATGCTGTTTTCTTCTTCTATCGCATTTGATTCCAAACCCGGGGGGTTGTCGTTCATACTTTCTTCATCACCTTAATTGTTTTCATCACTTTGGCATCATCCAGTATAGTATCCTGGGCCGGCTTGTCATGCTCTAACAATATTCCCCAATCCTGTCGAGCCTTCCCATCCCATCGCATTATGACGGTATCTTCTCTACATCCAGTCCCTTCGCGGTGTACAGTCTACTTAATACCCTACACTTACCTACTGCTTTGTCATGTAGGTAGCACTTAATTTCATGGCTTCCTGTCGTATATCAAGGAGTCATATGTTACTTGTTACATGTATGTACTCGAGATGGAACACTGGAGATTGATATCTTGGGAAATCAATAATCTCGCATGTCGTGATCTTTAGCAGTTGGCACTGCGATCGGCAAGATCTAGGCTTCATTTCGGTTTACTGCTTGTTTTATTAAATACGGACGATTGTGCTTAGACAGAATCAATGCAACTACTTAGAGCCGTACAACGCTCCTCGATGTATCCGAGGGCTTAGCCCTTAGGCTTTAGGGCTTTACAAACGAGGCAGACAACTTTGTTGTACGCGTGGATCGAGGACGAGCCAAAATTTGTCAATACAAGTGTAAACAACTTAGGACTTCTAATATTGCTTCCGAGTTTAATGCCGTGACGTTCCAGAGCTGTGGCAGAATCGATTCTCATCCGCGAGGTCGTTTGCGAAAAAATGTCTTGGATATGGAACCCAGACGGTGATGCCCCCAAGCCACTAACAGAGGAAAATATGGTACAGGACCCATCAGATCCTACCAGAAAGGTGACCAAGAAAGCCGCCAATCAACCCTTCTTGGCGTACGTGGTTGTCCACCTGCTTGCAGACAAGCAACTTATGATTTGTAGCCATAAGCAATATAGAGAGAAGCAGGAACAGGAGCACCAAGCGTGGCTTCAAAGAAATCGCGAGCGCGAGGAAAAACTCGCCAGAGGAGAAGAAGTAGGTCCTGTGGAGGCGGATCCCACTGCCGAGCAGGAAGTGGGGTTCCTTGGGTTGCTAAAGTTTATTGTATACTTGATTCTCTTTGTCGTCATCGCGGGCAAGTTCTTCACTGGCAGCTTCCTGTGGGAATACGATGGAAAGTGGGCGCGGTTGAAGACCTATTGGCCAGTCTGTCTAATTTCACTGACTTCTTCATCGACGTCCCTGACTCACTCCGTTCATATTTCTAGGAAAATAGTGGGCGTCTCTTCTCAGAAACATATTTGGCAACATTTGATGGAAGTGACCCAACAAAACCCCTGTATCTTGCGGTATGGTCAATAGTTTCGAGTGATCACACATATACCTAATCACTAGCGTGTAGATTGATGGTGACGTATTTGATGTCTCGAGTAGTAGCAGGACGTATGGGCCAGGAGGTCCTTACCACCATATGTGGGTATATGCTATGCTTCCTAGACTTCCTCATCAATTATTTGCAGGGTCGGAGTGGACGCAGCCAGGTCATTTGGTACAGGATGTTTTGCCACTCACCGGACACATGACTTGCGAGGTTTGACCGAGAACGAGCTCAGGGTCTGTGATAACGGCGTTTTCCGTATTCACAGGAACTAATCTGTCAATACACATGTAGGGCGTCCAACACTGGAAGAAGTTCTTTGCCGATCACAAAACATACAACAAAGTTGGCAAAGTCTTGCACCACCCGATTGATCCTGAAAGCCCGATACCTGAACATTGTGATCCAAAGAAAGAGCAGGCAAGTCATCCGCCAAAGGGGGATGCTGAACCGATCTCGCATTCCAAGGGTAACTCGGGAAAGCAAATCCGCGAGGAGTTATAGTCTACAGGCAGAGCTATTGATGTCCGTTATTATAAAGATCATAGGCACCACATAGCATGTGAATAAGATAGTGTTCCGCATGTCATATCTACATAGGTATTTTTGGTATGGAGTAGCTTGTCCGTGTCACAGAAGCATTTCAGGTCAGTAGCCACACAGCTAGGTACCCGTTTTTAAGACTGACGGTAATGATATCAGTATGATGTCTTCGACAAAGAACCACTCGCTTGCTTACCTGAGGAGCCCCGTGCGTCATAAAGTAATTCCTCAATATCGGAAAATCAGCGATTGATCCATTCACCATAGACGAGAAGGGGCTCTCCCGATACTTGGCAATGATGATATTTCCGCGCCACGCAGTTGCCTCTCTGAATGATCGCCCCTGGATCTCTCTTACACATTTATTGATAGGGAAGGGCATTCCGTCACGAGAGACGGTTGGATAAAAGATGACGTAAGGATTAACGAATTTTTTGTTCATGCCGTCGAGAGCCTCGACAAGCTATGCGTTTCAACGTCAGATTCAGACATGATATGATACGCGACTTTATGCTCACATGGTAATGCCAGGCTCGGGGACCGAGGCCCTCGGCGATGTAGTCCATATAGACTTCGGGATGGGGCATACGAGCAGGTAGGGTGCTATACGGAGCGTGGGGGTCGGGGACCGACATGGGGCTTGTCATCAAAGCCACCATATGCGGATTGCGACCGTCAGAAGGAAAGAGGAGAGCCTCAAATGACACTAGTTGGTCCATGATAGGCCGCGAGATGGATGTAAGAATTCGAGTGAGTTTGGTTTTGGATTGTCTAACCAGAGAAGCTAGAGATAAAGTAAAAGATCTAAGCAGAAACGGTTGTAGACCTCAGGTCTTGGTACTGGTGTGGACCTCAAGTCTCAGCGGTGCAGTCGAGCACTTTGGGGGGAAAGAGGAGGAGTGAGTTGCTTCTTTATAAGCTAGTTCTTACCTGGAGACATGAGGACAGGCCGCCGAGATCTGTGAACTATAAGAGATAGTACAACGATTTAAGTGCAGGCACGAGGACGGTCAATAGAAACAAGTTAACGGTTTAAATTGGATGCGCCAGGACGTAGATGAGTCGCGTCAATTGGAATTGGATTTGCGAATTGATGATGGGGATTCATACTAGTCCACCCGATCTGCTCTTGGCTAGCCTGGCGATGATGGAACGTTAACATGATCTTGGTTCTGCAGTGATCACAGTGTGGTCACAGTGAGTGCGGGAAGCAACATAGCATAATTAGCCAAACTAGTGCGTGGGTCGGTCCCGACAAATCAGGAAGTTCTGATGCTTATTAGCTTATTCTCAACCGCGCCGTCTTCTTGAGGTTGTAAAGGACATAAGAATTGCAAAAGTTGACATAAAATTCAGGGTATGTGTTTTCAAGTCCATGCCTTGAGGTCGCGTGAGGCTGTTACTGACAGTTTTGGGGTCGATCATTAGCAACGCGTGTTATCTGCGTGCGGCGTGCGCTAATTTTTTAGGCCTACGCGCTCTCTTCGGTTCGGCAACTTGCAAGTAAGTCAAAGCCGGGTTGAGGTCAATCTTATCTGTCCTTTGCTCGCGACTAAACCGACAGGTTGATATATAGATGTGATTAGAGGCCTTTTCAATGCCACTGCAAGCATCTTACAATGTATCGCTAAGTGCGTCCATTCTGCTCCTCCGCGAATTTGCCGTCGAGCAATACGGCGTGTAGACAAGGGGTATGAACGTGGATGCAAGTCTTTCGCGGTCGATTCATGATTCTAATGCATACAGCCGGTCCAGACCTTCTCCAAACAGATTGGTGCTAGCGGTACCTGTGTACTATTGGTGTAAGATCCCGTGCACCAAATCTTCAAAAACCTCCGCTCTCAAGCTGACCATAAAGGTTGATGACTCGTGCGACGAGGCTGTCCAACTGTCGCCTCAAGGGTGCCATGAGATCATTTTTGTGACAAGGAGGCTCATCTAGGCTCAGCTTACTCCCTGCTAGAGGAAAGTTCCTTTTTTCATTCATTTGATAAATCTTCTGATCCGTTCCCTGGGAGCACTCTCAACGTTGTAGGTACTGGGTCCAGACTCCAGAGCATGTACATTGTTCGCATGTGGCGCAACAGTGTGTGCACATACTATATTTATATGCTGAGTTTTCTCCTAGGAGATGGCAATTCTACTGAAGCCCTCGGCCTACTGAAGCCCTGGGCCAACTGCCCGAGTCTGGATTGGATATGTGGACTTGATCATGATTTTTTGAGCTAGTTCCAGTTACGAGCAAAGATTTTTGGGGTTCGTCCGCCAGTAAGGTTATCGATTGCGATATACCTGATTGAGACAAAGCGTTAATGCCCGGGATACACATCAATGCGTGTTCGCGATGTGATCCGCAATGATCTTGCTAGTCTTCAACGCCACTTGTGATGTTTTGGCACGGCACGGTTATGTTGTTTCATTCGAAGCCCAGATAAGGCGAGATTGGAGAATGTATGAATCATAGGGGAATAGCTTTACGCCAGCACCGTCTGATTTCATCTGCTGCGTGCCGGCGCATATAGCTTTTTTACTTATCACCCCACTCAATCGAACGAGAGATTAGTATAATTGAGCTTCATGACCTCGTCATGACCACATCAATTGTTCATGTCCGCGTGGTAGTAATAGAGCTCGTGCGCAGCGGCTGCACAGTGTTATAAGATCTCGGATGATTGATACCGAAGTTTAGTATGTACTGTACTTATACTGATACAGTCAATGATGAGCTAGGATAAGTTGGCGTGTCTCTCGATCAGACGTTCCCTTCGTGCTGTGAGCTGAAGGAGCTAACTTGGAGATCAAGCTTTTAGGCGCTTGTCAGCCGAAAAAGGTAACTAAGTTTAGAACGCTTAGCGTCTATTGTTTTCCAGTAGCGTAGACCCTTGACATCTCTTTGCAGATTGCTGCTCTACTGTCTGCTTGTACATCATCTCACTGTTCTCCATTGGAATGAACAGCGGTAACATTCTTGTTGCTGCTCAGCTCTCCACCCTCTATCCTTCCTCTAATGCCGTATCCTTAGTTCTTCAAACTGAACGTCGAAACCTACCACTCCCCCCACCACACACTGACACGGATTCGTCTCCAGAACATGCCTCATATTCCTCAACATTCTATACTCCTCACACAGGAACAATCCTTCTGCGTGTCATTCACGGTGGTCTGATATTGGAACTTGTCTCTCTTTCCACAGATGTCCCCCCGATTCGATTCGTCTTCCCCTCTGCAGTCTTGCCTGCTCCAGCAATCTTCGCATGGGGCGAGAAGGAGTTACATATACTGGCAGTAATCTCTAGCGGCTCATTATTCCGTTTGGTTCTACCCACTGTCAACCCGACGCGATTGTGGCACGATCCATTGCCCAAACAATGGAGTCGAGAATATATAATCAAAAACGTGTCAGAACAGTTTTATGGCGTGGTCCAAGTGCAAGGTTTACTATGCGTGGCGATTGGGTTGACAAATGGCTCCCTTATCCGCATAGAAGCTGAGAATATCGGAGATGACAACTTCCATGGTATGTACTTTTTAACGTCCGTCGGGTAGTTTTTGACGTCCGCCTGCTGCGTAGATCTTTGGGCGGAGCACGTTTACTCCCCAAGTTCGTTTTTGGGAACACTCACTTCATACTTGCCTAGTCTACAATCCTCGAGCTCTACAGGAGCAGAGATTCTCTCGGTCGCTAGCAGGCCCCAGCCCACAGAGCTCGGCCACATATGGACCCTCTCACGGGATCGTACTTTACGACTCTGGACAGCAAAGGGTGGCTGCGTTGCCTCCAAAGCTTTGTCTTTGTCAGGCAAGGCGTCTGGCGACTCATATGTCGTTTCCAACGGCATCAAATCTGAGCTTCTTGGAGCTGAGCCACGCAATCTCCTCCGGATATTTGGAAACGGGGGCGACGATGAAACTACGTACGCCGTCGCGTTTACGCCAACTCCTTCATATCCACAGTCTGGTGGTTATTTTCAACTTGTTGTCATTAATTCCGATCAAATGCGCGAGGTTCAGACCGTCGAATGTTCGGCCTCCAGCGCTCACTGTCACCTTCAAGATTTCATAATCAACGACGACTTCCTATACACATTATGGGAACGTCAAGGGTCCTCAATGACGGAGAGAACGAGGTTAAATATAGCAGCCACTGGTGGTTCTTCTGATGACGCAATTTGGGAGACTGCGACCTATGGGGAAGAGACGGACTTGACTCCTACGAATTTAGACGAGCTCCTTCGCTCCCCCGGTTCCTTGACCGATAAATTCATGGCGGCCATCTTGAGACCAGGCGTATTCTCTCCGCTTACTCTTCGGACTGCTGTAGAGCAGTACACAGATGCGTGCCTCTCTGTCTCCGGACTTCATCCACCCCCTCAACTCACATCCTCTCACCCCACCACGGCAGAAAACATCGCCGCGGTTGTTGGCTGCACTGTGACTTTAATACAGGATCCACAGACAGGGGCGCTGCAGCATGATCGGTATTGGAATGCGCTAAAAAGAGACTGGGAAGGATTTGTTGCACGTTGCCGTGAAGTTGAGCGGAGCGCCCGCTGGCCTCTGGGATTGGGTAAAGGGAAGAGCAGAGATGAAGTGATCGTGATCGAACGAGAACGTGTGGGTGTCTATGTGAAGGAAGACCTGCCGCTAAGCGTCCACCGGTGCCTTTCGGACTCCCTCCCAGTGGAACCTCATTTTGTCGTCTTGGACATACTCTGGACGCTTTGTGACAAGATAGGGCACGAGGGTCTTCAAAACCTGGAGACCAGGATTGTTGATATTCTCCATCAAGAGATCGCGTTTTCCATCGTGGATATTATTGAAGACCAAGCGCAGCGCTTCAACTTCAAGGCTACGCTTGACGAACCATCGGAAGCTAGCATTATCGCAAGGTTGCAAGGCATAGAAGACCTTGATGGCGCCGTCCGGATAATCCTTGACCTCGTCGCAGGCTTTGAACAAGAAGTAAAGCAGGAAGAGGATGAAGTCGAACTGTTACTCCCAAGCAGTCGATCTGATTGGACGACCGCGTTATCCGCATCATACATCACCACGTCGGTACATGCCCGCTACGATATATGCATCGCACTGGTCACCCTGCTGTTCTTCCTCGCTGATGATCTGAAGGAATGGGATCCTTCGCTGGTAGAAGAAGTCTTCGCCGTATTCAGAGGGTTGGCGATGTTACAATCTGTAGCACGCCAACCTGCGGCAGACACAGGCGGTGAACAAGAGTCATCGGACGAGTTATTGACCACCGACGATGTAATTGCTCGAATGAGCAATATGCATGTGTCGAGGAATCAGGCTCGCTTTGTCCCCACTTTTTCGCTACTTCACCGCCTTGCAGGCCAGTCCGGTGAGACGACTGAACTACCAAGGGCAGCCCATCGTTTTTTGGACGCGACCGGCATGCTTCAGTCTACTTCCCCTGCTCGGGTGACGCAGTTTGAAGCGCTCTTCTGTGAACGCCTCCGCCTTTGGGGATACTACGAAGTCGCCCGCGAAATGCTTGCATGGCTACCGCGCACACCGGGCGTAGTGTTCATTGCTGCGTGCCTGTACATCAATATTGGTCGCGCTGAAGATGCCGCCCAGCTGATGGAAAAAGTTGCTGGAAGCTTTGGTGAGAGTGTCGCCTGAAATCGACAGTTTCGTGCTAATTGTTCTCCCATAGGTGATGATAGTGGGCTTTCCTTGGAGGATGCGGAAACTCTAGCCTCCGTTTTGCCTGGAGCTGTGCTCTTCGATTCTGAATTTACTTTTTACATCCATGCATCTACCATCTTCAGGTCAAATGGCTTGACCCAACAAGAAGTGTCCTTCATTCGGCTTGCGTTGTCTGTTGCACCTCAGGACGTTGACGCATCTGAACTGTGGTTCGGCCTCATTCGAGGGTATATAGATCTCGGCTTCTATGAAGATGCATACTCAGCAATTATCGCGACCCCATACGACAGCGTGTATGTCTTTAGATTAAACCCCAGAAATTCGCTCACAACGGCCACAGGAAAAGGGAATGCATTTCCCAGCTGGTTTATCGAATGTGTGAGGAAAACACAATCGAGCAATTGATGTCCTTCAATTTTGCCACCTTTTCGGCTGAGATTGAAGATGCATTGGCGTTCAAAGCGCGCAACACGGACCCTCGAGCACGTCCATTCTACTCCAGAATACTCTACACGTGGTATACGCGCAGAGGGGACCATCGCAACGGTAAGTTTTGGACCGTCTAAATTCGCATCACTTCTAAAACCCTTGATCCAGCCGCGCGGACCATGTATCAGCGCGCACGTAAATTCCAAGAAAACACCGCTCAGTCAACTGACGTTATCGCTCTGATGGAAGAGCAGCTTGAAGCGTATTTGCTCTCTATCAATTCTCTTTCTCTTTTGTCCACCAAATATGCTTGGGTCGTGACACAAACTCCACCGAGCGGCATGATTGATGCTGAGGTAAGTCGTCAGAATTTTAATTTTTTTTGTCGTTCTCCGCATTGCACGCTTTCTATGTTGACGTTTATCAATAGTTTCACAAGCGACGGAAGCTTTCAAAAAATATTCCCGATTCAACGTTTACTGGGGACAAACAAGATTCAGAGATTGTCAATCTCAGCAACATTAAGTACGACTACACGCTGCTTTCAGCTCGATTGTGGTTGATCCGAAGAGATCCCGCACTTCTGTCTGCTGCAGGCTAGTTCCATAATTTAGACATTCGTTTGACTCACTATTCTGACGTAAATACTTTACCCGCATCAGACGTTCTGCTTTCGCCGGCATCGATCGTGCTCCGATTGGGCCAAGCAAACCAGTTCGACATGGCGATGGCTACTGCTCGGAGCCTCGATGTTGATATGAGTGAATTATTTGCGACATTAACAAGCCAGTGTTTACGGCTATCTCGCAACCCAGAGACTGTACTGTGAGTTGACCCTCCCGATTCATTCCCGTGAATTGTGCCACTCACTAAGAAAACACAGCCAAGAAGACACATCAGATTGGCTACTCACTGACAACGTCTCTTCGTGGCCTGGCAGCCCTGCCGACCGTGGCTGGCGGTACCTCCGTGTCGCGCTTGAGCGTCACGACAGCGCAGAGACGGACTACAAGTACAGTAAGACCGCTTTTGAGACAATTCTGTCGTCCGATAGGTCCTTGCCTCCTCCTCCCTGGTTGATTCACTCACTGGAAGTATGTGCCGCCTTTCATCAGCTTTACGAATCCCGAATAAATGTGCTAACCTTATGTGCAGCAAAACCATCACGAATATCTTGTAAGAACAAGTCTCCGCTACGACATTATCGAGAGCGCACTAGAGCACACCCTCTCGCTCTTGCGCAAGGTCCGTTCTTTCCCTTTTTTCATCCTCATTTCCTTAAGCTGTCCTTTAGGCCAACACTGCGCTGTCGCGTGCACCCCAGAAAACCGCTAGTGTCACCTGGCTCCCATATACCCTGATTGACCAGGTGCTAGCCGCTTCCGCCCAAAATGACCTGACCGCACGCGGACAAAGGCTCCGCACCGAGCTACAGACGGAGGTAAACAACCGCGTCAAACGAATGCAGAAGATGAGCCGTTTTGCGGTTTGATCGTGGTGTGCATTGTCCTTGAATATCTGACTGCCACCACGTGTACATACGATACGATGTGTGTTTGATAATGATTGACTATCGCGGCGCTACGAGAGTCGACGTTTGTAACTAAAAATGAAGAATCGCAATATTGCTGAGCTTCATTCTGATGCTGTTGGTGAAAATGCTGGGTCAGTACATCGATGACTGGTAAAGCCATACGATCACACCTTGTGAGCCCCCGCCATTACACACAGAAGTACTATGCAAGCAACCTGGTCCTGAGGACAGGCGTGGAATCGCCGTCGGTTTATTTTTCTTTTGAGAATAAATAGTGGAGCAAAAACAAGTGGTTCGATAGAGATACATTCAACACTTCCTCTGCCTCTTCCCACGGCTACTATCGTCACCCGGAGCCGCTCGTATCGCTCCCAGAACATCCTGTAGACCCTGATCCATTGAATTTTGCACAACTAATTTCTCAGAGCTGTCGGTCGCACTGACGGCAGTTCGCTTGACCTTCGTTCCCAGACTTGCGTTGAATACAGCGTCGATCTCGTCTTCAGGCCGGCTTCGTCGTTTCTTGGATGACTTGGAAAGATGAGAGACCTCGGCATCATTAGAGTTTGGCCTTTGCGCTGCCTGAGAGGGCGCTGAAGGAAGAGATGAGGGTGATGTAATTGGTCCAGAGCTTGATTTGCTCTGTGATTGCAATTCTCTCCATTCCTCCGGCCGTCGTTGTAGAAGATATAAATTGATGTTTCGAGCGAAGTATTTTCCAAAATAAGACGCTGCAAGAAACTGTTCGTGCACTATAAGAGAGCGCGCGATTTTTTCCTGCAGCAACAATTTGTGAGGCCGAGTGCAACAGTGAAGCAAACAACCTACTCTTAAATATGGATCAGCGAAAGCCCAACACCTATCACCCACTCTGCTTCCTATTCGGTCATCAACCAACGTGTGGTAATGGCCGATGAGGGACATGACGAAAGTGCGTTTCACTTTAAAAGGCACAGTTTCGGACTCAAAGAGTACGTCTATAACCCTAGAGCTTATCGGATTGTGAGATAATAAGATCAGATCTTCTGTGGGGAGGGACTTGATGCTGTCATCGCTTACGTCAATGCTGGTATACTCAACATAACGCCTAACCCACCTCTCGGTAACAATCATGCAATGTGGTTCACTGAGTCGAAGTAAACTTTGCAGAATTAAGGCACCTTGGACTTTTGATTCCTTCGAATCATCCATGTTTCCTTTTTTCGAGCTTTTCTGCGCATCTTCTGAGCTGTGTTTTGTAGGCCCTGGTGCCATGTATTCCTTTGAAATGTGCATGAGTTTGATGTCATTATGTAGCATAAAATCAGTCACCCGAAGAGGCTTTAGAACCAGTACACATGACACGAGGTGATTACGATCCTTCGGTTCCAATAGCTCAAACGTACTGCAAACAGCCTATCAAAATTGCCTTAATTTAGCAAACTTTAAGAATTGCTATGCCATACCTGGCAGATATCCGTTTCGTGAACACGAAGTTTGCATGCTCTATCGATCATGGCGCGTAACACTCCAGTTCTTGCCGATGCTATGTTTATGCGAAATGATAAGAACGAGTAAGCCAGGTGGGTGAATATTACATACCAATGACCTTACTCCACGAGCTCTCGAGCTCCTCAAGAGCAACTTTCAACTGCGCGGGATTTAACCTCTCTGCAGCTTTGGCTACCACAAAGTTAGCCACGGGGTGTGTAGCTAGCCTCGCAAGCTTCCCCCGGAAGTAAGTCGCCCAGAGCACCGTAAACGCGGGATCAGGACAACGGGAAACCATCGTTTCCAGTAAATGAGAGGAAGTCGGGTCTCGAAGAAGCGTGACAAGATAGTCAGACGCCTCCAGTTGTTCATCAGGGTTTCTGTCTGGCACCATTCAATACATGATCGAGATACCCCATACAGCGAGGCAGGGAACTCACGACAGAGTGTGATAATCCCGACCAGGACACGATCCATGAGAGAGTCGGGCAATGAAGATTCACCATGATCGGCTTCAACCTCAAGGATAAGCTACAAAGTCGATCAGTTTGCATCAGGATAGATGTTGTATGTGATGTACCTGGAGTAACGGGCTGGCTACTTTATTGGCAGCCAATGCGCGGACCTCGTTGTCGCTGAGTTCGCTCTTTAGGACGCGTACAAACCTGGTAGCAGCATCGTGAAATTCCTTCGGAACCGATCGAGTAGAATTAACATGATCGTGACTCTTATTGTCAGCGAATACAGATTTCATGGTACCCTGACGGGCCTTCCATGCACTGCTTTTCTTCGACCGCATGTTTGACTGTGCTTTATGACTTGTAGCAGAACTTGAGGGAGATAACAAAAGTAGCAGAGCACGGAGAACATGCGAGGCAAAAGGGTCCATTACAAGGGACGTGAAGACAGGTGTGAGTTCCTGTTGTAGAGTTTATTGCGGCACAGGATTGCTCAGAAGATGCGACAAACCTCACATATGTCCAAGATAAGGCGTGTCAGAGTTCGCAGTTCACCCTTGTCCTTGGAATCGGCGACAGATGGATATATGCCCTTGGTCTTGAAACCAATTAGGGCGAATACTGACGGATCAGTAAGATAAGTATGCTTACTTCGCGCGTGACGGTGTCCGCTGCTACTGTGAACAGTGTTTGACAGACATGCGAAGCAAAACGATGTTTGATGAGCGCCTCGTATCTACAAATTACTTGACATCTGGATAGGCAAACTACAAAGAACTGCTCCTACTCACGATCCGCTCAAACTATCCAAAAACACCCTTCGAACAAAGTCATCCATGGAGTACGCCATGCGTTCTAAAACAACAGAACAATCCGGGTCAGTCGCCAGTTGTTTCTCTTTTTCAGACATTTCAGTAAGTGCGGCAACCAGGAATATCCGTTTTGCTAGATGCAAAGCATTGTTAGACCCTTTCCGTATCGTTGCTGCTATTCCAAACCTTCATTGGGATCGAGGTCTGCGGCTTGATCCTCCTCATAAGGTCTCTCCTGCTGCCAAGTTCGGATTTGGTCATCGACGGTTCTGAAATACGCCTTGATGTCAGGGTCTACATAACCAAATGGTGCCTCCGAGTGGTCCTCCTCCGATTCTTGTGCAGGGACTATCCATGACGGTCGTTCGGAATTCTGGGGTGCATGATCGGTGCTGCCAGTGTCGCGGGAAGGTTGGCTATGTTCCTGCGTTTTCTTATGCTTCTTCCCTCGTTTCCTGTTTTCGTTTGGCATGTCGACCAGGAAGATAGTTTGCAGAACATAAACAATTCGAGTCTCGAAAAATAAGCATAAGGAGGACCCCGGGATTCGAGAATAGTACATGCCGGATTTGGACTTTATTTGGACCCCAGCCCAGGTTTGCATCACATTAATGATCCACCACGTCCACTCAGGCTGGTGACTCGGACAAGACTACATGGCACCAACATCATGCTCCCTATGTCGTGACGCTAAGGCGATTCTGAAACGCCCTAAGACCGGGCAGCAGATATGCAAGAATTGCTTCTTCTTCGTCTTTGAAACAGAAGTCCATCATACAATTACAGAATCAGAGCTGTTCAAGCCAGGCGATCGAGTCGCAATCGGTGCTTCAGGCGGGAAAGGTATGGCTGCTATCATGAATCGATATGGAATCTTATTGCTTGTTGCAGATTCGACCGTCCTTGCGTACGTTATGAAGACATTGAATGAACGGTACAATTATGGCCTCGATTTATTTCTCTTGTCCATCGATGAAGGGATCACAGGTTACAGAGATGACTCTTTAGAAGTACGCTATTAAGCGCGCTACGTGAGAGGATCCCGCGTATTGACTAAACTTCATGCAGACAGTTAAACGGAATCAGCAACAATATGACATGCCCCTAAAGATACTCTCATATGATGAACTTTATGGCTGGACTATGGACAAAATAGTTGCACAAATAGGAAAGAAAAACAACTGCACCTTTTGCGGCGTCTTTCGCAGGCAAGCGCTTGACAGGGGCGCAGCTAGTTTGAATGTTGATAATATCGTCACTGGACACAACGCAGATGACATTGCGGAGACTGTCCTCATGAATAGTGCGTCTGACTTAATGTCTATGGAACTGTATTGACCACTTTTTAGTCATGCGTGGTGACATTGCTCGACTTGGGCGGTGTACTTCAATTTGTACCCAGGGAGAGGATACAATTAAACGATCCAAGCCTTTCAAGTACGCATACGAGAAGGAAATCGTCATGTAAGTACCGCGAAAGGGCAGTTTTTTTTTATCTGACTGGCTTGTTTTTGTAGGTATGCCTACTTCAAAAAACTGGATTATTTTTCAACAGAGTGTATATATTCACCCGATGCCTATCGAGGACACGCACGGACGTTTTTGAAAGATTTAGAAGCTGCTAGACCCAGTGCCATCATAGATATCATTCACTCTGGGGAAGCATTTGAAGTCAAGGAAGAAGTAAAGGCAGCTCAAAAGGCCCAGCGTCAGTGGATATCATTTTCGCAGTTGTAATAATACTAATTTGCTCGTAGAAACATGCAAAAGATGTGGGTACATGTCTAGTAATGATCTTTGCAAGGCATGTACACTGCTGGAAGGTTTGGAGAGGGGCATGGCGAGCTCCGTCACAGTGAGTTCATATTCATGCAGTGGTCAACATGACCGAGCACTTATTTTTGTCTTAGACTGACCGTGATCGCAAGAAGATGGAGGCCATGGGCCCTGCACCGGATAATATACGAACAATCCCGTTGTTTCGTTCGACACCAACAATTGCAGTGGAGGTACCTTCGCAATCTTGAGTGGGCAGTGGCTCCAAATTTATTCGCCTAATATAATACTATCACAATCACTAATAATGCGCTCGATCATAACACATGTCGAAGAGCTAGGTATAATTATCGACCAGATATCTCTGATGGAGGTCGTCAAGAAGGTACTGGGCGTCCCTCTGCTTCACAAAATGTCGTGAAAAGACGTTCGCAGTGATCCAAGAGGTCATCACACTGCTTGTTCTGCTCTTTGGAACGCATCAGCTTCATCGTTCCAACATGCTCTTTTCCCCATCTGCCACATTGTGAGACATAACGGACACCCACTTCAACCGTAGCTGTAGGGTCTGAATCATCAAACTCTGTCGGGTCAACTGTGGGAAGGAAAGCCAACGGCACTAAGCAGAGATGGACTGCAGAGATGGATGCCTTGAATGCGCTAATGAGATGGTATGGAGATCCAAGAAAACGAGCCTATGGCGTTTAGAACTATCAGCAGTGGATTAACTATAGCGGTACATAACTCACGAGATAGAAAGACAAGAACATGCAGATTGACGAGAAGGTACCCAAAAGAGCGCTGGCGATGTTTGTGCCAGCGACACCAGGTAGTACTGTCAGGTGTCGCGTGGGCAACCCATCAGAGTCTTGGAGTGATGCCTGGTCCAGATTATGGGCGATCAAATCCATCTGGAATTTCGAGCTTTCGTATGAATGTGCAGATTTGGTTAACTGCCAGTCTGTAGGATCATAATACATTGGGTTTGATTCGTGAGATGACATCCAAATCACGCGAGCGCCCGTAGATGTTTGGTACTTTGCTAGGTGGGCTTTCAGGGCTCGAAACTAGAGCAAGTCAACACATGAAATCAATTTGAGGTTAGCTACACGCACCAGGACATAGTGTCCAAAGACGTTGCACTGCCATACCCACCCTAAACCATCTTGACTGAGTTGTCCAACTTCTTGCGTGTAGTATATAGGCGCCGTCACTGCCTCGATCCAGTCCGTGGCGAGTTGCTTGATAGCTAAAAACCAGTTGATGCTGACGAAAGAAGCGACTCCTGCGTTGCAAATGAGATGCGAGACATATGGGTACCTAGAGTGCCGTCAACTATTTGCATGCGACTGCCACCGAATACTCACGTTTTGGTGACTTCGTCAGCAAACCGGAAGACCGTTTGAATGCGAGACAAGTCTACGGTATGGACCACAATGGTAAGATGTTTCCTGAAGGTCTCCGCATGTCCATCGTAGCCTGGAAACGTTTCATGTTGACGAACTTGTTCGTCGGCAAACTGGTATAATTTGTCGCGAGCAGCCTCTCCTCGTTGTCTACTCCGACAAGCAAGAATTAAAGTCAATCCATTGAAAGAGACGCCGTCGACTATTTTTGACTGGACATGGAAATCGTAATGAGGTTGGGCGTCCGTCGGGGATTTGGATATCAGCTGCACAAGCAAACGCTGGCAAATTCCTAAACCAATGCCGCTGTAGAATGTCTCAGTGGAAAGACCCAGTATAAGAACCAATTGGTTCACCACACCTGTTTGCACCTGTCACAACGACAACTGGCCACGACGAAGGAGATGACATCAGGAGAAAGACGTGCAACTGCGTGAGACGTTCCTCAGTTCCTCATGTGATCAATTTGCTTATAATAATTTGTATCGCGAGCTTCTCAATCGAATGAAAATTCAAAATACTGTAAGATGGCGGCAACGTGAAGGCTAGAAATAACAACAGATAACAACTCTCATGCCACTCTGCCAGACTACACCTCCGCCTTCTTTTTCTTCTTCTTGGGTGGGTCACCGTCCACTTGAGAAGTAGCTGCAGCTGCAGCTGCCGCAGCCTTTTCCGCCTTGCGTGCCTTCTTCCTGGCTTTGCGTTCTGCTTCCGTTTCTCCATCCTCCTGTAGTTTCATTGGTTGAGTAGCGGAGGTGGGAGCGTGAATTTGCCTACCTTGGGAGCTTCAGAACCATTAACCTCGCTTTCTCTTCTCTTCCGTTTCTTGGCTTTGCTTTGCCCGTCCTCCTCGACGTCCATTTGGTCATCATCCGACTCCGCCTTCGCCTTCTTCTCCTTTTCGGCTTTCTTTTTCCCATTTTTCTCCTCCTTCAACTTCTTCTTCTCCTCCTTCACGTCGAGAACAGCTTGGACTGCTAGCTCCAAAGGGTCACGTTGTGCTGGAACCAAGTCTACAGCATCTGCAGCCGTGTTGTATGTCTTCGTCTGGCCCTTCATCTCAAAGCGTTGCGGTTGTTGACTTTTGTCTCCAAATCTTCGTACACCAGACATATCGTTTTGGTGTTCCAGTGCACGTAGGCGAGACTCCAATTTTGCACGGTTTTCAAGCCCTATTGAAGGAGCGGTTTCTTCTGATTTGCCATCAGCGTCCGTCAATGCGTCGACACGAATCGAAAGTGCGGCTTTAGTAGCAACCATACGGGCCATCTCAATGGCAATGTCAGCCTGACAAATTCTTTGTAGTTCTTAGAGCAGTGAATTACCTTGCCCTTCAGTTTTGGGGGTGCTTGACCAATGAGGGAGGCCTATACAAGCTAAGCGGGTTGGACAAATAAGAATGATCGGCAACTCACATGATAGATGAGTCCATATTTCGGGGTATCGTGTTTAGTCTTGAGGGCACGGAAAAGAGCCTTTTCTGCACCGAGAATTTGCACCGTACTAGCTGGGTGCTTCGCCAGACTCAACAAACTTCCAGCGTGTGATATAAGCCGTGCCCCAACAAGGTCGCCGACCAGTGCGGTAAGGTTTGGTGCCACTGCGTTCATACGATTCCGCAGGTACTCCGCAAGTTGCGCACGATATGCAGTTATGGATATGACTTGGTCACATAGTGCATGTATATGCTGAATATCGCTGTCAGATATTTCGGTTCCCATGGATATTTCAGCAGCAGCTTTTAGGACAGCTTCGAGATCTTCCGGCAGTATGGTTTCAAATGCTGTCGTAGCGGCATTCGTGCGGAAACCTGGACGAAAAAATATCAGCGCTGAATGGTCAACTGAAGGAGTACGCCAAACTTACCCATTAATCGTACAACCTTAGCATAGGCAAGGTTGTCAACGATAATCTTCCCCATTTCGGGAAAATGCCATCCATACCATTCCTCGACGCCAAATGAGACTTTAGTCATTAAGATTCGATAAACTCTCCTACCTTCACTCGCATGGAATATATATTGATCTCTTTATCGAGATCATCCAGTAGCGCAATAGCTTGCACGATCATTGTGTCGACTTTATTGGGAGAGAACTTGAGTTTGAATCTGCCGAAATATGTCGTATACATCGCCTATAATAGTTTGACTTCATAAACTCACCGCGAGAGCGAATGGCTGAGACCTAAGCTCATGGTAGCAAGATCTTTTGGGTCAAGGCCGTCAAGTAATGCGGCAATTTGACTTCGGATACCCCTCCATAAGTCACTGTGGTCTTCTGGTGAAGGAGAGGTGACTTGGATGCTCAATTTTTTTGAGATGGAATGGGCTTGTCACAAATGTAAGATGCATGCATAACATTGGCACCGATAATGCAACGCACCTAGTTTTGGGTCGACCACCACCAAGGTTTCTTTCCGTTTTGCTTTCTCCACGACCTGTTCGGTCAAGAATTTCTTCAGACCCTTTCCAAGTTTACCCTCCTGCACAGCAGTCAGATCCTCTACTGCGGTAGCTGTCGACGTGAAACGGTGAAGCGCTTTCAGCTTCAATCTTGTCCATCAAGCCAGTTTTAGCGGCATCCAGTATACGAACATCATGAACGTACAATTTTGTCGCCTTCTCTGGCGTTTCAAAACTTTTGTACAGATCTGCTGACTCGAGCTTGGCCGAGTCAGACAGTTTGAACAGGCAATAGCCCATTGCCGTCTCGTACAACACCAGCATATTGAAAGAGTGGAATAACCAGAACCAATCGCAAATCTTTGCTGCAGAACTCAATAAGAAAAACTAAAGATGTACACTTACACTCACCGGCGTTTGCCGGACCTAATTGGGAAATGTGTGACATATATATCACCCAGTGTCACACCGTCGCCGAGACCCGGGCGTGCAACTTCTGTTACTGTACATGTCAAGTACATGGCATGTGCAACTTCCCTTCGCTGCAGCTACTGTCGCCGTCGGAGTCCGAGCAGTCTCGGTTCCAGACGGTATTTAAAGAACATATCATCTGGAATCGTGACTCTTCGCTGCATTCGAACATCCAACAGATATGCTTATCAGGCTCTTGACACTAGTTGTTCCACTTGCACTAGCTGTCGGCATTGGTGCTCACAAGCAGGTGGCTTTCAAGGATGATAAGTTCCTCAATGAAACAATTCCCCATGCCCTGGCTTCTGTTACATCCGAGGACTCTTTCACAACATTGTCTCTTGCCCGTTTCCCTCACCACTCCGTTCGCATCAAGAAGTCAGATTTCTGCGATCCCACTGTTTCGTAAGCGCTTCAAGCTGGACGAGATATGGGTAGAAGAGGTTCACTTAAATGTTCGTTTAGTGTCTACACCGGCTATCTTGATGTCGATCAGGGAGCAAAGCACTTGTTCTTCTACTTCTTTGAAAGCCGCAGAGACCCAGAAACTGGTACGTAGTTGTTGTTTGGGCTTCCTTCTGCATATTTGATTGACGTTATCTTTAAGATGATGTGATGATGTGGATCAATGGAGGTATGACATACTATGTTGCTAATTTCTTTCTTTCCTTCATTACAACTCACAGGTCCCGGGTGTTCTGCCGCGCTTGGCTTGTTATTTGAACTTGGTGCGGGCATCACTCTATATGACATGATTCATCCAAACAGTTTGAACGCTAGGGCCATGTAGCATCGACGTCAGTGGTTCATCCCCAAATAGTACCACATGGAACCCATACTCGTGGAATAAGGAAGCCAATATTTTCTTCCTGGACCAACCGTAGGTACATGCGTCACATCACCTACGTTTGGTATTGATCCGATGAACATAGAGTTGGGGTAGGCTACTCATATGCCGACTTTGGTGAAACAGTTGAGACGACGGAGGATGCTGCTCAGAATGTGCATGCATTCATCACAATCTTTTTCGAGGTTTTCAAACAATTTGAGGGCAGACCATTGCATCTTGCTGGCGAATCCTATGGCGCACGTAACATATTACATGGTCTTGCATTATTCTGATTCTGATAATGTTTCATTCCAGGGACGGTATCTTCCTGTCTTTGCCAGCGAAATTTACGACCAGAATCAAATTGCAAAGGCAGAGGGACGACCGACCATCAACCTTCAAAGTATCCTGATCGGGAATGGTATCACTGATATCTCAACGTGAGTAAATTACTCTACTGTAGTTTCAACAGTTCTCATGAATTGTAGTTTATACCAAGGGCGCTATGAGATTGAATGCGGCACTGCTGCCCTTGAAATACCATTCCAACAAATCAGCTCTTGTGTGCGCATGAAGTCGGCGGTGGGTATTTATTTTTATCGTTGTCACTTTGTTTTTCGACATTTTATAGTTACCTCGGTGTCAAGCTTTCATGCGTGATGGATGCATCAACCAATTTGATCACATGAATTGTGGGGCCGCTGTTGCCTTCTGCGACGCACAGCTTAGCACTGCATTTTGGGCAAGTGGTCAGTTGAACCAAGATCTGCTGCAAATCATCACTGAATTACTTTTGGATGCAAGACCGGAATGTGTACGATGTCTCAATGGTTGGTGGTTCCTTAAAATAGCATGACGTATCTTGCTTACTTTACTCAATTTAAGACGTGTGACGACCAAGAACTGTGCTATGCAGGAGACGCCATTATCCGAGATTTTCTTGATGCGCCAGAGACACGGAAGATGCTTGGTGCTCAGAGCCCGGGTGAATTTTCTCTCTGCTCTGGTGTTGTCGGGCGCAACTTCGTCTCTCACCTTGACAAGTGGGCACACCATACCCAAGACTATGTTACAGCCCTCCTCGAAAGGAACATTAGAGTGTTGATTTATGCCGGAACTTATGACTGGCAGTGCAACTGGATTGCAAACAAGCTGTGGGTGGATAAGTTAGATTGGACGGGACGTTCTGCGTACGTGAAAGAGAGCTGGAAGTCATGGTACGTCGATGGAGAAAAGGCAGGTGAAACCAAGAATGCTGGCCCTCTGACATTTGCTACGGTGCTGGGCGCCGGCCACATGATGAGTCCTTCCTTTGCTCTGGCTGTGACCTTCGTCTGACCCTTTCACACGTCCCTCATGATAAACCTGCAGAGGCGCAGGCACTGGTTTCCAGATGGCTCGCCAATCAGGCCATCTACAGTGTCAAAGACATGCGCAAAACTGACACAGCTACTCAATAGCTGTGTGTCACTATTTTATCATCGAGAGATCGAGTCAAGGAAGAGTCGAAGAAGATGTGTCTTGTATGTCTTAGCTGCAAATCCAATTTGAAATTTGAAGTGTTTTTTTTATCGTGCCGAGTCCCGACGGACCACCGTAACTATGATGGCAACGCAACTGTCAAAATGTTACCAGGCCCAATCTGGTCCCGTCTCTGCAACAACAGTGCATTGTTGCATAGCCAATCACCAATGTCTGAGATAAAAACAACATTTATCGCGATGCCATGTCTGCGTTGCCCACCCTTTCCTGCAACCTCCGTTCATTGTTCGTGGGCTTTCCCTTGAGGTAGGTCTGGTGCATAGATTCTAATGACCATAGCTCATGATTTGTTGCGCTATCCAGGATCCCCTAATCTACTTCAACTCGGGTTGCACAGGTGCACCTGACCTTTTCCTTCTTATCTCGTCTTGCGCCTTTTCGTACAATATTCATTAACTTTCGGACCATGGCTTTCACTTCACTATATTCGCTCTGTGGCGCTGGCTTCGCCCTCCTTCAGCTGCTAGCTCCAGCCACAGCACTTCCAGTAGCACGGTCTACAAGTTCCTCCACATTAGTGGCTCTTCGTGAGTTTTCCACCTAGTGTTTAAGTCAAGTGCTCACGATATACCAGAGTTCGCCAACGTGCTGGAGCAGCTGGAGTCCACTTTTTATGCGCAGGCCCTTCAAAAGTTCAATCAGTCGGATTTTACGGCAGCTGGTTTTGCTTCGGCCCAAATCCCCGTGCAACAGTTTCAGGCCATCTTTAAAGATGAATCCACACACGCAAGTACATTACAGGTAAGTCAAGTCATCTGTGTCTTCTTTGAAAATCACGTTGAACGCCGGCACCACTCAGTCGGCTATTACTGCATTGGGCGGCCAAACGATACAAAACTGTACATTCAATGTTGCTTCCTTGCTCACCGATGTGCCCACTATGGTAGCCTCAGCGAGACTGGTGGAAAATGTCGGTGTAAGCGCCTACCTCGGTGCCCTGACCTTGATCAACGACACGGTTCTCTCCACCGCGGCTGCCACCATTATGACGGTTGAAGCGCGCCACCAAACCATTCTTAATCTGCTGGCAGGGGCCACCGCGATCCCTCAGGCGTTTGATGTCGCTTTGAATCCATCTGAGATTCTTGCATTGACAGGGGGGTTGATTTCCGGATGCAGCCTCGGAATTCCAGGTACGTATCTATGCAAATTGATTGTCCTCTCGCTCACCTTGAAACGCCCTGGTTTAGCAAATGTTCCGCTCAAGTTGAATAGTACTGGCCCCATTCAAGCAGGAACGAAGTTGAGCTTCACCTCTGCCGCACTGAATGGAACTATTCCAGCAGAGGTCTGTTTATGTTCATTGGTTTGTTGCGCAACAACTTACACGTCACTTTAACCCAGCAACTGTCCTGTCAATTCCTCGCTGGTGGCTTGTCTGCAGCCATCTCGCAGCCATTATCTAACTGCAGCGTCCCGGCGAACATAACTGGTTCTATGTTGGTGTTCGTGACCAACAGTAGTCAGCCCCTGGCGAATAACATCCGCGATGCTGCGACTGGCACCATCGTCGCAGGTCCAACGATGCTCTTCGTTGACAATCAGCAGGATGCGTTGGCGCTTGCAGCTCGTCCTGGTCTCAACTCTACTGTGGTCAACAATGGCACTACAAACGCTACAACGTCTTTCGCGGCGCCAACGACCGTCACTTTGACGCCCGTCACAGTTTCGAGTAGTGCCGTCGTCACTTCAACCGTACTGTCTACTACGGCTCCCACCACAGCCACCAATAGCTGGACGGCTGTGACCAGAACCATCTCGCCATCTGAAGCTAGCGGTATTCTCGCGAGTGTCGTGTCACCTACGGGTTCGGGATAAAGGTCGAGAGCTAATACGAGATATGAGATGCTGGATCGAATTATATTGCACATATATCTAAAGTACATCAGAACCGAGCTGGCGACCTTAGAGAATATTGATATGTAGAAGTGGACGATATCGATAGGGCAAAAAGTGTACAACGATAGAACGTAGTGCAAGGAAAGGGATTAATCAATCTTCGTCGCTATCCTCACTGGATGACGTATCATCTTCATCCGCACTGAGTTGACCGCCTGCGAATTGATTTAATGATATGGGTCGTCCAGAGACATTTGTCATTGGTTCAAGATCTGGCGACATTGCTGCCGCTAATATGTCATCGTCAGATTCCTCAAGTTCTGCTTCCATCTCCCGCCCGAAGGCGTCAAGATCTATTTCTTCTTCCACTGGATCATTGTGGGTGACTTCATCCCAGTCTTCTTCAGAGTCCGATTCTGCTGCAGGCTTAGTGGGAGGAGCAGGAGGCACGAAAGAAGGCGTTGTCCCTGGCAAGGCTAGCCCTATTGAGACAGACGGCTTCGGACGTTTTGAAGGGCGAGCGGGGACACCAAAATCGAGAACTTCTTCCAAGTCGAAATCATCTCCTCCATACGTATTGATTTCTCTCTTCGCTTTCGGCACTTCTTTGGGTTTGGGTTTGGGTTTTGGTTCAGACTCGTGCTTTCTTGGAGGTGGAGCGACAGGGCGGGACACTTTTGGTTTTGGAGGTGGCGAAGGAGCTTTGCGAGGAGGTATTTCGATCTCCTCACCCTCCTCTTCCTCTTCCTCCTCTCGTCTTTCCCCCGTGACTTTCGCCAAAACGTCATCGAAGTCATCCACGGCCTCACCATCAGCATCTGAGCCTAAAAGATCACGTTCTAGTTCTTTCTCCAGATCTTTCGTGTCTTTAATCTGTCCTGAGGGAGGAGTTGTTGCTAAGGCTGGATGTCACCGAACGTAAATGACAATACCCGATAGAGGACCGTGTAGACAACTTACGAGACTTCCGGGCAACGCTGGAAGAAGAGACTTTCTTGTCGTATGTAAAGCCCATGAAACATTCTATCTTTTCAAGAGTGAATGTCTGAAGCAGTGTCAAAAGGTGGATCCTGCTGCATGAAGAGGACGCGTGCTCACTCCCAATTCCTCATCATAAATTAGGACACAATCATACTCCTTTACCGGCTGTTCAGCTCCCTTGAAAAGATGGTTTTCGCCTGCCTAACAAGATCATCAATGGCCTTGAAAGCTGAACATGGCACATACGCCATACCTGAGTGCTGGGGCGTTCTAGAGAAACGCTAGTCGAGTCTTTCCCGCGTTTGACTTCAACCGTTCCAGACCTGCTGGGTTCTATTGACTCTGGCTTGAAATTATCTACCACATGTCTTTCAACACGCTCAGAAACTGACAGTGAAAGGATTCTTACACCTGAAGGAATAGAAGTCCTTGTCGGGGAGATTAGAGCGCTTGGGTGGAGCTACGCCCTTGCGGGCTTTGAGTGCACGCCTCAATGAAGTTCCTATGGCTACTGAGTGTCGACCTGTTGTAGGCATCCATTGGGTATCTGCAGTCGCCATCGTGTGTCGAGGCTTGACTAGGAGGAGAGACTTTGATCAATATTGGACTGCTGAAGCAGCGCTGAAGTAAGCTAGGCAGTGTCCATTGTTTCCAAGTTTGTTAAGTTGTTGTTTCCCGCGTTGTGGACACTTTCGATTCAGGCAGGCCTTTCCGAGCCTTTACACTGGCCAGTAATACAGCATACTACGCCATGCAACAATGAAATGTCTTAACTCGATCGCGACCTCAGCTCATTTGCTAACAGTGAACAAGGCGCGCGGACCCTTTATAGGTGTGATCGAGGAGTACGCCGAGGAAGTGCCATCTGATATCTTCAATGCTCTAGTACTTGGCACGAAGGTCTACTGTATTGTCATCATAGTCACCAGCGAAGAACCGATGCTTCGAAGCCCATCATGCTATCATCATTCTGAATGGTCATGCAGCTGCCAGTGTAGCTACTAGCCGAAGTGAAAGTTCACGGTACAGATCGATGACCCTCGTTAAACTCCTCGCTTGCATGCAATTTGCCCACGAGTGTTGGGCGTTATCAAGTGATGTGCATAGGCGAGGGCCTCGCGATGGAGGCTTTGCATCACGAAATTTGTGCCCAGCAGGGTGCAGGCGCAACACGACAAGGGACACGGAAGAGCAGGAACGGCCTGGGGCGGAACGAGTCAAGAATTGGGCTTGGGAGGAATTTACTACATAATTGAGCGCTGACCTGAAACAAGGTATCATGGTTTACGCGTTTGCGGACCCACTGGCATATGCATCGTGATGAGTATTAATTTTTCGGTGAAGTTGTATCATTGTTTTCACTGTGACACCAGTGCTCAACAGGCCTCGGGCCCCCGCAGTGAAACTCAAAGAAGGTATTGCTCATAAGTTTTATTTTAAGTTGTCACTAACTTTCTCAAGACGTTGCATCAAACTCGCCTGTGCACGGGCCGCGTTGACGGTCAAGGACTCAAGGTACCATCCTTATCAGTGAAAGTACAGCGAAGACCGTGGAACAAACCCCTCAAATTACATCACTGCCTTCTTTACGATGATTGTTGGTGGCTGAGGCCATGATAGATTCATCATTAAATACCCTGATGGATCCCCTTGCTTCCCCACCGAAAGCTGTGCATGGCGCGAAATGCAGTTCGTGTTTTGTTCCTGTGGGTGCCCAATCTGCCATTGATCTTACTACTTTGCATCAGCATCTGCCAATTCTGTTGGTAGACCTGAATTTTGCGTGTATGATACTAGCGATTCCGACAGACCATTCATGGAAAGATCATGATGGTACATTGAAACTTCCGGATTGGTGTTTCATCCTTCTTCCAGCACTGTGTGATGCTGTTTATCATCATGTTTGAAGGTATGCTCCTTTATCAGCACAGAAGCTATACATTCCATCACATGCCAGCTCTAGATAGTGGCCATCCCATGGCTAATGTGGCTGCGGGATATAAGTACGGCGCAAATGCTGCTTTGCTGGGTGAAAGCGCTCAAGCCTCACTCAACATCAATGTCTTCCTCTTCCTCAACGCAGGACCTCATCCCACAACTTCAACTCGGGAACACTTTTGGGGCACTTTTTATCGGGGTCATCATTGCAACAATGTCAGTACACTATCTACCTAAAAAACTTAGCGCCTCACCGAGTCCTGTCGTTCTAATATATCTCACGGAACAGGCTCTTTGGTCTAACCAATGTTCAAGCTTTCTACTACTTTCAGACGCACAAGGGCACAGGGATCACATTCAATAAGCTGGCCGTGCGTTCATGTTTCCTTCCGTCAGTTCAGTTGTTGACGCTACATTAGGTCCTCTGGCTTTGGTATGTATAGTTTCCCTTGCCATTGTCGATCGCGTCGAGGTTACGCCGTGCCCTGAACTTTTAGGATACTCGATGCTCTGCACCTGGCCTTAATAGTCCATTGCATCTATTATTATTTGGTGACGAACTACGCGAACATCAGTGTACTCATATACATCGTATGGAGCCTCAAAGTGAGTTTTTACTTTGTGCCTTCGTGCAGCCTCTACTACGATGCTGATGGGTTCGTGCAGCTTCAGATCATCGTCGATGTAAGTTGCATTTCCTATGCCCTGCGATCTGTCCTACATATGCACCGCAGGTTTTAATCGTCTTTGGGGTACATTCGTAAGTTCGAAGTACTGTTATATACAACTAGAAGGATACAAGTAACGCTTTTATTGTTTCGCAGTCTGTATGCCTATCGCATATGGTTAGGTGTGTGTTTCCCTATCAATGAATTTCTATGACTGATGTAATGTACCTAGTCGCCAAGGGCCGAGCAAGAGCCCTCCCTATAACAGTGGTGGGTTTGAAATTGACGATCATGTATTATGGCATTTGATTCTGATGATCCAATATTAGGGCATAATCGTAATCCTAACCTCAGGTAAGTCTATCACCTGCAATTCTTCTTCGCTCGATCTTGATGATTTTTTCAGGTGTTGCCATTTGTGAGAGTTCAAACAATTAGTACCATTTTTGCCAGCTCATCGTGTTTATCCAATGCCAGCCATGGTTTGGGCCGTGTGAGTGAAACATCGTACCCCATAACTATACGACTTGCTGATAGGAGTAGGTATCAATGCCGCATGTTCTCGGATCTTCTAAAAATCGAGTGGGCGACGTTTCTGACTTTGGGCACGATTACTTTTGTCGACATCGTTATTGCATCAACGCTATGCTATCTCCTCGCTACTTCCCGTACTGGATTCTCTAAGTAAGGAGCGGTCTGTTCGCTGCAAAGGATCTAATATGCTAACATGAAGTACTTAGCACCGATTCCATAATAACAAAGCTCATGGCTTACATTATCAACACGGGTTGTCTGACAAGGTATTCCTCCCGCCAGACTAGTCCACATCTTCAACTCATATTTCATCCAGCATATGTTCAATGGCGGCTGTGATTACGGTAAGCTTCCAATGATTGTACTGTCTATCTTGTCTCTGAGGTCACCTACAGTGCGCAGCGATGCCACACAACTTGATATTCCTCGGCGTTGAATTTTTATTGGCTAAATGTATGACTAAAGTATTCTCATAAAATTGTGCTGATCACTGGTTCCTTTTCAGTATATGTCAACTCGTTCCTCGCACTCCTGAACGCGCGAAGCTACTCGAAGCCTACCACAGATACTAATGACTCTTCTGAAGTTCATATGCGCCACGTCGTCTACCGCCCGGAGCTGAACATCAAGGCGTCGCAAGACGAAGAATCCCAGGGATCCCGGAAGAACATGTTTAAACATTCCGTCGATGAAGTGGTGCATATTACTCCATCTGCCATGGTCAGTAGCTGCGTTTCTGGCGGTGGAAGAGTACTGATTGTCACGCTTTAGCCACATCTCCCCATTGAGGTGACAGTAGAGACGAATTCCTTCTTATCAGTGTGATAGATCAGTACTAGTATGCATGTAATGTATTGTTGTCCGTCCGTCTCTTCGCGAGATGGAACATATGAGTCTTTATCTATATTAATCTATCAAATCATCACACAGTCATGAGGAAATCGGGCATGAGATGATTTTGCTAGATATTTTTGGCAAAATCAGATCAAATATACTCGAATGATATCCAAATGCATATGGAAAGCAGGACCACTCCGGAAACTGCAGAGATAGAGCTCAAAAATAAAAGAGTAGGTCCTGCAGAACCCGCTAACGTCGTACCTAATATAGATGTTTTCAAACTTCTTGCGGTGTACGAGGTACTCGAGAAGCTCCTGCCTTATAGGTCGATTTTGCTGACAAATAGAGCGCGGTGGTCAGTTTCCCGTGACTTTCGATTCAGGTAGGCCTTTCCAAGCCTTTACACTGCCCAGTAATACAGCATACTACGCCATGCAACAATGAAATGTCTTAATTCGATCGCGACCTCAGCTCAATATTGCTAACGGTGAACAAGGTGCGCGGACCCTTTATACTTAGGTGTGATCGAGGAGTACGCCGAGGAAGTGCCATCTGATATCTTCAATGCTCTAGTACCTAGCACGAAGGTATACTGTATGTCATCATAGTCACCAGCGAAGAACCGATGCTTCGAAGCACATCATGCTATCATCATTCTGAATGGTCATGCAGCTGTACCTACTAGCCGAAGTAAAAGTTCACGGTACAGATCGATGTGACCCTCGTTAAAGTCCTCGCCTGCATACAATTTGCCACGAGTGTTGAGCTTTATCAAGTGATGTGCCACGCCTTGCCAGGCGAGGGCCTCGCGATGGAGGCTTTGCATCACGAAATTTATGCCCAACAGGCCCGGGGTGCAGGCGCAACACGAAAAGGGACACGGAAGAGCAAGGATGGCCTGGGGCGGAACGAGTGATAGGACGAGAATTGGGCTTGGGATATTGGAAAATTCAGGTGTATGATTTTGCGGCTGGACGCTGTACTACATAATCGAGCGCTGACCTTATCACTAACTTTGTCAAGGCGTTACATCAAACTCGGATTCAGATGCGCCTGTACGCCGCGTCGACGGTCAAGGGCTCAGGTTATCATCATTACCAGTCGAATTCAAGTACAGCAAAGGTCGTGGAATAGACCCCTCGAGTTATATCAGTGCCATCTTTACTAAGGATTGTTGGAGACTGAAGCCATGATAAATTCATCATCAAAGATGGATCCCCTTGCTTCCAACAAAAGCTGTGTATGGCGCGAAATGCAGTTGTCTCCTTGTGGGTTGCCCAATTTGCTATTGATCTCATTTTGTATTAGCATCTGCCAGTCCTGTTAATAGACCTGGAATTTGCGTGTATGATACTGGCGATTCCGACAGACCATTCATGGAAAGATCACGACGGTGTTTTATCCTCCTTCCGGCACTGTGTGAGGCTGTGTATCATCATATCTGAAAGGTATGTTTCCACTTATCAGCACAGAAGCTATACATTCCATCACATTCCAGATCTAGATAGCGGCCATCCCATGGCTAATGTAGCTGCGGTGGCTGCGGGATATGTAGTACGGCGCAAATGCTGCTTTGCTGGTGAAGGCGCTCAAGCCTCAATCAACACCAATGTCTTCCTCAACGCAGGACCTCATCCCACAACTCCAACTCGGGAACACGTTTGGGGCACTTTTTATCGGGGTCATCATTGCAACAATGTTTGTACACTATACACCCACAAAGCTTAGCGCTTCACTGAGTCCTGTCGTCCTAATATATCTCACGGAACAGGCTCTTTGGTTTGAGCAATATTCAAGCTTTCTTCTACTTTCAGACGCACAAGGGCACGGGATCACATTCAATAAGCTGGCCGTGCGTTCATGCTTCTTTCCGTCAGTTCAGTTGTTGACGCTACATTAGGTCCTCTGGCTTTGGTATGTATACTTTCCCGTTTCCGTTGTCGATCGCGTCGAGGTTATGCCGTCCCCTAAACTTTTAGGATACTCGATGCTCTGCACCTATTCTTAATAGTCCATTGCATCTACTATTATTTGGTGACGAACTACGCGAACATCAGTGCACTCACAATCATTGTATGGAGCTTCAAAGTGAGTTTTTACTTTGTGCCTTCGTGCAGCCTTTACTACGATGCTGACGGTCTCGTGCAGCTTCAGTTCATCATCGATGTGAGTTGCATTTCCTATGCCCTGCGATCTGTCCTACATATGCACCGCAGGTTTTAATCGTCTACGGGGTACATGTGTAAGTTCGAAGTACTGTGATATACAACTTGAAGGATACAAGTAACACTTTTATTGGTTCGCAGTTTGTATGTCTATCGCATATGGTTATGTGTGTGTTTCCCTATCAATGAATTTCTACGACTGATGCAATGTACTTAGTCGCCAAGGGCAGATCAAGAGCCCTCCCTATAACAGTGGTGGGTTTGAAATTGACGATCATGCATAATGGCATTTGATTCTGATCATCCAATATAAGGGCATAATCGTAATCCTAGCCTCAGGTAAGTCCATCATCTGCAATTCCTCTTCGCTTGATCTTGAACATTTTTCAGGTGTTGCCATCTGTGAGAGTTCAGATAACTGGTACCCTTGTTGTCAACTCATCATGTTAATCCAATGCCAGCCATGATTTGGGCCGTGTGAGTGAAACAGCGTGCTCCATAACTACATGGCTTGCTGATAGGAGTAGGTATCAGTGTCGCATGTTCTCGGATCTTGTTAAAGTCGAATGGTCGTCATTCCTGACTTTGGGCACGGTTACTTTTGTCGACATCGTTATTGCATCAACGCTATGCTATCTCCTCGCTACTTCCCGTACTGGATTCTCTAAGTAAGGAGCGGTCTGTTCGCTGCAAAGGATCTAATATGCTAACATGAAGTACTTAGCACCGATTCCATAATAACAAAGCTCATGGCTTACATTATTAACACGGGTTGTCTGACAAGGTATTCCTCCCGCTAGACTAGTTCACATCTTTAACTCATATTTCATGCAGCATATGTTCAATGACGGCTGTAATTACAGTAAGCTTCCAATGATTGTACTGTCCATCTTGTCTCTGAGGTCACCTACAGTGCGCAGCGATGCCGAACGACTTTATCTTCCTCGGCATTGAATTTTTACTGGCTTCATGTATGACCAAAGCATTTTCATAAAGTTGTACTGATCACTGGTTCCTTTTCAGTATATGTCAACTCGTTCCTCGCACTCCTGAACGCGCGAAGCTACTCGCAGTCTACCATAGTCACTAATAACAACTCTTCTGAAGTTCATGTGCGCCACGCTGTTTACCGCCCAGAGCTGAACATCAAGGCGTCGCAAGACGAGGAATCCCAGGGATCCCGGAAGAACATGTTTAAACATTCTGTCGATGAAGTGGTGCATATTACTCCATCTGCCATGGTCAGTAGCTGCGTTTCTGGCGGTGGAAGAGTACTGATTGTCACGCTTTAGCCACATCGCCCCATTGAGGTGACGGTAGAGACGAATTCCTTCTCATCAGTGTGATAGATCAGTACTAGTATGCATGCAATGTATTGTTGTCCGTCCGTCTCTTCGCGAGATGGAACACATGAGTCTTTATCTATTAAATCATCACACAGTCATCAGGAAATCGGCCATGAGATGATTTTGATAGAAATTTTTGGCAAAATCAGACCAAATATCCTCGAATTATATCCAAATACGTGGTAATATAAAACACCGACACAATGGCACAGAATGGCGAGAGATTGCAAGAAAACTCTAATGATAATGAAGACATGTATGTCTCAAAAATATGATTACCTTGCTTGACAAGGTTTCTACGACCCCCATAATTAATAGCCAACTTTCGACCAACCGGTGATTTCCGGGGGTTCACGTGACCCGTTCCAGAATGGATCTCCTTATATGGCTTCGCCGCGCGCCCGGCAACATGTTAATGTTTTGATTCATATGTTTTTAATTTCTATACAACTGGCGTCTACTTTGTAACTCCTTGAGTTTAATGTTTGGGTCAAGCAAGGTTTCTGTCGATGCAGGCGGCAATTCTCGAGTACTGTAGGAATCTGATAACTCAATTCGACACCGAACCACCGACTGTGACACGTGACCGTCTAATTGAGTTCATTCCTACCTCGGAATCCAAAGACTGAGTTCGGGGTTGTAGTTTCACCCAGCAGTCCTTGTACCAGTATGGCAGCGCAAGCGAGAGAATTACGGGGCCCCACCCCGGAAAGACTATAACACAAATTACATTTCAAGTACAGGGTACGTATCTGATAGGTATTAATCGTTTGGAGATATCTCGTGCGCGCGCTGCACATCGCTGCCAGTTGACATTTCAATGTGTTCCTGGAAAGCAATTGTAGGTATTTGAAATGTTCCTTCCTCACAGCCGGCCACGAGCTTGGCGTGATATTCTCGAACGCTTAGGATGAGTCGAGGTCCTACCACAAACATCTGCAGAAGCGTAACAAATTCAAGAATACCGCGATAGCTCTGAGCTCCCACGGAAGATGAGTCCTGTAGCAATGAGGATGAGTGCTCAAATGTAGATGTCAGCCATAGATTGCCATACCATGATCTTTGGAGACATCAAGCCAAGGTTGAAGCAAGAAGCAGCAGTATAGCTGGCACGGAGAAAAAATCAGCAGGAAAGATGACCGCATTCAAATCAAGCGCTCACAATGCAAAGTAGAGGATGTGGCTTTTCACTAACACCGTGAAACAATCACTAATGACAGCCGGTCCTCTCCATTGTGGTCGCAATTCAAGGAAGTGTTTTACAACAATCCAGAGTGCAAGACACAGCGAGAGGGTCTCCCATACAGTACCGAGTGTATATTGTAAGACCGCATGAGAGTGCGCGAGTAGGAAGGGGGTGTGTAGACCGCTGGAGGTTATATAGTTAGTTGATACAGACGAGAGCGTGATGATAAGGAATGTTAGTTATGAGCTAAGAAGGAACCTGTTGGATAGCGAGTGCGAGAATGAGACTTCGATGCTGAATATTATTGTGCTCGATGTAAGGACTGTACATGGGCTACTTATACTGCAAAACGGCAAGGGTCCTCGGGCACGATTGAGCCGAACGAATATGTGGCGACGGAGGCTGAAGGGAGTGGCGTCGCGCCTGACAGGGTAGAGTAGTGAATATTAAGAAAAAGGGTGATAAAACTGAGTGAGTGGTGGTGTGAATGGTATTGTATAACGAAATGGTGAGGGACGCATAAGTTTTTATTGACGGGTTTGAGACGAGTAGGTTGAATGGGGTGACGGTGACGAGAAAGCGGATCCGAGAATCGAACGTGTCGTTTAACGACACGGAATTGACAGTGAAGGGGTGACGGGAATATGCTGGTCGACGTTGGCAGTGAGCTGAGGTGGTGGTTGAGGTGAGTGGTGGATCGGCAGTTTCCGGTGGTAGAGAACCGGCAATCCTTACAATATGTCTCTAACATCCGAAGTTCTTGGCTGCTATCGACTTCGAAAACGCACTGTGTGCCGTAGAGGAACGCCTCTGGTATTCGTTGCATGAGCCTGATGCGCTTAGAGTTTTTCATTGACTTACTCGTGTGAAGAAAGCTGGTTGCTACTACGGCAATCACTCCGCATATAATCGAGAGAGAGGTGTAGGTCACAGAGAGAAAGATCAGCATCTTTCTGGATTGCTGATACATGGCATGTAACCGAGAGATCATGATGACTTGCATCACATGTCAGTCGATCTGATGAAACTGAGATACTGTAGCTGGACAACTCGCCATTCAGCATGGAGTTTATGACGTAAATTGCCCACCCGAGTGCGAGGTTCACACTATTACCTGACAAAGCCCAGTTAATGACGAGCCTCACAAAACTGAATGTCTCGAGAAACTCACAACTGTTTCAGTCAGCATATTGAACGGACAAGCTGGTCGAAAATCCCACTCACCCCTACATACGTAGAAGTGTAATCAGTTGGTAGTTGTAGCTACAGAATACTTACCATGTCTGTCGTCAAGAATCCCGGGAGATTTACTGCGTGCCACCAGTCAGAAGAAAATAATGAGCCGGTGCATTACGAGACATACACAACACGTTGCTGCTGAATGTGAGAGATAGTATATCAGCTCAGCGCCCACTTGTTAGCTTTGCAGACCCACACAGAGTATAGTATTCCAGCGTAGCGCACCTATAATATTTGAATTCAGCACAGGTTGCCCACTACGCTTATAACAGAAGCCACGTACGATAATATATAGAGCAGTCATGAGGGAACGGCGCTGCCTCTGACCCAAATTAATAAATACATGACGCTGTCCCGAGTCTGATATGCTTACCCAGATTAGTTCGTACTACAAAATCATTCTAGTGAGATGGCTGGTCGGCAATGGGATCAACGTACCTCTTGACCGAATGTCAGTACTAGAGAATACCATAAGGTCATCAATAATTCGCTCCATAAGAGATGTTGCTCACCCCAGTCGTACACCACAGCAGACGATGACGCGACTGCGAAACCCCAGTCAACGATAGAGCGAAAAACACCAACGACGTTCCCCACGAACCTACGAAATAGTTGAAAACATGATACATGTCGAGTGACCACAAACTGGGGTCACTTGGGATCAGGGGCATGTTGATCGTCTGCGAGTGGTGAACTCGATGGGTGTATAACGCGCTTGATATACCATTGAGATATGCGGTGACAGAGTGTCCGTGTTTTGAGTTACCTTAAGCCTGTTTTAAAATTGTCGACCACAGCAAGTATGAATATTGTTCTTGTGGTGACACTTGGCCCATCAGTAAACCGGTGAGACTTTTAGACTTTCCTGATCCCTTTCGGTCGGCGCTAAGCAGTATGCAGTGAGCGCAAGCTAGTATCTGCACTCTCGAGATTCGATGCATCATGCATATGGCATAATTCAAAGCGTAAATAGGAAGATAGGAAAGAACCACTTCGGCTGGGAATATCTGAGTCTGCCAAGTGACGTAGTCACTGAGATATGTCATTCAGGGTTTCTCACGTTTACTTTCAGGGTATTTACTTCCCACAGTGTCATGTCACCCCGGTCAAGGACTCAAGGTACCATCATTACCAGTCGAAGTCAAGTACAGCGAAGGTCGTGGAATCAACCCCTCGAATTACATCAGTGCCTTCTTTACGAATGATTGTTGGACGCTGAAGCCATGATAACTTGAAATTCATCATCAAATACCCTGATGGATCCCCTTGCTTCCACCGAAAGCTGTGTATGGCGCGAAATGTAATTCGTGTTTTCTCCTTGTGGGTTGCCCAATTTGCTATTAATCTCACTTTGCCATCAGCATCTGCCAGTTCTGTTGATAGACCAGGAATTTGCGTGTATGATACTGGCGATTCCGACAGACCATTCATGGAAAGATCACGATGGCACATTGGAACTTCCGAAGCGGTGTTCCATCCTCCTTCTGGCACTGTGTGAGGCTGTGTATTATCATATCTGAAAGGCATGCTCCCACTTATTAGCACAGAAGCTATACATTCAATCTCATACCAGATCTAGATAGCGGCCATCCCATGGCCTCATTGTCCCAATGTGGCTGTGGGATATATAGTACGGCGCAAATGCTGCTTTGCTGGCGAAGGGGCTCAAGCCTCAGTCAATACCAATGTCTTCCTCAACGCAGGACCTCATCCCACAACTCCAACTCGGGAACACGTTTGGGGCACTTTTTATCGGGGTCATCATTGCAACAATGTCAGTACACTACATACCTACAAAACTTGGCGCTTCACCGAGTTCTAATATATCTCACGGAACAGGCTCTTTGGTCTGACCAATGTTCAAGCTTTCTTCTACTTTCAGGCGCACAAGGGCACAGGGATCACATTCAACAAGCTGGCCGTGCGTTCATGCTTCTCTCCGTCAGTTCAGTTGTTGACGCTACATTAGGTCCTCTGGCTTTGGTATGCATACTTTCCCGTTTCCGTTGTCGATCGCGTCGAGGTTACGCCGTCCCCTAAACTTTTAGGATACTCGATGCTCTGCACATGTTCTTAATAGTCCATTGCATCTACTATTATTTGGTGACGAACTACGCCAACATCAGTGCACTCACAATCATTGTATGGAGCTTCAAAGTGAGTTTTTGCTTTGTGCCTTCGTGCAGCCTCTACTACGATGCTGATGGGTTCGTGCAGCTTCAGATCATCATCGATGTAAGTTGCATTTCCTATGCCCTGCGATCTGTCCTACATATGCACTGCAGGTTTTAATCGTCTATGGGGTACATGTGTAAGTTCGAAGTACTGTTATATACAACTTGAAGGATACAAGTAACGCTTTTATTGGTTCGCAGTCTGTATGCCTATCGCATATGGTTAGGTGTGTGTTTCCCTATCAATGATATTCTACGACTGATGTAATGTACCTAGTCGCCAAGGGCCGATCAAGAGCCCTCCCTATAACAGTGGTGGGTTTGAAATTGACGATCATGCATAATGGCATTTGATTCTGATGATCCAATATCAGGGCATAATCGTAATCCTAGCCTCTGGTAAGTCTATCACCTGCAATTCCTCTTCGCTCGATCTTGAACATTTTTCAGGTGTTGCCATCTGTGAGAGTTCAGATAACTGGTACCCTTGTTGTCAACTCATCGTGTTAATTCAATGCCAGCCATGATTTGGGCCGTGTGAGTGAAACAGCGTACTCCATAACTACATGACTTGCTGATAGGAGTAGGTATCAGTGTCGCATGTTCTCGGATCTTGTTAAAATCGAGTGGTCGACATACCTGACTTTGGCCACGGTTACTTTTGTCGATCTCGTTATTGCTTCATCGCTATGCTATCTCCTCGCTACTTCCCGTACTGGATTCTCTAAGTAAGGAGCGGTCTGTTCGCTGCAAAGGATCTAATATGCTAACATGGAGTTCTTAGCACCGATTCCATAATAACAAAGTTCATGGCTTACATTATTAACACGGGTTGTCTGACAAGGTATACCTCCCGCCAGACTAGTCCACGTCTTTGACTCATATTTCATGCAGCATATGTTCAATGACGGCTGTGATTACAGTAAGCTTCCAATGCTTGTACTGTCCATCTTGTCCCTGAGGTCACCTACAGTGCGCAGCGATGCCGAATAACTTTGTCTTCCTCGGCGTTGAATTTTTACTGGCTAAATGTATGGCCAAATCATTCTCATAAAATTGTGCTGATTACTGGTTCCTTTTCAGTATATGTCAACTCGTTCCTCGCACTCCTGAACGCGCGAAGCTACTTGCAGCCTACCACAGATACCAATAACAATTCTTCTGACATGCATATGCGCCACGCGGTCTACCGCCCGGAACTGAACATCAAGGCGTCGCAAGACGAGGAATCTCAGGGATCCCGGAAGAACACGTTCAAACATTCCGGCGATGAGGTTATGCATATTACTCGATCTGCCGTGGTCAGCAGCTGCGTTTCTGGCGATGGAAAAGTACTGATTGTCACGCTTTAGCCACATCGCCCCATTGAGGTGACGGTAGAGACGAATTCCTTCTCGTCGGTATGATAGACCTGTACTAGTATGCATTGTTGTCCGTCCGTCTCTTCGCGATATAGAACACATAAGAGTCTTTGTCTATTAAATCATCACAGCGGTGGGAGACGAGGGAAACCCAGTTTATCATACCTCCATTTTCATATATCACTACTACCTAGAACTAAAGTCCTTCGACATACCACATACGCTTGGGATCCGAGACGTGGTGGCCTTGCCATCCGCCACGTGCGACCAAGAAAACCACGTTGCAATGGCGCGACAAAATTCTCGTCACAGAGAAATTTATACTTATAAAGTGCGTATCAAATCGACTCAATGTCTCACGCAGCCATAAAGCCACTCGGAATTTGCACAGAAGGTTGCTGAAAAAATTGGACAATGATTGGTGTTAGTATTCGACAAAGACCTCCTGTGAAAATCGGGGATTGGCAGCAGTCCTTGTATGGTCGAGAAGTACATCGGGGAAGATCACATGACTAGCCACATCTGCAAGGCATTTCAAACTAAGATATCTTCAATGCTCCACTTGGCACGAAGGTCTATTGTATAGTCATCATAGTCACCAGCAAGGAACCGATGCATCGAAGCCCATGCTATCATCGCCGCGTTGTCTGCATCAAATTTCAGACTCAGTGAATCGATCAACATATTGAAGCGCTGACCTGTGCATAATTCCAGCGGGGGGAAATGAAGCGATATGCGCTCATCAGAGCTGTAACCATCCAGTGTTTCTCGGAGCCTACGAAAGCTGAGCGTGAGAAAGAATGAAAATCGAGCATTAACAATTCACCTTTCACGTAAAAAGGTATTGCTGGCGACCCCGCCGCTAACGACAACATCCCTCACTTTCAAGCCCTTCAGCTCGAGTTTTTGAAGGCTCAACGTAAGCTTGGCGCAAATTTGACGGGCTGCGGCTGTCTGGAATGCACGAGCCAAGGCAATTTTATGTGAAGTGGATAGAGGTTCTTCCATGAGAGAAATGTGGCGGTCTACTGAAGACTGCAGGGATGCGAAGGAAAAGGCGAGTTTTCCTGGCATCGGCACGGTGAACGGTTGAATGTCGGGTAGGGGTTCCAGCTCTTCGTTTGTCATGCGGCAGAGCTCCTCGAGCGCTGCACCAGGACCTCTGGTTCCCCAAGATAAACCAAGTGCTCGGGCTGTCTTGTCGAATGCACGTCCAATACTAGCGTCTGCTGTTGTTGCAAGAATCTGGAACGAGGTAATCGATGAAGCTAGAAGTAGAAGTGTATGGCCTCCAGAGATCAGCAGTGTCAAGAAAGGAAACTGCGGGAGATCAGCGGTTGGAGTCGTGAGCAAAGGGGTCAAAGCGTGGGCTTGCTGAAAATAAATGGATGAGTGTGGTGATTGAAAGAAAGAGAATGCGCGAACGAACCATGTGGTGGACACCGACCAGAGGCTTACCGAGGGCAGCAGCGAGCGACTTTGCTGCATTCGAGCCCACACTAAGGCAACCTCCAATTCCTACACACGGTTTATATGAGGAACATTTGCTGCAAATTAAAGGGAATGCCCACATGCCTGGACCTCGCGTAAATGCAATACCGTCGACGTCGTGAATGTTAATATTTGCCTGTTCGAGGGCCATTCTAACAGCACCCGGCTAAAGACTTAAGTCGGAGCAAACGACTTGAGAGAAAAGAACGCATTCACCATGTTACGCTGGTGCGCTTCAATAGCTACAGATGGATGGATGCCGCCGAAACCTTCGTGGCTAAATGATTTCGGGTCAAACATATGCTGGTCACAGAAGGAGTTCGTGAGCTCACAGATCGTGCTGTTTTACGACAACGTTTGAAAGTATTTGACGCGAAGACGTCACGACGGCTGCACAAGTATCATCCGCTGAGCTCTCGAAGCCGAGAACAGTAAATGTGCGCCTTCCCGTACGCGCTCGGAACGTCCTATGGCCCGCTGACGAAATTTATGTTGGCGTTCAACGTTGAGCGACGGAAACAGAATTTGGGCTTACCAGTGAGAGAAACATCTCTCAGTGCTCGAAGTAATAAGACATTCTGTTTGCGAAGCCCACTTTCGAGAATGGGCATGAAAAGTGGTGTCGAGAGCGTCGGAAGCGTCGGTTTACTGATGTTTGTCTGCGTCGGTCGGCGTGTGCTAGATTCTTTGCTTCCGGCTCTCTTCGTGATCATTAATATTGGTGCCATGCTCCCAGCGAGATTTTGCGCGTCGAGGCACTTTTTTCTATCATGTCCTCAACACATACCACCATCTTTTGTTGCGCTGAGACACACGCTCCCAGTCCTTGCTCGCCGTGCTAATAGTTCTTTCACCGATGAACACACGCTCAACAAGAGTGTAGAGTTGCTCGACTCTATAATGGGGTCTCCATCAGGCCTCGACCTGAATGCTTCTTCATCGCTATCAGATATATTGTCTCCCCCCGCGCCCCCAATCCCGAATCCAACTCCAGACGCTTCACAAATGCTCATTCCGCCAGCATCTGACCCCCTTCTTCATTTCCTCGCATCCTCTCTGCTTCAGCACGGAAAGCGTGCAAGAGCAGAGCGCATCGTCTCCCGTACCCTCCTTTACATTCACGCGCTCACCCGCGCGCCGCCGCTACCCATCCTCCGTCACGCTCTCATTACCGCCTCCCCTGCTGTCAAGTGCATATCACAGAAGCGCTCAGGAAAGAACGTTGTACGACCTGCTGCTCTCACAGAAAAACAGCGCATAAGGGCCGGTGTTCATGCTGTATTGGCCGCCAGCAAAAACAAGAGTGGGAAGACGGTGGAGGAGCGTTTGGCCCGAGAGATCATTGCTGTTGTCAACGGAGACAGCAAAGCTCTCACTGACAAGGAGCTGGCACACAAACAAGCTATGGTCAATAGGTATGTGCGACATTCACGTCGTGTAACTCTCACTGACACATTGCGTAGGGGCAATGCGCTCGTGAAGTGAGGATCTCGTATGCTTACTGTACTTCCGCACTTTCTGTAATGGACCGCCAAATTCATTGCAGTCTATTATTTCGTGGCTCCTAAGCCCCTCAATGTGATTCAACGAGTGCTACACCACTATTTTCATTGCCAAATTGCACTTTTGGCTTGCTACCAGGCAGAAGCACTCTCTAGTAGGTCCTTATTGATAACTTGTCTACCCTTGGCAGAATTGTGGAGCTCTTAGCACGCTTGTTTATCTAACGGAACTTTCACAGTAGATCGAGGTTCGTTAAATGAGTTGTTATAACTGTAGTCAAATGTCAGGTATCTTTTGTTTCCTCAGCCTCCATTGATATTCTTCAGGATGCATCTCTCGCATGCGGCGCCCGTCAACAAACTTGCGTATGCAAGTTGGCCCAATGATTCATCAGCGCGCTCTCTTTTAGTTGCACATCAAAACATCGGCAACCTCTACCGACGACTGCCATCACATTTGCACTCTGTATGCAATCAGCGTCTATGGTAGCATCATGTTGCAAATGAATCCCCTTCATGGACTTTCACCCCAAGTACTAACACACTACAAGGACCACCAAGAGGGTGTATTGTCAACTTGGACATTGACAGTGCATTGCTCGATGACGGTGTCGGGGAATCTTTGACTAGCCGCGCTTTGGAGGTCAGGCCGCCCCCCACTCATTGAATACCATTAGTTGCGAAGCCTGTCTTGGTACGTGAGTTTGCAAGCTATTTAAACAAGGGTTGACGAACACAACAGATTAGGTATTGACGAGAACAAGCGAACTTAGCGAAGGCACGCAATCGGCTGCGATTATCACTGTCGTGCGGGTGACAGCTCCGTATCATGTTGTACAAAGCATGAACAGTCAGCTCGACCTATTCATGGAGTGTCCAGCATGGACGCTTGCTGAAGAGGAACACTTTTATCGCGCCTGTGTTGCATCAAATGATCAACTTGTCGCTCGCACCAAGAAAAGCACCTTTGAAGTCACATTTGTACAAATTTACGCATGTGCGGTCTATTTTTGCCCGATGACTGCTACTTTCCGATGATTCACACATCATTTGACTTCTTACAATTTTTCCCATATGCTTCCGAGTGGCCCTCCACCTTGCTTATTACTTCTCTTGACTGACACAACCACCAGTCTGTTCAAGGATACGTGCGCAGTACCAGGAGGTTAGGCTTTGCTGTCTTTCAGTCATCACCATACTGACATGCACATTCACATCCAGTATTGCCGCGCTACGCTGTGAGGTAAATCAACAGTACACCGGATACGCATAAATACTGCGTCGCACGACTGCCTTTCCATCACAATGCTCCCCCTCTTGAAACCACATGTACCCAGAGACTATGATCCAAAGGTTATAAACTTAATTTGCATGTCCATAATGTACTGACCATTCTGTCTCTTCCTCCCATGGCAACTTCTTCCAAACCGACAGAAGAAAATTGGCATCCATCCAGTCTTACATACGACGCACCAGGACTTTGATTCGATATTACCTGATGCGAAGTCCACTGCTGAGACTGGAGCCGATTTCTACGACCGCAGTCTGACGAGTCGCAGATATGTACTTGTCGGACTGGCATGCTCAAGTATCTTCAGTTGCTCATGCATCGTTGCAGGCATTGTCACTTTAGCCAATCACGGAGTCTCAGGAGTAGCGGTGGCCAATATGGTCGTCGTTGACACTAACCAAAACACGAATCAATTGAACATGCAGACGGGGATAGCGTTCCTGATACTGGACTTCATCGTCATGTTATGCACCGAATCCATAGGCTTCGTGCACGGCATCTCATTGCGCTCTGCACTAGCCTCAGAGTCTCGACTTCGTTTCAACACCAATCTGCGCCTGCTGAATGCAGCTCATGGATGGTATAACCCCAACGGCGCCCTGCTCAATTGTGTCTCGGCTGTCCTCCTCATTATATCCTATAGCTCAGCCACACTTTTCTTATGTGTCAACCTAAATCTACCAACATCGCCGCCATGGGCGCCTGCTGAGGGCCTTGCCATCGCAGGGTTACCTCTCCTCATTTTGGGCGTCGCACTCCTTCTCCAGGTGGTGATCGCATTGTCAGGCATGCGGGCTGTCAAAATATTGACGTGGAGCTCCTCGCCTTTTGACTTGACTGCCGCACTGGTCCATCACACGCGATTGGCCCCGGTTACTTTCCGGTGCATGCGTTGTGTGTCTGACCTAGACGCAGATGGAGGTCCAGCGAAGCCGTCAGAGACACAACCTTCTGCGTGGCATGCTCACCCCAGCATCCGAAAAGTTGTCATTTCTCTATGGGGGATCGTCGTAGCATGCGCTGGATGGGCCGCACTCGTCATGTATATCTGGCACAAGTACGCCGGTACGGGTACAATGTCTCCCTATGCGCTGACCACACAAATGTGGTCGTTCTTGCCCATGTACAGCATGCAGTCCAATTACATCAGGTATCTTATACCAGGTGCCAGTGTCACTATTCAGGTGTGGATTCTGCTCTTTGTCAACATGGCAGTTGTCCAGGGACCGTTGACACTTGGGCTGCATTGCTCTGAGCTCATCGCGAATGTCATTCGAGATGAAAGGCAGTGGAGACGCGCTACCGGAAGGAAAGGACTTAGAACGGCGACGAACCCGCTGAACTCGATTTTCACTCATCCGATCTGTCTAATACTTTTCGCCGCGAAGCCTTTCCTCCGTGAGTTATTCGCGTCTGATTTTTTTTCGGGGTTATTGAACACCATCATCGGCAATCACAGACTGGATGTTTGGGCTTTCGTTCGTGGTATCTCGCAACGCCATCGACGAGGAAGTGTACGCGTTGGCGGTAGTCATGCCCACTGCCCAGGTTTGCGCTTACTGTTCATGTAAAACCGCTACAACATCCTCACATACTCTTGCAGATCTGGAACTTATGTATCGCGCTCTTTGTATTTGCCTGTTTGTTCACTCTCGTCGCACTGCGCCGACCGCGTGGCCCCCAGCCGGCTGCATACGGCCACCTCCAGACGCTCGCGAACCTCGTGGACGAGTGGTCGCCTGTGATGTGGTGGGGACACAAAGAGGACCAGATCCCGTATTGTCATGCTGGTAGGGTATTCATATGGTTTTGGCGATGCTGCATTAACACTCTTAAAAGGGACGAGTGACCACCCCCTGCCGGATGTGAAGATGGATTGCATTTATGCTGGTTCAGGTGTTGGGTCTCTGCACCCGTCTCGTGAGAGGTACTTGATTTGCTTTTTCAAAGACATTTTTAATTTCTTTTTTGTAAACAGAGGAGCTACGTCATGATCAGTCGGGCTGACGATGCTGTGACAATACACACAACCAGCCACACCGTTCAACGAGATGTGCGAGTTTTATGCTGTCTGCCGCGTTGACAAATTGTAGATAGTTCGGGATGTCGTCTTATTATTCATACGAGGCATGCTTTTTAGCGGACACAATCAAGTCGACCTTCAAACAGTTGCCGAATTATTGTGATTTTGGTAGATGACAAGTCGTTTGGCTCACTCGTAAACTTATACTCGAGACTGTCCCACCCCGAAGTGAGCCCCATAACCTCGGATAACAATGTTTAACATGTGCTCATCAGAAACATTTTTACTCTAACGAGCATTCCCGCTCCAACCTTGGCTCAGGCTCGCGGCCCCGCCACTGAGGTGAAACGAAGCCTTCCTGAAAACCATGTCTCCGAGCACAGTATGATAAGATAACCAGTTTGACTGTCATCATGATGGTTTCGATTGGTTTTCGACTTGTGCGTAGAAAGTTAGCAAAATATATGTAGGTCAGACTAGGGGAGACTAGGCTCGTGCTCAAGCCACCTAGGAGTTTGTGGTACTACTTATACTTATGTGTCTACCGTCGCTCAAACTGTATACTTTGACCTCCCACCATGAGTTTTGTCATTGATTCCGTACGTACCACTTTTGTCGCTTGCTGCTTTAGAAGCTCTCGAAAATCTACCAACGGACTTTACGACCGCGCGCCCTTTCGACGAAACAACTTCACCAGCAAACTCTCGAAGCTTTCGCATAATTCGATTTTAAGGAACACAACATTAATATTCCAGTTCAAATATGCCTTGTATTTCTATTGGCCGCAAGACATGTCATACTCTGAGCTCAGAGCCCGTCCTACGTGAGTTTGCAAGCTACTAGTCTTGACGAATACAACAGACTAGGTAATGACGAGAGCAAAGCGGTTATTGGCATGCGAGTGTGACAGCTCCTGTACAAAAGAACTTGAAGAATAGTCAGCTCTAGCTATTAATATGGAGTCTTATGGAAGCCAATTGGTGAAGAGGGACAGGTTTATCGCGCCTGGGTTGCATCAATTGATCGACTTGTCGTTCGCACCAACGTAAGCATTTTTTTAAGTCACATTTGCACAAATCTACGCATACAAGTATGCGGTCTATCTTTGCCCGACATCTTTGCTACTTTCCGATGATTCACACCTCCAAGCACTTTCGGCATTCTAACATTGTTTCCCATAGGTTTCCGAGTGGCCCCATACTTGCTTATTGCTCTTCATTGACAGACATCGGCTAGTATGTGCAGTACAAGGAGGTTAGGCCTGACTGACTTTCAATCATCACCATCCTGACGTGTATACTTCATATTGCCGCGCTACGATGCGACGTAAATCAATTGTACACTGGACACGCTTAAATACCGCGTCGCACGACCGCACTTCCATCACGATGCTCCACCCATTGAAGTCACATGAACCCAGAGGCTATGGTCATGAGTAAAAGGTTATAAATTTAATCTGCATGTCCGTAATGTGCTGGCCCTTTTGTCTCTGCCTTTCATGACAGCTTCTTCCAAACATACAGAAGAAAATTGGCATCCATCCAGTCTTGCATATAACGCACTCCCGAATGGCCAGGGCTTTGACTCATTAATCTCTGATGCGAAGTCCACTGCTGGGAATATAACCGATTTCTACGACCGCAGCCTGACGAGTCGCAGATATGCTCTTGTTGGAGTGGCATGCTCAATTATCTTCAGTTGCTTATGCATCGTTGCAGGCATTGTCACTTTAGCCCATCACGGAGTCGGGGGAGTGACCGGGATAGATATGGCCACCGTTGTCAATCCTGTCACAATAACTCGGTTGAACTCGCAGATGAAGGCAATGGCCCTAATACTAAACTTAATCGTCACATTATGCACCGAGTCCATAGGCTTCGTACACGGCATCTCGTTGCGTTCTGCGCTAGCCTCAGAGTCTCGACTTCGTTTCAACACCAATCTGCGCCTTCTGACTGCAGCTCGTGGATGGTTCAATCCAAATGGCGCCGTGCTTAATGGTGTTTCGGCTGTCCTCCTCATTATATCATACAGCTCAACATCACTCATTGTATGTTTTGACACAAATGCAAATATGATGACGCAGATCGTAACCTCGGAGGGTGTTACCATCATAGGGTTACCTCTCCTCATTTTGGGCGTCACACTCCTTCTCCAGGCGGTGATCGCGTTGTCAGCGATGCGGGCTGTCAAAATATTGACGTGGAGCTCCTCGCCTTTTGACTTGACCGCCGCACTGGTCCACCATACGCGATTGACCCCAATTACCCTCCGGTGCATGCGTTGTGTGTCTGACCTAGACGCAGATGGAGGTCCAGCGAAGCCGTCAGAGACACAACCTTCTGCGTGGCATGCTCACCCCAGCATCCGAAAAGTTGTCATTTCTCTATGGGGGATCGTCGTAGCATGCGCTGGATGGGCCGCACTCGTCATGTATATCTGGCACAAGTACCACGCCGGCACGGGTCCAATGTCTCCCGTTGCGCTGACCACACAAACGTGGTCGTTCATCCCCATGCTTGGGACTTACAGCATGCAGTCCAATTACATCGTGTATACTATACCAGGTGTCACTATTCAGGTGTGGATTCTGCTCTTTGTCAACATGGCAGTTGTCCAGGGACCGTTGACACTTGGGCTGCATTGCTCGGAGCTTATCGCGAATGTCATTCGAGATGAAAGGCAGTGGAGACGCGCTACTGGAAGGAAAGGACTTAGAACGACGACGAACCCGCTGAACTCGATTTTCACTCATCCGATCTGCCTAGTACTTTTCGCCGCGAAGCCTTTCCTCCGTGAGTTATTCGCGTCTGATTTTTATCGGGGTTATTGAACACTATCATCGACAATCACAGACTGGATGTTTGGGCTTTCGTTCATGGTATCTCGCGGCGCCTTGAACGGGGAACTAATGGGTCTCTCGGTAGGCATGTTCACTGCCCAGGTTCGCACTTGCTGCCCATGTAAAACCGCTACAACATCCTCACATTCTTGCAGATCTGGAACTTATGTATCGCGCTGGCTGTGTTTGCCTGTTTGTTCACTCTCGTCGCACTGCGCCGACCGCGTGGCCCCCAGCCGGCTGCATATGGCCACGTGCAGACCATCGCGAACCTCGTAGACGAGTGGTCGCCTGTGATGTGGTGGGGACACAAAGAGGACGAGATCCCGTATTGTCATGCTGGTAGGGTATTCATATGGTATCGACGATGCTGCATTGACACTCTTAAAAGGGACGAGTGACCACCCCCTGCCGGATGTGAAGATGGATTGCATTTATGCTGGTTCCGGTGTCGGGTCTCTGGCATCCGTTTCGTGAGAGGTACTTGCTTTGCTTTTTCCAAAAACGTTTTTAAATGAATTCTCTAGCAAACAGAGCTATATATCGATGTACATAACTAGCTATGCTGTTGAATGAGACATGTGCAATTTTTATGCCGTCTGCTGCGTTATAGGTAGTCAGGGCTGTTCTTCTACCATTCATATCAGGCACATTTTTTTGGCGGACACACATTCAATTTAATCTTCAAAGAAATGGCGAGCCATTGTGATTGGTGAGGGATAGGTCAACCCGTCCAACTGATCCGCGAGACTATACTTTTGACCATTCTACCCCGATATGAGCACCAAGATGCCGGATTAAAATGTTTAACAGGTGTTCAGAGTAGCTAGTACAAAACATGTATTCTACTCGTACAATTAACACTAACCTACCCATTCTGAAATGAGCGAAAGAGCGAGAGCATAGACGATTGATGAGGATGTCCGCGACTGTGCGGCAGGGCATAGTGGGAAGATAGCGAGCTGCTGGAGGGTGCAGTCAGAGGTATGGGGATGGGTGCTATGAGGGTGCTGGAAGGTGTTGTTGGGTACTTGGAAGATACTAGAGGGCTGGTAGGGCGCAGTGGGTTGAAGAGTGTATAGTGGGAATGTAGCATTTGTGGATAATTCTTCCAGGGGCCATCTCGGCCAGTCATAGTCAGGTGGGATTAAAGATCTGTGCCCTTGGGTGATGTTAGTGTTCGAGACCTGCTTACAAGCAGCTTTTTCTGTTATTACGCCTCGCCCATTCACCCAATGCTCATGGACAGATATCCGTTTCAACTGGTCTTAAACACTAGTGAGTGCTTTAGCAAAGGTCTCGACAAAATCACAAACACAACACAGAGGGAATAAGCTCCTAGCTTTGACCACCACTCAACCTCAGTCAAGCTCTGAATTATTACATCCCATAAAAACAAGCTGTATATGCGTTGACCAGAAAACACACCAACAAGTTTGGGAGGTCCATTGCACCTATGTATCTTCTGCAGCAGCGTCCTTCTTTTTCTTCTTTTTCGACTTCGTCCCATCCTCACCATCCACTTCTGCATGCCGTCGCTTTCGCTTCTCTTCAACCGTGGGGGCCGCCTCTTCTTTGGGAGCGACGTATACCTCTGCCCTTTCTGCTCGTCGTTTGAGTGTTGCCTCAGCTTGCTGCAGATACAATGAGATTTGTTATTGACCACGAAATTAAAACCCACTTTTTGTTTTCTTTGTTGGACTTCCCGGGCCTCCCGCTCGTGGGGCTTGAGGAAGTACTCTCCGGACTCAAGTTGAAGGTCAACCTGGTCATAACGTCAGCATCAACCAAGATACAACGACAAAATAAATTACCTTCCGAGGCTGCTGCGGCGGGGGGAAGGGCGTGTACACTTTCTTTGCCGGTTTCTCCTTCTTGGTGGAACTCGATGCATCGAGACCTGCAGCCTTACGTGCTTCATCCTTAGCAGCGAGTTTCTCATTCTTCTTGCTCGTTTTCTCAGAGGTTTTCAGATGTTGTTTCCTGAATTTGGGCAGGAACCGGTCCCAGGACTCTGTTGCCAACTTGGGGTCCTTTGCAAGTTCCCTTCTTATCATGAGCTCCTGCAAATGCTTCAATATAGCCGCAGAAGGAACTAGGCTAGTCAACGTACCTTGATGCGGTAAATGGGGTGGATATTTTTCATGCAATCGAGAATTATTCGTCGCACTTCTTTTAGCGACTTGTACGGACCCATGACACTGACGGTATTTCCTTGTACAAGAACGTAGCACTGGGTCAATAACTCGATGGCCTGCAAAGAGTTAACGACAGGTGGAAAGTCGAAGGTATGTGATCCTCACCTTCAGTGTACTCCCATCCGGTCCAATGATTCGTTGTCTCCGTTTCACGAACCGGTCCTTATTACGAACCAGATTGCCAATTTTGATGATATCGCATGCGACATCGTCCTGTAATACCTTCTGAGCCTGAGTGATCGCAACCCCTCTTGCAAGCAGTTTAATTATGTCCCTTGCTTTCAGTATGATGTATGGATCGAAAGTTTTACGTGTCGTCCGGACGGACATAGAACCGTGAACCAAGTCCAACGTGCACGCAATACCCTAGATGCTAAGTCAATGGTGCGGTATGGCGCGAATTGATGTGATCACTCACATGTGGGTCCAGAATTTTGGTCACTGCACTCCAGACCTCTCTCAGGTACCTTTCCCTATACTTTGGGAAAAGTGTTGCGAAAGAAGATTCCTCGGTAAATACGCCGCCTTTGTTGTCATCTGGTTGAAATGAATCTATTTTCCACTAGAGTAGAGCTGAGCATGTATTGAGAGTACATATCATCGTGGTGCTTACACTGGAGAGGTACAGTGAGAATTGGTTTCAACTGATATACAGGTAATGCTCACTGGTCGATGTCATCGGTATCCCAAGCTGAAACACAAAGTTGCGTTCACGGATTGTGTTAAGGAAGATATAAAAACTTACGTTTTTCTTTGCGATGCCTTTTGTTTTTGTTGACGACGGGTTGTTCCTCCGAGGCAGCTGCCATCGTTGTAAGCAAAATATAATTGCTTGAAGCTGTCGCGGTAAGTAAGTCCTGATGAACCTGGCACAATCGGCCTAAAAATTACCCAATTTGGTAATAGGCGCGGCCCTCGTAATTCGGGTCTAGGCGACTACTAGGTTTGTTTTAAACGCCATGGACAACTTTCCTGACGGAGTATCCGCACCAGACCTTACTACATTGTCATATGATGAAACCGTTCCCTACGAATCACAACTTCCCACTCATCCATCCAATGATCCAGAACGAGCTACATTGCTCAACCGCATAGGGAATACCAGAGTGTACCTTCTCTCTGACACTGCCCAGGCAAGAATTGCCAAGGTGCGCTAATAGTATGTCAATTTCGGCTTTCAGAAAGCGAGCCTGACACGGGAGCCTGTATCCGCTTGACCCTGAAGCGCAAGCACACAGAGGAAGACGATGATGACGTAGATATGGAAGAAGGTGAAGACGGGTTTAGCTTCCGTGTTTGGCATGCGACTCACTAGCCGCTAGATACCGCTCTGACTCTGAGAGCAAATGCTCTGCTTCTCACTGGCACACCCATTTCCCACCTGCCTACCGCCCGCATCTTTGCATACGCTACCCATTTTGACACGCACCCCATGGGCCTTGAATGGCTCGACGATAATAGCTGCATTCTTGTTTACGAATCAACCGCATCTGCGCGTACCGCACACCGGTACCTACAAAAATCTGCTACAGAGGATATGGATACAGATGGCTTCATCACGGCAAAACCCATTCCAATCACACTGTGGCCTCCAGAAGAGCGAATAACCAAGAGCCTTGGGAAAGGCCAAGGACTAAAAGGTGTGATACGCATGCGTTGGGCTAAGGGCGATGACGTAAAGAAGAAGGGCGCAAAAAAGGAGAGCAAGTTCTATAAGAAGTATGGAGAAACCGCCGGGAAAGAGGGTGAGGGAGGGGAAGCATCGCAGAAGAGAAGAAGAAGAGATGATCCAACGGTACGAAACCGGTTAGACGATGATCTTGATGCGTTTCTTGGAGCCGATAGACCGTCCAAAATGCATTCCGACTATGTGGATGCTTCGCACAAAACTGCGGAGCGCACATCTTCTGCGCATTCCTCGGACCTAAAAAGTCGCATTTCTGCGCCATTGCCGCGCCGCGCGAGGGGTCAGCTTGCGGATAGACTAGCTGACCTACCAATTGACACTGAAGAAGACTGGCGCAGAGCGAGGGGTCGAGGGCGAAGAATTCCACGTCCACAAAAAACGCAACAAGACCTTGATGACGAGCTAGACGCTTTCTTGAATGAGAAAGAATAGCACTTTCGGAATTCTATGCATGGATCGTCTGTGGTACGCATATTTGGCTATTTCGCCCTCGATTCCCTACTAAGTCAATTCTTTCTTGAACTTCTTACTGCTCATCGCATATTTTGTAGCAGTTCCCAATGGTGTAAAATTAATCGTTTACATTGCGTATTGACTGCGTATAATTTATTCTGTTGCCACAGGGTTCGTGTGGAAAGAGTGTTCTGTGGCGTAGTGGTGCGCAGTCATAGCTTCCACCTGAACATTGCATATCGAATGCTAAACATGTTCAAACGAGCTCACTAGAAATGTCAGAGTGCTTCCGATCACAAGATCGTGCCCAACTGGTGTTCGGCGGATCCCGTCAGGATTTCAACTTGGTGCAGCGCCACCGTCCCTGTCGATGCAGTTGCATTCTTATTAATATGATTAATTGAACACGCAACTTGAACGAGCAAGATTCAGCTGCTCATCATGGACCACGATGTTGACGACGATACCTTGCGCGATCTGGAAGCGGGTCTATATCCTCAACGACGCCATACCCGAGATGCGTCTAACTCTGACTATTGGTTGACCAATATGAAGAACAGCTTTACACGACCCGCCCTTGGCATCTTTCAGAACCGAGTTTCAAGCCATCAGCATGCTATACCAGGTTACGCGGAAGATGACGACGACGTGCACGCGAACGACGAAGACCTGACAGGAATGAACATCATGTTCCAGATAGATAACCATTTGACCAAACTTGTCAATCATACGGATTGCAGCGAACAAACTGGAGTGTCTTGTGTTTCCCCACGCAATACCATGTCCCCCAATAATTTCTGTTTTTACTCGCCTATCGCATCGTTACCTTCTGCGACTTCAAGCAATACCCCTCCGCTCACTCCGGATGCTTCCGTTGGCATCCTGCATACCACATCGCCCGAGATCGCCGATACCCAGTCCAGCCTGTTGTTCTCTTCGCATATTACTCGCAAGACTCCAACACCGCCCCTAGAACCTGAGCATGTATGCCCTAATGATGAAGGAAAAATGCCGGAGAGTCCTCGAGTGAGCTGTACTATAATCCTTAAATCACGACTAATTCCTTATTTGTTGTTTCAACGAGTGCTTCGACAGTCGTAAAGCCGACATCACCTTGGATCCACTGCAAGATGCCCAGCCGCCACGGATAGATGATGGATTCGAGGAATGGTACTGGCTTGATTATGCGCTGAAACTCAGTCGCGGTGATCGTTGCTCCTCTGAAAGCGAGCACCGTTCCGCAGGAGAGCCTTCCTATGTACGTCGATCGCATATATGTGCATTTGTCGCCGTTCACACTGTCCCTTGGGTTTGAAAGAGTCGCAAGCCATTTATAACACTCCATCGATACGGAATGTTTCCTCCGTCCCATACAAAGGAAGACCAGGAACATCTCCACTGGAGACGGAAGCACAGACATCGTGACAGAGAAGAGGCTCGCCAGAGAAGACAAGCAATGGCCGACCTCAGATGATGTAATTTGGATTGATGCGGACGAAATCAGTACATTGTAGTGGGTGCGTCCGGTTCAGCGGTCAACGACCTTTACGTGGCTTCTATTCCAGAAGACGAACAGGTGTACTGATATTGACTTTGTAGTAATGAACCCGGATGAGGCTAGGCCGCTCTCGTTTGTCTGCGAGAACTAATGCCCATGCCTACACAGTATGACTCGGACTACGGAACAGTTTTATGGAATATCATATCCGAATATGACAATGTAGAAGTTTGTCCTAGCTCTGTTTCTTGTACTGCATGTGTTTGTAGAGTTCCCACTTGGGTTGAATCTTCCTTGATATGAACGCAGTGACTGACGGTGCCTGAGAAAGAAAAAAACAGCAAATCGATTGGGTATCGATGAAAAGGACGGTCGTGCATGAGCGCCATATAGAGTGGAGTACGACATAGGCGCGGTCTGCGCGATGCATACTACTTGACCCTTAGCACGAGGAGGATCACCGATCGGCAGCGCTGCATGATCTGTACGAACGGGCCTTGATTGGGTCGTAGATAAGCACTTCTAGCTGGGGGTGGTTCATACCGAGACGAAGCGCGTCCGAGCAGAGAGGAAGGCAGAGATAACGCCGCGCAGACACAGAAGCCCTCCTCGAAAATACCCGTGCGCCCTCATCGAAAGCACTTGCGCGTTCCCAAACGAAGGCTAAGCCCACAGATGCGCCGCGTGTGGAGATGAAATTTCTGTTTCATGGGTGGCTATCGTACTCTGGAACGATGCCGGTCCCTGTCTCCCCAATACAAGCGGGATGTGGGAGACTGCGAATAACTCTGCGTTCTCAACCGCCAATAAGACGATGTTCTCTTCTACCGGTGCTTCTTCGTCAAAGTTCTTCACTGAGCGCGGGTTGGAGGGCTGTAGAAGAGGTCATGTGCAGTTCCAATCCTAGATATTGTTGTTGACGATTGTTGTTCATTAAGCTTTTATGTAAGGCTTCTACTACAATTTCTAGTTATTTTCGGTTATTTTCTACAGTGAAGATGAAAACTCCTAAACCATCGTCAGATCCCCATTCATCTGACGAGCCTGACGAACGTCACCACGACTCAGAGCATGGTTCAGACAACGAAAGTTCGGCAGATGTAGACGAGGAGGAAGACCAAGGAATAAGCCAAGGAATGGATCTTGAGGGGTTCGCTGGGCCGAAGGTAGTCCAGCCTTTGACACCTGAAGCGCTAGCAAAATTCAATGCTGCGCAAGCTCGCACTGGCGTAATCTACATCTCACGGATACCTCCTGGTATGCGTCCTGCCAAAGTACGGCATCTAATGAGTGCCCATGGTGAAGTTGGAAGAGTGTATCTCCAACAAGAAGGTGCGCTTGCTCTTCACCATGCTATTGCTCGCTAATCTGATTTTTGTCAAGACGCCAAACGTGCATACCTCCGCCGAAAGTATACGTCCACCAAAAAGCCGCATTTCACCGAAGGCTGGGTGGAGTTCAAGGATAAAAAGGTCGCAAGATCTGTGGCTGAGATGCTAAACGCGCAGCCGATCGGCGGCAAGAAAGGGACCCGTTGGCGAGATGATGTGTGGACTATGAAGTACCTCCCCAAATTTAAATGGAACATGTTGACTGAGCAAATAGGTGTGTATTTTCTACTTCACGCATGAACATGCGAAAAACTCATTGCAACCCCAGCACATGAAGTTGCTATTCATACTGCTAAGCTACGTGTCGAGCTTGCGCAGTCAAAGACGGAACAACACGAATATCTCAGGAATGTAGAACTCGCACGAGTATTGGACAAGCGTAACGAAAAAAGAAAGGAAAAGGGTTTAGGGCCACTTGAGCTCAAGCGCCCGGCAGAGGGTAGTAAAGAGGAGGAGCCTAGGAAAAGATTGAAGCACACCGATGATACCCAGCTTGATAGTGTACTTGGTAGCATATTTTAGTTGGCTACTAGTACTACTTACTTCAAGCCAGTTGATTGTAAATGCTGAACGTTGCTCAATTAGTGCACGGGCCAGCCGGCGGCACGGAATAAATTTTAATCGGCGCGTGAATGGGGAAAGGAAGAGAACACGGTTGACGGAAGCAACGACTTGCATCGCGACATTGTCGACAAAGGTTTGAGTTGGTCAACTGGTAGCGGTTGGTCTCAAAAACTCACAGTCTCGCGATCCAAGAGGTCTGTCTGTCCTTCTACATCATGCTCGACTCTCTCCTCAAATCCCCATCCTTGCCGTGGAATATCGTCTCTGATTTCTCTCTCAGTTCTTACTTCTTAAGATATTATAATGTCTTCCTGGCCTGCTCCTGCTTACCCTCCGCCTCGTCGCTCGCGTTCTCGCTCCCCTCCTCGTGGTGGTCATCCTCGACCACCATATCCAGACACTGGGTATCCTCCGGACCAGTACAGAGGTAGCTGGGATCCACATGAGAGGGATAGGGAGAGAGCATGGGTCGAGTATGAACGAGATAGAACTTCACATGATTTTACTCGTCGCAGAAGCCGTAGTCCACCACCGGACGATAGTGCGAAAAACTCTTTGTACTTCAGTTCATGACAGCATATTGACCATCCATTTTGTACAGGCAGAAAACGTCGCAGGTCCGTTTCACCTTACGACAGGGAAAGAGAGCGATATGATCCACGCCCGCGTTACGGCGATGATTATGGTGTTTCGGCTTCGTTAAATGGTTTTCTCATTTCTGACCTAGACCTAGATGCGCATTCGCGGGTATACAGCTACAGGTCTCCTCCTAGAACTCAATTTGCGCCCCCGTATCCCCCCCGCAGGGCGCCCGCAGACCCACGCACACTCGACCATCCAGCAACCCTGAAGCAATATGCTGAATGGTTTAGATACGCATTCCCTCAACAAGCTGCCGACGAGGATACTGCCGACAAGGCAGCAGAGCAAGAAGCCGGCGATGGTTCGAAGCCTCGCAATGGCATTCGCTCTCGTTGGGAGAAATACAAGAAGGATTTCGTTGCAACCCAGGTTAGTCGTTGTCAATCTCTCAAGCGTAGTATGTGTACTGCGTGGCATACCGTGTCCTTTGCCGTCATGAATGTTGTGAAGCAGCAGCTGAACGTCTTTTGTTATGTATGTAGTTGCAGACCATGTTTGATCACCATAGGAAGTCCCCGTGGTTTGCAGAGAAGTATGACCCAGCTATGGAGTTGGTTGCTCTACGCCGTCGTGTTCGAAAGGAAGGTTGGAGAGGGCGATTAAACACGTTTCTGCTAGACCTCGAGTCGGGCAAGTTTGATCCTGACTTGAGCGAGCCTGAAACAGACACAACTTCTCCCGTTAAGGAGATAATCGAGGCTGGTGAGGATGCGAAGACCGGTGGCGATGATGACATGCAGTTTAACCTCGACGCTGAGGACGACGCTGGTGAACAGGAGCCCAGCCGTGCTGAGGCCAACGGGAAAACTGTAAATGACAACAAGCGCAATAATCGTGGCGAAGAGATTGCCGTCGCTCCGGAGGGCAACCAGGTCATGATCCGGACTATTCCGCCTGATATTGGTCGTGTGAAGCTGGAGGAGGTACGTGCGGTCGTTCTATGTGATTATAAGAGCTCAAAGTACTTTGCAGGCATGTAGTAAGGTGCCAGGATACATGTACCTAGCACTCGGCGATCCTCTTCAGAAACGCAACTACTATCGCGCTGGGTGGATCAGATTCTGTGACGATGCTGATATGACAGTTGTAATGACTGAGTTGACTGATAAAAAGGTGACGATCTTTGTGTTCCGTACCGCGTGGATTTCGTTAACGTGACACGATAGATTGAAGGCTTCAAGCTTCATGTTGCTCACACTGTTAAGCCCTTTGTAAACAGAATTCGCTATGTCCCAGAAGTCGCCAGCAAGCCAGACCGCATCGAGAAAGACCTTGCGAACGCAAAGCTCTTGGCCTCTATTTTAGAGGAAGAGGCTGCAGCACTACGCCAATTTAATCCAGCAGGGCATGAGTCCTCGGCAACCAACGGAGATGCAAAACCCGTGGATGCTGTGATGAGTGATGCACATGCAGACCATGAGGATGATCCGGAACCAAAAGAATCCGGATCTGAGGCTATAGAACGGAGGATAGAGAAGATTATGGCAGACCTTCGCGACCAGGGAGTGGATGATGAAAAAGTCATGGAGGCGAAGAAAGTATGTCTGATCTGATGCGCGCTACTTGGTGGTTGCTAACGTTTATTCTCTTGGCTTTTTTTAGGCTGTTATCTCCCTGGACTTATATCTTGCCTACCTTCGGGGAGCGTTTCACGCATGCTACTACTGCGCTGTTGTTACCGATCATCTTGAAGAATTGCAGCGTAAGTGCTTACAGCACGTGAGGAAGCCTCTGTCCAAGTCACTGCTTGAGGAGGTAAAGGCTGCTGAGGCTGAGAAAGAAAAAAAGGAAAGGGATGATGAGAAAGAAAGTGATGCACCTTTACCCCCTAAGCCAACCGAGAGCAGAGACTGGAAGCGCAATGGTAAGCTTTCGGCATTTTTCAAAGTCAGTTTGGCTGATTACGTTGAACAGATGAGCGCTGGTTGGAGTGGTTTGACAGCAAGATTGCGCTGCTGATCAATCGCAACGACCTAGACCCACGTGAATATGGTGGCAAGAGTTACGACGAGTGCGTGTCTATTTTGATCTCAGATTACTGGAAATGTCATTCTCGTTGCAGGGAGCTGAGCAAAGCAGTTGAGCAATTCATCAAGCAGGAAGATGAGGGCAGGTTCCGGTGCAAGACTTGCCAGAAGCTATTCAAGGCTACCTCGTTTGTTGAGAAGCATGTCGCGAACAAGCACCCTGAGCTCGTGAAGCAGCTCGACGAGGTATGCATGTTTAATCTCATCTTCATTCGGCATCTCACGGTCGCCGGATTTTCAGGTCCCTTACTTCAATAACTTCGCGCTGGACCCACATAGAATCCAGCCGTTCACACACCCACCTCCTATCACCGGGAACAGCCAGCCTCCCCCCCAAGCGTTCGGCATTCAAGGACACGCGGTGGTCTACCCGCCTCCCGATTTTGGCCGACCGAATCCATATCTTACTTATCCTGCTGCGTTCCCTCCACCACCACCCTATGGAAATAATGGTCACTGGGATCATTTCGGATATCAATACGGGCCTCCAGGGTTGTTTCCTGCTCCTCCGCCTCTCCGAAGGGATGAAGCAACCACTGCTCGCAGGCTGAGTGATCGTATCAGCGGCTATGCCCCCAATCTGGAGCAGCCGATGGAAGTTACAATTCCCGCAAATGCTGGACTTCCCGCCAAGCCGCAAGTTACTATGGACCTTGGCCAGCCTGCGGCGGACATTAGCAGGAAAGTTCGCCGAGGAGGAGCTACGAACTCAGGTCCACCGCCCCCTCCGCCACCCGATGCGAAGGAAGATCCCAGGGCTGCTGGGGGCAAGAAAGTCAGCTACCACGACATGGACTCGGTTGCTGAAGGAGATGTCGAGTTGACTTACTGATGTGATGATACATACGTGATATAACTTTTCTGCGGTTCGCAATATATTTTGGTGATTATGTCGCATGTTGGAAGCGCCGAGGAGGTATTCAAATATTCATGCACTGGATAGAGCATGGCATGGCAAGTATAATAATGAGAGATCGTAAAACAAATTGGACAGCCAAAAAAGGGTGAGCTCAAAAAGGACGAGTGTTGCGGTCAGTGTAGCAGTGTGTAGCACTCCTCCCTGGCCCTCACCTGTCCCCGGCTTATTAACTCCCTTCTCCTGTTAACCACCTATTTCTGTGCCCCTTCTGCATAGTCCCGTTCGAAACTTGGACTACAACGTCGGGTATTGCCGCACAACTCCTGACTCTACGGCACCGTGATCATCAATGAGTGGAGCCAAACCTATTCTTGCTCATCGTCTACCGGTGTCCGTTCTTGTCAATGAAGAAGGACTGATAGCGCCAGAAGCCATTGGCCCGAGCAAGTTTGCGGTAACATGGCCTGCAGAACCTCCGCCGCCTGTACTTCCACCTCTTGCACAAGCTGCAGAGCGCCAAGTTGTCCTCAGTTCATCTGACGGGGAATCTGATTTTTCAGAGAAAGATTTCTCCTCGTTGGGAGAGAAGCAATCGCCGGCCGAGCTTTCAGACGAATTCGAAAATTCATTGAGCCACCGCTTCCGGCCTCAGCAAGTCGCTCCTCACCACCACGATGAAAACCCGATTATTCCACGGCTTTCTCGTGCAACCTCCATGCCTCTGCCATCACAGCTAGAACATCTCAAAAATCCCCGCAGGACCGCGCCTACTTCGCCTGAAAAGCCAAGCCAACCCCTCCCCACAGATGCCAACTCTGAATCCTCTCGGTTCCACGAGCTTTCGTTAGAACTCGCGGACTCTGTTCAGATGGTTGTTCAAACGCTTTTACAGGTCTCACCAACACAAATCCTCGATCCCGCAAAAGAGCAATTTGCTGCTTGCTCCCTCTCAGTCCCCACCGCCTGCATGTCTGCTGTGTTCACGACAATGAAGAACCTCAATTACATCTCTGCGAATATGCCAGATCTATGTGCTGACACGTTCCATTCTGCTCAATCCAGCAATTCTACTTCGCCATCCCGCCGATTGACTTTGCCTGGACCACCTGTCACTGCGGCCACTGACTTCGATGTTGCGGAGATGCTACAAGGAGTTGGAGATGCATCGAGTGGGAGGGCTGCTGAAGTTGGCGTAGATCTGGTATTATTCCATAGCGACGTAGGGATGAGGCATATTGCTGTCAAGGGGGTAGAGTGTGGAATATCTAATGTGCTAACACATGTGAGTTGGCGCGTCACCGTTCAAGTCTCAGTCTCACATTGTACAGGTCGTCCGTCAAATCATCAACACTGCACGCCGTGGCGACTCCATTGATTTGGGCCTTAGTATCGCTTCGTCGAGCTTTTTTGGCTCAAATATGTCGCCTTCCATGGAGAGACCAAGTTCGACAGCCAGCGGCGTCTCTTCACCCGTCCCCACGGATGAAGATGAAACCTTGTACTGCACGTTCGAAATACATCACCGTTTTCACTTGCTGGATGTGCCAATGGATGTCACGACGCCTACCGGCACAAACCCCTCTGGCGTTCCAGAGCGCCCAGAGCCGAACTTTGATTCGATGTTGTTCCGAAGGCTACTTTTTCGATGCGGCGCGTCACTTTCCTCCGAGGTCCCTGATGACATAATGTCAAGAAGGACTTACGAAGTCAAACTCGAACTTCAGCGTGGTTCGCCAGATGCGATTACTGCCAAATCCTCTGCAATGTCTGAACAATCTACCGCGCTCCTTAGTGGGGTTCGGTTAGGAACGGAGCCGTCTCTCGAAGAGCTTGCTCAATTCGCTGAAACTTTGCGCGGGAAGAAGGTTACCTTGTATGCAAGCACCGCAAGCTCATTTGCACACCACCTGACGAGTTATCTCACTGCTTGGGGGTTGGATGTCAGTCACATCTCGTCTGAGGCTGATGTAGAGGGCAGTACAGGCTCCAATGAAGCTCCTACCCCATCAAGCCGGGAGCGTGGGTCACAGGAGCCTCGGGCCTCATCCGCGAACGGTACCCCACGCTCAGCTCCGTCGTTATCATTTGTAATGATTGATGACGATGTCTCTGTCCTTCGGGAGAGGTTGCGCAAGTACAGGGCAGAGCAGCCAATACCTCTCAGCCTTCACTCTCGAAAACGACCGTCTTTAGCTGCTCACCACCGCCCAAAGTCGTCACCACAAGTAGCCCGTACTCTAGGCTTCGGATCACAGGCCCTACCTCAACAAATCCCAATAGTAATCGTTCACTTCACCAGCCTATCCAATTACAAGCTGGTCAAGGAAGTCGTACAATGCGATCTCGCTTCCCACTCCTATACATCATGTCCACCCGAAGTCATGATTATTCCTAAGCCCGCGGGTCCACGCAGGTTCCTCACTGCGCTCCACACTGCTGTCACTAAGCCCATCGTAGATCCCTTCTTTGCCCCAATTGCTACATCACCACTGAGCCCTGGTTTGCACAACTCCCCCTTCTTTAATGTAGCTCAGCCCAGCCCAAAATCCCCTTCTTCTCGCCCATCAAATTCAACACGGTCCAACTCTGAGCGCTCTGCTCGATCCGCAAGGGACAGTACAAGTGAACACCACTCACACGCACCTCCATCACCCCTCGGTCTCGCGGATAACATGGAATACTTCCCTGAAACTCAGAGCCCTGTAAGGCTTGGTCAGACGCCATCCTCCGGCCTTGTTATTTCGAGCCCCGACGGACAGCCTGCAGGCATCATCTTCCAGCCGCGTGCAAAATCTACGAAGCCTATCACACCCTCACCCAATAGTGTTGCAGTCGATCGGGATAAACCGCAGTTTCTATTGCCCAATTCCGATCGGCTACGGGGCACATCCCGCCGTCTATCCGACGGTGAACAGAAGAAGCAAGGTCAATCACCGCTCTCATTTGCGGCGTTGCACTCCAATGTATTGGGGGGTGCATCTCCCCCTCGGCGAGAAACATCTCCCATCGAGGGTTTTGCCCCGATTTCTACTACTCCTAAAGGAAAGGCAAAACGAGCGACTTCCCCCAAGGCCGATGAACTTGCCCCTCCATCACCGATATCTCCCCCATCGCGTAACGCAAGCACCGTTGATCTAAGGAAAATTTCTTCCCCTCCAAGTTCTCCAACAGTGCCGGACCCTCAACCCAGTGTGCCCGCACGAAGACCGGGAAGGCGGGCAACCCATGATACGAAACCTTCAACACCCACCACTGTGCCAGGGAAGGCAGGCAAGGGTCAACCTGACTCAAGTATCATCCCTCCGATTAGCGTGCTCATCGTTGATGGTATGGACTTCAAATCCTTATCGCACTTCCCGCTAATCGGTTGGACCAGATAATCCAATCAATCAGACTATTCTGTCAACCTTCATGAGGAGGAAGAAGATCAAGTATGATGTGGCCAAGAACGGAGAAGAAGCGGTGCAGAAGTGGCAAAATGGCGGTTTCCACTTGATATTGGTATGATGTTCCCTCGTACGACAATCCCATCAAGCTGATTTGTTATCACAGATGGATATTCAAATGCCTGTTATGGACGGCATCCAGGCGACTAAGGAGATTAGAAGACTTGAAAGTTTGACAGCTGCTTCAGGCTACACCCCTGGAACTCCGCTATCAGACACTCCTTCAGAAGGAGCGTTCTCCGAGTCTCGTGCTTCTGCATCGCCCTACCGTTCTGCCGTCATTATCGTAGCTCTCACGGCCTCATCACTCCAGAGCGACAGAGTGGCAGCCCTTGCGGCAGGATGCAACGATTTCCTGACCAAACCCGTGTCTTTGGAGTGGCTAAACAATAAGATCATCGAGTGGGGGTCGATCAAGGCTCTACAGATGTGGGCTGACCTGCGGCCGGAGGTAGTGAAAACTATCTCGACCGAGCAGACGGCTCAAGCCCAACTTGTGGCTCGTCGGCTGCACGTTCCCGAGGGTCGAACGACCCCAATTGGCTCTCAAAGCAGATCGTCATCAAAAGCCAGAGGGGACAAAGGCGATCCCCCTGTTGAACCTGATTCTGACCTTGCTGCTAAACTCGCGGACCCGAAAAGAGAGGACAAGCCACCCTCGAAACCGGCAAATGACTTGCCCGATAATGATTCCCCCGGATCATCACCTTCTTCTGAATCTTCTGATTCCTTCGAGCAATCTAGTAAGCTCAACCTTCTTTTTTTTTCCTTTCTTTCACTTAGATCGGCGATTTCAGGAGAGAACTCCGCATCGCTCCCTGGTGCGCTGTCTGAAAAAACATTTGAAAAACAACATTAATTATTTTATAGCCGCTCATAATCATGACACGGATGATGCGGTCACCCAATCTGAATCTACGGCTGCCAAGGATGCGCACGCGCGCACAGGTATTTTATTCCCACCTGGAATGACGGTAGACTTAGCTAAACATGATTCACAAGATGTGGAGGAATGCCATGAAAGCTCGTCGGAAACGTCATATGCGACTGCAAGTGAAACGTCAACAAATGCTTCCGAATTCCAAGATGCGCCGACATCACCTCAATGACTGCGTTGGGCGACCTTTGGAAGCTTTGCGAGGCTGGCCGCGCCTATGGTCTTACCATTATATCTGAAGGTCGCCGCGTTCTTCCGGAAATATTTTTAATGAATCATATACCTTGTAAATTTTTTCTCCGTTGGTGTTGATCACTTTTCATGCTTCATCTTGGGTTTTATGGGGCCTGGCATACGTCTGAGTGACTGACACTACTGGGTTATAGTACGGTTATGACACATCAATGTGTCTGGATGGACATTGGTAGCTAGTAAACAGAACGATCTTCTCACCATGGGCAATAGAGTGATTCGGAAGATGCCTGAATTTGACAAGTTGCGGGAATTGGGTGAAGGTGTGCCATGCCACTGCCATGTGTGTACATGCCTAGCTGGAGTGTATTTGAGAGTAAAGACTTTGTCAAGGTTAAATCAGGGGTGGGTGAGCGCAGTCAGGTTCGCGGAAGGATGAGATGAATTTGCTATACGCGGTCAACGACGATCAGAACACTTGTAGGTTCGATGACTCAAGATCAGTTTGTAGGTGGCCCAAACAAAAGTTCGGCTTCTCGGCACTTTAAGAAATCAGCCTAAACATACCATTTTCGGCATTCCCCGTACCGGAGGTTTCTTTCGTACTCCGCGTGGCCGACTTAGTGAGAGGATTTGGGTGAGGTCTCCCAACACCTCATTTCTCTACACCAAAGTCCGTCTTTTTTGCAAGCGGACGAGTTCCTTTCCCTTTTTCTTCTCATCGTTCACCGCAACGATGAACACTATGCATGACTCCCACAAGAGAACTTCCATCAGTCAGCTTCTCAATCCATCATCCGACTCCTCAGTCTACTCCCATGCTACTCATCTTCCATCTCCAGTCGCTGTTTCTCAGTACCAACATCCTCCCCACCAGCAACAGCCAAACTATAATCAGTCAATAGAGTCTGCTTCTTCTTTCCATCTGCGAGCCGCAAGCTGGGAGCCTAGCGACGACCAGTCTGTACCTAAACGTAGAATTGACAATGGTCCAGGTTTAGCTCGCCCATATCCAATGCCAACCCATCCTCACATGCACGGTGAACCTAACGGTGACATGGTACCTCGCCAGGGCAGATCAAGGATGGATGACGCCGCAAATTACGCAATGCCAGCGAATTCTTGGCCATCACAAGCAGACATGCCAAATCCTCCATATGGATCTCCCGTCGTTGCACCCATGTACTCAGATGAACGAACAGGTAAGTAAGCATGCGTGATGCACGTGAATTCACATTCAAGTCCTTTGTCTACCCCAGCCTTATCGGGCGACTATCCACCGAACAGTTAGCTTGCTGTTCGTTGACTCATGTGACTGCGCCACTGACTTGACGTTTAGCTCAGTTCCATCCATCACAAAATTTCCATCCTCAACAATTACCACCAGGGCACCCCGCTTCATGTAACTATCATCTCTTGATCATCCCTGGTCTCATTTCTCAATTTACACCGATCCTAAGCCTTGCAGCATGCTGAAAGAGCTTCTGTTCGTATAGCAGCCCGCTTCGCTGGTCCCATGCCAGGGCAGCCCATGTATGAGATGCCCATGCATCCACCAGGAATTTTTCTGTATCATGCACCTCCACTTCCGCCACAAAAGCGTCCTTCGACCGAAGATGGGGACCAGGCGCCGAAGGCTAAGAAGCCTAAAACCAAAGCAAAGACTACGGAAGGAAATGGTACACTCTCGCATTGCATCTCATATTTTTTTAATTTTTTCAATGGCTGATGATATACCCAAGGTTCATCCAAGCGGGGTTATAACGCTAAGAAGCGCAGTGAGGCTGCACAAATTGCAGCCCAAAATGGTCAGTTGATGCATGGGTAGAATCACGGTTGCTAACTACCTTGTAGCCCAGTTGATGCCGACGGTTTCTTACGCGTCTCCCCCTACCGACAAGGGCAAAGAGAAAACAGCAGAGGGTAAGCCGCTATTTCCGATCACATCCACCAGATTTTGACGTTCAAAAAGCTCCCATGCGTATTGTCACGGGCGATCATGGACAAAACACCGATGCTGCAGCTCAGCTGCACCCCGAATTACAATTCGCTCGGTGCATGTCAAATCGATATAGATCTGAACAGTTCCCACGCTGTGTGTCGTGCACGCGCCGCTGGGCCGGTGACACATGCAGATTCCAGGGCATACGATTTTTCTTGAAAGACAATCAGAGAAATATTGTTGGTGTCAGCTTCGTTGAGAACCAGCGACCTGACGCTCCAAGCATGAATTTTCCCGTGAGCTGGAATGTCTCGCTGACGTCCACGCACATACGACGAACGAAAGTGAGAAATGCTCTGTTATGAGTTTTGGTGAAATATCGAGCCTGACCATTTGAGTAATTAGAGGACGATAGCAGAGGCACTTCTTCCAACGCTTCTTCAAGAGCTGCAACACTTGAACTACCCAGAGATCATCCGGAGGACCCGAGAAAGCGAAGTGCGCGCCACTTGCGGTCAGTGTTACATGGCATTTTGTTCTTTGTATTCGCCTAATAAGTTTTATACAGATACCTGTATGACCTCGATTTTCTCCAGCAGTTGGATGTGCCGATTATGTGGCAGAGAAGCATGTGCGGAATGTTTTGAACAAGTGAAGGATCTCACCGAAGATAAACCTGGTGCAAGCCAGGGTGAGATTGCCGCTCTCCAGGCACGCCGAGAGAAACATGCTCATAGCAACCCATTTTTCTTGTCTTGCACCCGGCGGAACGAGCACCACGCGAAGGACTTTTCACCGATGTCACGCTTTTGTAAGGCGGAGCTTGCACAGGCGATCAAGGATATGGAAGTCATGCTTCAGGAGCCGGATAATGACGCACTTCCTGTCGTCGGAGCAATAGACCCATCGCTACAGGTGGGACAAGTACAAGCAAACGGGAATTCTTCATCTTCTGCCCAGGCCGCAGATTTGCAGATCGGTGGCGAGACATCTACAACAGTGGCAGAGGCGTCAATCCCTTCTGCTCCCTACAGCGGCCCATCACAAGATAGCGTCTTCCATTCGGAATCTGCGCCAGTAACTGCCTCGTCTGCTCCACAGGTCGCCGAGCAACCATCGTCAGCCCCCGCAGTGCCACCGTCTGCTGATCAGAATTCTCCTCCGCCAAATGAAATACCTTCACATCCCACCACCACCATTGCGGATTCGCAGCTTACGGAGGAAGTTTTCCGCCCGTTGTGGGCTAAAGGTGACCCTATTGTGGTCACCGAGTTGCTGCCCAAGTTCCAAATTCAGTGGACGCCCGAGTATTTTGTACAGAAGTACAACTCTCAGAGCTGTCTTATCTTGGAGTGCCAGAGTGATGTAAATAAACGCGTGACGGTAGGCGAATTCTTTTCGTGGTTCGGAAAATACGAAGGGCGAGTGGAATGCTGGAAGCTCAAGGTGTGTGTATCATGAGTGTGGTTTCTGACAAACGCTCAAGGCGTATCTCTAGGATTGGCCACCATCAACGGATTTCAAGACCGCGTTTCCTGAACTTTTTGAGGATTTCAGTCGGGCTGTTCCTGTGCCCAATTATGTTCGTCGGGATGGTACCCTCAACATTGCCTCGCATTTCCCCAGCAATACGGTTGCACCGGATTTGGGTAAGTATCACGATGATCATGAACAGAGATCAGCTGCTCATTGGTGTTACATTGCAGGACCCAAGATGTATAATGCGATGTCGTCGTTTGAGTCGGCAGGCAGCAAGGGATCGACGAGACTTCACATGGACATGGCCGATGCCGTAAATATCATGACGTACGCGTCTACTTCGCCAGATGGTAAACCAGGTTGCGCAGTATGGGACCTCTTTCGCGCCCAAGATGCAGAGAAACTGCGTAATTTCCTTCGGAGGAAGTTCAAGGGCTCATACCAACACGATCCGATCCACTCACAGCAGTTCTACCTGGATAGCCAGCTACGGAAAGAGTTGTATGATATGCATGGTATCAAGAGCCATCGGGTTTATCAGAGACCAGGAGAAGCTATATTCATTCCAGCTGGTTGCGCTCATCAGGTTTCATCATTTACCTCTTTCCTGTTCTCCGGCGCTGATGTTTTGCAACGCAGGTATGCAATCTCGCGGACTGTATCAAAGTCGCAGTCGATTTTGTCAGCCCCGAGAACATTGCGCGCTGTGAGAAGTTAACACGCGAATTCCGGGAGCAAAACCAATCGATGGCGTGGAAGGAGGACGTTCTTCAACTTCGTACTATGATGTGGTTCGCATGGCTTTCGTGCTGTCGGCAAGAGAAAGAGATGAACGAGCCTTGATGCTTTGAAGATCCATGTGGAGGTTCCTTTCCTTTCGGTGACATTTTGTATGATAGAGAGGTTTTAGTATTGTATGGGGGAAACCCAATTAATCGGTCGACGTCAATGTGTGCTTTCTATTCTCGATTTGCTTTCTTGTATATGCAATAATTTTAGTCCTTCGTGTTATCTGCGCCTGGATCCGATAACTGCGGGAACGGTTGTCTCCGAGTGTTATCAGCAGTGCACTGCTTCGGACTTTCACTCCTCGGTCTTACTACTATCACGTGCGGTGTGCTTCTCTGATAGCAGACTTGCCAGTGCCAGGGTCGATGTGGAAATTGGCGCTTCATTTGAGCTGAAGTTAGCCTCCCAAGACACATTTTGCCAGTGTAATACTGGTGTGTTCGATTCCAGCTTAGACTTATGCGACGTTCAACTCCTAGACAAGTCACTGGCACGATCACGGTACCAAGGTCGAGCCTATCATTCTAATAGTAGTACTGGGACGGTGACCCAGCCCCTGGCGTACCGATGATGCATAGGGAGGCTAAGGAAGCACTCGGACGCAGAAGTCGATGCATTCATATTGATGCATGTTGTATGATCATGTCCTGGCTCCTCCTGGCTCCAACCAAATTTCCTTTGCAAGTTACATGAATACACACGGCTTATCTTGGCGCAGAATAATTTTTAGCTTGGGTTTTATAATGCGCTACTACTAGTAAGCGCTCGCCCACCCTTCTTCGCCTCTCATGGCAGCTTTCTCCAAACCGACAGAACAAGATTGGCGTCCATCCGTCCGTCTTGCGTATGACCCACTCCCGAATCGCCAGGATGACTTTGGTTCCGTGACGTCTGACCCAAAGTCCACCCCTGGAACCGATTTCTATGACCGCAGCCTGACAAGTCGCAGATATGCCCTTGTTGGACTCGCATGCTCGAGTGTTGTCGGCTGCTTTTGCATCATTTCAGCCATTGTCATTATGGTTGGTTACGGCGCAGTCGACGGAGCGGCTCAAAAGACACTAAGCAGCAACCTGCACAAAGATATACTGGTCCTGATGCTAAACTTAATCGTCACAATATGCACCGAGTCCACAGGCTTCGTGCACAGCCTCTCATTGCGCTCTGCACTAGCATCAGAGTCCCGACTTCGTTTCAACTCTAATCTGCGCCTCCTGACTGCAGCTCGCGGATGGAGAAACCCAAACGGTTCACTACTTAACAGCGTCATGGCTCTCCTCCTCGTTATATCCTACAGCTCGGCCTTACTCGTCATAATCACTCTCAACTACTACACTCACTGGTCGACAGGAGAGATTACCGTCTCCATCGCAGGGTTACCTCTCCTCCTTTTGGGTGTTGCACTTCTCCTTCAGGCGGTGATCGCACTGTCAGGGATGCGCACTGTCAAAATATTGACATGGAGCTCCTCACCTTTCGACTTAACCGCCGCTCTGGTCCACCACACGCAATTGACCTCGGTCCCTTTCCGGTGCATGCGTGGCGTGTCCGACCTGAACGCAGAAGCAGGGCCAGTGAAACCGTCAGAGACACAGCCCTCCGCGTGGCAGGCTCACCCTAGCATCCGGAAAGTCATCATTTCTCTCTGGGGGCTCGTTCTAGCATGTGCTGGATATGCCATGCTCATCATGTACATATCAAACAAGTATAACGGCGGCATGGAACCCACCCCTGCGCTAACCATGGGATCATGGTCATTCTTCCCCAGCGAACAGTCCAATGCTGTCGTGTATTACCTTCCATTTTGGGGGCCGGCGTGGATGATTTTGTTTGTCAACCTGGCACTTGTCCAGGGATCGATAACACTCGGGCTGCATTGCTCGGAACTCATCGTGAATGTCATTCAAGATGAAAGACGGTGGAGATGTGCTACTGGAAGGAAAGGACTCAAAACGGCGACGAACCCACTGAAGTCGATTTTCACTAATCCGCTTAATCTTGTACTTTTCATCACAAAGCCTGCGCTCCGTGAGTCATTTGCGTCTAAGTTTTGATCGGGTTTCTTGAACAAGATTATTCACGATTTAGACTGGATATTTGGGCTGTCATTCACTCTGTTTGGCACCGCGGGTACAAAGACGCTGGAAACGGTCAGGATATTCATGTTTACAGCCCAGGTTCGCATTTACTGTCAAGCACACCGCTGCCCCATCCTCACACACTCTGCAGATCTGGAACTTATGTATAACACTGTTTATATTTGCCAGTTTCTTCACTCTCGTCGTAATGTTTCGACCGCGCGGCCCCCAGCCGGCTGCATATGGCCACCTCCAGACGCTCGCCAACCTGGTGGACGAGTGGTCACCAGTGATGTGGTGGGGTCACAAGGAAGACCAATCCCCGTACTGCCATGCTGGTAGGGTGTTTGTATCGTCACGATGATGTTCGTTGACGCCTTTCAATAGGAACCAGTGATCACCCGCTGCCGGCTGTCAATATGGACTGTGTTTATGCTGGCCCCGGCGTCGGGTCTCGTCCTTCTGTCTCATCGGAAATATTTGTAAACGGAGAAGCTACAACCATGCTGGCAGTCGGGCCGGTGACACATTAACGGTGCGGACAACCAGCTGCGCCGTCAAACGAGATAGATGTTTATGCTGTTTGGCGCCTGCTGATTCGGCTCGCAATGTTCTTTTCTGGACAAATCTTCTGACTGAGAGTTCTTCGTCGCACGTTGTAACGGAAATTCGGACACTCAAGCGTATTTGAGAAATTATGGTCCAGATGACTTGAAACCCCTGGAACCAAAATACTCAGTAAATTCTTTTCCCCCTCCATTAGCTCTATTCAAGTACGGGACTCGGCTGAGTTGTGGCACGTGATCTCTGATTCGGCTTGGATCACGGGATTTGCCTAACAAAGCATGCACAGCCACTGAAGTGGCTGCAGAGCTAACTGCAGCGTCGCATGCATACTAAGTACGTGCCACTTACCGTTTCCCGTCACTGAAAATGTCGGAGTTCGTCCCTGTTGCACAAATCCAAATGGCGTATGTCGGCAAGCCAGATCTATGATCAATGCGACGTCTGTTTGTACCCCAGAAACAAAAGCCTCACTGTGGAAGTCGGCCACAGGCAGTGGCTCGTTATTTCTCCCAACCACATATATAAGAGAGATGTATCCGAATCACTTTCCCTTGTGGCATATCCAAGCTCCCTTTTCTCTTACTCAAACCCTCATCTCTTCCCGATCATGACTGGCACCTGCGACACAGTCGACATTGTTTTGGCTAGAGACAATGCTGCTAAGAAGTTCTCCTGGTGCATTTTGCCAGGAAGGTCCATGGCATCCGCTAGGTCCGAATCAAGCTTTACTCCTCAGACGCGGATGCTACCGAAGCCGGCAGACACATCAACTGAGGACCGATCAGCAAAACATTCAGCCATCTGGCATCTCCGTGGATTTACAATGACAAGACCAACATTGAATCAACACCTAGAGTCTTATTTCCATAGGATGCAACAAACTGCGCCACGAATATGCCATCCCTTGACCATTCACAATGAAGCCCGCTTGATCATCCATACAGTGAACAATGCCGGATTCGCTGGCCAACCAAAGTTATTAGGTGAGGCAGTGGCGAAAGCACTGTTCATCGCCGGAGCTGCTCAACTGCAGTACACCCGGACTGTGGCACTGCTCACACATGATGTTCTCGTCGAACTCAATCTGAGCAACTGGTGTGCCATGCGCGCTATGCAAATATACCTCGAAAATATTGCGACGTCGACTATACTCAATGCTTGGTATAACGTATGTCAATTTTTTCTTGCGCAAGTTTCGATGTACCGAACCACTTCATAGTTTTCGGTTGATTTAATGTTTACGCCTAATGCGACTGGTTTGGAGAAAGCTGGCGATATCCTAGAGGCTCTTCGAGACGAAAAGTTCAATGCAGCAGCTTTATATGGCGACTTGGCTGCGCTTGGCATCATCCCTTGCGGTCTACTTATTTTCGTCATAAATTGCTTCTTGGACCACCTGTCATCAGTAACTCAGTTTCGCATGCTTTATCTCCTGGTGATCCGAGCAACATTCCGAATTGAATCCTCTATACACCCGGATTGTTTGCTTGGCTGGCGCGAAAAGTTGCTCTTTCCAAAGCGAATGACGATGCCTATGGGTAACAAAATGGTTCAGAGGTGGATTATCGTGAGTGACCGTACTTTCGGTTTGCTTGGGACGTTTGGTTGACATCATGTCCTCATTCCCGTGACTAGGAGATTTGCAATGTGATTGATAAGGCTGTCGTTCAAAACCAAGCCATTGTGCCATCTTCTAAAACCACCAACTCACCAGCCGGAAATCATATTTGGGATGCGCGACTCACCAGACATGGTCTACGCGATTTAATTAAGATTGAACGGCCGCGCGAGATGTACATACGATGATATATCAATTTAGACTTGGTTTATTGTTATTTCAAGTTCTTGTTTTACCTGTAACATATAAGTCGATTTAAACCACGAAATTTACCGTAACGTTGGAATGTAAACTTGTGCGAGTGAGCGCTTGCTCGGGAATCGGGATCATAAGTCACGGGATTTCTATCCTTGGGCGCCCAAAATTTCTGGCATCCATCCTCATATGCACATCTCAAGGGATGCCACCAGCAATCACATATGACCCCAGGAAACACGTTGGGGTTCACGCAGAACGTGTTTCCCATGTGTCCAGCACGGACTTTCCTGGACACTACCCTCATGAGGACCACTCATGGGACCTTGAAAGATTCGCGAAGGTGCGTCTTGGCCCGAAAGCTCTATCTGTATTCGACTGATCCATGGCCATGCAAGGATAGGGACTGACCGTCAAGATAGAAAGATTATCGAACCGTTCCATTGAATTTGACCTAGTAGGTGTAGATGCATCAATCGCGAATGCTTACAGGAGAATACTGATCGCCGAGGCAAGTCGAATCTAGTTGTTATTCGCAACGCGATCGTCTGACGTACGCTAGGTTCCAACAATCTGTGTTGAAAGAGTTTACGTTTGGGACAACACTTCGGTTGTCGTTGATGAAGTGTTTTCTCAGCGAATAGGCCTCGTGCCTCTAAATGTCGATCCGGCCCTCATGGATATGAAACAAAGTTAGTTCAAAATTCACTATGAACGTTCTTCGTGCTGATACGTTTTTACAGCCCAAAATGACCAGGCTACTGACCGCAATACACTCGTGTTTCGGTTACAAGTTGCCTGCGAGCGTCGGAAGAATGCGCCAAAAGATAGCACAGACCCAAACAAGCTGTATATCAACCACGAGGTCCTGTCCTCACATTTGAAATGGGTCCCGCAAGGAGAGCAAGAGATTGTCATGGCAGAAAATCCCCCTGCATCTACGAATCCAAACATTGTGCTGACAAAACTACGACCTGGGCAAGAAGTTGACATGGAGCTACATGCCGTCAAGGGAGTAGGGAAAGATCATGCAAAGTTTTGTCCAGTTGGTGAGTGACCGCTTTCAAGCTTCAACACCCAGATGTCTAACCTCCAAGTAACAGCGACGGCGTCATATCGTCTACTACCATTGGTGATTCTGAACCCGGAAAAACCCGTACCCCGAGCGCTTGCAGAGAAATTTCAAAAATGCTTCTCGCCGGGTGTCATTCGAGTTGACCCTCGAACGAAAGCTGTTAGCGTGGACAACAAGAAAACGCGGAAGGAGACGATGAGCAGAGAAGTGTACAGACACCCAGAGTTTGAAGGATGCGTTCAACTTGCGCGCGTGCGAGATCATTTCTTGTGTATGTGTCCTGTCCTTGTTTCACGTATTTTGACTGATATCCCGCATAGTTAACATAGAGTCTGAAGGGTTTTATCCTCCGCAACGTCTACTTCCGGAAGCGATTGCTGTCATGCGAGCCAAGATTGCTACTATCAAGCTTGCCGCAGAAATGCTACTAAATAATGGCGACGGCCTTGGGGACGTTGAGATGGCAGATACGTAACTGTGTATGTTACCCTCATGTATTCGGCCACGTACTATTTCCACATTTTTATTTTTCTAGCTGTGTGATTATGCAAGTGCTCTTCATTGGACAGCGGAAACTGTTATACAGGAGATGTGTACTTACATACGACGATAATCGATAAGTCCTTACATACGTATACTCAATAAAAAATTACTCGGAGGCGCATATGATGCGTTGTGCATAGTGAAATGAGGTTGCCTGAGTTGAGCCATTGTGGCTACGTCACAACCCCCTGGCTGCTTTAGAGTCTAGTATTATTTCGTGAACTCGATCCCATCCTGGAGGCAGCGTTTGGTTGAACATGGCTGTAAAAGGACCCGGAGAGCCTTCCCCCCAGATGGTTTCGAGTGCGGGGAGTATATCAAGGAGGATGCGAGCAACCGCTTCAGGTTCAGTGACGCGGGAATCTACGAGTCTGGGATATTTGACCAGTCGGTTGCAAACACCACCACCAGGTTTATCGCCCCGCAGTCCATCCAGCCTTGTGGCGTCGATAGCCAGGTTAAAGAAATGAAGATTGGGACACAACTCCAGAAGCGAGATGAGACCGTGAAAGGTAATTTCAACAGTCAGGTTGCTATGTTGGTCAGTCATGCTGAAATCCGGAAACGGTGCCGTTGCAGCATCTAGGTGTAATGACATCATTGGGCCCACCATAGCAAAAGGTGGCATGGGCGGGAGTCCAATGGGCAAGGGTGGCACAGGTGGAGGATCTTCAGAATCTTCATCTTCGGTATCCTCCAGAGGCAAGGGTTGGGTGGGAACCGGTGGGTACAGATTGCGACAGTCGAACAGCTCAAGTTCCTCCAGTAGTGGCCAAGCAGAAGCCATTGCGCGCAGATCGTCATCAACGAGCGTGAACAGTGGCGTCATCATTATGCGCAACACACGAAGGTTGCAGCATAGGAAAAGGGGTCGTAGCACGTTAGAGCCATTGATGACACTGCCGCTCAGAAAGGCGGGAACATTCATGCGAAATTCTTCAAGATTGCCGCAAGACGTATTTTGAGCTATGGGGTGCAGAATGGGCTCGACCGTGTCTACACCAACATCCCCTGACTGGTAGACCGGAAGGAAAATATCTATAGATTTGGGCAAGCTCTTTATTGCTTGAAGGATGGAATTAGCAGTCGCCAGGCTGTTGGCTTGGAATTGGAGAGTTTGCAGTGATGGAAATGAGAGCGAATTTGGGGGCAGATAGAGGTCAGATATGTTGTCAACGCGCAACCGGAGGACTCTGAGAGATGACAGTGTGGAAAGGCTGAGGATGCATTGGGAACCAACGGGGCTGTAGTCAAGCACCTCGAGCTTCTTCCAAGAGCAAATTACTCGGGATAGGCAGCTTTCGGCTACAGCTTCGTATCCTTCCGAAAGATAAAACAGCAATCCCAGTGTAGTCAGTTCCGGGCAGAGTCTCCGAATTCTGGACAGGAGTAACGGGGTGGATTTCGGGCTCCACTGAAAGCTTGATATGCGAAGAGACAGTAAACGTGGATTGAGCAGGGGCCAAAGCAGAGCGAGACTAAGTTCATCAGTCCAAGCCAAGTGGGTGAGATTTGGGAGGATTGGAGTGGGAACTTGAAGAACGTGAAACACTCCCAGGTCATCAGGGACAGTTGTGGCCCTCCAGCCACCTTCATATCCAGAAAGCTCTAATTTGCGGACGCGCTGCGCGTACTTGTCGAAAGTATCTAAATCAACTTTTGCTATTTCCTGTTCGATAAGCGGATCAACTTGGGGAGCAAAAATATTCGTAAGTAGACATACCTCGTCGTTCAACTTCATATTAGTATCGTGGATGCACGACACTAATGGGTACAGGCTACGTAGGTCACTCCAGAGGAAATCTAGCGAGGCGCCACTGAGATCTTTGCAGGTTATGGCGAGTGCTAAAAAAGTGCGGCGACTGATTTGTTCACTATCAGCCTTGATGAAGGCGAAGATGTGATTTCTGATTTCTGGAAGTTTTAGCGCATCATGGAATGTCTGAATCATCTCGACAATTCAATAATTGTTGGTCACAGTGCTAACTATAGGCGAATATTTCAGTGAGACGAGGTTCGGTGAGAGCAGTCAGATGGATACTGAGTACATACCTCAGCGTCGTGAACAAACAGCGGTATGTGGCGCGAACCAAACACGATGTAAGTAATAGCGAACGGAAAAGGAAATTGACTAATACAACGGTTGACAACACTGAGTACAGAGATACGGCTGAGGACGAGACCATAGCCACAGACACTGGGCCATAGAGGTAAGATCATATGAAACTTGAAGAGAAACCAACTCCGAGCGGGCTGAGCTGCAGGGTGCACGATGATAATATTGTCATTACCTTAACATCTCCGTCGTAATTTTGATGTAATAACCCATTTATTCAAGACTGTAATCACCATAAATCGTCTGTCCCGAACTTGTACACTAAGTTACACTGGCAACGAGGTCATCGGTAATCATCATATGATCATCTGCCTAGAAATTATCAATGGATGGAGGTTGAGCAGAGCAGGGGAGTTTACAAAGTAATTATACACAACAAACGCTCCTGAATTAGATTTCGCTAGGTGTAGCGTGTCTGGACTCCATCATTATCTGACGAACCATGTTCCACCTTTGAGGCGCCATGACATGAGGCGGCATGTTTTGAGGTGGAGCTGGCAGTAGAGCGTTTGGCCCCGCAAGGGGATCAAGCTCAGGAAGTATGTCGAGGAGGATGTGGGCAACCACCTTAGGATCGCCAATGGGCGAGTCGATAAGCCTGGCATACTTGACCAGTCGGTTGCAAACTCCACCGCCTGGCTTATCGCCTTGCAGACCATCCAATTTAGTAGCGTCGAGCGCTAGGTCAAAATAGTAAAGATTCGGGCATAGTTTCAGGAGCGAAATGAGGCCGCGAAAAGTAATTTCAGCGGTTCGTGATCTGATAGGGAAGAAAAGGTCTGGTGGCGGGAACGCTGGAAAAACTGGAGGGGGGATGGTAAACACGGGTAGGTACGGAAACTGATTTGCCTGACCGGGGTTCGCCAGAGGCAGGGGCATAGGTATGGGATGGTGCTGGGTCATAACAGTAACCACTGTAGGTTGCGGTGCTTGGTTTGGCACCGTAGGAGCTGGGTTTGGCCCCGGTAGTAGATGATTGAGAGGAGGTGGGGGAGGTGGGGGTGGAGGGGGTGGAGGGGGAGTGTGAGTCGCTACACGTGGTCGTAAATCGATCAGCTCGAGTTCCTCGAGCAGTGGCCACGCGGAAGCCATCATTTTCAAATCGTCGTCATCAAGAGTGAATGGCGATGACATTCGTATGGACAATGTGCGAAGTCCACAACACACGAAGAGGGGTTGTAGTATGTCAGAGATATTGTCAGGATCATCCCCCAGAAGGAATGGGAGATTCATGCTGAGATGTCGAAGTTCTTGGTGTAATGCACCTCGACTGACGAGGCACAAGAGGTCCCCGACTTTGTCTGGACTGCAACTTCCTCTGCGGGACCGGCCCGCGAACACGTCAATTTTCAACGATTTGGGAAAGCTTTTCATCGCTTTCATAAGAGTGATGGCAGTTTCCAGGGTGTCAGTTTGGAACTGGAAAATATTCAGCGATGGAAATGAAAGCGAGTCTGAAGGTAGGTCAATAACAGATGTGGCGTTAACTTGCAGTCGGAGGACTTTGAGAGATTGCATCCCAGATAGACGTAGGAGACCTTTAAAGGTCATGGGGTTGCAGTCCAGTTCCTCTAGTTTGTCCCAAGAGCCGATTACCCGAGATATGCAATGCGTGCTTTGGGTTAATTCTGAGTCTATATGTCCATCCCAAGAATGAACTTGCAGTGTCAGTGATTTGATTTTCGGGCAAAGTCCAGGGATTTTGGTCAGGGCAAACAGAGTGGATGCTGAGCTCCAGCGGTGGCTGGGAATTTTCAGCGACAGCAGATGTGGACTGAGCAGATGACGTAGTAAATTGAGACCCATCCCAGGGGCCCAAGCTAAGTGCCTGAGGTTCGGGAGGAGGGGAGAGTTCAGTGGATAATAGAGTAATGCGCCTAAATCTTCGGTGAGAGATGGGTAACCGCCGTTGCGTCTCAAGAATCTTTGTTGTCCGGAAAGGTCCAACTTGCGGACACGATGAGCATATTTGTCGAAGATAGAGAAATCTGGTCTCATGTCATCATTGGCTTCTACGGTGAGCTGTGGGATACGATTCAGCTTGAAATGCAGTAAACACATGTGATAGACATGCCTCATCGCTCAACGGCATAGTGTTTGCTGCATAGATGCACGATGCTAGCGGACGCAAACTATCGAGTTCGCTCCACAGAACGTCCAGAGAGGCCTCACTGAGGGCGCTGCATGTTCTGGCTAGCATAGCAAATGTACATCGACCCGTTTGCTTATCTTCCTTGATAGAGGCGAAGATGTAGGCTCGGACGTCTGGAATGAGCAACGCATGATGCATGACGATATCTGAGCCAGACGCCTAATGATGAAATGGACAAGTTGATTTCACCGGTGAATACGAGTGTCAAGCCGACTGTATTAGCCGCCAGTACGACTCGCCTGGTCTTTGTATGCACGATAAGTCCAAATCAAGTTACCAATTCCACACACGACATGTATATTTCCCACGGTCACGGAAGCCTGACCTGGGCTTCTTCCACTCGGATTTGAGTTATTTGACATCCTTAGGACACTCGAGCACATCAGTACTCCGGGATTCATATCATCGAGTGGCCCCTAGCCTGCAAGACACTTTGCTATGCCTCAGATCCGTAAAAGTATGTGGTCAATCAACTTCACGAAAATCTACTCCTTCCTGATATCACATCGCTGAATAGAAACGTCCAAGCGAGGGACGACCCACCAACGTCAAAAGTTGAAGCATAAGGTCTCCCAGGGCAGGAAGAAAGCTAAGAAAGAGGCCCGAAAAGAACAGGCCGCTGGGAAAAGTGAGTTCCATACATCGTTACAGGCAAACTACTTCGTTTAGGGCTTTGAGACAGTCATCTTCGCATCCATACCTTTTTCTGCTCGGCTGTCTATTGCCGTGTGCTCACAGTCTTCGTGTAGCCCACAAGAAATCCAAAAAAGATCCTGGAACCCCGAATAATTTTCCCTACAAGGATCAAATACTCGCGGAAGTTGCAGAATCACGACGTCAAGTAAAAAAAACACTAATCCGTATGATTTCCCCCCTCCTGACTTGGTTGCACCCCACAGGCCGCAGACGAAAAGCAGCGACGAAAAGATGAAAAGCGTGCTGCTCTTACTGGACTCGACGTCAAAGACGTCGAGGATTCTCAAAAAAACACCATGGATATTGATATCGATGAAAATCAAAATGACGGACAAGGTTTCGATGGAATTATGTCCATTCGACCTGCACCTCCAGTGCCACCCAAGAAAAAAACCATAGAACCGTCGGTATTAGAACCTGTCATACCGGTCACTGCAGGACCGCACACTCTCCGCGAGGTGTTGGAAAAAGCGGACGTTTTGCTGCATGTAGTGGATGCACGGGATCCTGCAGCAGGCCTCAGCGAGGCCTTGTTTAAAGAAGCGAAAGGCAAAGTTATTCTACTCCTCGTGAACAAGATTGGTAGGTCGTTCGTCCTGTCGGTGATGGGCATTGAATCGATTGCATTTAGATTGCATACCACGGGAATCTCTGGCATTATGGCTCTCCCACTTGCGACTGACGTATAACACCCTGCCTTTTCGCGTGGCGGAAGCTTTCTTGCCATCTAAACCCAACCCGCCCCCGGTATCGAAGAAGACTCCTGTCAAAATGGACGATGCGCTTGGCTCAGACGCGCTTTGGCAACAGCTCAGCAAGCTCAAAACCAAAAAATCTGGCGATGAATTGGTTGTGGCCCTGACGGGAGTGACCAATGTGAGTTTCCACAATTGGTATCAAACCGCTATTGATCAAATTGCCTCGTCCAGTCCGGCAAATCTGCGGTCATCAATTCTCTTGCGCGCGCTGATGTGATGCCCATCTACAATCTCAACTCTGCGATTTCTGCAAAAGGCCCTTACACGACCACATCAGCAAGCGAGCTAGTCTTGGAGTTTCCTGACAAAAAGGGGACGAAGCTGCGGCTAATTGACACCCCTGGATTGGAGTATGTCCGTGCGGAGGGCGTAGAAGAGCAGGAAAAGGAAATGACGAGAGCAAGAGACATCCTGCTTCGAAGTCGAGGGCGGATTGATCGACTCAAAGATCCGTTGTTTGCTGGTAAGTGCCAACGAGCTGTTCCTCTACCCCAAAGCTGACGTCCATGGAAGTTACGCATATAGTGTCTCGAGCAGATACCCAGGATTTGATGCTGGCGTATAGCTTGCCTGCCTTTTCAAAGGGCGACCCGGCCTCATTCCTTGCTGGGATGGCACGTGCGAGCGGGCTTATCAAAAAGGTGGGTTTTTCGAGGATATGATCCAAGCGTGCGTTGATATCTGTGACATGCAGCGTGGTGTCCTGGATCATGCAGGTGCGGCGCGTATTGTCCTCAGGGATTGGAGTATCGGAAAGTTCGCGAGGTATACCATGCCACCAGGGTCATCGACTATCTCCTCTTCAACAAATAATGAGGGAATTTTGGCAATGCTGAAGAGCCGGAAAGAGCTGCGGAAAGCGGAAGACGTGAAACTCATACAGTTGCAGCCTGGCGAAGCAGAGAAGAGAGAGGTATCATTGGACGATGTTTGGGGTGTTGATGAAGAAATCAGTGAGGTCGACGATGAGGATGCCGAAGATGAAGAGGCAGGCGGAGATGAGGATGCCGAAGATGAAGAGGCACGCGGAGATGAGGACGAGGATGAGGATGAGGTCGAGGTCGATCAAGGCAATTCTAAGAGTGGTGAGGCTGAGGCTGTGGATGATGATGAAGAGGATGAAGAGGAGGTACCTGAACTGTTACCCCCGCCCAAGCGAAAGCGAACGGTGTCCTTTGCTGCTGTTCCAGCTGGAGGGAAACGGCTGCGAAGGTCCGGCAAAAACAGTCGTAGAGGCTAATCAAGTCACCGGTGACTTGCTGTGTAGAGAACATGACGTACTACATCACATGCTGTGTCGACTCGCGTGTGTTTTGATTCGGACTTGCTTTAAACCGCTCTACACGCCTAGTAGCCACGCTGTCTGCATGTGGGCGAGTCCTCGTTGGCAATTTACTTCAAAGTTATATAGCCTATAGCTGATGACGCTCAGCACCTGGTCAACACGCCCATGGCTCGTCCGACTTTTCTCCAGAAGGTACTCCGAAGACCATCCCAGAAATATACTGCTACAAGTACAAACCGCACGACCGTGACATCAACGAAAGCCCCTCAAGCTCAAGCGCAGCCCCATACAAGAGATTTTCACTCCACCAAGGGGGAGTTGCTTCGTATAGCCTCCGAACTCAATCGTGAGGATCCACTTGACCATAATCACGAGAGCCCATGTTATCTTCCAGACAAATCATGTGAACTTATACAGGTGAGCTGCGATAAATACAGTTTAGAATACACATATACTGACTTCTGGCCTCGTTGAAGAACAACGAGGTTGTCCCTGCAGCTGCGACAGCGGTGGAGGCCGAAGGACACACTTCCAGTGTCTCCATCGCGACTGACGTCAATAGTGAGAAGGCACAGGCACCGCGACAAGAATCAGTTTGCCAGTTTCACACTTCTGTTAATCAATCTTCAGATCCTTCTCAGCAAATTTCTGAAGAGGTGTTCTATACCCCTGCCAGCTCGCCTACATCTTCATTGTCCCCTGCTGGTCTTTCGCCTCCAGCCTCTCGTTCGCAGACTCCAGCTCACTCCCCGTATTCGACACCCCATCACTCTGCTGCATCGTCTGCTGCTTCTCTGGGGTCTGACAACCCCCAGGATATCTCTGTATCAACAACTTCCTTACCCGAATCTTCCCCGAGAACCGCAGTCGCCATGATACCCGTCAAGAACGAGCCGGGACGTCATAAACGTATTCCGAATCATCGTAATACAACTTACACGGACCGAGATTGGGCCAAAGATGTTCGGTGGCTTGAAGCCCCACAACATGTCGGGACTAGAGGCAAGGGTACGAGACGCAATACCTCTCCGAGCAGTGTTTCAAATGCAGCATCACGCTCGGCCTCATCTCTACCGAGCACTGTTTCTTCACATAAGTCACGAATGTCTATGACACACGTGCCTTCTCAGCCGCATGACCTTCTCAAAGTTGAACCTCCACCCCCACATGGACGTAAGCCAAAAGGTCATGGGAAAGCGATGCGTGCGATGGTTGGCATGTCGGTTCTGCTAGAAGTGGAGGAGGATACAGACCTGTCTGGGTTTGGTAATCCTGCTGGGCTGGATAGGAATATGTCCCGCAGGCGCTCACAGTCTTTGACATATGCCCCAACACATACTCTTGAACCACCCAAACCGGTGCGACAGGAGCTTTCTGTGACTTCATTGCAGCCAGTACCGCGGTTGACCAGACGTCGTAGCTCGTCTTCTCCTTCGCTTTCTCGCGATGGTACACCATCACGGCGGTCATCAACTCGCTTACACTCTCGTGCAACTGGTGCAACGTTGCAAACTGGTGCATCTGGTACGTCTGTGTCAGCATTTGAATCACTTGTCAGTGTCGCGTCTCGCCCGATGAGCAACTCTTCTCGCGTGACTTCCTCAACCACGAAATCTCCTTATACATCAGCGCCATTAAATGCACTAGACGCCCTTGCTGCGCATGCTTCATCTTCACGTGAGGCAAACGCGCTTCCATCAAGTGGCACGCGTGGATTTACTAGCCTTGTTCTTCCTCGTGCGGCCACTTCTCCGGCCACCTCTGGATCGAACTCTGGTGTTGGTACTTGGCGGCCCTGGAAAGCAGGTAGAAGGGCAACAGCTGCAGAAAGTTTGGGCGCTGGACTCGGGTTTGGAGATGAGGTTGACCTTACACGAGCTGGACTCGCGCAGACGACGATGGCTAGCGTGGAGATTGTTCGTGGAATCGCATCTGGCACTGTCCAACGCCAAGGCTCGAAGTCTCGTGGGACGCTGTTTGGCTTGGGCTGGTTCTCAAAGAATAATGCCAAGCAGGGGAAGGAAAAGTCTCGACAGGTAGCTGCAGAGAGTCCGCTCGGTTTCACAGCCTATCGAAAACCTCCGGTTTATGTTGGCGGAAGTTCGGTGTTAGTGCAAGTATGGGCCGTGGGGCTGGACGATGTGGATGCTCGTCTTGTGGGTGTGCATCCGCCGCCATCGAAGCAACCATCGTCAGGGACTCCTCACAGAGCTGAGGAGAAAAGTGCCGGGAAGCGGCATGTTCCACTGGGTTATATTCCAGGACGATCTTTCATTGGGCGTATCCTCGAAGTGGGATGGGAAGTTGACGAACACGCTCTCAAGAAGGGAGAGTGGGTCATCGGTCTCAACAGCGTGCAGAAGGTTTGGATTACATTAACACGAGATTTGATACAGATATGCTAACTCATTTCCAAGTGTGGTGCTTTAGCTGAATTCATTCTTGTTGACCGACATCGCATTCATTGCGTCCCACATCCTTACATGCCTGATCAGCCATCTCTGAATCTCGCTTCGTTGAGCGAGGCTGCCGAGGATAATGAGGGGGGACAGCGTGATTCGCTCGTATTTCCTTCTGCGAATGAACCCATGGGTCTCACAGTGGACGAACTCGCTCTGCTCCCGCTTTCAGGCATTCCTGCTTATCGTGCTGTGCGCACATTAACACACATCACGCGTGCGTTAGTAAAGCCTGGCGTAGCTGCACGACAGCTGCACGAAAAAAGGCATAGTCATGATGTTACCAGTGACACCGATGAAGACGATGATATTGTCATTGTGCGTTCCATAAAACGTGGTTCAGCAGACAAGCGGCTTGACGCAACGCGTCCTCGTGTATTGATTTTACGCGGACATGACGGACCTGGTGCGCTAGCCCTGCAGATGCTTGTTCGCGCTGGGTGGTCCGTCTGGGTTCATGTACCTGTGCCATTCGATCTTCCAGGTCTTCCTCACGAGTTAGAAGAGGATATCAAAGACGAAGGGGAGAAGTCTACGTTGGGAAAACGACGGGTTGTTCTTGAACGGATTGAAAAACGGCTTCGTGAGTGGGGTGCAGACGAGGTTTTGTTTGTTCCCATCGATTCAAGACCTGCGCCAGCTCCACGAGACGTCCCTCTCTCTTCATCGTCGTCTCTACACCATCCACATTCTTCTTCTTCTTCTACTCATTCGCAAAACATATCCCCCTCGCCATTTTCGCGCTCGTCAACGTCGTCGACATTGTCGTCGCCATACTCACCCTCCACACATGGTCACTTTTCCTCTACATCTCACCCTCATTGTGCACTCCCTGCTCCATATTCCTATACTGGACTGCCGCTCACTCCACATCAGACTGAAAAGACTTCCGTGACAGCACTTTTCACGTACTTGGCGCGCGCGCGCGTCCCTTTTGATGCGGTCATCGACACAATCGGGGGTCGTGAGATTTGGGAAGCTGGACGGGCTTTACTCAGCCTTCCAGTTCACGATGCCGCCCGAGCCAATATTGAAGGGCAGTTTACCACGCTGGTAGGCGACGCACCCGACCGTGTGGTGTCCACCGCAAGCGATCATTTCCGCGCGGGCGTGCGGGCGCTTCGCATCGGTAACGCCAAAGGCACCTTGCAAGTCCACAATAACGCCGAGTTCTCTCAGGCAACTGTCAGGCCCACCAGGGGCAAGAAGGACAAAAAGATGAAGCCTCGGCCGGTGAACTACGCGTGGGTGAACGTCATGTCGGACGTGGATTGGGAGGGAGCGGATGTGCGAGACTCGCTAGGCGCAGCATTGGCGATGGCAGTAGAGGAAGGTGTGCGGCCTGCTGTCGGTCTTGCTGATTTTCCGGACATGTCGAAAAAGGGCAAAGGGAAGATGAAGGCCGGGTCTAGCGGTGGTGACGGGGAGATGCAGGGGAAAGTCGTCCCGTTTGAGAATACGCCTCAAGTTTTCATCCGTGGAGGTGGGCTTGAGCATGGCGGGACGGTCGTCTCCAGAATAGCTTAGACGAACTAATCAAGAACCGTAGTCTTTTATTTGAAGTACCATTCAATCACTGCGGAAACGAGAATTTGAGCAAAGGGACGATTATAAATGATATCGGGCGGTGCTCCGGTACCCTAGCATAGAATGGGGCCTTAGCAGTAGATATCAAACTCATAGCTGGTCTCCTTGGCTGACGCTATTTATACTTTTGGTTCCGAGTATCACCATGTTACCTTACCACTGGATCCATTGGACTGATGCTTATTTATTAGTAAAGATTGGACCCCGTTAAACTGTCGCGAACGTCGTCAACCGTGCAGTACCCCCTGCCAACTATTACTAAATCTCGTGCCTGTGAACGCCGCCTTCGCTCTGCTTCCTGCATGAGACCATTAATACCTCCCGCTCCTTCCTACTCCTTTCAAAGCCGTCAGCACATCAAGACCGGGTGGCACATCAACGCGCTCGTGGTCGACATCTCCCTCGCTGTCTTCTCACATCAATCCTAGTTGTCTCCGCTCACCGCTGCTTCGTATTCTTCGCGTTTCGTCATTGATTTCCACCGTGACCGCATCCTGAATTTTTTTCTCCTCGCCTCGTAGCTCTACCCTTGTACATACTACCCTCTATACTAGTGTCTACATACATCATTAGTCTTATCTCACCCAGCAAACCAAAGACACAAATTTAAGTTGGTTCATTATTGACATTTCATGCATGAGAGGGTTGTGATAAGTGAGACTGGGACACGAGGGATGATGAAGCCAAAAAGTGGTGCAGAGGGGTTGGCCGAACCTGCGAGCTGTTTCTGTAGGCGGCGTCAGAAGTAGTACCGTGGGAGCTGAAGTTGGGAGGTTGATGTCGAGGAGTTTAGCGATGGGCGTTGGTGACATGCGCGAACACGGCAAAACGGCACAGAAGAGCTTAACATGCGCGAAGGCAGCAAACTTCGACTGAGGAATGACCAGGAAATGTACTTACCGAGCGGTGGTCGAGGTCTTTCCCCCTCATGTGATTGATGCAATTCCAGGGAACCGAAAAATTTCGGTTGAGTAACAGGGGAAGGGAGACTCATGGACGACTATGTACAGCCTACAGTCACCTACTGTACATGCATTTTGCGATCGGAGATCTCGGGTCTATCCCTTTGCCTTTGTTGCTCTTGGCATGTAGGCTTAGAATTCGACAACTTCAACTCTCGCTGGCACCAGGAGCTGCAATGAATCCACGTACAAAGCTGGCCAGCTGCATCAAAATCATCGACTTGTCGTTGCTAAGGCCTTTCAATTGATCAAGTTGCTTCCCTCGAGTCTGACAAGCTAGCTCCGGTCCAATTACGAAACCGCAGGGTAACACAGCAAATTGCTCGTTTCGTATGCTGTTGCTCCGAGCTCGAGTCTTTTGTGGTCAGAGAAATGCAAATTTCAAAGGCTATGTACAACAGCTGCAGGAAGCATCACAGCAAATTTCGCAAGACCCGAGCTTACAAGGAACTTTTTCACACAGACAGCGTGGCACCAGTGACCACATCGTCAGACGTCTATATATGAATTGGTCCGCCATGAACCTTATACCGAACAATATCAAGTAGGCACTAGACAGGGGAATCATCAGACGTCTGTGATTCACTGGTTGGTTCGCCATGAACCTTATGTTAACAGTATGGGTGTGGACTATAGCTAGTAAGTGCGATGGCGGGCGGACTATCGAGCCCAAGTATTTAAATGATGGTCCATTCGGAAAGCAAAGTGTCTCGAAGTCCTACAACCATTCGGCTTGTTGCATTCCAGAAACCTTTGACCACCATTCACCGGTGCTTCTTGGTGCGTCGGGTATCCGTCTCTAAAGCACAACTGGACCGATGCTAATCCGCAGCGCAGCATATCCTTCTGTTAACATCATCATCACCCGTCAGCTCCTCACGATGACACCCACCGTCGTAAACATGCCTCTCGACATCATTCACGTGCCAGATGCCACTTTACAGGTGGAGAACAGCGGTCAACCAGCTGTCGTGTATGAGTGCAAATTACAGGGGACCCCCTGCGGAATGTTTGTACAGGGAACGACCAACGCAGTGTCCGCCCACTTGCGTGGACATGGCATCACTGGTCCGGACAGCGCCAGCATAAGTTGCACATGGAATGGCTGCTCCATGATTATCACGAGGGGATGTATGGCTAGACATATCCTTACTCACCTTGGTGTCAAGGTCCGCTGCACTGTGTGTGGAGTTGTGAAGTGTCGTCGCGACATCCTTCGCGCACATATGAAATCCTCAGAGCCATGTCATTTCGCGTCTGTCGAAGTCGTCCATGGACCGGAAGGGCATGCCCTTTTCCCTACAGGTTGGACTGCTACCCATGAGGTCTAATGATCTCTGATATATCATCCTTAAACGTTTTCTGGCACGGACACTGTTTTGTACTAGTTAGTACTTGTTGTATGTAGAGCGAGATTGTAAGGTAGTATGTCATACGCACGGAAAGGTACCGAAGGGACGGAGATCTTCGAATCGGAGATTAAATTTAGTTGCCAATCGTGATAATGAAATATTTACAATGCCGATGCTGTGATAACCGTGGCGTCAACGCTATGTGCCCGGGGGTGATTGAATTGTGGCTTACTAGGTTTCTCGTTAGGCTGAAGACATCAGAGGAAGGTTCGCGAATGCTGACGTAATGTGTATTCCTTGAAGGCTCAGATTCGCGAAGTACACTATAACGTTCTCTACGTGTTCTGAATGTTAACGACTTTTCGTCGGTTCATTGTGCATACGAGTTTTGCCAGTTGGGGGAGGTGGGTTCGGCGTTTTGCTCGGCGTTAGCTGAGTGCTTTTATTCGTGTTTTGCTGGCAGCCTGACAGGATCGAAAACGAGTCACGTGACCTGAATGCGAAGTGAAGTCTTCCGGTCACGTGACCTCAACGCGAAGTGAATTTTTCGATCAGAGGCGAAGCAAAAACGACGAGAAAAAGCCGAGACTACCGAAGCCCTCGAGTGTGAGGTGTGCGGGAAGGTTTACGGGTGCACGACACAACCCAAATACCAAGACACTTAAAAGGGGATGTTGGTGGGCGGGTGAGAACTTTTGCGAGTGAGCGAGATAGAGTCAAGAGACAAGGGGCTATTGTCTAAACAAGGCATGTCTAAAGTCACTCACGCGATTAGTAAGCACTTGTTTGAGTTATGGACTCTCAGGCTCGCCCAGTACTCAAACGACACATTGACTAGTGCAGGTGGTACATTCCGATGGTCGATAATAACTCGAATCTGACGTAGTGACGAAACCTTTTGCTACGATGAGTTCGTGAGATTCCCGACAACGAAGGGCTGGATGTCATCAAACGCTGCGCTAAATGCACGTAGTGGCTGCTTCTTGATTGAGAATGCCATACAATGCCAAGCCTCCTGATAGAGCAATGCATCAGCGTCAGAACGTATCGTTCAAGATGAGTGAATGTAAGCTTCGCTGAACCTGGTCTGTGAAGCCTTCAGGCAAGGGTACGAGACGCAATACCTCTCCGAGCAGTGTTTCAAATGCAGCATCACGTTCGGCCTCATCTTTACCAAGCACTGTTTCTTCACATATGTCACGAATGTCTATGACACATGTACCTTCTCAGCCGCATGACCTTCTCAAAGTTGAACCTCCACCCCCTCATGGACGTAAGCCAGAAGAACATGGGCACATGAAACCAAAAGCGATGCGTACGATGGTTGGCATGTCGGTTCTGCTAGAAGTGGATGTGGATACAGACCTGTCTGGGTTTGGTAATCCTGCTGGGCTGGATAGGAGTATGTCCCGCAGGTGCTCACAGTCTTTGACATATGCCCCAACACATACTCTTGAACCACCCAAACCGGTGCGACAAGAGCTTTCTGTGACTTCATTGCAGCCAGTACCGCGGTTGACCAGGCGTCGTAGCTCGTCTTCGCCTTCGCTTTCTCGCGATGGCACACCATCACGGGGGTCAACAACGCGCTTACACTCTCGCACAACTGGTGCAACGTTACAAACTGGTGCATCTGGTACGTCTGCGTCAGCATTTGAATCACTTGCCAGTGTCGCGTCTCGCCCGATGAGCAATTCTTCTCGCGTGACTTCCTCAACCACGAAATCTCCTTATACATCAGCGCCATTAAATGCACTAGACGCCCTTGCTGCGCATGCTTCATCTTCACGTGAGGCAAACGCGCTTCCGTCAAGTGGTACGCGTGGATTCACTAGCCTTGTTCTTCCTCGTGCGGCCACTTCTCCGGCCACCTCTGGATCGAACTCTGGTGTTGGTACTTGGCGGCCCTGGAAAGCAGGTAGAAGGGCAACAGCCGCAGAAAGTTTGGGCGCTGGACTGGGGTTTGGAGATGAGGTTGACCTAACACGAGCTGGACTTGCGCAGACGACGATGGCTAGCGTGGAGATTGTTCGTGGAATCGCATCTGGCACTGTCCAACGCCAAGGCTCGAAGTCTCGTGGGCCGCTGTTTGGCTTGGGCTGGTTCTCAAAGAATAATGCCAAGCAGGAAGGAAAAATCTCGGCAGGTAGCTGCAGAGAGTCCGCTCGGTTTCACAGCCTATCGAAAACCTCCTGTTTATGTTGGCGGAAGTTCGGTGTTAGTGCAAGTATGGGCCGTGGGGCTGGACGACGTGGATGCTCGTCTTGTGGTATCGGCACAATCAGGGTCGTGAGATTTGGGAAGCTGGACGGGCTTTACTCAGCCTTCCAGTTCACGATGCCGCCCGAGCCAATATTGAAGGCAATTTACCATGCTGGTAGGCGACGCACCTTCGAGAATACGCCTCAAGTTTTCATCCGTGAAGGTGGACTTGATCATGGCGGGACGGTTGTGTCCAGAATAGCTTAGACGAACCAATTGCAACCAGAGTCTTTTATTTGAAGTATACCATGGCCATTCACTGCGGAAACGAGGCAGATGTCGGACGAAAATAAATAATATCGGGTCGGTGCTCCACTGGTCAACCGGTCACGAAGAGAACAGCCTTGCGGGCACCTGAACCCCGTTATTATTGTTCTTGTTTTGTACCGGTATGACGTTCTGATCGTTCGATGCTCGACATGATGCAATCCCCGACTCGTAGAGGAGGGCTTTGTTTTGATGATCGGTCCATCATCGATGCATCATCTTTGGCTCATCGATGTTGTACCCCATTCAATTCTCGTCAGATCTCAGCAAATTAGTGTATCTGACTAGTGTAGTCTTCTATAACTAAAGCCTATCCTTGTACATTTTGTATTTGTAACTACGGCGCGTTTGCCACTCCAACAAAACGAGTCGGGGATTGGCGCTTGTCGCCGTTACGATGTCATTGTGTGCGTCTCAACTTGAAGGCGCACAGCTCTAGGTAACTAGCACGGTGCGATCATTACGGCAGTACCCCAGGGTATACCAAATGCGGCCATCGACCGTATCACGTTCATTTAACTGTTTCCCCAGGCCATTCCTTCTCATTCCCTCTTCACTAGGGATGCTCAATTCTAAAATGTCGTTGTCGTTTGGTGTTCAATATTTGAGCGCCGCTCGCTAAACCTATCCTAAACGGGACTCGTACCTAAACCTTACGGCGCGCAGCGCCAACACTCGCAGTCTTAAAACACATCCTAAGCCTCAATAGTGCTACTAAACCTCATGATTCATGGTCCTAAGCCTCAGCAGGCCTAACCCTTATCTTAACCTCTCTATGCAGAGCAAATGCTAGTAGTGTATAATCAGTTCACTCCATGTTTAAGTGAAAGGTACAATATATTCATAACATAGCACTACATATACTCTGTTGAAAGGGTCAGAAAAGGTTTAGGAATGTCAAGGATTAGGCCTGTTGAGGGTTAGGAACAAGAATGACGAGGTTTAGGAGCACTGCTGAGGTTTAGGATGTGTTTTGACTGCAAGTGTTGGCGCTGCGCGCCGTCAGGGTTAGGTACAAGATCCCGTTTAGGATTAGTTAGCGAGCGGTACTTGAATATCGAACACCAAACGACAACGACATTTTAGAATTGAGCATCCCTACTGGCACGTAATCTGGTCCTTTGCTCAGGTACAGGTCTTCCAACACGCTTTTTCTCGTTAGCGGCTAGCCGGGTAACACTGATTTAGCGATTGCACTCACGCCTTTACCAAGTAAGTCGTCAAGGAAATATTAGCGGCCGTCATGTTGTTGATTTCGTTCTCATCCTTTTGGTAACTCTTGATGAATAGCAGATTCCCTTTGTGTTGCACATATTTTCTTCTAGGTTGGACGATGTCCTCCATCAACGGATTTGGAGGAGGGGAGGTGCCTGCTCGATAAAGAGAGTGTACAGGTAATCTGGCTCTGTCTCTGCATTCGGAATGATGGGTATTGCCAGACCGCTCATAGCGGCGGATAAGCGCATGATGGTCTGACATGTGGCCGGAAGAGCAGATTTCGACCATGGACCCAGACAGATACGGGGTCTTACCGAGGAAATGCTGTGTGGTGAACGGCTCAGAATTCCGGGTAGCCAAGTCCTTCCAAGCTCAGAACTCCGTTTGTGGTGACTTGTTTTGGGCATGCTGTTATAAACTTCTGCCTGCAGATCACAGTCGAAGTGGAGACGTGAAACCAGACCAAACACATGAATAATGGGAGGATCCGATGGACCAAACAATGCGCGAACTCTAGGGGACATATCTAAGTTCTCCTTTGCACCTACTGATCTAAACAGCAGCCTGCTAAAGCACCACACGACAAAATACGCAAAGCCACTTACGATAAATTTCCTATAAAGCGGATTTCTCTGATTCCACTTTGATGGCCGATTTTAATTCGTGCGAGGCCCATTAGAGCTACATAGTACTACTAGTATTCAATACTATTAATACAGGGTTCGGCTGCATTTGCGACCATTTACATTATGACTGTTGCACTGCACACGGCCACAGACCCGGTTCAGCTCTCGGATTCAGAAACGTCGTTACAGTAAAGTAACATTATCGTTTTGCGTCCCAGGCTTTTTGGGTTTTAGTTTAAATAGGTTTGGTTTGTTGGCTGGCGGAATGCCACTGTCAAATCCTAGCTTATTTAAATGACAATTGATTCGGAAAGCAAAGCGTTTTAACATTCTCAAACCCACAATTCCTGCATTCAGGGAACTTTTGACTCCGTCCACCCTTCTTGGTGCGTCGGGCATCCGTCTCTAAAGCATAACTGGACTGATGCTAACCCGCAGCGCAGCATATCCTTCTGTTATCATCATCATCACCTGCCAGCTCCTCATGATGACACCCACCGTCGTACACATGCCTCTCGGTATCATTCACGTGACTCCAGAAACCGCTTTTCGGGTGGAGCACAGCGGTCAACTAGCTGTCGTGTATGAGTGCAAATTACAGGGGATCCCCTGCGGAATGTTTGTAGAGGGAACGTCCAACGCAGTGTCCGCCCACCTGCGAGGACACGGCATCACTGGTCCGGACAGCGCCAGCACAAGTTGCACATGGGGTGGCTGCTCCAAGATTATCACGAGGGGAGGTATGGCAAGACATATCCTTACTCACCTTGGTGTCAAGGTTCGCTGCACCGTGTGTGGAGTTGTGAAGTGTCGTCGCGATATCCTTCGCGCACACATGAGATCCTCAGAGCCATGTCATTTCGCATCTATCGATGTCGTCCATGGACCCGAAGGGCACGTCCTTTTCCCTACAGGTTGGACCGCTACCCATCAGGTCTAATGATCTCTGATATATCATCCTCACACGTTTTCTGGCACTGACACTGCTTTGTACTAGTTAGCACTTGTTGTATATATAGCGAGATTGTACGGTAGTATGTCATACGCACGAAAAGGTACCCAAGGGACGGGGATCTTCGAATCGGAGTTCAAGTTTAGCTGCCACGGCCCAATGATGAAATATGATGCAATGCCCATGCTGTGCTGACCGTGGCGTCAACGATGTGCCTGGGTGATTGAATGTGATTGACTAGTGCAAGCGGTACATTCTGATGGTCGATAATAACTCGAATCCGACGTAGTGACGAAACCTTTCGCTACGACGAGTTCGTGAGATTCCCGACAACGAAGCGCTGTATTTTATTAAACGCCTGCGCTAAATGCACATGGTGACTGCTTCTTGATTGATAATGCCATACAATGCCAAGCCTCCTGATAGAGCAATGCATCAGCGTCAAATATCGTTCAAGATGAGTGAACGTAAGTTTGGCTGAGCCTGGTTTGCGAAGCCTTCCACAAGCCTGCCAACATTCCCTTGGCTGCGCATGTTGAGCCGCTACTTGCACGACTGTTGTGCCTGACCTTTCTTGCAATCGCAATCGGGGACTTGCCACTCTTCATGGAATCGAAAGTTGATAGTGTAGAACAAAGTAGTAGAGCGATATGAAAAGCGGAACGGATACAGGCAAACAGTCGAGGATGAAATGAACTTTGAACTTGATTTTCTGTCTGAAATAGCGAACGCGGAAACCATGTCTTGCTTTCTTCAAGATAGGGAAGTAACGAGAACATTGCCAACTTGAGGCTTGCTGGAGGATGACCGCCATGAACCTCTTCAATCACTTGTGCTTGTACGAACGAGACCTCTTGTCCATGCTTTCGCCCATCGATAACTGAAACAAGGGACCACGACTGGCACACCTTCGAGATGATTTCCGCTGACAGCTGAACCTTCACCAACGACTACCGTTCTCAGCCTGGTTTGAGGAGCTTGCTGCACCAGTGCCTGAAGGACCATCAAATTCCTTACGAGGGCTGCTACCCCTAGGAGGACTCCTAGAGTAGCTCCCACGCCTCCTGTAATCAGGTGAGTAACGACGAGGGCTGCGACGATCACGATCGCGCCAATCACGGCTGTCACGACCATATGGGTCCCTATCCTTGTCGCGATCAGAACGACGGTAATCACGGTCACGATATGAGTCACGGTAAGAATCGCGGTGGGATGAGTCGCGGCCTGAGCCTGAGTAGGTATCCCTGGTCGAGCGACGATGTCCCATGTATTCGCCAGGGGTTGGTGCGTGCGGTCTGTCAGTGACAGAATAGTCAACTCGAATGCGTCGTCCATTCAGTTCCTGTGCAGAAGATAAGCTAGGAAAGCATACACATAAAGAAGGAACGTACGACTCCGTTGAGTTCCTGAATGCAGCGAGTAGCTTCTTCGGTGCCGGACATCCTGATGAAGCCGAAGCCACGAGAACGGTCGGACTGAAAACACGTTGTCGTGGGTTAGGGTAACAAAATGCATATAAAACCACCGTACCCTTTGGTCGTAAACAATTGTGACTTTTTCGACTCTTCCGAAGCGAGAGAATTCCTCATCCAAATCCCGCTCTTGTGTCCTGATACTTAATCCAAAGACTCCCAACACTTGGGAGGGGTTGGGCGCCTTCTTTGCTCCATGAGCGCTTTGCAAAACTCAACGGGGAACACGTAGAACGTACAATTGGAGCATGTGTCGGCTTTTTGGGAGCTGGAGACCTGCGCTTTTGAACAGGACTACGGTAACCGGCGCTGCGGGCTCCAGGACTTCTAGAACGAGAACGACCGCGCGTAGGAGCGGCGTCCCGGTCTCTAGTTTCTGAGGCGGCAGCGGGTGCTGGTGCATTGTACGCATCAGAGTAAGGGTCCACTGAAGGAGCAGTTGGTTCTCCGTATTGATCCTAACAAAAAGGCAAAAAAATTACAAAAAGTCGTCTAAACACTGAAAATGTGGCGCACCATGGCAGTTCAAGTTGAAGAAAAATTTGGCGTTATTTGTCCTTTGTTTGTCTCAGGCTGCGAATTCAATTTCAACTTTCGGGAATTGCCGAGTATCAAACCTTATTTACTTGTGCTGCACAGTTCCTCAAGCCTCCGTTACTGTCTGTACACCGTCCCCGAACAGCACAAATCGGCAAGATCAAGATGGTGAGCTCGTCGTCTCAAACAGCGCCCAGACAGTATGCTGAAATGTGCCTCCCACTAGGGTATCGACCTCAAGGCACACCACGTCAAGAAGGCCCAGCGGACGGCCCCCAAAAGCGAGGATCCTTACCTCCTTTTGCTCGTCAAAGTATGTGTGTTCAGTTTGCTTAGAAACTCGATCTTGACGTCCTTCAGCTCTACAGATTTTTAGCGCGCCGTACGGACTCGAGTTTCAACAAGGTTGAACAAATTTGAGTGTAGTTTAGGCGTTTGACTGAAGCATGGTTTTTACTCAGGCTATCCTCCATCGCCTCTTCCTTTCCAAAATCAACCGTCCCCCCCTCTCTTTGTCAAGAATTGTTAAAGAGACCGCTGCCACTCCCGATCGCGACTCAAAAGTTATCGTGGTCGTTGGCATTGTCACCGATGACGTTCGTCTCACTGAGGTGCCAAAACTCTCAGTCGCTGCTCTGCGCTTCACACGCGCAGCAAAGGAACGCATTCTCAATGCTGGTGGTGAGGCATTGACGCTGGATCAGCTCGCGCTTCGCGCACCGACAGGGTCTGACACTGTATTGCTCCGGGGAAAGAGAAACACTCGCGAGGCTGTCAAGCACTTTGGCATGGGTCCCCACAAGAACAAGAAGCCTTACACCATCTCCAAGGGTCGCAAAGTACGTGTTAAGCGGAATTTTAAGATGCATTGATATCTAACATATTACCTTTAGTTCGAGCGTGCCCGTGGTCGCCGAAAGTCTCGTGGCTTCAAAGTATAAGAAGCTCACAAAATATTCATTGGTACCAGCACGGAAGGCGTCACAATTTCTGTGTGGTCACATATGCATTATGGGTATACTACGAACCATCATCTTTTCATCTTTTGAGCTCTGTATGCCCCACCTATGCATTGCCTATGTTCGAGCGTACGTCTCTGTTAGGAAGGCCCTGCTTCAGAAATGCGATATTTAGGACTGAAATATGATCCAGAAGTCCGAGACGGTATTTGATTGAATATAGGTATCAATTGCCGGTATCCGTCCATAAGTACCCAAGCTTGGCCCATTACTTCATCCTCTTCTGCAATTCCTTCAATTCCTCTGCCACATCATCTAGAGGTGGTGGCATAACGTGAGATTCCGGCGTTACGACCTTGTCAGCGACTTTTCCTTCCTTCTTCTGTAGAGCTTTCAAGAACTTGGAACCGCCAAGCCAGAAGAAAGCAAGTGTTGAGCCAATCATCCAAAAGCCATACCAATGGAGCCTACGCCAAGCCTCGATAGAATCGGTAAAGGTGAGCAGCATGAACGGTGCTGCCACGTAGTTGAGAATGAGGATGCTGACGAAAGTTCCAGTCCAATCGTAAATGAGTTTGATGGTTGTCGTGGGTGCTCCTGGAGGGGGGAGAATCAAAGGACGTAGGTTGGCACGGCAGAGGCGGCCTGCGGTAGTGATGAATCCACCGAAGAAGAAAGTCAGGTAGTAACCTGTTGCGATGCCATGCTACAAGATGATCAGCACAGGTCACACGTAGCAATCCCAAGCACCTACCCAGAAGGCGCTCGTGGCAAAAGTTAACATGCTGCTGCTGAACCCGGGCTTCTTCCCTTTGGGAGTTACACGTTTGTATATACATTCCCTCAGCCAGATGTTCGTATTGATATTCCATGAATCAAGAAGGACCTTAAAGTTCGAAGGGAGCTCGATCTCGAGGACTTTGACGTTGGCGGCACCTTCCCATGTGGATTCGCCTGACGGGCCATATCCAGTGAACCCTAATCCAGTCAGGATACTCGCGCCCTGGTCGCCTATGTTAGCATTGCGTCTACGACAGGACATGAACCGCACCTCTGTGAGCGTCCAAATCGCATAGTACTTAGACCGCTCAATGAATCCAGAAAATTGGAAATATGCCATCCTTCACCCAAACAAGTCAACAAAGCACCACATAGAGTGGAGAAAGGCGAACCTATAGATGAATCCTTGGGTCATGAACCACGGAGTGATCACGATGCCGTAGTAGAACGAGGGACTCAAAACCACGAAGATTCCCAAGAAGACTAAACCAGTCAGCATTTTGCGGTATGCAACTCGCTTTCTGCCGTCTGGAATGGACCTTGTTGAAGTGGGACTGCGCTTGCCTTCGAAGAGTGATTCATCGATCAAGGACATGTATGACGCATAGTCAAGATATGGCCCGACTAGAACACCCGGGAAATAAAAGCTGTCCAAGAAATTCGTCATCCGAAAGCATAGACACATTAAATAAGACTCACGAATAACCAAGAAACTCGAGCAGTGTGGGATAATTTGTGATACGCTTTTGTAATTGCCATTTGTCTAGATTCTGAATTTGCGTAAATCAAAATTTAGGAGTTTTTGGCGGGCAGTAGGGCTTACTTCAGGAGCCGTTCTACCATCCCAGACGTTCCATGCAAAAGTTGTAAGTTTCATAGTCAGCACCATTTGCGGGCCTGTCACTTCAAACGTTTCATAGCTTAGGTTGTAAAATGCCCGTATGATGTGGCTTGGAACGGACATATATCAGCCTTCCGTCCAAACACGTCTTACTTAAATCCCTTACTTGACTGTGAGATGGCCCATGACGAAGCTGAAGAAAGTCCAGTGAGCGCACGTTTTCTGAATTTAGAGGGCAAACATACGTGAAAACAATCCACGGCATGTTAGGGCCTTTTACATTAGCTGCAATGTAATACGTTCCAAGAACACTCCCCAATAGCTGGCCAAAACCCCATGACAGGTTCAAAACTGGTATGAAAAAGAAAACCGAGACGAGCAGATTGAAGAGATGCTTTAGATTGGGTTGAGATGCTGGTATACGAATAAAGAGACTGCCGAGGGGGCATGCTATTAGTAGACATGAAATGAGCTGGCAAAAAAATTCCAGTCGAGTTAGCTCTATATGTCCCATGATAAAAGAGTGCTCCCAACCTTTATCTGGTCCACGGATGAACCGATGGCGGATGCGAGAGGTACAAAGAGCGCATCCATGACTAGCAGTAGCGGCCACAAGCTGGAAAGGCAAGAACCGATAGCTTTTGCAGTGGGGCCAAGTAGGGCCAAGTGCTTACTGTAGCAATGATAGAAAGACCCTAAAACGGAGTCCTTTCTATATATATGTACTGCATGTATTCCCACGCCGATGTCCAGCAAGTACTGATGTTACTACAAGTGTGCACTGCCACTGTACTGTCCACGGCACAACCGTCAAGTTGAACCAACACATCTACCAAATGGACCAAAGGGTTGGGAATATCTGTCTAACACCACCTAACTCCTACGTGCCTCATCCAATAGAGCCCTCGAACGCTCACTACCAGCGTGAAAGACCGGTGATGATTTTTCCGTTGCGTCTGATGTCGACGTGTCAGGTGGGGGAGGCCTCCCGTGATAATGACCAGTCGGAGAAAAGTATGACGAATGAATAGAAGTCCCAGCATTCGAGGGAATGGGAGCAAGAAAATTCAACTCCGAGTTGTCAGTCGTGTGCAGCGTACTGAGGCTTTCGCCGAATATCGCAAAGTGGTTGTTCGGTGCAGGCTCACTTGTCTGTGAAGTAACTGCGAAAGAACCATCCGCAAAAGGGTCCGAGAGCACCTCACTCATCGGCAACGAACTGTCCCCTTGGGAGCGGCATCTTGATCGCCAATGAGATACCCTTTCCACAAGTGGGGGAGTAGGAGTGTTTCCTCTCAGCGTAGCTGGTGTCGCGACCAGTGGAGCTGGGTCTCTCAGCAACCACTCTTGGTAGTCACGGTTCTCATGATCTGACAGTGGAGGCTGTGGGAGTAACCCAGCCCGCCGCCGCCGCCGCCGCCATTTGTAGATTATTACGCCAAGGGCGACAAGAAAAACCACCGCAAAAACAAGTCCCAATATCAGGGAAAGATGACTTCAAAGAGAATAAGAACTTGTCAGACTAGACATGTGCAAAGGCTCACCTGGACTCAGATGTAGACGGAGCAGATGCAACAGTTCCGGTGGACGAAGGTTGGACACTCGCAAGACTAATGCTCCCCAATGTCATTGTTGTTAGATAAGTATGCCCCCCGGATGTCCATTCGGAGGTGATGGTCATCATCACCACCGAAGACTGTGAAATGAGCACATGCGGTCCTTTGGTGATATCTGGTGAAACTGGAGTGGTCGAAGTGCCACTGAATTAAACTTGAACATCAACTGCATATCGATCCTGGTTTCTGAAGCGTACCTCACAATTGCTGTGGTTGGTGTTGCAGTTGTAAGGAGAGTGGTGGCGTCCTGCTCGCTTGGCGTATAATATGACGTAACTACTGTTGTGGGAGCATCTGGGACCGGCGTATCTGTGGATGAACCATGACCAGGTGGTGGTCCGCTACTGTGACTCTGGGTTGTCTTGGTTTCTTCCCCCTTACTACCTTTAGAGTCAGTGGCAAGGGTTGCGGATGGTGCGGCAGTAAATGAAGAAGATGTATCCTCATCAGAATTACCGTCAGTAGAACTGTCTTCATTCCTTCGCATGGCCGCAATGCGTGACACGGCACGGCTCCTGCTGGTCGCAAACGGGGATGACGAAGACGACGATGTTGGGGTTGTAGGTGGACCCAACAGAGATGGCAACGAAATCAACATGTCGTTATTGTTGGGATTATGGGTGAAAAGGGGGAGTTGGGAAGGTCTATCGAAAAGCGCATGACCAGTGGACGAAATGGCCATAGCCACGACAGGTTGAGGAAAAGTGACTCCAGGGGCTCGTGACGAGGAAGGGAGTCGATATTCCCCTGAGATGGTCCCCGAGGACGATGATAAGAAATACGAGTCAGATCCAGATCCAGCAACAGCTTCTGTCTTGCCCGAATAGCGAAGTGGGGAGAAAAATGAATGCTGTGGACTAGCCGAAGGAGCGAGTGGGTAGCTTATAGGCGATGGCAAATACCATCGTACTTTATAGGATGTTGTGGAACACAGCTGTAACACGGGAAGCGAACGTGAGTAAGGCACAATAATTACGACACACGAGGCATATTTGGGAACTGGCTGAATGGAACTTTGTCCGCGTTCTGCTTTTCACCGAGGTTGGCTACTCCAGATGCGCGACTGTTAGGGTGCGGTGTCAAGAGCTTCAACTTACAGGAGAAATAGCTTACTGCGAGACAACGCGAAAGTATCGATAAATCGATTGAGGGCACTGGCAGCAGCCCTGGAGCGAACTCTAAAATGATGTGACGAATTAACGCGGATGGTATTGGTTGTTGATACAAGCATGGGAATCCAACTGGACAGGTGTCGAACCCACACGAGATCATATAGTCAGGGGTGTCGCAGACCTGACGTCGCTGTGTATGAAATGGCCCAGATGGTGAGTACTGAATACGAAGTCAAGTGCTTACTGTTTAGTTGTCACGACGCAGGGAAGGACTCCAGCCAAAAACATTTCAACTTCCACAACCAGATAAATATAAACGAAAATTTTTAATGGGACTGTAAACAAGTAAGTTAGCTCGGTCAAAGATAACTTTGATATGTGACTGTCAGTAGATGCATGGGAAGTTGGGAACATGGTAAAGAACAAAAATTGCATAGACTTTGTATCAATATCTATATACTGATAAATGGTGAGCCATCTATCGATGAGCTGGCTGTGAAAAATCTTCGATTATGAAACTTCGCGTGTCTCCGGCTATTGGTCCACTCCAGAAAGATTTAAAATCCAAGGCAAGCGAGTCCCAAAAGGAAGTTTGGGCCTGATGATAATTCGCTTTGAACGACGCGATGTTATCAGAGGATGTGATGAAATCGAAGTGTGGGCGACGAACGGCAAGGTGAACCAGAAGATGACAGATCAGAATGAAGAGAATGAGGGAAATGATGATAGCACTTCGAGCCTTCAGGGGTAGCTGTGGCTGGAAAGGAGAATACTCGGAGATGCGATCACGAAAGGTGGGCTTAGGGGGTGGTTTTAAGAATGCTATGTAGTACTCAGGTGCGTCGGCGGCTGGAGATGATGGGGTCACAATGATCGCTGGCAATGGAGACTTTTCCGTAGCCAGCGGAAGAGACAAATCTGCAGTGATTTAATTAATGTTGCAACTTGAGACATGCATTCACACGCACCCAAAGGCGCAGGAATCAGGTTGTAGTCGAGACGCTGAGGGAGACGGTGGATACGAGGAGCTGTGTGATGTGTTGGGTCTTCGCATGCGAGATCCAAGTGACTAAAGACTCACCCCGGCGAGTCATGTTGAAGGTGGGAGTAGACTAGAAAGCAATGAAGTGGAATGCTTATTCTTGGTCTGGGCGAATAGATTCTCAGGTTTGGGAATCTTTGCTAGAGAATATGTGGGTAACGATAAAACGAACGTGGATTGAAAAGAGCGTGGGTGTTTTAGAAAAAGTCGAAGAAGCTGCGGTGGGTGCGCAGGCTCCAGAGGCTCTATGCGCTTGCAAGGTGGTGGTAAAGAAATAAAGATATGATGATGACGAGGGAAAGTTCGTAGTGAGGCTAGATAATCTGCTGACCTGCTGACGTAATCGACGGAGTGGCTGCCAATCTCTCCCACTGAGTGCCACCGTCTGAACTTAGAGTCCAGTTATGTCGTTACTCGAGTCTCCTTCATTTGAGACAATAGCTTCAGCAATAAAGTCCACTAGTCACCCGGATGGAAGCTATGTCCTTGCATTGACATCGTTGGGAGATTACTATGTTTCTTCTGCTTCTGCCCCGTCAAATGCAATTCATCTTTTTGACAAGTCATCCTTGCAACGCGTCCAGACCCTTAAAGGTCACGAAATTGCTACCACGGCCTTGCGAACAGTAAGAGGCCTCGGGGGTTCCGATCGGCATATGCTTCTATCTGCTGGAAAGGATGGCTGCGTAATTGGCTGGGATGAACGTTCTGGTGCTCCAAGCATAAAAAGTATGTTTTCATACTTTACCGCTGGACCTTCACGTTTGACAACTCAAGAGTGCTGTTGGTGACTAGTGACGACATCTGGGAGATCTCGTACCGTTTTGTCTTGTGATGCTTCTCATGATGGCTTGACCGTCGCTGCTGGGACGGACCTACAGAAGGAGGACGCCTTTATACTCTACTGGTAGGTCCTACTTTTCTTCAAATAAGCTGTGAACTTCAATATGAAATCAAAGGGACCCTCGAAAGCCAGCTGTACCATTCCGTGTTCACGGCTCAACGCATTCGGACGACATTACTGCAGTGCACTTTCTGAAAAATAGCCCGTCGCCAACGTCTGGACAGATCCTGCTATCCGCTTCCACTGATGGCCTGGTTAGCACATCGAATTCTGCGGAAGATGATGAGGATGAAGCAGTACTGAACGTTGGAAGTTGGGGTTGTAGCATATCTCAAGCAGGATGGATCCGCGGTTCGTCGACTAATCGTGTCTGGGCTGCAAGCGATATGGAGACATTCAGTTGCTGGTCAAATGAGGTATGTTTCACCCGCGCATCGATGACTTATATCTCATGATGCCGCACAAAGCTTGACATGTTGCAGAACTGTGACATTCGCCACCCATCCGTTCATAGTTATGGGCGAACCTGGGTCACCGACTATCTGATAACGTGTCACAATACAAACCGATCTGACAGCAACCTCGCCGTATTTGTTGGTTCGAACGAGTATGTACCATAGTGTGGTCGTGACCTCCGATGTAACATTTCCGCTTAGGGGTGATGTGGCCCTCCTCTCAAGCTTAGATGTGGCAGACTCATCTGCGCCATGGACAATAAATTCGGTATGGGCCAAGGGCCACACTGGAGTGGTCCGTTCAGTCCTCTGGGATGACAATGTACGTTTTCTCGGTAAGGCGATATCTATTGCTTACCTGCAACACAGCATGAAATTCTCGTCACGGGAGGCGAGGATTCAAAAATAAATACATGGCGTTGCCCCATTTCCGGATATTCTTCGGTCGATAAGTCTGCGCGAGATGAAAGTGCAATGGATAGTATGGGCTCCGCTATTTTCAAAAGAGAACGAGATGACGACATGGATATCAGCGAGAGCGAACCGGTAAGGATGTTCCATTATCTGTGACCTCGCCGCGCTTGCTCATCTTGGACTGCCTTAGGATGGTAAAAAAATAAAGCGGTGATCGTGAACTTGAAATAGTGGCGGAGCGGGGACTTGGTTGTCGTTGAAGCAGTGTCGATCGGCTGTCAACCGATTAACAAAGGCACATGTGCCTACTGCTCGTATCTGCCCCCTCAAAAAAATATGCGACCATTTTCAGCCTAACTTACAAGACCTGAGATGGCATTCTCAGCATTTGCTTACATTATGCGGCGTCCCTGCTCAGGGTCCCTGACGCATGTCACAGCCAATCAGTTTTTCGATCGCTGCAAGTATCGTACACTTCCAAAATTCGCACAGCGAACTCCATCAAGGTCCCCGACGGGCACTTTTCCAAAGTCGTATTTTGTGTGTTTGATTGAAAGCACTGTCCCGGGATGCCGGTGACCTGCCTCGAGGACTCGGCAACGAACAACATTAGTCAAGCTTCATGAATTTCCTGCCGGCAATTTTGAAGTTTTTGGAGCGAGAACTTCAGAACCCACTACGTAATCGGGTCCGTTTTATCCTATACTACATGGCATCCAACCGGATTGGGGCTGCGATCAAGCAGTGACCACATATGTTCGCCTCGCGGCTGAGCGCTCAGTCTGAGCCTTTGTTTTTCGCATATCAAGTCTTAAAGCTGCTTCTTCTTCATGCCATGCTATGAATATTTTCGGCCGCTCATGTTGGACACCACCTTGATTTCACTGTTGGCTCGCCGAGCTCGTTGGTGACTATGACTTGTTTCTTCGACGATTTACTAATGTCTGTATCAGTGAATATTGGAAAACAATCACGAACTGCGGCGCTGGCACTTCTCATATATGAACACAGTAAGGATTTCAATCGATGATGTTACTTGCTGACTCTCACTTTCTGGTAGTCATTACCATCGAGGACGAGGTAAATTGTTGATCTGATTGCAGTGACTGCAGCTGTTAACATGCGAGTTGGCAGGTTGATCTCATCTGGTTGAGGAGGAAAAGTTGGGTGACATATCTCTATCATTTTGTGAGTTTGCATGATATAGAAGAATGTACTACATGCTAATGTGCTCCCGAGAACCGCTGGCTTCCAGCGTTATGGCTTACATTTGACATGAGTGAGTGGGAAATATTGATCACTGGTGGTTCTGTTGACTAGCATTCCAAGTACGACAAAGCCCAACAAAAGTGGTGTCATCCAAAGTAACTCTTCTAATACACCCTTCCACCATCTTGCGCTAACCATTCGTCAAGACGTATGTTCATGTTACTACACGAAATCCCCGGGGTTAATTTCATCCATTGGCCTAGTTGTGTCACTTACATGTTGTGCAACAATATCATGTAAGTCGTGGGTCACTTTCCCTTGCTATCTCACTCATGCTTTGACAGTGCACTCCTTATGACCATCTCTGTTCAAAGTAAGTATACAACCCATGCACAATTGTTGCCCATTGAACCTTCATTTGCACCAGCAATCCTGCAGCTTAGAGGGAGTTCTGCGGTTTCATACAAAAAATCAACAACTAACCTCCTTCAAGGTGTGGGCGATTTATGACCGAAGCCGCAGGGTACTCTCTTGGATGATTGTCCTGAGTATAATCGAGGTCGCAGCGATGGCGCTTCTCATTGTCTTGACAATCGCCCGCGTGGAAAGTGAGTCTGGCGATCTCCACTGTAGAATTTAGGTGTAACTTAATGAACTGCTGCCAGAATTTCCGGTAGTTTCTACTCCAGCGGGGTGTCTTTTTGAGGGTATTGCCCCTCTCTCTGCGATCTTTTGGACGCCAGCGCTGGTCATTGAACCTATCATTTGCATTCTCGTCCTCAAGAAAGTTTTTATGGACCGACACCAACGCAGTGAACTTGCAATGTTCCTGGCTCGCGATAGGTTGGCAGTTTTTTATCTTTACAGTAATAGAAATTGCTGACAACCATTCAAGTTTATTATACTTTCTCATGTACGTCCGTCAGCTTCTAGGGTGGTTGTATCATTAGCCGATCATTCGTCCACAGAATATTCATGGAGCTCGTCGCGTCAACCATTGTCTGGGCACGGTTTCCCTTGTATATCGACCTTTTCATGCCGTAAGTCTGGCTCACTGTGTGCTACAACGTCTAAAATAAATTGACAGATGGTCTGTCGCTTTGCCGTCCTTGCTCTGCAACCGTCTTCTGCTCACCATGAGAGGGCGCTTTGCCAGAGAGTCTGAGCCTGTGCGTTCCTCATTGTTGATTGAACTCGCGACTATCCGAACCAGCGCGGATTCATCGAGAATGCCAGATGAAGAGTAAAAGTTGATGTGCGCGTTTGTATACCCCAAGCACGAATTCATTTTGTATGATCTTTCTGTTTACACGGGCATTTATTGTTGTAACATAGTGGGTTAGCACGTACGGGCGCACAGTGTGCGTTGTTGTGAGTTTATTCTTTGTATTGGTCTTGGTCATAAAAAAAATTGCCAGTCTTGCCAAGTCGATCGTCCAGATGTTCTTACGACCCGTGATGTCCTGGATCCGACCTTCCCAACTTGTCTGCCAGTACTAGGGATAAAAGAGTATCTAGGGCGTCATTACGTACTATTTCTGGTCCAAGCCCGATATAACTTGCTTTGGATTCTTATCTGCTCATCAATGCCAATGTCAAGATCCAATATGCAATTTTCAGCCGAACTAACTCTCAGTGAACGATGTAGGTCACAAGCATATATTTATATGAAGGGGTACCAAATGGTGAGTCGCCATCTATTGAAATGTTCAGAAAAAACCCTTAACGAGTCACATGAACCACGCCGCCATCAGCGGCGGACACAATGGTTCTAGGCTGTCCCCATCGGATGAGGTGGGACTTGGTGCCCAAGATCCGAGAGCGAATACACAAGGCGCTGCGATGTTTCCGGTCAGAAACCGCCGTGCAGCATGGAATGCACGTCACAAGAACCCAAGCGAGTTACGCGAGGCAGATCATGAGAAGACTCAGACATCCATTCCGTCTTTGAACTAAGCCTTATGATCACCCCACGGGCTTGCTACCCCACACTGAGAATTTCCAAATGCTAGACAACGTATAAAAGTTAACTTATCGGTCATGCTGCCAGCTTCTAACTCCTCTTTGTTTCGAACTCTGCGACATGCAATTCCTTCGGTTTGCCTTTACAGCAGTGCTGGCTGCTGTCGCAGTTGAAGCTTCCTGTGCGTAACTGTTATGAGGCGATTGTGGATAGATGTTGATTCATCTGGCTTCATCTAGCATTTACATGCAAGAACAAGGCCGTCATCTCATCTTCTTTCATCGGGCAGAACTCAGATGTCCAGGTCGATACGGTAACCTGCTCGAATGTCGTTGGCAAGCGCGATCTTGAAGCGCGCCAGACGAATGTCTGCGCCGCAACCTGTGCGTTGTGTTCAATACCCTTGTCTTCTGGACTTTCCGAAGCTTTTCTCATCGGGTTCAAGGTACTACCAACTGCTTTACTCCATCCGGTGGTGGTCCAAACCCTAACGATTGTCAAGTCATCTCGGATGCTCTCTTGTATGATAGTCAGAATATCGGTGAATAGAGCTCGTGTATCTCTCTTTCGGGTTTCTTCTGATGGCATGCGATCTCCAGGAGCACTTTTTAATATTGCAGTACGTTGAACGAGGTATCTTGATGAACTAAGCTGATGCTTTGAAGTAGAGTGGAACCACTATCTATATGCAGTACTCCACTTGCCAGACGTTCTTCGTGAACCAGGCCAGCTACAACGAGACGTACTGCAGAACCAACTGGGTAAGACTTCTCGTGAGACGTACTTGGTTTTAGTGTCTGACTTTCGACCGTGTAGGCTAACGTCGTCGAATATGTTGCATTCAACTGTCAGTCAACACAGAATGCTCATGGCGGCAATTGTGTCCCTCCTGATCAGACCTGGTTTGTCCAGTGAGTTGTTGTTGTGACTAGTAGCTTGCCTGATTGGACTAATCAAAAACCTTCCAGAGTGCAGACAGCACCCTGAAACTGGGTTGTAAAAACCTTGTTTACGGGTTAAAATTTAGTCATGCTTGTGCTTTATTTATCTGTCCTCGGGCGATTCTCATGAATTACATATACGCTTTAGACCAGTGTCGTGTGTGCTGTGTGTCGGTTCCAGCGGCTATCACGTACCGTGATTGTGTTATGGTATTCTGAGACTGGCTTATACTCTACAACAAAAGGCGATACTACATGTAAGTTGCCACTATATGATGAATGGATAATGATGCAACAGACGAGCATGATGGTCAACATATACACAGCGAGGTATGAGGGGACGTGGATGTCCATCGGTGTCGAAGTTGTCAGAAGAGGTCTTCAAGCGTCATCTGCTTGACAATGTCCTAGGGGTGAAAAGGCTCAGCATCAGCAGTGAAGCTAGAGGAATGTCTCCAACCGTGTTTGACACCATCTGGGCGAACTCTTCGAAGCTGAGTTTCCCATCACGATCTAGATCGCCCTCCATGATCGTCTTGTCGACAATCTGCTGCAGTTGTTGATCCTGCGTGAAAGAAGATATTACCAAATGTTCCAAAATCATTGGGTAAGCACAGACAGACCTTGAGATTATTCCCGACCATCATTTTCAATACCAGAAACAGCTCTCCGTTGGAAATGAACCCATCTCGATCCACATCATAAACCTTGAATGCGACTTTATCACAATGTGAGGCCGTGCTGATGAACCAAAAGGGGAGACGCACATCGTAGCTTCTCTTCTCGCCCTCCTCGACTACTAAATGCGCTCAAACCACCCACAAACTCCTGGAAGTCCACAGTCCCTCCTCCACTGCGCAAGAACTGAGTCGGCCAAATAGCCATCTAAAATCTGACAACGCACTCTTCGTCAAAGATTGCAATCATCCTTGAGGCTAATGGGTTGGTAGCTATTTGTGGTATTTGCAGAAATTCTTCGCGATCTATGGAGCCCGAGCCGTCACTGTATATGCATTCTGAGATCGGAAGCAATGATGGCCAATTGGAGAGATGATATAGACCTGTCTAGCTTCATAAAGCGTTTCTTCAATCTTTCCAGCTCAGCGGATGTGACTGCACAGCACAATCAAATAAGCATCACAAAGAGCAGAGGACGCAGAACGCACAGTTGGACCGCTTCTGCATGTCCTCCATAAACTGTGATGCTGTCCATCGCGGGATGAGTGGAAGATGAATGCGCTATGGAAAGATACGAACGTGTTTGACCCATGGTTTCTATAGCAGGGCAACCTCAAGCAGATATGTGGTTGTATAACTGGATGACAAGAGAGGGAGTATAGGCGGTTTCGTTAGATCCTTGTGCTCAGCCGATGATAGGTAAGGGCAAGCTGTAGTCGTGAGAAATTACGATAAGTCTTTGTAGCACGCGTCTATAACATCATACTGGTCGCGACTGGCGGCGAGCTGGAACTCGAGGGCAGTGAATGTTGCGGCTATGGCGAGCCAGTATTCAGAAAGCTGTGGAGGACTCACGGACACAGCGGAGGGTCCAATTTCGGGAAACTAACTCCCTGCTGATGCCAATTGCATCGGTTGTTCTACATAGAAATTCCCCCTGGAACTGCAGATTACACCGCCTCAACAGGTCATCCTCGCGGTTTCATGCTACTGGGTATGCCAGTCGTAATCATACAACTCTTTCCGCGAAGTCTGAGCCAACGCTCTCTGATGCGCAGCGTAGAACTATATACGCGCTCTCCACTCCACCTGGGAAAGCAGGTATTGCTGTCATTCGGGTTTCTGGACCCGACACCCTTGATGTCTGGCGACGAGTGACGCGCAAAACGAAATCTGGAGACACACCGACACCATGGATGTTCCAGCGCAGGCACGTTGTCGACCCAGAGACCGAAGAGAAACTCGATGACAGCTTGACCGTCTTCTTCAAGGGTGAGTTCTGTTTATTTGCTGTAGGTTGCAGAAAATTGATGATTTGCATTAGGTCCAAAATCGTTTACTACGGAAGATACTCTCGAGCTTCACATCCACTCTGGGCGCGCAGTGCTTTCTGCAGTGTTACGTGCACTTGGCAAACTACCATATTGTCGGCCTGCCGCCCCAGGCGAGTTTACGAGACGCGCCTTTGAGGGTGGCCGACTTGATCTCACCCAAGTCGAGGGCCTGCGCGACCTGATAGATGCTGAAACAGAAGCACAACGAAGGGTTGCTGCCAGTGGAGCTGAGGTAGGAGTCATTGCTGCCTGATTTTAGAACTTACCCCAAACGTTTCTAGGGGACTGCGAGAGCGCGGTATGCAGCACTAAGGTCACAGATACTGGAATGCCTTGTTTTCGTTGAAGGTTTCATTGATTTTGGCGAGGATGTGGACGAACTCGGTCAGGAGGCGATGATTAGAGAAGGCAGGTCCTTCACAGGCTCAGTCGCAATTTTGTCTGAAGTGGTATTAGCTCATGTTCGTGCATCGAATATCATCAGCTGCATTCGATCCCACCTAGATGACAATCGGCGTGGGGAGATTCTGCGTTCAGGAATAAAACTTGCGATATTCGGACCCCCGAATGCTGGCAAGAGTAGCTTATTCAATTTTCTTGGTATGTACTCGACACTCTTTGAGACCTTGATTCGAACCTTTGGTTGTAGCCCAGCGTGATGCGGCTATTACATCACCCATTGCAGGAACTACGCGAGACGTCCTCACGCTCACTTTGGATATTGGCGGTTTTCCAGTTGTTCTGAGCGACACTGCTGGCTTGCGAAAAACATTGGACACTGTAGAGCAAGCAGGGGTGGGCCGTGCAGGCAACGCGTACGTGCAAGTCATAATACACCATATTGTTTTCTTAACCATTCGCTCAGTGTCAAGGAGGCTGATCTGTCTCTTTGTGTTCTATCCCTCCCTGATGTGTTGTCCTCTTTGGACAATGCTCTGGTTCGAATTCCGGATGAGGTTAAGGGCTACCTGAAACCAGATACCCTTTTCTTGTTGAACAAGTCTGACTCCATCGCGAGCCTCCCTCCCAAGCAGTCCCTCACTTTTATGGAATATGACGATGGCTGTGATAACGGTAAACGACCTCAGTTCTGGACGGTGAGCCTTCGCACATCCGAGGGCACTCAATCGTTCTTGAATGGTCTCGCGGAGGTTTTACGAGCAAGGTACTTTATATACGTCAAATATCTACCGGCTGGATGGTCATACTGACCTTTCTTGCCAGATACACAGATGGTTTCGATTACACAAGTCCTCTCATCACGCATGCTCGCCATAGGGATTTCCTTGAACAAGCCGTCATACACTTGGAGGAGTTCATTGCCTTCTGTAAGTACATCCGATGCGCCCCCACTGATGCATCTTACCTATGTCCGCTCTACCTCACAGCTCCTTCGCAAGTGGATATCGCCGCGGAGTCCCTACGTTATGCAGCTCGTGCGATTGGTTCTGTTTCTGGACTAGATGTTGGCGTGGAGGAAGTTTTGGGCGGAATATTCAGCTCGTTTTGCGTTGGCAAATGACTGTTAATCCTATGTGATGCCACTGTCAATGCATGATGTTCCCCGACTCGTAGAGATCCGTCTTGACCAATCCCAGCCAAGTGGTTACGAACAATATTCGTCTTGGATGATGTAGGTTTCCAACTTGCCGACAATGTGCCTTTCTGTTATCACGCCTGGACATTCACTCATGGCCACGACAGTTCCTCAGGGGCCCATCTTGACCAGTCTTAACCGAGTCTCTTATTGCGGGTCTGGAACCTGCTCAACATTTTTTTCCCTGTCACTACGCCTTGGACATTCACTCATGGATGGATCTCTCAAGGTCTATTTTAAGTGGTCGTAGCCAAGTCACAGTGGTGTCTTGACAGATTGGAATCAATTCCTTCTTAGGTGGTGCAGATTCGAAACCTGCTCACAAACAGTCCGTTTCTCTTATCACGCCTTGCTCGTTTGCTCGTGGACAGTTCCTCGGAGGTCCATATCAACTTGGTCTTGGCCAAAGTTGGTATGAAAAACAACATATTTGAAATCTGTCACTGTGCAGGTTCGAAACCTGTCGACAACAGGTTTTCAATCGGAACGCACTGATGGTTCCTCGGAGGTCATCTTAACTGGTCTTAGCCAAGTGGTTACCGCAACAGAATCAAAATCTGTGTATAGATCCTTGGAGGCGCATCTTAACTAAGCCAAGAATTGCGCCGAATCCCCCTTTTTATGTGAGTCTGTCCATGACAAGGAATTCACCTTCACGTCTCGCGAGGACGATCTCATAAACATATTTATCCCCGTGCCCCACTGCGATACCTGGCCGTCACTAGTACTGACTCGATTACTAATTTACGTAGGTTTTCCTTCCGAAGTGCCAGCTCGGCAACTTACTGTCTCACCGTGTCACCACCTCTGTCATCCTCAAAATGAGCGACCAGTCAGTGCGGAGGCACAGCAAAAATAATGCTGCAGTATTGGCAGTTCCACCTTACATCTTCCTTGGACCTTATACGTCCGCGTCAAGATCTTTCATTGATTCAGTAGGTATTACCCACATCATCAGCATCGGCAGGGCGCCTGTTTGTCCCAACCACCCTCATGTCCAATACCACCGCCTGCAACTCTTGGACAAGGATGCGTCCTCTATTTATACAGCCATTGATAGAGCCAACCAGGTCATCACTGATGCTAGGAACAATGGAGGGAAGGTTCTCGTCCACTGCGTCGCGGGGGTGTCTCGCTCTCCGACGATCATCGCAGCCTACCTTATCTCGAGATGCTCTGTGTCACTGAAGGATGCACTTGGGCTGCTTGTGCGCGCGAGGCCTGCGGTGTGCCCGAGACAAGGATTTATCGCGCAATTAAAGGACTTAGAAATAAGGGCGAGGGGGTGTTGTTCACTCGATGTGGACGTTCTTCCTGGTTCGAAGGAGGCACGTTTGGCGCTCCTTGCGGGTTGAACGCTGATTGGTGACTGTATGTTCTTAAATGCACCTGCAGGGCCATAGCCTTAACGACACACTTTAGGGTGAAACATGTCCCAGCTTCGTCATGCAGCGCCAAATGATACTGAGCTCAGCCAAGTGTGCTTATACTCGCTCCATGCAGCTATTTGCATATCTCACTGACATGCGTTAATCGCTCGTCAGGTTGACAGTTCCCGACTACGCTTGCGAAGAGAAAATGTTCTTCAAGTTCATCCCATGAGAAAGTACGTACGACTATGTGGTACATAGTTAGTGCTTATCTTGTTTCTTCGGTGTTCAATTGCAATAAGATTTACGACACTGAATTAGGGAACGTAGATAGTCACATCAGGGGCCTAATTAGGCCTCGGCGCCGGCCAGAGCGAAGCGCTTCCGCTAGAACCATCGGAACGTAGGTCGTAACTTCATGAGGAATTCATTGGTAGAACGTTTTCATTGTTGCAGGAGAAACGGAATGTGATGGATACTCCCGTGGATAAAGTGGGATAAGGAAGACGGCCCGCGTTTCTGCTCAGAAATCTAAGAGCGGGAAGCTGCCGCCTACCGCCGCTGAGCTGAGCGAATTAGGCAACGCGAGCAATCTAGCTTTCATAGATCTGGAGATGGACGCACAGGAAGACACACACCAAAGGGACAGCCAAGAATAAACAAGACGGCCATTGCCCAGTCCGCGGGAAATAATGTTTATTAGTTCCTGGGGGATTCAAAATGGGGGAACAGCCTTGTGAGGAGTCCAACGTGCCGGGTATCCCAGCACCGTGTACGCGAAAATGAGAAACAACGTACCGAGCATACGCACCAGAACTTCAGAAGGGCTGCAAGGTTGAGTAAATGCCGAGCATAGTGCACAAGAGAAGATTAATTTCCCGTACGTCTAACTCCGGGCAACAAAAAAAGGAGCATGTCACTTGGCGTGGTGCCTGCGAAGGAGAATGATCTCACGAAATTGCGAAAAGGTTCCTCCTAGGGGACAAGTTGTACATACACGTTAGGGTTGTCTGAGAGGAACATTACCATATATGCGGAGCCTTGCAGAGCACTTTGTGATATGATTCTGGAACGGAGCATGACGGGTAAGTTAAGGATGACGGACCGGAAGAACCCGAAGGATTGGTTACCCTTGTATGGAATTAGTGACACGTGGTTTGGAATTAATGATTTATACTCCTGACAAGGCTCTGCATGACGGCTCTGTTCATCTCTCCTCCGTTGCCTTCCGCCACACCACCAAAGTCGCTTCACCATGAGCATGTCTGTAGATGACCTCGTAGCCTCACTCAATGCAAATCACATTGGTCAAGAGGCTATTGACCTTGCAGCTCTTCAGGTACGCTATACAAACCTTATTCCCCCTGCCCCACAGTTGCTTATCTGGCCCTGTCATGCCGCCACAATTTCCAGGCGCAGCTCGCGCAAACGCTATTCGCGCATCAAATTTCACCCTCTTGTGCGTCTTCTAGCTCGCCCCACTCGTATGGAAATGCGAGTGCGAGTAGGTATGACCCTGCACACGTGCAACACTGCACCACCCCTACGACGCGCACCCCTTCTTCATCTATCTCGTGGCCTGCCGGCTATATGCCCATAGAACTCACTCAGAAGAAGCGCAGCAACAGTATCGTCTGTCCGCGCTCCCGTCGACCGAGCGTCGACGAGGGATGGTATGACCCGGACGAGTTGGATGAGGAACGCATGGTTGAGGACATGATAGCGCCGTCCACCCCTCAGTCCCCAAAAACCTTCATCTGGGGTTACACAGGCTTGAAAGCTGCACCAACCCCCGCGCCTACGCCTATCACGATGGTCGGCACGCCGGTTGAATCGCAAACTCTATTTACCACCACAGATCCATTTTATCTACAAGTCTCTCAAGCAAATGCGACTCCACAACCTCCTTCATCCTTTTTCACTAATGCGGGCCACCCATCTAATCACTCGCCCTTTGTGAGGAGCAATTGGGAGAGTGCCCCTACCCAATCCGCTGCTTGGGATCGCTGAGCTCCGGGAATGCGTTCAAGCTTTCCCCTGTCTCTTGAACATCACCTGAACAAATGTCCCCATGATCCCATCTCAACCAGTTACATCTTGCCATGTACATTTTATGGTACCAATGCGTGCCTCACGACCTCCCCCATTCTGCACCCTCGTCCACGTGCGGACTTGCATCGTGATTATTTAACCCAACCACTGCCGAACCCTTTGCTTCGCAGGAAATGAGGCATCAATGAATTTTAGATCAGCCATCGCCGCATCGGCCCGATATTGAGCATTATGGTTATAGTGGGCTGGGTTCTGAGCTGGGTTCTGAGCGAATTTGTTTTCGCCGTTGTGGAAGTGCTTTGCGGAGTTGATCCTGGCAGATTTTCATCCAGATGCGCTTCCACGCAGTCACATATTTGTTTTCTGTCGTGTACCTACATATCGGCCACTGGATTACGGATACAGGCCGATCTATAGTAATTTACAACAAGTTCTTCCAAGAAAGAATCAGGAGTTATTTGTCTGATATGACTGAATGACTCCTGCCAACAAGACCACTAAAGAGTGCAGAATCAAATGTTATAAATTGTTGATATTCTTCCTGTATATGAATGGTGATGAGAATCGCCAAGATACGCAAGTGGATACATACCTGAATTATGCTTGGACATGCTTCTGCCAGCTTAACACAAGTCGATTGCAGAAGAGCTTTGTATTCTAGCGCCAGGCTACTTGCACCTGCATACCAATAATTACAAAGGATTTCAGCTAAGGGCAAATTACCTACCTGTCTCATCCACAAGCTGGGTATGACCTTCACATTCAATGTTCGCGGCACCCGCCCATGCGCGTCCAATTGCATCAATGATATTGCACTTCCATAGATACATTCGGGGGGCGCAAGTTTCAATGCAAATACATAGTGCACGGAGTGAAGACACCTTGAGCCTCAAATCGATGGCAGGCGGCGGGGTGGGGGAGGGGACAACTGACGGGATAAGAGTATGGGTCAATTGGGGAATTAATGCCTAAAATCGACCAGCCATTGTAAGTTACTCGCGAATGCTGAGAAAGTGGTTTAGTAAAGGTGTACCTTGAGCCACCTTGCAGCGCCTATTCCGATGTGGGTAAGTACAGGCGGAAGCATGTCTGTCGCCGCGAGGATTGCCTCTGGATCTGCATATGCATATAGGAAGACAGTGCCAATAAGGCAGGAACCGAGGAGTGTGGATAGATGTTCATATCGGGTGGCCGGGTTTGCGCGGGAGGATCCCGACTTGACTATGGTGCGGTCTGAGGAGGGAAATCCTGATGCCGGGGGAAGCGGAGCCGGTGAGGATGGTGTGGTGAGGTCAATCAGGTGCAGGGTGATAGGAACGGCGGCGCGAATCAGATCCGGGGTGAGCGGATCGCGCAGGTGGTTAAATGTACCACTTAAAGACTGTATTGATTAATATCAGCAATCGAGGCAATTGAAATTTACGCGCGCCGTCAGGAAAGGGGATGATGATGGGGTGCATCGTATTAATTTGAATATGATCGTGACGTACGGTGAATAAAAGGCCGTCAACTCCAGTACGCTTAAGAAGCTCTGGAGGAACACGAGACAGCAAGTCAGATACGAGCTGAACTCCACGCAGTTTGTAAGATGCTTCGAAATCATCGAGGAAAGTCATCACTGGAGGGAGAATCAGGTGCCAAACGGATTCATACGTGCTGCTCTATGGTTGAAGTCAGAACCTAAGTTTTTGGGGTTTATTCATCTGCTGCACCTACTTCGATGTTTCGTAAACACCATCCAAGGACATTTCCAGTTCCGATACGCGTCTTCCATACCTGTCCCTCATACGCGTCTTGCGTATCCGCTGGCTGATGCAGCTTGCGCCCTGTCTGCAAATTAAGCCGTGGATGTGGATTGGCAGCGAAAGCGGGTTTGAGGTGATGCGTCAGGATGCGCGTTAGCACCAGAGGAGGGATATGTGGCTCTGTAAGCGGGTCGAGGATGGCTGTAATGCTAGTGAGACACCGTCAAGGTAGTCTAGTCTAAAAGAAGTCATACATAGTGCGAGAGACGATGCGTCATCTGCGATCCATTCACCAGGACCATCAAACACAGCTACGGATGCAGCAATGTCTGCCTGCTCGTCGACCGGTAGGCTTTGGATGCCATGTCGCGTCGCGAGCAGATCGCGAAGGCTTGTGAGGCTAGCACAAACGTTGATTTTCCATCTGACGAGTTGATCAAGGATTTGTTCATCTGTGAGCCTGTCAAAGCGGGAGAATTCTTGAGGAATGGAAAAGGCCGCAAGCAGATTGGGAAGTGTCGAGGAGCTCATTGCTGTTCGATTATCGCTGTTTGAAGAACGGACGCGACGTGACTTCGGCTCGTGACCCGGTTATACCCCACACCAACACCTTCAAAGCTTCAACTGCTCAAAATATCACTCAGAGCTCGGAACTATCGTTTGGACAAAATCAAACATGAACGCTTCCTTACTCAGTATGCTTTGCAAGCATCGTTTTCGATAATGTATACTGAGCCATCATACTAAGATCCATTTACCGTTACGCACCCGACTGCTGTACAAACCTCCCTGGTTTCTGGTGCATCGTTTGCTCGGTTTGATTCAACTGGAAAATTCGTCGCGGCAGGCCGGTCGGATGGCTCAGCTGCTATTTGGGATCTCGACACCCGTGCTGCTATACGGTGGTGTGAAGGTCACGTCAAGGCTGTAACAAGCGTCGAGTGAGTTGACGCAGCATTTCTCAGCTCTCCCGTATCAATTAATTCCTATTTAGCTGGTCGCGGAATTCACGCTATGTCCTGACGTCGTCCAAAGACTGGAACGTAATTATATGGGATCTAGCTTCTCCAGTGGATCCTCCACAACGTCACAATACGATACGATTTGATGCACCAGTCGTCAGCGCATATTTTCATCCAAGAAACAGGTGCGCATCGGTTCTTTGTTTCTGTTCTCACAAGTTGATGATGAATACAAGCGTAGTCGCGTAGTGCTTGCACTACTCAGCACGGGTGAGGCATACATGGTTGACTCGCGCAAGGAGCACAGAGCGAGAGTGGAGTTGTGCGAAGCCTTAAGCGAAGATGATGACGACGAACGGGCACGGTATTTGACTTGTTTTCTGCTTTATGATCTGGACTGACGTAGCGACGCAGTTCCATCATGACTACCGCGCGATTTGATCCGTCTGGCAGGCACGTATTTGTCGGTACTTCCACCGGGAACGTACTTGTATTCAATAGCAGAACGAAAACTGTGAGGATTTTCAGCCTATCATGGAAAGTGGATCTAATGGCATCAAAGATGGTCGCACGGCATCGCATAGCAGGTGCAGGTAGCATGAAGAGTCTGGAGTTCGCGAAGGTTGGGCGGTAGGTGCCCTATTCTCCGATATATTCATTCTGCTTACGCTACGTTCTTTAGACGCTTTGCTACTAATTCCTCGGATCGCACCATTAGGCAATTCATCCTTCCCACTTATCCTTCACCCATCGTGGGTGTCGAATGCGCGATTTTAGAAACAGAGCTGGAGCCTACTCATAGATTCAACGATCCCATCAGCAAGGTCTCGTGGCACGCTATGTCTTATAGTCCTGACGGGGAATGGCTCGCTGGAGGTAAATTGCTACACATCGTTATTGATTTGATTTAGACTATTTGGGTGAGGACAGGTGCGGCAGATCCAGCGACGCACAAAATCTACATTTGGGATATTTCAAATGACGGTCAATTTGCGACCGCTTTGGACGGCGGTAGAGAACCTCTTATTGATATCCATGTACGTCTGCTCGGTCATGTTACTAGTCGTGGCGGTTATAATCATTTTCAGTGGCATCCACAAGCCTCTCGGCTTGCCTCAACAACTAATCAAGGTTCTGTACTCATTTGGCATTGTCCCTCTCCAGAGCGGTGGGGTGCCTTTGCCGGCGGCTTCGAAGAAGCAGATGAGAATGTGATGTATGAGGAGGGAGAAACTGAATTTGATATTGTAAGGTGTATTTTCCGTTCATATTCTACCCTTTTACCAATGATGACTAGGAGAATGAAGTTGAACTCGCAATGCGGAAAAAGCTCCAGGAAGATGAACATGTTGACATATTAGGTGGCGTTGATGACGTTGTTGATCACAAGATGAATGGGGTTGCAGGAGATCCTGGTGATGAAGACCTCGAATGGGCTGATGACGAGCCGGATGATGATTGGCAGGGGTGGAGATTAAAGGTGATTATGGTTGATGATGACGATGCTTACTAGGGTTATCGATTTGTTTTGCTTATTATTGTTAGGACCATCAGCTTTCTACGGCTCCTGTCTGAGTAGGCAGCTTGTTAAGGTTTGAATTTCTTCGGTTAATAACGCCGATGTTGTTTCCTGTAGCGTGATATGGTGGTCTGCTTCAAGAGCCATAGCGGCACAAGGCTCATACTTTCCATTTTCCTGGTACGCTCCCGATATTCAAGCATTCGCAGAATGAAAAGCAGATCGATCGGTGCCGACAGACTGCCCTCTTCATCATCTCCGTGAAGTCAATTGACTATAATCATCATTTATTGGGGCAACTGTAACCGGGTATAGAGGCACTACATAAACCTGCTCTCTTAAGTGGCACTGTCCAGCCTTGGTTCGATCAAGTCCTGACTGTGCGAGATCCTAACTTATGCAACAATAGTAAATACTCAAGCCTCTGCAGGTCTCTTAGATCTTGGGCCAGTGGATCTGAAGTCAGAGGCTTCAATGACAACCTGTACCATAAGTATTAAGCAACTATAAAGTTATAGGGTAGCTATAGAGTTTATTATCTACATTCAAATATTACTGGTCGGACGCCACGCTTGCATCGTCTCCTTCTTCTCTCTCGACTTCGGCCCATAGCAGCTCCTCAACCTTCCTACCCGTTTCCACATCAACCTGATCCAACATCTCGTCCCTCTGCAAATCATCTTCTAGAGCCTCCTCGTCTGTCTCATCCGAGAGCAAGGAGTCCTCCAACGCATCGCACGAATCCTCATTAATCAGGGCTTTCGAGGGAAAACATGCATCGTAACTCGGGAAGAAAGTGCCCACAACACCGAGATCAAACGAGGCGGGAGCGAGAAATGCAGGTGTATATATTGCACGATGAAGCGAAAATGCAATGTCATAGCTTTGCGCGTCAGAAGAATTTCTGGCGGCGTTCGCTCGCTCGCCCTCTGCATCTGCGAGGGGGCTAGATTTTTTCTTGCGCTTCCGTTTGTCTGGGGATAGATCGTACCGATCAAGGAGCCTTGAGAAGTGGTCTTGCTGACTCAAGGTCCTCACGCCGATCGTCTTCAATGCATGTTCGACGGCTGGTTGGTTTATCTGGCAGACACGAAGACACGGGTGAGTTGACTCGGCACAGGAACGGGGCATTATTTACCTGGTGCAGCGCACCTCTCCAAACCTTTTTCTGGCCCTTGAGCTCATTACCTTGTTCCTTCCACATGGTCGCGCGGTGTATTACATCCGTTGTGAATGCGACCACCGATGCTTGAAGGTACCGTATTAACTCTGGGGAGATGAAGGTGGCACCAGCATCATCCTCTGAGCATTGCTCGAGTGATTTGTATATCCTGTATCACAATGAATGATAAACAGTATTGAGATTTGCGATCAAGACGTACCCCATGAGCTTTCCAAAACGTCCGAGATGGAAGAGATCCATATCTTGTTCACCGAGATAGGATGCATTGATCCCAGCATTTTCGAACTCAAACTTGATTTTCTGGTAACGGGTTTTTCCACCCGCGTTAATACGCTTCTTGGTGGTCGCCTCGCCTGCGTCCCCGAGGTCGTTGTAATCGGCTTGAGAATCAGGTTCAGTAAGATCTGGAGTCATCGTTGCCCTAATCCGCACGTCTTTCTTCCCAGAAGGCAACCACTCCTCTTTCTCGGTCTCTTCCACCTCTTTAGCCGCCTTTTCTTTTCCCTTCCGCCCAGGCTTCTTTCTTGCAAGGGTCACTAGTGCCACATCTTCACCTCGGAGCTGCGCACGCTTTCGTCGCATGTAAAGTCGTTTTGTCAGGCGTCGGCGAGACGAGGGAGAGAGTATGTTCAAGTCCATTCCGGTGTCCGGGTCCTGCGAGATCACATCAGCACTCCCTTCACGGCTCAGGCTCTTCCCTTTCTGTGCCTCCTCATCCTCGCGCAGCATTGCATCTAATACTTGCAAATGCATGTCCTCGAGATTCTTAAGCAGATCGTCTCGTTCCCAAGCAGCGATCTTACGTGCGTGCCATTTTTCGAAGCGAGCTTTCCCCGCAACGACCTCAACGCTCATTGAATCGTCCTGAGCGTTATCCCTCTCTGAATCACCACACCCTATGAGTTCGTCTTCTTCAACTTCGACCGTGATGCGCCTCCGTTTTCCTCTCGGGATCATATCCGCCTTGGCGTCCCTGACCCTCTTTCTCCTTAGCGCCCCCAGTTGCTGAAGTTCCCCACGGGCCTCTTCGACAGTCAGAGCGGTAGCCATGGCCTCTTCGGCGACTACCCACTCATCCGATACTTCGATCGCGGCAGGGGCAGTCGACAGGATGTCACTGGTGTCGGTGGCGCGAGAACGCGTGCAGGAGTCCAGAGTAACGAGGAACTCTGCAACTTCGACCTCGCCTTTGGTCTTTACGGCCTCTGCAATCAAGTCTGGCCGCCAGCGAGAGTAGACCGACACCGCGTGAAAGAACACGTCTACCTCTGATTGGGACCAAGAAGAAAGTGAAGAACTCCAGATCGTTGGCTTCGATTCACGTGGCGGTAGCTCAGAGTCCTCTTCAATCTGTTCAGGAGAAAAGATAACATCATCTTGGCAAGGAGGGGGCGTGGACTTGATTGAAGGATCGGGACGGGTGCCGTCATAAAGTGTGATAGACCCAGCGAGGTGGGCTCTGGTATCTCGCAAGTGTGCACGAAATGATGGAAGGTAACCTATATAGACGTCGGGCGCGTCTGCAAGGCCATGTACGGCTAGTCTATTGATATCCTGACGGACCTCTTCATCCTCTGCGTCTGATCCAGGCATTGAACGACTGGAGCGCACAGCAGGCATCTGTTTATGTTGGTGGCGACAATGAACTGTAGAAACTGCTTGGAGATTGCACACGATCTACATAGGAAAGTAGAAATCGAAATACAAATCAGAACGATGGTAGTGCAGTCGGCAGAATCTCGGCGAGTTGATCTGCATTGGGTTTGTCGGAGCTAAAGGCTGAGTTTGAAGTCCGAATGACGGTGCCGACACGCCGTTAATACTCATACAGCTAAGTTGAAACCAAGTTAGTATACTCCGTCGACTTTCACTACAATGTCCACAGCACATAGACCGACCTGGGATCCTGCACAAGCTCGCGATGTCAAAGGTGGCTCTCGCCAGTTCTCTGTCCGAGATATGGCAGCACACACGAAGCTCAAATTCCGGTACTAGTATCTATGCTTACCACTTTCAATTTGCGAAGCTTACAATATGCCAGGCAAGCTGGACAAACGTCCGTCGGGGACGTCGCACGGAGAGACTTGCGCACAGAGCTACTAGTAGCGGAGGAAGAAGCACGGAACAAGAAGCGAAAAGCAGAGGGGAAGCCACCGCTACCGCTCACAAATGGAAACGCGACGGAGGGCACAGCAGGGGATGAAGCTAACAAGAGGAGGAAACTATTGGAGGAAGCCCTGGAGCTGGACAAGGACGATGACGATGACGAGAAAGAGGAAGCAACCGAGTCTAGAGGGCGGGAGAACGGGGAAGAGCAGGACGAGGAAAGGTGAGTGTCCCTCTTTGGACCCCGTCATTGAGTGCTACTCCTTGACAGTGAAATTTACAGTGAAGAAGAGTCAGATGAAGAAGACGAGACCGCTGAGTTGATGCGTGAGTTGGAGAAGATTAAGAAAGAGCGAGCAGAAGAGAAAGCCCGTCAAGAGCGTGAACAGAACGCGAGTGCTGCAGTAGCACGAGAAGCTGAGATAGCTACCTCAAATCCTCTATTGAATCTTGCCGCAGCATTAGGACAGTCACCTGGTGTAAATACAACTGTACCAGGGACATTCTCCGTGAAACGGAGATGGGATGATGGTAAGCCACTGGTTCCTTCACCATTCGTCCTCTGCTAACATTGTTCGATTCAGACTTAATATTCAAGAACCAGGCAGCAAATCAGAAAGACAAATCTGGCCAATTCGTCAATGACCTGCTACGGACAGAATTTCACAAGTGCGTTCGTTACGTCTTATTGCTGCGCCGCGTCTGAGCGTCTTGAACGCAGAAAATTCATGGCGAAGTTCATTAAGTAAAGAGAATGAATCATGTAAATTATGATTGCTGTATTGCAATACCCAGCTAGGCCTTGCGTCCACCGAGTACAAGAAGCTTCTGTCATGCTGTCACATAAGTGGAAACGGAAGGAACTGTTGTACGACATCCAGCGGTGCACGACTCGAGTCCTTTTGGCGACATCGTAAAGTTTCAGTCCTTCTGCAAAGTTCCTCGTGATACAGGATGTCGATGGCGTGGAGCGATACATGGTGCATCGACAAGAGTAACAATGTCGAGCTTCAAGAATTGGTTAACTCCATGTTCGTCTGGTATCACCACTCAGTCCTCAAGGCCTCACGGTTGTTTGCCTGTCGGATGTCCCACCTTCACTCAAGTCTGGCGCATTGGCAAAGAACACTTAAATCACGCGAAAATGAACGGTTCAATGATATCTGGCTCCTAAAATCATTCTCTTCTACCAAAAGGATTGGAATTGTGATCATGCAGGAGGTGCATCACTACAATACAGGAAGATATTGCATACTCATTCTTCAGCATCTTAAGCGTTCACTTATCTCCAATATATGGTGAGAAGAAGCTAAATAAATTTGGGCAGCTCTCGTGGCTCGGTCGGGCGACATGACCGCCATGGACTGTCAGGAAATCACCCGGGTTCAATAGCTGTCTACCAGTCGACATCACTGCATACCAAGCTCCGCCATGAGTTGATTCAAAATCTCATTTACGAGCGTTGCGACTGATCGTTTGACTTGGGCTGCCTTTTCGCGCAATTTTACTAGCGCAGCAGCACGGAGATGAACACGCGAGAATCGCATCGGATCACAATATTATTGTCCGACTTAAAGACACAGCTTCTGCTTGCAACATGATGGACTGCGTTAGGACAGTAGAAATATTGTAGCTGTGCGCATTTAAAGAACGGATACAGAGGAGATTAACGTTGATTATTTAAATATTTATACCTTGACAGTACCTTACTTGCATACACACTGTAACATACTACTCCGTAATCGTATTATCTAGATCTTCTTGATACTCGTCCGATCATTTCGCTCTCCCAGGTCTGTCAATGCTTCTGTACTCAAGTACTCACTATGCAGTCACGTCAGGCGCGCGCGCTTTGAGAAGATCATCCTTCAAATCTCACTGTCAGCCGATAACCTGCCAAACACTGTTTCAATTTCATCCCCAGCTTTGCATGCAGGGTGCTATCGCAATCTATATTATAATACGCTACAGTCAGTCGTTTGATAAAATCACCGCGCAAACATCCTGGACACCACCCACATACCCGGGAACCTGGTATTTCCATACAGATAGATTCCTTGACATCTTCACGAATTCGGAGGGTAGAATTTCCTCATTAGAATTCCTTGTGCCCCGAGGGGATGAAAGTAGAAATTCAGGTTGACCTGACCACATCATAAATACATGCACGCATCTGGGTATTGTACCTAAACTTAATGCCAAAAGGCCTATAGCTCGTCTTTGGCTGGCTCATCCTCCAGTGGGCGACACAGCGCCGGTGTCGTTCCTGTAATTTGGTACTCGCACTTTTCCAGCTCTGCCACCGTTAGTAACGCGTTTTCAATACCGCACGTGAGGACGAGCTTATAAGAACAGATCAATGTTATGAGGGAGAAAAAAGAAAAGACAATGCTGACTTCAACGCTGCGATGGGGGCCATTCCAGCATTTGGCCCCCTGGGTATAATGCTGTTTGGTATAATATTCCAGCTCGCCAGGTTGAGCAGCTTTGTTCCAGGACGAATATTTCCTGGAGGGAAAATACGTGAATACCTTCATAGCAACGTATCCCAGAACAACATACCCAAGACTGAAGCCAGAACCGCCGCTATTGGGAATTTGCCTCGCCTCGTCAAAGAGGCAAACCTCATAAGTGTACCTGCGCAAGATGGGTACATATCCAAGTATTTCTAAGCAGCGACACTTACTCTCCGGTATCCTTTGATAAGCACGTGCCGTCAAGTTTTTTCCACTCGCCTTCTGGGCCAAAGCCTTGAGGATCAAAGAGATCGAGGAGGCCTTCTTTTGTATCTTGTTGCTCATCACGGACCAGCTTGAGGCTGTGCTCCGCATCCGAAAGGGCCACACGTGCACGATTTGATTCTGATGTGGGGTGAGCACATGCATTCGGTCACATAAAAAATAGTTACCGGCAGAAGTGTCGAGTGTGCCTCCATGCCCAATCCCGAAAATTGATAGAGCCGAGAGGACAGAGTCACGGAAACTATGGTAGGATGGGAGCAGAGCGTCGGGAAGGTAGGCCGAGATGTCAAGCACTTGAAACTGGTCAGTTTTTGTGGTGTCAGCAATTACCTCTAACTTACAGAGGGATTGAGCCGAAGCAGGCCCGACAAGCTGGTCATGTTCTAGCAGCAACGTCACATGATCTGCCTTCAACAACTGATCCAACTCCTTCTCGATCTTTGCTGCATTCCAGAGACCTTCCTCTTCAATAGCGTCCTCTGTTTTCAGCTTCTCCGCAGTGACATCGGCTTCTCCATCGTCACCCTTGCGCACGTCATTTATATGGGGCAATTCTGCCAGTGTTTCCCAGCCCCGCACAGCCTCGAGGACGGCCATATCTTGATAGTTAGGGTTGTAGCCTGCGCGGAGTGAGGTCAAGATATCACCAAGAGCTCCCTCGCGTTCCAGGTGCTTCTTGTGTTCTTTCTGAAGGGACTTCAATGCGGTATGATGTACGAGGAGTGACTGGTAGAGGGCTGGAACATACTGGTGAGATGAAATCGCAGAGAGTATGTCAGTATACACGTACGGGATTGTTTCTTACGCTCCAGCTCAGCGGCCGAGAGGGATTCTGCGCGTTCTGCAATGTCTGAAACGTGTTGTGTTACCACAAGAGCCCCCCAATCTTGGACTAACACACCTCGTAATCTCTCCACCTCTTTCTCTCTCGTTTCAATTTCTTTGACAAGATCAGCCATGAGCGCCTCCAAGCGCTTTTTCTCCTTATGCGCGTACCCAATGTATGAAGATCGTATCTTGGACCCCTAAACCCGTGTGAGTTAGGCATAACTTAAGTTGCGCGTGGGTCTGAGTGCTCACAGTCTTTCGTAGCTTACGCTCTGCATCCGTCTTCTTTCTGTGTTCTGCTCCGACCTCCTGGCAAGTGTTCGGACACACGCCTGAAGGCTCGTCCGATCCATCGCAACATTCCTGCTCTATATCCAAATGAGCATCATGAACTCACGCTACCACATGTGCAAACTTACCGCAAAGCCCGTCGTTAACATGAGAGCTTTGTATAATGGCTCCAATATGCCCCTCATTGCGGCAGTAGAACTTGTTATTGGGACAGGCACTCGTGCCTTACAGAATATAAAACTACGTCAATACAACTTAGTTACCTGACCAGAACCACCAGGACTCGCACCTGGCTCATCGCTGCCATCCGGACAATCACAATAATCATCATTTACCGCACTCCAGGCAATTTCCTTTGAACCATCTAAACACGTCCATTTCTGGTGCGCTCCCTTCGTGCTGGGTACGTATTTCGACACCAGAGAGGGCGGAACACCATGGGTCTTGTCGAGCGCTGCTAACGATGGAAGGGCGAGAGCAAGAAACAGCCAGGGATGCATTATTGACCCTGATATTTCAGTGGAATGCTTGTTCACTCTCTCCCGACACGCGACGTGTCTCAACTTGATCGGTGCCACAGTTACGTCAGCGAGTTTGATGCGGCGCCTGAATACCCGGATTTCGCCGAGAGATTGGCGGTTAGGCCAGACCAGGTGCAGTTCATCGACATCGACGAAGAGGCCACGACATTATGGTGAGTGTCCTCCCATTGATGATTATTTCCAGGGAAGAAAGCATGAAACATGCCGGGTCGTTGGATTGTGGAATGTTCAGAGTGTTGCAGCGCTTGGATGCCATGTCAATCATATAGATGTATCGCTGACTTGACTACCTTTGATTTAGGCCAAAGCAAAAGCTCCACCACCATCGTCTGGCGGAAAGGCCGCTAAGAAGAAGAAGTGGTCGAAGGGAAAGGTCAAGGACAAAGCACAGCACGCCGTCGTCTGTGACAAGGCTACCTTCGACCGTATCATGAAGGAAGCTCCCACCTGGCGTCTCATCAGCCAGAGTATTCTCATTGAGCGGTTGAAGGTCAATGGAAGCTTGGCACGCGTTGCAATTAGGCATTTGGAGAAGGAGGGCTTGATCAAGCGCATTGTGCACCACTCTGGTCAACTCATTTACAGTGCGTACTTCTCAATGTTTTATCTTATGGATGAGGTTGATTAACCTTCACTTTAGCCCGGCTAACAACCGCATCAGACTAGATTACTGGTCTTTTATTCATTATGGCCATTCATAAGCACATGTATCTTCCACCGCAACCAAAATCTATGCTCTCTGACTGGCATTGAATGGTCCGAAGCTCTGGGCATCTTGAACATCTTTGCATTCCCGTGATTGACTCGGTTAAAGATTGAATTATGAAATGAGTACATGCAATGAATGCCGTCCATGCTATGTTTACGCCACAAGTCCTCAATGAATAGGTCCAATGGACTCCAAAGCCTCCTCACTCGGACAGGTGTTCTGTTATCCTACGGATGCTTTTGTGAACGGGCAATTACATTTCCCCACACTCTGTGATATATGCATGAGACACCTTTTCGAAATCGTTGAATCAATTACATACCGACAATCTTCACGACCAACTTTGGTCGGTTGTTCTGCCCCGTAGGAACATTCTCAATTTTGCGAAGCGTCAACATGCCGTCGATAACCTTTCCAAAGACCACATGCTTTCCGTCCAAGAAATCGCATTTCGCGGTGGTTATGAAAAACTGCAAGGATTAAGATCGAGGCAAACACACGAAAGCGTGGAGAGTAGTACCTGGCATCCATTGGTATTTAGGCCTGAATTCGCCTACAAATTACTATGAGAGAAATGTTCGCAGACGAAGAAGACATGGCAAACCATAGAAAGTAAGCCAGGTCCCGTGTGCTTCTCTTGGAAGTTCTCATCCTGCAGCATAAAGTCAACTTGTGAGCCTCGGCGTGAACAACATGACTACACTTACGGGAAAATTCTTTCCGTACACCGAGAACGATCCTGTTCCATCGCCGTTCAAAAAATCTCCACCTACATGCAGGCATGAGATTGGGCTGGCCGAAAAGATCTTGTTACAATATGCTCACCTTGGCACATGAAATTTGGTACGCTGAGGCGCACGCGTTAATCAGCATGGACATCAAGAAGAAGAAGCTATCATACACTCTGCCCAGAGTCCGTCAACGAAGGTCGATCACTCGAGGTCGCAATAATGATTACCTGTGGAAAGTTGCGTTCTTGTAACCCTGGGGTCGCGCATCACGTCTGATCTCGAGGCGTTCAAAAAGAAGCAGTGGATTCGTTTACATTGGCCTAAAGCATACCTGCATTCACCGGTGCACAGCTGCCTGAAGTTCTCGGCAGTCCTGCAAACATTATCAGAACAGCACGCAGGCGCGTCATGATAGCAGGCGCAAACTTTGGGACAATGTCACTGAAGAGCTCCATTTTTATTCTACCCGCTGGTGTCTCTCCGATGTTGATATCCATGAAAACGATTGGACGCGTTGTTGAAGACATGATAACGGTGATCCAAGAAGGGGTTCAATGTATAATTAAATAATTTGCGAAAACCCAAGAGAGATGATAACATTAAAGATAAACTATTTTTAAACGCAACCTTCTTTCGACACGACAGTCTCGAGCTCGTGACTCTCTTCGCCTCGACTAAACGCAGCGCCATATAACGCGCCCTTGGGCCTTGGCTGACCTGTTGTGGGTAGATACGCCACGGTATGGCATCATATCGACGTCATGATAGCGCGATGAACCGTACCGTACCGGATACGGAGCTATACCAAGCAAGGTGTCGACCAAGTGCCATTGATTCAGGCTCAACTCAGGGTCCGATGTCGTACTTACTGACAGTCGCTGATAGGTATGAACTTGATTTAAATCAGCCATGTACTTGCTCATTTCCCTCCTTGACCACTACTATTCCCATAGTCTCGCTTGTTGCAATGAGTTGCGACACGCCCTACTTCATCGGTATAGATATCGGTACTGGCTCTGCTCGCGCGTCTCTCGTTGCACGAAACGGTGAGATCAAAGCGTCCTCCACGAAGGATACCATCACCTGGCGTGATCCGCATGATTACCGTATCTTCGAGCAATCGACGAACGATATCTGGGAGCAGATTTGTACCGCGGTGAAGGAAGTATTAAAGCAGTCTAACGTTCCCGCAACCGCAGTCAAAGGACTTGGCTTCGATGCCACCTGCTCTCTCGCCGTGTCAGACTTCGACGGGAATCCGATAACAGTGACCAAGGGTGGCGATCTTGGCAATCATGGCGATCGGAACGTCATTCTGTGGGCAGACCATCGTGCCGAAAATGAGGCTGAACTTATCAACTCCACTGGGTCAATCGTCTTGAATTATGTTGGCGGAACCATGAGTGTATGTAGCAGCTGAAAATTCGTTTTACCTTATTGATTCTACTTTGCGAGCAGCTTGAGATGGAGGTACCTAAGGTTCTTTGGCTCAAGAAGCGCATGAACCCTGCCCTGTTCGCCAGATGCCAATTTTTTGATCTTCCCGATTTTTTCACGTATAAGGCAACTGGAGATAACACACGCTCTTTTTGTTCGATTACGTGCAAATGCTCTTATGTTCCTGACAAAGGCTGGCAGCCGGACTTCTTCAAGCGCATTGGTCTCGGTGAACTTGTCGATGGTGGCAACTGGAAGCAGATGGGCGCCGCCAGGGGGCAAGCGCAGATTGCCGGAGGCCCGGTTGGTCGAGGCCTATCTCGAAAGGCAGCTGAAGAACTTGGACTGGTGGAAGGTACTGCTGTTGGAAGTGGTCTGATTGACGGGTATGTCATTTCCCATCAATCTGTCTATTGCACTATGAATGCTATTGGCGTTGTGCTAGGTATGCTGGCTGGATGGGCACGGTCGCCGCTCGGTACACGGAGAATGGTCAACTTTCAAACGTGCTTCCTTCTCTCGACGAGTCTCGGCACCGTTTGGCCATTGTTGCCGGAACAAGCACTGGTCATATTATTCAGGTGAGTTACATTATTCGATTCATCTTCAGTCAGACGTCAACATTGTCGCAGAGTCGGGATGGTGTCTTTGTAAAGGGTGTGTGGGGCCCATATAGGGTATACCATTGCCAATCCGCATAATGTGCGATATCTTATAGTATATTCTCATAGGACACAGCTTTCCCTGGTTGGTGGATGAATGAAGGGGGCCAGTCGTCTACGGGACAGCTTATCGACTTTATCATCACTACTCACACCGCGTATCCTGAACTTAAAGAACGTGCAAAGCAAGAGGGAAAGTGTATCCATGTTGGTTCGTGTAGCTCTTCATACTGGAGCAACGAAAATAGTGTTTTTATGTTTGTCTATAGTCTTGCTGGACATCCTCGAAAAATTGCGACACGAAGATAATGTTGATTCCTACACGGAGCTTACGAAGGATGTACATTTCTATCCCGATTTCCATGGTGAGATAAACTACAGTGATACATATTTTTCAAGTTCACAGCTATCGCAGGAAACAGGTCTCCAATTGCCGACTCTCGAATGAGAGGTTCCATTGTCGGTCTTGAGCTGGTAAGTCACCGCTTCGATTGAGAACTCCAACCAAGTTATCTTAATTACTTCAGGACTCATCTATCACTGACCTCGCTCGCAAGTACTACCTTACCCTGGAAGCTATCGCTCTTCAAACACGCCACATCATTGACGCCCTCAACACGGCTGGGCATGACATTACCTCTCTGTATCTGTCTGGCGGGCAGGTAAAGAATATGGTGATAATGCAGCTCTTTGCAGACACATGTGGCATCCCCGTCATCCTGCCAAAGTCGCATTCTGAGGCGGTCGTTCTCGGTGCAGCAATGCTGGGAAGGATTGCAGCGGAGGGCGTTAAGGACGGAGAAGACATGTGGAAGATCATGGTAAGACGTTCTGTGCATTCTGCCGAGTGTAGATGTTGATTGTTGCCATTCAGGTCGAAATGACACCTGCTGGTACCCTCGTGGCCCCTGGGGCTTCGTCAACAGTCAAGAAACTGCTAGATGCCAAATACAATATATTTCTGGAGATGATTGATATACAGAAGCGCTGGAGACGGCAGATTGAAGAAGCTAGCTAATGAAATGTGTGTGCAGTCAAAGAAAACACAATTCAGCTCACGGTATATTTCTGTATTATTGCTCCAATATTGCACGGATGAAAGAACACGAGCCCGGTATCCCAATCAACTATGAGACCTAATTAGTAACTACTAACGAGTTCGATTAACGCCGCCAAAAGCTGTGTGTTGAATGCCTGGTATAAAAGTTTGCCCCCAGGTAATGTACGCAATGCACCAAAAACCATTCCAAATCTCTCTATCGGTTCTGTCACTTAGGCTTTGGGGCTCGGCCACTCTGCGATTATGTCGTCTGTACGACGGCGAAGGTCATGTTCGTCTCTGAATGGAATGTCCTCCAACTTCGATAGCTGCTGCAAGACGTCTTGCAGACAAGGGACCTAAACATAGACAGACCTGCTGAGAATATTGCGGATGAATCATTAAAACTGACTAACCGGTGCAAGTTCTGAGTCCAGGTGTAGATACACAGACTCTATCTCAGCCAACACTACGCTTAAATCCTCCATGCCCTTATATTTGTGAACAACAAAGTCCAGAAGTTGGAGACTCATTCCGCACCTTGTGGTCAAATTTCGTCTTTCCTTTGACAAGTCGTTGTAACGCTGCAATCCACTTGAACACCTGGTCTTTGGCAATCTGAATCTTATATTTCTTTCGAACAGGTTCATCCTCAAGGTGGCTCTCCGTATAACTCCTCTTTCGAGAGACATCGTTGCGCCCAGAAACACTGGTGGCTTTGGTGCTTTGCGAGAGTGACGTATCAACGGATGTTCCTGAATCGCTCGCCCACGCGCCGATAGGGCTGGGCTCTTTGCCTGCCGCAATCTCGCGCACTGGCACGAAGACAGATGCTGAATCCGCAGTTGCCTATGGTTACAACATATCAGCTGGTGTTCGTTTCTAGTTAGCAATGCATGTACTCACGCGAGTGGTCAATCCGTCGGGCGAGTGAGGTCTCTCTGCACCCCCGAACATGGCATCCAATCGTTCATTGAATTTCTCCCCGCTAGATTGTTGTAGAAGAATGGCAGTTTGATCGCGGTCCTGGATCCGCGTAAATTTGCGTGGCAGGGCACGGTGTTCATCCTCGACTAAAGCTTTCCACGACTTGAATTCACTGTGGTGGTCTCCCTGACGTGCGGAGGTCGGAACATCAAAATCAAAAACGGCGTCTTCGAAGGGAAAGAACTTCGTCTTTGAAGTCCCGTCCTGCGACTTTTGGTTGGTGCTATACCTTGCAGTATGACGCCGACGACGCCAAGTAATTTTGGCTACCCGAGTATCCAATGCAGTATCAATGACTTTTTGCACAGACTCGTAACGGATAGCGGGAGCAGCTTTTTGCGAAGCTCTGTCTGGAACCGCTGTGGTGGCATTGGGTAGTAAAGTATCGACCACCGCGGTAGCCTGAGAGCCTTGCTGACTCGTGCTTCTGTGAGTGTGTTGAATTCGGTGGCGCTGCCTGCTATAAGTCACAGTTGGCACGTCGGTGCTGCTCCCCTCGCTGTCAATAGGTGTGACTAGCGGCGTGATACGGTATGAACCATTGGCGCAGAATGTTTCTTGCAGTGTCTCCTGCAAACTTTGGGAGCCGCGGGAATACCTCGACTCGGAGCAGACACCCGAAGTATGGTTGGATGCTTGCTGGGCTTCTCGTCGATGCGACAGCGATTTTCTGACATTCAAAGGTGGAGCTTCCTCCACAGCTGAAGGGAGCTCGTCGGTACTGCCTTCGCTTTCCGAGGCAACTAGTGGTGTCCACGAGGGAAGATCATGCCGTTTAAGCAGTATGCCTCTGTCTGTGGCACTTCGAAATGGTCGAGGGACCGTTTCATTTGGACTTAGAGGAGGCGAGACTGATGAAGGCACCACCCTCGCAGCAGTGATCCTGTAATATAAGTATTTTTAGATATTGGACAGTTAGTAGCGAGGCAATGGCTGGTAAATACTTACTTTTCATCTTTGTGGAAACTGGCTATCAAATTGACCTTGGTAAGAGTCTGTCCCTGCAAAAGAACGATTGGATCAGAAATGGTGAAATAAAAAAAAATGGAAACAATGAAAATGTGTGCAACACTGACCTGGGGTGTAGTTACTGATTGGTGTGTCATAAGTGGTTTGTCATATAGTCTTGCCCATTGCTTCATCATGCAGAGAGCAACTGGAAGCTGTGTAGTCAATTTTGAAAGTGCAAGGCTTGGGCTACTTCCAGATCTTGAAGTTGTGAAATATGAGATGAGAAAATTGAGATTCACCAATGAAATATGATTATTTGCTGCCAATGTATGCAGTGAGGCCAAGTGGTATCAGGATGGAATGGTTCATCATCATCCTCAGGGTCACTGCTATATATGTGACTATATTGTTTGGTTTTATTGACATGATTTGTCATATGACTTAGTCACCGTCCTTGGCACTTTGCCAACAATTCACATGATTTGATCACATGCCTAAATTAGCTAGGCCAACAGTGTGGGAAAGCCCAAGTCATCAGCACACTTGCTACACAATTGGAGTCTGTTTGGGAGCTCAGACCCAGTGAGAACTGGACATAATAGAATCCACGCAAACATACGCAAACCGTAGATTTTCAATGCGTCATATAGTCCATAGATAATGGGACACATAGTAGATTTACGGAGATTGTGAATCTACGGAAATATGAGGGACTCGAGCTTTTGATTTCAATAGTGCCAGGCTGAAATGTACAAAAAACGACGGAAATTGATGCATTTTGACTGCGGTACAAAGCTGGTTGATACAAAAATATGCTACCTACTCGCCCTGCTCCCAATACCTGCCCTGCACCTACACGCACCCCTACGTGCTAACGATCCTGTTCATTCGGCTAGTAGACTGTTCTGCTTGATACATTGAGGATAACATTGGCCGTGTTCGTGTGCCAGATGCCTGAGGCAACCTGTAGATAGATCAGTATGCTGTAGACACGAGCAGATGTACCACATACCAATTGAGCAGCTTCGAGCTCGTATTGCTGATGAGAATGAGCTCGTAAGACTGCTGCGTGACCAAGACAAAGTAGTACTCACTTTTTTTGTGTCCTTCGACAAGGCAGTCCAATAGATCTTAAAGTCGGTTGTTGTGCTGTCCTTCGTGACCGCATTTAGCCAGCGGTGAGTGCAAAGCGTGCTGTAGTATACAATGTTAGCGCTTCGCACTGTATCGGTTATCAAATACCTACCGTCTGTTCTTGTTCAGGCCAGGTCGCATGCATTTTGCATTTGTCGTTGATGCTGGTGTTATCGGACTCGGAGCAGCTGGTACTGCTGGCGGCGGGGTGTTATTAGATGGCCCGGGAGATGGGGGACTTGAAGGGGTATTGATATGGGGAGTCACGGTGGTGGTCATAGTGGATGAAATCATGCGAGGGAGAGGACGAACACTTGATTTACTGTCGAGCACGTCACTAGTGGACTTTAGGTGAGAATTAATCAAAGCGTGAAAATCAAACTTACAGTGGATTCTTTATTACTGGAATGATAACCGGTGGCATACTAATACTGATAACATTTACATCGTGAGGGCTTTGGTCAGAGGTTGTGATCTCAGTGGGAAGCATTACGTGAGGGCTTTGGTCGGAGGTTGTGATCTCAGTGGGAGGCGTTAAGGAAATGGGGGGATCGAGATTGGCGTGATGCAACTTCGCCTTCTTGGAAAGTAGTGGAGATTCAACAAGCTCGTCACTCGAGTCCTCGTTAGACGACACTGTAAGTGAGTGTTTTTTTGCTGGCTTCTCAGCTGGAAGCGCTGGTTTGTTCTTGTCATTCTCTGAGTTAACGGAAGATGGTTCAGATTTGATCGTCTTCGATTTGACAATGGCTTTTTGATCTTTGAGGTGCGTGCTTGCCCACAATGGGTATCGTTCGGTTGCGATATAGTCTATCTTCCAATTGTCCGCACAGAGAGCAAGTTCCGGGTGCTTGACAGCCATTTCCTTTCAAAACAAATCCTGGATCTCTGGGTCACCTTTCTTCCACTTCAAAGGTGCTTGGTTTTTTTATCTTGAAACCTCGCCATAGCTCTCGCATACTCTGGCAGATCGCAGCCTTTTTCTCACGTGAGAGAGGTTGGCCATTCATGTCCTCTAGAAAAGGTAACTGTCCGCGTTCTTTCATATTAGCGTCCGCACATTTGAGCCAGGCGTTGAATTGTGTCAGCGTGAAGAACCGAAGCTTTGACTGGTCGATGGGTGGAGCCTGTGGAGTAAGAGGTTCACGACCCTGTGAGTTCAATGTGCATATGAGCTTCTGAAGTGCCTCTCTAGTATATTTTTAAAAAGGATGAGTATTATATTTAAAATTTTGGAATGAAAACATGTATTCAATGGCTGCTTTACCTACAGATAACACAAGATTCTCTTGGCGAAGGTGCTCGTTATCTTCTAGAAGGCTTTGAATTTGGTCCGACGAGCGCATATATCCATTTCGCTGAACATCACGATGAGTAACAAAACATAGGAGTAGACCAAACTCACATTTTGCATACTAAGTGGTTGCATGCCATGTCTGTTCCAGGACGAGGAACCCACCAAAGGTTGAGGCTGATTAAGATTATTCTGACTGGTATCTAGAAACGCATCTTGAGATAGACCAAAGGTATCCAGAAGAGGTGAAGGTGTGCTTGTTTCCGGTGTTGACAGACTCGGAGAAGTGCCTGAATGCTCTTGATTAAGGAGAGAACTAGACAAAAGATTGTGGAGGTTCTGAGGGGCAGAAGACTTGTATGCAGTTGGCGTGAAGTTCATGATGATGATGGTGGTATAAAGATAAGATGCGTATTATGATGAAGTCACAGGTTGAGAAAGGAAATTTAGGAGCTGCAGGCATTGTTAGATCATGATGAATAAGAAGCTTGTTATCACTGCAACACCGAGGGACGTGAATATTGCAAACACACTTGGTATACTCATCATGCTAACACATGTCACCCAGGCCAATTTGCAACATGCAGCTTGTCTAAATGTCAATGGTGGTCTCTATCTATCTACTCACTTAGCAAATTGTGCTCTCAACATCGCATCACCTATATCCTATACACCATCACACCACAGCACTTCCTCCAGAGAAGACCGTCGGACATTACGCACGGTGTCGTGCGCATTCGTCTCCCTCCTCCATCTCAAATAGACCAATTAGAGTCTCTTCCTATTCACCATGTCGTCTATCCTTCTTCTGAAGGAACACCTTCAAGAGAAACAGTCAAATCATTCAAAGATGCTGCTCTCATCCTCCTCGATCGTATTGCAAAGGACTCTCTCCAGCTTCAGCGAAAGGACGACTGGCTAAGCAATAGTAGAGGATATTTCAGAACAACGTGCGGCTTGGATGGCAGACGTCCTCATAGCCGCTGTATCACCCCAATACCCAGACAAACTCGGTCAGTGGCTTTTGTTTCTCTCACCTGCATTTATTGACACTTTTGTGTTAGCATTCCTGGCTGCTACGGACGTAGAAGACTGTCTCCATCGTGCTACAGATCTAGCCGCAAGATTGAAGCCCTAGACGTTGGTTCAGAGGAATGCAAAGTCAGCATTCTACTCAGCATAGTACAGCTGGAATCTCTCGACGCACTTTGGACATGTGATGGTGTAGGATCCAGTCTGGCCAGCTGGTGTTGCAGGTGCGAGGTTTGCAACAAAAAACAAGAACTACAGGCGCTTCTAGACAAATAGTTGATTATCCTTTGTACTACTACTATTAATCAACCTTCCTCCTCATCATCACTGTCTTCTTCCTTGTCCTTGTCCTTGTCTGTTACTCCAACACTTGCAATATCTAAGCCTGGCTTCTCGATTACAAAAAAGCGATCTTCCTCTGCACCAGAAGGCAATTTTGGGCGGTGCGGAGCCATTGAAACAACTGATTTGATTGCGACACTAGAAAATCGCCATCGAGGCTCGTCTTCGTCATCTGATTCAAATAAATTATGGCGCTGGTTGTTTGGGTTCCAAACAGCCAATTGAGTGAAGTATCTCATTTCTGCGAAACAATCAACACCATTAATTTGAACCTTGTCAGAGTCGAGTCAGTCACATATACCTTCACATTGCGAGACACCCTGGTTTTATCCAAAGGTTTCAGTGTTTCTAGCCACGCCAATCAAACAATTTGACCATTGGGCAGCTGCAAAAGTGCCCATCGACGGAACCTTGGTGCTGGTCGACCCAAATAAGTGCTGATAGCTGCTGCTTCAGTGCTACCAGGTGGAATGGTGATTGGGCGTTTGTTGGATTTGCAAAGAAGAATGTAAGATTCACCTAAGTCATAAGCTCCTTGAGGAAGGACATTGTCGGATTTATGATAGCGAGGGAGAATGGCCTTGAGAGCGTTCACTTGACACCGCTGTATTCCTTGTTGGGCTAGGTTCAAAAATGGATTTGATGGTTGGCGTATTTCTTGCCCAAGGTTGCCTATCGTGCGCTCCATAGTCCACTGTGAGGAACATATTGGTGAGCCCACACAAGTGCACTCTGAAGCAAGATGATTAGACAAGTGGACACATGGGTGAATGAATTGTAGACGGTTGACACAACACTGATAATAAAGCTCTTCGAACTCTGTCTCCCACTCCGCAAAACACTCAGAAGCTTCGCGAACCTGGTCTGGAGTGATGCTGTACTGACTCATGAGTCAAAGGCCACACACAAATTGACAGAAGTTGCGATAATACAGGTCCGGAATCAGGCCATAAAAGACTCCAGGACCATATCCAAACAGCCAGGTGATAAATTCTTGTGCCTTGCAGTACGTGTTGATTTTTTCTTCGGGATTACGAGGGGGTCGGCCAAATGAACCGGGTAAGTGGGGCTGCAATGCAGCAACAACTGCGCCATGATTTACCCAAGTTTCACCTGTGAGAACTAACCACGGCCAATTCTCCTGATCATCACTCCATCCGCATGACATTTTGCCACGCCAAATATCCATGAACAGTGCTGCTGTGTTAGCGCCAGCGAAATGCATGATCTCGGAAGAAAAGCACTCCGGTACACCCAAGATGTGATCAGGCTGAAGGCCAAGAAGAAAACTCGGTCCGACAATTCCTGTCTGGAGGCAGCATTGCTTGTACTGTGCTTGGTTTGGTGCTTGCATCAGCAAGCGCAAGCTCTGACAATAAGTGGCAGATGTTCCGATTGGAAGATGATAAACGTCGATGTCGCCGTGATCACAGCCCACGATGTTGTAGTTGTCGGGCTTAAGAAGAACAGGATAGTAGTGAGGGGCACCAGGCTTTCGACGCCCCTGGAGCCCACAGTGCATATGACAACCATAGCGACCTGTATGCCCGACAAGGTTACTCAACGAGAGTAAACCAGGGCCATCAGCGAGACTGAGGATAAGGTAGAGATATGATATGAAGTTCGTGTCGCGGGAAGCATCCCAAACATTGAGACCTTCTTTTTGAAGTGCAGAGAGATGGTGGAATCCGGGAAATGAAAATGATTTGATGAACTTGGGCTTCTTGGGTCCCAGTATGATGCCACCAGGTAGGACATGCTTCTTCTTGTAGCAACGATCGGGAGAAAGCTCCACAACAATCCAGATGTAAATCCACAATCTGACTCTTTGCTCTCGTATAGCTGCGCTCCGTTGAGGTAAATCATAAGGACCATGTCATTCTCGACAATATGACCTGCTTGAACAGCATTGAGATATGCGCTGCCTGTAAACAGATCGTCATAAGCATCAACGAGGCCGTCATTTCGCACAAGTTCTTCAGCAATTTGTTGGGTACGTCGTTTGCGGTACTGCATCTGGTGAGTGCTGTCAGGATCACACCAAAGGGCCTGCATTTGTGGTCCAATTGGGATTGTGTGGAACACAGCCTGCGGAACTTTCACTTTGCCTCGACTCTTCCGGAGCTTGATCTGATCATAACGGGGTGTTCCACACTCTGGACAAGTCTCGTGATCCGCGTATGGTCCAACAAACGCGACACACATATTAATGCACATGTGGTTGACAAGAGAATCAACTCCGCTAAGGTCAGCTAAGATTTTTTTGATTCAATAGAAGCTGGATATGTCAGACCCGGGGAAGCATCAATGAGCCGCAGTTTGTATGTCCTCATAGGCTGCTTCTGATGAGTGTTCGAGTGCGAGGAACATCGAGAGTGCAAAGTCAATACCAGGGTCATCAACAGTTGCTGGGTAGGAAGGGGGATTACGGAGCCTCTCAAGAGCCTCACCTTTGAGTCCGACACCATCATCTAAATGAGCTTCCCGAAGTGCACAAATGAACAGCATATCCTGTTGGAGCTTTGGAATGCGTGCCATATTAGACAGTTCATCTAGGTCCAAGTCCCAGAGTGGGCTACATCTGCGCTCGTTATTGGGTGGTAGCTGCTGTTGATTGGGACATGGGTCTGGTTGGGGTTGTGTAGGATCAAATTCTGGCCCCAGAGGATCGAAATTTGGCTCCAGAGGATTGAAGTCTGGCCATGGTGGATCAGATCGATCAATGTCTGGCTCCGGAGATTAAGATCTGGCTCTGGGAAATCATCACGAAGAGATGGTGCTGGCGAGCCTTGTCGACTAGTAATATTTGTGTCCTAGTTCAATATAATATTAGACGTCAACATAAGTACAGGTCAATGATACACATACCTGCTCCATGACATCTTCTGATCGTTTGCGTTTGCAGGGCACACTGTTGTCATTGTTGTCATTAGATTCATTCAGATGTTTCAAATCACTCGGACCAGCCGAAGTGCTAGGTGTGGGAGCAGCAGATGCACGAAATGCATCAGAGAACTTCACTAGTCGAATGTTTTCCTTTTCATCATCATCCGCTTCTTGAAGATGACGATACCACATTGATTGCGATTGAATGGAGGTTCTTTCAGCGTTACAGTACTTGCGACAAACACACCAAAATTCAGACATCGAAGGCTAAAAGCATATATTATAATTGGTGCAGCAACAGCGTGAGGAGGACTACATGCGCTGGTGAGAGTATGTAGTGTTACAATGTGTGCGAGTGGCAGCTGTACGGACTGGGTGTTGCATGCAATTTTCGTTTGCTAAAAACAAAGTCAACTCACAATACGAGCAAACAGTCTTCAAAAAAACAGCCTACCTTTGCAAGAAAAACTAAACAGAATGCAAGAACAACAACGAGTTTTACAGTCGAAATGTGCGTCGGTGAAACACATTGAAAATTGTAGATAACACGAGGTATGTGGCATACAAAGTATGTTTGCGTATATTTACGTCTGTTCCGGTAGATTACTGAATGTCCAGTTCTCACTGGGGCTCAGACCCAGTCAAAACCCGCAAGTGGGAAATCTATGAAAATAGTGATGGTGAGTTTCAACAAGATCCTCTGGAGAAATTTCAGTCAGTTTGTAGATTGTAGATCAGAAGAATCTCTGCAGAATCTAGAGGAATTGAGCTGTCGTTGAACGGCTCGATGCCACAATATCCCCGTAGTTGGCTCTACATGTACTTAATCTACGAGAATACAGTCCAAACTTGTGGTGTTAGAATTGATGCAATTTGACAATGGTGCTACAGGGCGACATGCAACTAGCAAATGGACATGGTATGGTGCGAGTAGAACACGATAGAAAGCAGACGACACCAAGCAAATGGACAGTGTGTGAGTATGAGAAGAGAATGGGTGAAAAAGGTAAAAAAAATGTGACTATGCGATAGTACTACTGCGAAGGATGGGACAATGTCAACAAGTGTTTGAAAGCCTCACATGGCTGGTTGCGCGACAAAGGTAACTGTTACGACTTGGATAGTTCTTGCGTAACTAATCCAATAAAGGAGTTCAAGTGTTACGATGTTTGGTTCAGACGTCTGAGGGGCTCTCCCTCTAGACAAAGTTTGAGTATAGACTAGCCTCTTTTATAAGAGCTAGATTAGAATCAAGTATCTTCCTCAGAAGATGATCAAGTATTGGAAAGAACCAAGTAGATTCAAGTTAGAGAAATACAGGTGTAGCTATCACAGTATTTATAGTGAACAAGAAAGAGCACGGACCAAGCCGGATGCAGAAGTCAAGGAGTCAAGAAGAACATCAAAGAACTATCTGGAATGTTCATGCGGTGCATCTTGATAAGCAGTCAGAGATAGCAAGAATAGACGGAAGTATCTAGAATGTTCATGCAGAGCATGTTGATAAGCAGTCAGAGATAACAAGAATAGATCAGGAAGCATGATGATGGGAAAATGATGGGGCCACTGTAACATAACGAGTGCTGCAGCTGTGGGAAGTGATGCAATAGCAGTGGCTTTCACCTGATATAATTGTCAGCAGAATGCAGCAGTAGTAGCCTTAATACGAGGACCGAGAGAGTGGCATGACTCACGGCCTTGACGAGTTTGGAGCGATCATTGTAACCCTGCAAGCATTCAGTTCAATGCTAGACACTTCACAAGGAGTCCGAATCACACACCTTTTTGCCACAGCGTCAAGATTATCCCAGTACGAGGCAAACTGTCCAACTGTGCCTTTGTGATTGACTTTGCACCAGTTGATAGTGCAAAGGTTACTATACAGAGCAAAAATTAGCAATAAAACTTGCGCTCGATAATGGAAAAAAACTCGCCATGCTGTTGTCGAGTGTGAATTGGTATGCATGATCAAGTATGAGTCTGCCACTGTGTGTTTCTTCCTCAGGATCCCACCAAGGTCAGTTGTATTGTTACTTGATGACTTGGAGGTGCCCGCAGTTGCTGAAATAGCTGGTGTAGAGTGAGCTACTGACTCCTTTTGTTTGTTGAATGATGCCCGAAGTTTCTCCATGAAGGAGACTTTGCTGTGTCGATCTGGAAGGATTTCACCTACATCAGGAGAGTTGTCGAAGCTTGCCTTCTTGAGAAGTGCTGTAAGGGTAAGCTCCGAGTCATCTGGATCCACGGTCGTAGTAGTGAGGGCCGCAGGTACTGAAGAGGATGGGTTCACATTATTTTTTTGATAAAGGTGTAGAGTCGGAGAGATGATCTAAGTAAGACAATGTCAGAACACGGTAGGAGACTTGGAGGTTGACTTACTTGGTGTAGGGAACTAGTTCCCTGTGGCCTTGTATTGACAGTTTCTACCTAGCTTCACTTACCCCTTTTTCCTTTGTTTATGTTGGCATTTGACTGCTTACCTAATCATCAAATCTTCGCCCTACACTTCCACTCAGTAGTAGTATTCAGTTCATATTCTGGTAGCTCCCCTTCTAGGGTTAAGTAGTAGCTTCCCCAGTTTGTAGCTTCTCTGGTTGTAGCTTCTTAGCTCACTAGTTTGCTCCTGATACCAAGTTCTAGCCTCATTGTCTGGAGTGACACCCTCCCTCTCTCACACACACACACACACACACACACTCTCTCTCTCTCTCTCTCTCTCTCTCTCTCCCTGCTTGAGCACTCCCTAGGCAAGAAAGCCTGGGTCTTACATTGTCTCCCAAGGCATAGCAGCTAGGCAGCAAGACCCAACACCTTCTGCTACTCAGCAGATTTGTTGTCCCCACACTGGTCAAAAATTTGCTTGCAGTGATTCTCATTTTCTTTGTTAAGTACAAGCACATCATGCATACTAATAGACATGGCAGCAGGTTCGTGAACAATGACCAATGAACTTGGGGTGGTGCTGGAGCAGATATCAATGCTCGTGCTGTCATCTGCAGTTGCTGTAGCAATGGTATGCATTTTTGTCTTCTTCATATGAGGAGGAGCAGACATCACATGTGTCAGTGATAGAGGTTGTTTGCAGGACTTTGAGCTTGTCGAATGTGTGCATGAAAATGCATGGCTGATTGACTCTGTCTTGATACCAGCGAGGAGGAGGGTAAAACACAGCACACGAAACTTCTCGCACATTTCTCGTTGGCATGCTTCTGAAACAACAATGCCATCCTCGTTAGTGATAAAATTGTGGGCACCAGAATCTGCTGTGGATGTTGTCCTGATAACTCCACGACCACCATGATGATCACTGAGATAGTCTGATTTGTGCCAGTATACGATTTCTGGGTAATCCTCACGGTCCAATTCAGGATAGATATCTGCTTTCTCTGCAGCATTGGCGACAGCAAGGAAAGGATCTCCGGAGGTCGTGGGCCCAGTATTGAGTGACTGTATGTGCTGCTCAGCATAGCAATCACACTTGGCCTCCTCCAGCTTCCCCTCCAGTTTTGCCAACATGACTTCTAATGTTCTGTTCCTTTGCAACAATGCTGATTTTTGTGCGTGTAGTCTTGCCAGTGATACCACATGGGAAGATGAAAATTCATCAGACAAGCAGTCAAATGGAGATTTGCTACTGTTTGATGACAGGTGATCCTAAAAAAACATATGTTAGTGGAACATTCATGGAAATGACACAAGATGTAAACATGAGTTACATTGGAATATTGCTCGTGAGGCACTAGTGATTGACTGGAGGCCCATTGAGGGCTGTCATCAAGGGGTGAAGCTGGTGATATGGGTGATTGTTCAAGAGAATTGGAAACATCACTAAGAGATGCTGAGTGATGCACACTGCCAGAAGAATTGTTACACAGGAACTGAAAATTAGAGACATGAGGAGGGCCTGGCAGCTGCCAGGCATGTGGCTTCATATAGTTATGGTTGCAGGAGGTTGCAGGTCGACAGCAAAGAATGACATGTATTGAGATGAGGTCATCTCAATCTCCAATCACAATGCCCGTACTCGAACAAAATCTACTAAGTCCATTGTCCTACAATTGGCAACACTACCATGCTATCAAAATCCATTCAAGATTTTCTCAAAATGTCTACAGAACCAGATCTTGGCGGCTATGAGGCTGACATGAGGTCAATTTTATTTCTATCTCTATTGACTTATACTTCTAATATGGTATATGTGGTATCTTTTAGCATATCTGTATCAGACACGGACAGTTGCTCTGATCCGCCTCTGATGAACTTATTGGATAATATTTTCTTCAATCTTTTTTCCCACTTGCTCCAAAGCAAGCAACTTGTGACACGTGAGTTTGTTGTTTTTATCTTTTACCTTACTTTAAATACAGTATCACAACTTAGATGTCCTACAAAGGACCCTGGCAGTACTACGGAGCCCGAGAGTGATGAACCAACAACCCCCCTCGCACCTACCTCCATCATAGCCCCAAAATACGACCCTGGCAGTACTATGGAGCCCAAGAGCGATGAACTGACAACCCCCCTCGCACTGTTCTGATTGGACTAGCAGATGGCAGCACAACTTTGGTCTGGAGATGCAGTGATATAAGTGAATAATAGATGTGATAACAAATAGCACATACCTGGGCTGGTACAAGCGAGCTGTCGACTAAGGTAGATCTATATCTACCTCCCTCAAGACCACCAGTTGTTAATTCATGGAGCTGCAGTGTTGTTCGTGGGGCAGATGTGGTGTCAAGATCATGATACCTCGTGTGATACTGATACTATCCTCATGTCACAACAGTGAGTTGTCCCATGCAAATGTGTGCACAGTCACATTGGTAAGTCTTGGGTTCGCTGGGCATTGCATCTAACACTGTCAGGATACTAGTGCATTGAGAGCAGCAGCCTGGTTACCTGTAGCAGCAGAGTAGGGAAGAGCTGGTACTAATATGTGATCGTGATCGCCCCTTGGACCAACACCAAGTGGCACCCCAGCAAGGACCCCAGACCCCAGGAAAACACAACCTCAAACATCGCGCCCAACAACGCGAACAACACCTCTAGGTGCCACAGAAAACAATCTACCACTAATTCCTCCCAAATAGAAATACAAAATGTCAACTAATCAACCAACCAAACCCACAGCAACAAGAACAATGACTCATAGTGGAGCAATCAGCCCCAGTCCCATGGTTCCCACAGTTCTCATGGCAGGTGCAATGACAAGGAACAGTCACAAAACCACAGCCACAAAGCCATTACTATCAATTAGTAAAAGCATAGAAGACCATGCATCAGGAATGGGAATTTGAACAGACATTAATAGTTTAATAACAGCCAGAAAAATCCTCAGCACTCATGGTTTATCACTCCCAGTTGCTGGAAAAGCTCTGAACAACATAGCAACAGCGCTCTTTGAGCTCAGTATAGCAGCCAACTTGGGAGCAACAAACACAGATACTAAGGGCCATCACATTCATCCTCCACGAAGTTGATCAAGCCAGCAACCTAGAGAAAGTTTTGCATAGAATAGACACCCTAATAAAGGGCCCAATAGCAACACTCGAAACCAACATTGAAACATTGGTGGAAATCACCATAATGCACAAAACAGCCCTCAAAGGAGCTGTGACAGAGGTGCGTGACCAACTCAATTAATCATCTGAAGGAATAGAAAGAATAGTGGAGGCTGCGACTCACAGAGCGAGCCAACAAACCCACGTTGACGAAAAGCCTCCAAAGTCTAACAGACAATTGTCATACGCAGCAGTGACAAAAACGGCAGCACCGGCTCAACTGACCAAAATTCTTGCCTGCAGCGAAGCTCAATCAAGACAAATCCTTATTGATAGATGATCACTCCTCATGGCAAACTTCCTCAAGAAACTTACAGAAGCTCAACTCGTGTCAAAGTGATGGCCCTAGAACTGATGGAACAAAACAATATTGAATACCCCAAAGATCTCACATTCATATTGGCGAGAAGACTCCCACACAGTGGAGTGTTGTATGAGCTCAACTCCATGACATCAGCAGAATGGTTCAATACTCCCGCCAATAGAAGCAACTTCCTGGAGTTCTTTGGTCCCAACGTAATGATCAAGGAACACTCTTTCCACATTCTGGTCGAGAACGTCCCAATTTCATTCATCCCAGAGAACATGGCAGCATTAGCAGATATTGAAAAGAAGGCGGGAATGAAACCACACATGATCAGCAAAGCAAAGTACATCAAACCCATAGCTCGGCGCAACCCAAATCAGCGAACAGCACATGCGGTAATAACTTTCTCTACAAAAGCAGGTGCTAACCAAGCAATCAGATTCGGTTTGTCAGTAGCAGGAACGAAAGTATACGCACACAAACTCCTACTGGAACCAACAAGATGTTTGAAGTGCCATTCTTTCAACAACTCACACATTGCAGCAGAATGCCCCAAGGAACAAGACACTTGCAGCACATGTGGAGAGGAGCACCGCACCCACGCCTACACAGTAGAAGACCCCACACTTTATTCATGCACAAACTGCAAGGAGAAGGGCCATGCGGCATGGAGCAGGGAATGCCCAACCTTCGTCAAGAAATGGGACACCTATAAAGTGAAAAACAATGAGGCCAAGTACATTTTCTTCCCAACTGATGATCCACTAACCTGGGAAACAACACCTGACTTGAACACCAATTGGAATGACACGCTAGTACCAATCCTCAACAATCAGACCAACCCCCTGCAACGTGAAACAAGACACCCTCCCCCACAGTGCAACAACCAAGGTTGGAACACGGTCAGACCATGCAACCAACCACGAACGTTCAACAGCAACCCCTGCAACCCCAACAACGTCCCATTGGGCCCCAAAACACAAACCTGCCTCCCAGATCAATGGGCCAGTCAACCCCAACAGCAGAACTACCAACCACACCAGGACCAACACCAAGACTACGAAATTCAACCATCACCAACCTCTCAAAGCACCCCAAGATACTGGTCCCTCACCCCTCCTCCAAATGACACACTCCTCCCAGGCAGCACTAATGAGAACTCAGGTTGGAACTAATGTCTAGTACAACCAACAACAACCCAGCGTGAGATGACTTTAGAATATGGCAATAAAATCTCAGAAAATCCCCCAACGCATGGGAGCACCTACTGAAGAATTTAGACCTGAACGTCTACGATCTGGCCTGCATCCAGGAACCATACTTGAACCCTGTAAATCTTGCTAACATGTCCAACCTTGGGGCATTTTGGGGCTTAGAAGCTTACCTATCCTTCCGTCATATCCCGACGGCCTAGGCTACCGGGTATATTGACATTCCGACTTCCGATTGATAACTTAGAGGACGCGTCCTCTTCATTGAACTATCCCAGTTCGAACACGACTTTTGTCGTAACAGATCCTATCTTGTAATGCTCATATATTGCTCAAATCTTAACCGTTTGACATGATCAGACCACCATTTTAATCGCCTGATCAAGCTCTACAATATGTACTACAAATACCCGCGGGTTACCCGCCATGGGTATGAGTAGGGGTGTACCCCTGGCAAAAACTTTGTACCCGTGAAAAAACCCGTACCCCTGGCCAGGGGTACGGGTTTTTGTGGGTAGGGGTAGGGGTACAGCTGAAAATACCCACGGGTTACCCGTGCAGAACACTAATCACCCTATGCGAAACACTGGTGGTCGAAAGAGCTCGACAAGGAATGCAAAGCGGTCCACAAGGTAGAATGCAAGGCACACGCAAGGCAAGCAAGCAGAAGAGACCTGATACACAAGGAATATAGAATCACGAGGAACTGCTTCTCAGAAAACATCAAAAAAGTGAAAGAGGACCATTGGAACAAGTGGATGGAGTCACTTATGCTCTCGAACACATGGTCTTCTCATAGATACACTGCAGGCAACCCAGCAGACCAGATACACACCTGCATTAAAACACTTCAAGACCCAACAGCAGCCCCAGGACACACGCAAGATAATGCAAGAAAAAGTGAATTGTTATAAAAAGTATTCTTCCCCCCCCAGCCAATGACTTCATTGATCTGAATTTCATCTATCCTAACCCTGTCTGTGAATTCTCACTGATAACTGACCAACAGATATATAGAGCAAAAAATGCCTCTCCCCATTCAAGGCCCCGGGAATTAACAGAATAAGCAATGTAGTATTTATGAAGTGCGCCGACTTGCTAGTACCACTCATGGTGCCAATCTTTCAAGCGACATTCACATTGGGAGTTTATCTGGAGGAATGGAAGCAATCAACAACAATTGTTCTATGCAAACTGGGACGCCCGGACTACAGTGTCCCAAAAGCCTACAGACCGACAACACTATTAGATACCATGGCTAAGATTTTGTCTTCTTGTGTCACAGATGATCTAACATATATCACGGAACAGCACAAACTCCTCCCAACCACTCATTTTGGAGGATGCCCAGGGTGCTCCACGACAGACTCACTGCATCTTTTGACAAAGTTCATAACAGATACCTGGGCCTCAAAAAACAAGTTCACCTCCCTTCTGTTTCTTGACGTCAAAGCAGCATTTCCAAGCGTAGCAGTCAACAAACTACTACACAATCTACGCAAGGCAGGAATCCCGCAACAATATACCGAATGGTACAACAGAAGACTCAACAACCAGAAGACAGTACTGGTATTCGACGACTACCAGTCGACCTCGTTCAACGTAACAGGGGGCATAGATCAAGGTTGCCCCCTATCCCTGTTTGGATTTATTTTCTACAACTCTGACGTATTACGAGTCGCTAACCCAAATCCTCGCAGTGGCGAACTCAGCCTTGGCTTTATTGATGACGTGGCCCTCGCAGCAACAGGCAAATCATACGAGGAAGCACACGTGAAGCTGGTGGATATGATGGAAAAGGAAGGAGGAGCGCTGGAGTGGAGTAGGACACACAATACCAAGTTTGAGCTCGACAAAACAGCGCTCATTTGCCTGTCGAAACAACAAGTACCCAGCGAAGACAACCCTCGTAAAACAAGGGCCGCCCCATGACCTCCAATCATCATCCAGGGACACGCCATTCACACATCTCAATCATACAAATTTCTGGGAATGGTCATAGACCAGGACCTTAAGTTCAAGGACTTAAAGCTCTTTGCTAAATTTTGTGTTGAGAAACTCACCCTCATTGTCTAACTGAAACATCTTCACTCAAAGTCTCAACTAATTCTTCCAGCATACCCAGACAAGGCATCAAGCATCCAAAGTTTAATCCTTAGAAATAAGGAGTTGCAGATTGAGGATATTAGCATAGTTGTCGAGAAAAATGACAAAGTAGTGCTTGTTGTGGAGTAGAAGGACAGGAATGAGACCACAAACATAAATTAGAGCAAGGAAGTGGGGTGTATAGAGTGAATTGGAAGTAAGATAAGGATAGCAAGGATATTTGTCCATGATGCAGGACTTGCACTTGGATAGTATGGAACCGGGAGACAAAATGGCATCAAAAGCAAAGAAGAGCAAGCAATTATCTGAAGCTGGTAAAGGCTGAAATGCCTCTCCAGTGTTTACTTCTAATGCCAAGTTACAAGGCTCAATATAGTGGTTCATCTGAATCCAATGTTCTTTATTTATTCTGGACCAGTGATTGTACATCTTTTGGTAATTATCAGTTGCCATAATAAACACTGAGCATTTGAAGAGTTCATTGTCTCCTCATATGAGGGTTATAGAGTCACCCCACACAAACATTTGAGGCTGATAGAAGTAGAATGGAAATTTCTTTTATGCCCTGCAAGCTCTTACTGCTGACATATGTTGCAAGTATTAACCATCTTGTTGATTGGAGACAGACAAGACCTGTACTATAGGCAGTGAAATTACTTGGAAAATAGAGATATAACTAGTCAGATAAAATTTCTTTAGTATGTACTGAAGCTGTTGTTGATATAATGCGCCAACCACAGTGTCCAAAAAGTCACCGGCTGTAGGTGCATGATATATTAGAAAATAATTGGGCTACCATTAATTTAAAAACCTTATATACAGACCTCTCTGTGTATTAAACTAGCACATTCCACTACCAAAACACATGAGTATACTCTTAAAAAGAGTGACTCTGTTGGTCTGACTGATATTACTGCATACTATATATAGCCCCAACCACTTTATATCAATGTAATAAAGCTTATTATGTCAAGACTGTCATGGAGACAAAAGAAAAGTAGTTAGCTTTGATTTAGATAATATTCTAATAACTGATTCTTTTTCTGAATCTAACCTCCAGAAGGCACTTCATCAGAATACAGCTATTGAAATCTTATAGAACATTGTATAAACCTATATTACTTGTTATTGGTTTTGAATTGCAAATTCTTCTCTATCTTTTTGTCATCATTGGGCTCAATATACTATTTATATATGTTGTGAAAATATGATTTTACAGTCCCTGATGATATAAACCAAGACCATCTTCCCTTTAATCATGAAGATAGAAGAATGGACTACAGTGGTGGTGATAATGATGACAAGGATCTCTATATGCATGGTCCTATTACAGACCTCAATAGCCTCCCTAATCATGAATCTGATTACAGACAACCCTGTACAACAGTTGCACTGCTTTCAATGCACCTGGCCCTATGAGATGCCCGAGTGGTAGGTCACTCAGACTGTCATATTCCGTACCTGAAGCTTCTCGTCCAGTCCGGTCCGTCCGTTCTCTCGGGTCCATTCTAGAATTCATTTCCCCATGTCCCCATTTGTATATGCTTCTTGATGCCCCTATATGCCTGGATCCTTCTGACAGTTAATATCTGGGTTCATTCTGATCTGTCTGTTGGTCTATTCATTTCCTTTTCATTTAAATTGTCCCCCTTGTTTCATTTAATCTCCGGCTCCATTCTCGATCGTCCGCAGCAGTTCATATCTGTTAGTACATTTTCTACATAGCCCTCTGATCCGAAGACTGCGCTTCGGCCGGATACTGTCGGATATACTACAGTATATAAACCCTTTGTAACCCGTAGTATTTCCTCAGTTCGAATATTAACTTAGACCCTGTTCAATCCTCGTGTTCTCTCGGCTCTTAGGATTATTATCCTAGTCCGATCCTCCGAGCCTCGGGATTATATCCCTAAGGCTAAATACCTCTGCCTCTACCCTCGGGTAGTCTATACCTTGTTAGTTTCTACCCAGATGAAGTCTCGGGTAGTCTTCCCTCTTTCGTCCAGCCCGTCCGTACCCCTCGGCCGACAATATCTGCCCCCCGTAAATTAGGGGCATGTACTCGGGTAAAGAGCGCAGCACACGAGCTGAAGCTAAGCCCCTCCAGTCCGACCCGTTGAACACGGTCTTAACACAGACCCCATTTAGATCCCAGACCCTTATATTTATAATCTCTATTCATATCAATGGAATCAGTTATAATGTCAATAACTTTAGTATCACAATCTGCTGCCTCTGACAAGGGAAAGGGAAGGCATTTGAAGAAGCCCCAATCTAATATATTGACTCAAGTTGACACCATCAACAACAAGATCGGGAGTATTCAGTATAAGAGGCTCAACAAGGTATATTCTGCAACAAGCTCAAAAATGACTGGTATATGACAAAGCTTAATCTCACACAATAGGAAAACAAATATTGTTTTCTCCATGTTAAGTGCATAGATGAGTGCATGGATGCTACCACAGTTCATCAATGTTTGCAGGAGGTAAAGAATATTCAGATCTGTCTCTGTGAGGCAGAGACTAAGGGGTACAAGTCATCAGTGAAAGTATATGCTAAGGAGGCAGTATTGATGCACCTTAAGATTAAATATTGTCAACTTAGAGGTGGGTCTTGAAGGTTTGTGTACTTGCTGGATGTTGTGAATTATCATCATGTTTTTAGTTGTCTTTATGTTTTGTGTTTCTAGCTGTGCTGTTGACATTCTCACCACTGTTCCAGTATCTATCATGATAGTATATTGCCATCTTTCCTCTATATTATGTGATTCTTGTGAATACTATATGCTAAAGTCTCTTATGTACTGTGTGATTCTGATTTCCTACCCTTCTCTGTGCTATGCTCTTGATGCATTAAATAGCAAGTCCATCAACTTCATCTGGCAAGCCTGACCAGAAGTGCCCTCATATAATCTGTCACCAATCATCCAGTTATCATTAGGGCCTCAGGATGCTCATACCTCTACCCTGCTCATGGGCCCATTCTACTGTACCACTATCCTCACTTCATTCTCAAATGTCTTCTAACTATATGATCATATTGTAAAGGATAAGGCAGCATTAAATCCAACGAACAGCTGTATGAAGGTCATTTTTTGAATGAATGTTCTGTTAAAGGTTTTTGAAATTGAGAGTGCCTTTGAGAGCTACAAATTCATGTTCTATACAGACACAGATCTAAATAAATTGTAAATCATGAATCAACCACACTAAAAAATGAAGATAATTAAATTTCTTCTGATTCTTTGTTAGTCTACCATTGCAGGGATTCTTGAAAGAAAGGATGTACCAAGGCTCCAGTGGATATGCACAGCTGAAGCATATGTCATTGCTAAGTCGGAACCACTTAAAGCTGCTGCCAAGACGCTCACCAGCTTTACTGCCGATGAGTTCAATAACTGCAGAAATTGTAGTATTGCCGCACACAGCCTTGATGTGGCATCATTCGCTGCTGCTGATGTAGAGTTTGATCATGTCAAAAATCTTGCATGTATACACTTTCATCTGCTCCAAAATGATGTCATTGCCTAATAATTACTGCAAACATTGACTCTCCTAGACTCTGAGTTGAAAGGTGACAACAGTTTGTAACCAATAACAACTTATTAGAGCTGGGGCCACCATCTGCCGGGCAAGTGTATATAGGATAATGAAAGTTGGGCTGTTTGAGTGAAATATGTTAATGCTACTTGACATGTATATCATGTACATCTATGTTGACCTCAAAGGTGAGTTTTGTTTCTGTTTTAATAGAGTAAATATATGACTTACACCCATCACAGCACTAATATTCTGATGGAGCCAGCGCAAAGTAAACTTGTGACACCTACGATAGTGCTCATCCATGGGCAACACATCATTCATGAGGGTCAACATGAGGCAAGTATCTTTCAATTCACATGTTAATATTGAATTCTTGATGGATGCTGGTTTCAGGAATTCTGATTCCAGTACTTTCAACACTGCTTTCTCCCTGCTATGAACATATTCATCAAACATATTCCTCAAGGTCGAGACCAACACCTCCTCGTGGGTTTCGTTATAGATGTGTAACACCTGGTTGTGACTCAAGTGTTGGATCTGGATGCACTCATGATAATTGGTATGTACTTACCTTCGTCATATAAAATAACACTCCACTGGCTAAAACTGTTGATCTGACCTATAACTTTTTCCAGATGCTCTTGAACCTCTTTGTATTTGTCGACATTACCATCTGTGACCGTCCGCACTTGCTCTAGAAGTTTCATACACTTCTTGTATGCCTCCCATTCTGATGCTTGTGAGTTGTACAGCTTCATTAATGCTGCAACATGATGTTGACCTGACACAAGTACAATTGGTTCTTGTCCTTGAAGTGTACTTCATCTATTGTTTCTGGGTTATTCCAGTCTCCAGACAAAGTCTGATAGGGAGAGAGACACGAGTGTATAATGATGATGCAAAGTGTGTTTGTTTCCTTGAAAACTTGCATCCCGTGTTGCTCAAACAAGCTTATCATCTTGTTGACTTCACTTTCTTTTCAGCCCGGTCGTTGTACATCCCAAACTTTAACAGTGTGCAAACAACTTCTCCACAGGGTGTAGAGAATATGTTAAGTCTTGCTGGCCTAGGCTAGTTTGACCCTAAAAGGTCTCTGCTCCAGGCTCAGTGCTCACTGAGAGAAAAACAGCAAGAAAAAAGACAGTGGACTTCAGACTGGACTTCAGACAGATACTGGTACTGGGTCAAAGATTCATTCCCTTATGTAAGCAGTAAAAGTGCCAACATAAACATAAAGTAAGTAAAGCATCAATTGTGAGGTCAGCGCCAGAATGTTCGGCACAACAGATTAGCCAGCTGAATTAAATTTACTTTCCCAATCCTGATTTTCGTCTTTGCTATTGCTGCATCCAGGTGTTGGATTTGAGCAGCCAGCTCATTGTTTGCCTCATCTGCCTGCACTGGACGGGTATTGAAGTGTGCTGAAGTTGGACCTTGTGACTCCTTGGCCTGGGTGAGTCTGTTGTATTGTCTGTCTACATTTATGACACTGTACTTACATTGGTATCATCATTCTTCCATCTGCGTGGTGGCATCACAACAGGTTGTGATGGAGTTTATGGGGCCGGCATCTCCTCTATCTCTATCTCTACCTCATCATCACAATTATGTGCTGACGACAATGCACACTTTCCAAGGGACGACAATGCTATGCCTGAGTGGTTATGGCAGACATCAGTGGATCATGGTTGATAGAAAGTCTAATTCAAGGTGTACCTGGGTTGATGACATAGGTATGAGAAGACATGCCTATAGCACAAGCCTTAGCAGGACCAAACAGCATCTGAGCGATGTTATGTGGACCAAAGTTGTGGTCGGTATGAGAAAGTAATCTTGAGTAGTCCGTAGAAAGAGACTACCGATCCGGATGAGTGCGAGTGTGTTTGCTCGTCCCAAGTGGATTGCTACTGAAAGATACTCTCCGTGATAAAGTGAAGGAATCAAGCCTGTGGGCTTATGATCTATACGATCCGCTACGGATGCAGGACGGGTGGTCTGAATGTGGATGAGATCCGGTGCGAGGACAGATAACTCTGGGGTGGATGCCTAGTGGTACAGCTATGGATCCACAAGGTTTCAAGGTTTCGAGGTGTCAAGGTGTCAAGGTGTCGAGGTGTCAAGGTGTCGAGGTCTTGATGTAACGAGTTACCAGTAGTAATCTGCAATACGGTTAAGGAACACAAAGTACGGAAGACTGAGAATGCAAGGGTCCGTGCTGAGATCCGTGAGGCGGAAGACTTAAGGGGACTTTAGATCACTCGAACTTAGACACTGAGTCCAAAGGAGTAGAAGGAAGTGTATTGCCAGAGATTCAGCGCGATGTAGAGAGTGATATCTCTACAGGCTCGTATCCCCTGATTTCTACATCGACCTCATCCCTATCCACAGGTAGGCACAACTCTCCCACGCTTTGCGCTGACCATGTGGTGACTCCCGCGCTCACGCTAAGCGTGCGCTTTCCCACATTTTCATCAGCTTTCATCAGGTCCATCCATCCATTGTCTATTTGGTCCATAGGTGCGTATTACATACATATATTGGTTTTCTGACAGCTGCTGTCACCTTACATACATCTGTGACATTCTTTGGCCGCGTTCTTGTGCTTCCGCGCTCTTCGGCCACTTTAGGACACTTTTTGCTCGCTCTTCGCTAGCTATCCTCTATAACTACTTGGCTTTCTGACAGCAGGTTCCACACTTAATTACTCATTAGAGATTCGTACTATGCCTTAGAGCGCACCTATCTATAGCTAGGAGTCATACTCTCCTTCCCTTATCAGTCTATACATCCACTTGATATCCATTCCTCGCTCCTCGCATGATCCAAGACCTCTCCAAGCATTTGCGCTCTACCAGCGCCGCTTTCCCGCGCATACTGCACATTTCCCACACCCTCCGCTTACCTCGCACATTCCCGCGCTTCGAGTGCACTTAGTTGCCCGACTTCTGCCTGACTCAGTTTCCCCTAGAGGCCGAACATATTGCCCTCACATCTGAGCAGATTCCTCCAAGTCTGTTCGTTGTACCCACAGCGACTATTTAACATGATCCATAAGAACTCAGAACATCCTAAGCATAACAGGAAGTACAGGCGAGTCCACAGTGGAGTAGTATGTAAATAATGACAAGCGGCCTCATGTATGGGAACACATATGTAATATGGACTGAGGATGATCAGGATGACAGAAGAAGATAAATGACACACCAATGGGGATGGACAGGACATGGATGGACGGAACCTGAGAGATCCTGGTGATATCTGCTATGGAAAGTGTATCTGCCAGGTGCAGGATGGGACAGATACTGACAGATGCGAGTAGATGACCATGGAAATGGTATCTGACCAGGTGAGCACCAAATGATGGATAATTGACCATTATGAGGCCACAAAACGGATGGTTCCTACATCGGACAGAGTGATCATGATTTTCTGATGAAGCTTGGCCACCTCGTTGTGCGTCAGGACAGATCAATTGATGTTGAAGAGCCCGCCTTTCCAGATACAACCTGAGTGAGCGCTTGCAAGTCCTAGATGAATAAGAAGCAATGGTCCTATGACCTTGTGACTGTGCTTCATGTCCCATGGTGTTGGAAACAACTTGGCCCAGTCGAAATGACACTGCAAAGGGCTGCTGCGATTGAAGCTGGCCAAGATATATACCATAACCATCATGACAAATTGAGCGGCTGTCTTGCAGCCTTTGTGACTGGTGTTTGCCATCCAAGGCACCCTGCACACCACCTTGGTGAAAGCAAATATGGTGGAATACACATCATGGTCGGGACAATTGTCGGTATCGTAGAAGAGATCAGGGATCAATTTGCTGACATACATTCCCACCAACAATGCGAGCTGATGAAGAGGCTTCACCATGTTGAATTCGGCGAAAGCCCATTGATAAGTCTGCTGGACCATGGAATCCTTGGGCTCAGACTTGTCCAATCTGATGTTGTCCATGCAGAATTCTTCGGGAGGGATGGCACAAGACAGGAAGTCTGGTAATGATTGGAGAGAGATGGAACATGCAGACCAAGCAGCATAGAATCATTGGCTTATGCACATTGTGAGGCTTCTGTGGCAGCATCAATGGTTTGGGACCCAAATTGTGTTTCTGGCAGTGATTGAGAAGCTTTTCCAAGGTTGATCCATGATTCAAAATGTGGTTTGCAATACTGACAGCCGTGACCTCCTGGGAGATGCCAGGGAATGTTATTGATGTGGAGATGATTGGCCGCAATGATCAAGGCATTTTGCAAAAGCATGTTGGCCACCTCATTTGAATCACAAGGAACGAACTTGTACATGTAGCGAAGAGCCACCTGAAACACTGTCGGCACAGACACAGTGGAGAGAAGTGTGGCTGCAACTGCAACTGGGCTCGTGTTCTGTGACGTGTTGACAAGAAGCTTTGTGAAATCGTGTATGGACAGTTTTTCTTTGGTGGGATTAGGCAAGCTCAGCCTATGCTCAGTGGGATCACCAATGATGGAATGCAAAAGATATTTGAAGGCTTTGTAGTAATAACTGAGAGGATGTTGACAAGCCATCCATTTCTTGAGATTGTGACAGCAACTCTTCGCTTCCAGGGTGGATGAGTGCATGTCCTGGTTGTCAAGCTCAGCACAGAGCTTGGCGACCCCAATGGAGACGAGCACCTTGATGCCTGTGATCAAGGATCAAAATGCAATAGCTGTGATGATTAGTGTTTTAAAGTCTGGTTGCAGGACCGAAAAAAAAAGACTGCAACCGGACCAAAACCGGACCAAAAAAGACCAGACCTCAGTTGCCAGTTGCCTCAGATCCAGGAAAGTCCAGTTGCAGTTGCCTAACTTTGCAAAAAATGAAAGACCAGTAAAAAACCAGTCTCAACCGGTCCATTGTAGGACCAGTTGCCTATATATGGGTAGTGCTCATTTAGGCGATTCTATCGGTGGTCTGATCTTCAAAATTGGTTGAGATTTGGGAAAGTTACAAGCATTTTAAGAATGGCTCGTATAAATCTGTGGGGCGTGTTTTTAGGCTTGTTGGCACTGAACCAGGGATTGATTTCCAAGCTTAAAAACCTTTACCAGTGTGTTCGTAGACCTCAAAAATGATATGGAACATTGAATTTAGATAACTCTTGATGATTATCATGCTCCAAGACTAGCACAAAGATCAGACGTGTTAGAACGGCAAGTCAAAATCAGTCAAAATCACTGATTGGCTCATAACGTACCCAAAACTTGAGTGTTTGACAATATATGAGTAGCTATAGACTTGCCTAGACTAGGGCTACAATTACCATTGAGACACCTAAGCCTTACAACAGCTTTTATTTTTCAAAGACAAGCCTGATAACGATTTTTTTGCCAAGCTTATATATTGCTTATATCTTACTCTATTGACAAGATAAGACTAGCTATAGTGTTGCCTTGACTAGCAGCACATATTTCGTCAAAACACCTAAGCCTTATAACAACTTTTATTTTTCAAAGACAAGCCTGATAACGATTTTTTGTCATGCTTATATCAATCTTATATCTTACCTTATTGAAAAGTTAAGACTAGCTATACAATTGCCTTGACTAGCAGCACATATTTCGTCAAGAAACTTAAGCATAGTAATGACATTTCATATTTGACTCACATGCAGGGCGGAGTTTGGGAACCCTTTTTTATAATGCTCATATCTTGCTCAGATCTTAACCGTTTACTACAAAAATTAGACCGTGGGAAGGAGTACAACCGGTCTTAGACCAGTTTTAGACTGGTTGCGACCGGAACCGGTCTAAAACCGGTTGCAGGACCGCAAAAGACTGAAAATATCGGTCTTTTGAGGTCCAGTCCAAGGTTGCCTGATATTGTGGGAATCAGGCAACTGGTCCGGGTCCGGTTGTGTCCAAATTAGGCCAAAAGACCGGACCAGACTGGACTTTTAAACTCTAGTGATGATGGTGGTGTGCCAAATATTCTGGTCGTACTGCATGAAAACACCAGGTGTCGGGTTGTAGATGGAGAGCTGAATGTGGAATTTAGCTCTATAAGACTTAAGATGAAGAGCAGGTATGAGCATGCACCTAGACCCAGGAGAAGTGAGAAAACACATCTCAAAATGCTGCAGGCCATAGGTCAAAATCTGAGAACATTTGAAAGCAATTGCAGGAAGATTTGAACAAGAGACGATGGGCCAAACAGCATAATTGATGGAGACAGGTATGGTGGTTGTCGCCACAAGATGCACAGTGGGAGCCATGGTAGGCCAGTCTTCTTAAAGAAAACTTCTGAAGAGCCAGAAAGGCCTCATTAAGCTCAAAGAGAAGACTCTTACATTGCCTATATAGGCATACACCAATGCGCGCTCCAACATGGCACAGATCTCAATCATTTGAGGCAAAGGTTTCTTGTCCAACTTAAGGAGTGGAAGTTGATGTTCCCATATACATTTGAGAAGGGAGGTGATGCCAAACATCATCCATTGGTAAACCTGCAGAAAAGTCTGAGCAGTCAATCAGCATCTGTATGACATAGGAAGCAGCAGCAGTGAGAGACAAATCTGTGCAACTAAATATGATTCTAGATGCATGAGGCAAGACAGACAAGCAGAATAATCAAAGGATGCGGGGCATAATGCAAGTTAAGGGAGCACAATAAATAAATAAAATGCACATCTAGATATGATTTTAGATGCACAAGGCAACACACACAACACAAACACAGTGCATCTAGGTACAATTCTAGATGTGCGGGGCAACACATACAACACAAAATCAGCACATCTAGATATGATTCTTGACGTGTGAGGCAAGACAGACAAGAACAACAAGATGCACTTACTTCAGGCATGAATACAGCTAGATGAGGCCTCAAAGCATCACAAACATGTGGATGAGACCATGCATGGGCGAGAGGTAAGATGACATCAAAATAAATAGATCTAGGAATAAAGATCAGATCAGTACATATGACCGGTGTCCCCTTGAAAAATACTTATGTTCCATTTCGTTTTGTGCGGTCCATGGAGTCTAGCTGCAAAATGTAAATGTTTTCGAGACACAGGTTGCGGGAACATTGTTGACCTTGATTTTGTTGTTATACCTTTGGTGAGGGAGTCCTGCATGACAGGTATGTATTGTTACATTGTGAATGTGCTTTCTAGTGCCTTGTGTATAAGCACCAGACAACGTAGATATGATGTGTCCCTGCTAGACTTCATGGAGGTCGGCAGAAGGTCAAATGTGATGCGAGACCTTGTTGTAGAATTGACATGCAGACGCAATGATGGCAGGTGGTATGGCATCCAGTAGCATGACATAGTTGTTGTTGTTGTTGTAGTGGGCTCTCGTTGGCAAGAGTGATGTCTTTGATGTTGCTGACAGGACAAAAGCCCAGCCACAATTCAGTGGACTGGCCATAGGCTGTGGCCATCATAGAAGCTGTGGGGTCGAATCTGAGCTTACCGAACTTGAGACTGAATTGTCGAGATTGGAGGCGCAGATTCAGGGTCAATGTGAAGTTGTGGTCAGTGATGGTCTTAAGGAGGAAGGCATGGAGACTGATGGGGTCCAACACTACAAGGATGAAATCCAGAAAATGCTTTGAGCCTTTCCACAAGAGCTTGGTGTTGTTGGACCACAGCTTGAGATCAGAGTCAAGAACAATATTGATGTGATGGTTGGGCAGCCTGATGGCGGAGGAGCGGTCCTTGATACAAAAAATTCTCTCCAGAGCCGACAGGGTGATGTTGGTAACAGGAGTCTGCTCCCATGTCGGACCATCACCCTGGGCACCTTCCTGATGCAAAAACAGACCATCCAAGACTGCATCTTAAGAGACAGCCTCATCATTGTCTACCTCCTGGGAGACAGGCACATCATCAAGGCTGAATGGGCTTGTCGCATCGACAGCAACAACATCATCCTTAGGATCAGGATGAATATTATTATGAGATCTAATGAAGACAAAGTCAGAACAAGGAATGCAGAAGAGGGAAACAGTGATGACGCACAAATCAGCCATGTGAGGACATGGACAAGGATGAATGATAGCAGATGGAGAGCTCAACAAGATGAGTGCAGAATTGCCTGCAAATCGAGCAGGTATTTAAGCTGTGGTGAGGGGTCAGAGCTGACAGACAGAAATTTAAAAACCAATACCAGCATTTGAGGTTAAACTTTGAAGGACCTTGATCAAAGGCATTGGTTAGGATCTTTCATAGCAAAAACCTTGACCAGGGTCGACGGAGACACATTAAAAAATATGCTAGCAGTCCCAATTTCACCTTTGAAGGTCCATATCAGATGCAAATTAAAAAATGTGCCAGTGGTCACAACACACCTTTGAGGGTTGATGATTGAAGATATGGATCCTGACTAATATTTTCAAAAGCGCTTTGAGCAAGGATGTTGCTGTCAAGAGGGCAGAGGTATGAGGATAGTACTGACAAGACATGGCCATCAGCACAAAATAGATGAAGAACGATGTAGAGAGTGATATCTCTACAGGCTCGTATCCCCTGATTTCTACATCAATCTCATCCCTATCCACAGGTAGGCGCAACTCTCCTGCACTCTGCGCTGACTATGTGGTGACTCCCGCACTTTCCCGTGCTTTCATCGGCTTTCATCAGGTCCATCCATCCATTGTCTATTCAGTCCATAGGTGCGTATTACATACATATATTGGGTTTCTGACAGCTGCTGTCACCTTACATACATCTGTGACATTCTTCGGCCGCTTTAGGACACTTTTCAGTCGCTCTTCGCTAGCTATCCTCTATATCTACTGGGCTTTCTGACAGAAGGTTCCACACTTAGTTACTCATGAGAGATTTGTACTATGCCTTAGAGCGCACCTATCTATAGCTAGGAGTCATACTCTCCTTCCCTTATCAGCCTATACATCCACTTGATATCCATTCCTCGCTTCTCGCACGATCCAAGACCTCTCCCAGCATTTGCGCTCTACAAGTGCTGCGTTCCCGCACTTCGCGCGCATACTGTGCATTTCCCGCACCCTCTGCTTACCCCACGCGTTCCCACGCTTCGAGCACACTTAGTCGCCCGACTTCTGCCTGACTCAGCTTCCCCTAGAGGCCGAACATATCGCCCTCACATCTGAGCAGATTCCACCAAGTCTGTTCGTTGTACCTACAATGACTCACCTCAGCAAATGTTCAGAACACGAAAACCAGAAACGACAAGGGCCAGAGGAGTTTAGAGTTTGAAGTTTAAAGCTTGGTTCGCAACACAAAGTCAAAACCACCAAGCACTTATACATACGGAGATGGAAGCAAAAAATATCAAAGGAGGGCGAGAGCTGATTTGTGGAATTAGTTTGCACCAGAGGCCGACCAGCTAGGAATACGATAATGGACACATCTTTATTCATCATTGAGGAAGGAGCACAAACAGGGAGCATAGTCACAGCAACATGACAATGACTTCTGAAGATGAACTTTGGGCTCCAGAGTGTTTCGCTTTCTTGTTGTTGTCAGGAGACATCAACACTAAGAAAGCAAAACATGTTATATACGAAACAAAAACCGCATGAAAGACAGGACACGTACTGGTGTCCTGTCAAGAACATTTGGAAACAAACAAAGCATTGGATGGTGCACTGGAAGCCCTGACAGATGCAGAGGCACCAAGACTTCCACCACCAGATGATGATAATTGCTTGGACCTGTGAGGAAGAGCTGAAGACAGCAATGGTATTAGAGGTGCGGAAGCATGAGTAGAGACAGGGGCTGCACAAGGTGGGGGCTGATGCTTGGGACAGACTGAGAGTGGGTTAGGTTCTGCACAGAACAAGGAGATGAGAGAGGACTTATAACCATGACACATGCGATCACGAGGATCCAACTCTTCTGCAACATTGGATGCAGTCTCGAGCTGTATATCGTCATCAGGAGGGGACATGGGGGGAGAATCGAAATCAGGAGGGGTGTTCTGGATGGCATCAAGATTTATATGTTGCAATCTATCCTGCTCAGAGTTCCATCAACATCCATGCCAGTGGATTCATCTTGAGACAGTTCTTCTAATCAATTAATTGTTTGTCTTGCGCATCCAGGATCATATCTGGATGTGCGACTTACCTCATGATTCCAATCAATTGCTAGTCTTGCACATCCAGAATCGTGTCTAAATGCACTACTTACCTGAAGATTCATCTAGAGGAACGAAATCAGATTGTTGAGCTTGAGATGGGTAAAACTGAGGATGAGAACAGTGAATAGCACCAAGAGTTGACTCAGAGGACAATGAGGATGTGAATCTATTTGGCAAGACTATCAGTATGGTGACATATAATGATGCAAACAACAAACCTAATAGAATAATGAAACAATATAGTTAGATTGGAAAGATGGATGTGTGGGTGGAGTTATGCTTGAGTTCGACTGGAGTGGACCTGTATAACATAGATATAGAGGGGTGGGGCAATCATGATGAAGAGATTGACAAGATCAGATATATATAACAGCAGATGGTCGTAGACTTGAGTGGTTGCAAAGTATCAAATGTAAACATCAGGAAAATTGTGATCTATTTGATAAAACATCAGCAAGGAGAAAAGTTGAGAACCCAAGCACCCCTGACACTACTCCCCCTATTGACGATCAACCTATTCCCCACATCCAAAATGAAATCAATATCTCTTGCCCTAATAAGCACAAGAGAAAAGGCAAGAATAAATATATTAGTGATTCTCCTGATTTATCCTCTGGTCTATCTGATGAACCTCTTTATTTACCTGCTGGTTCGTCACATGAGTCTGTCATTGCCACACTTCACCAGATCAGTATAATCATGGACCCTATAATAGAACATGCAGAGTGAGAGTGACAATAAAAAATATAACTCATATCACACACCAGCAGGTAACTGCATCCTTGAGTTCAGAAAGTTCTCTACAAAGTAAGCCCACCTTTTGAAAATCATTAACAATGACATAACAAAGGGAACATGACAATATGAAACCATGATCTGAAAGTTTTGTCTGAATTATTTGTGAAAGTTCATAAGCAGAGCAAAAGTCTGTAAGGTTCATCCTCAGTCCAAGGGAAGCAAGTTGTGTCAATGAGAGCAAAGAGTTAAGAGAACCTAGAACAGCAGGAGGTAGCAATATAGCAGGTGGAGGCAAGGCAGAGGCTGGTGCATGATGGACAGGTTCTGAGACAGATGCTGCACATATGGCTTGAAATATTTCAGGGGAGATTGTCATTTATTATATGTCCGGCTTGTACTAGTGCAGTGGGCACAGCCTCCACCTGAGTGACTTTCTTGGATTATTTGTCAAGCTGTTGGCAGTAGACAGAAAGAAGTGAGGGCTGTCCAAGAGAATTAGAAGAAATCATGAAGAAGGAAAAATGGTTAGGAGACATCTCAGGAGTCATATACTTTGGCCCTTTTTCATGGCTAAAAGCTCTTGGATATAAATAGTGGTGACTCAGAAATTTGAGAGAGCTTTATTTTGAGAGAGAGCAGATTATGGAGGATCACGCTGCGCACATTGTCTGTCCCATAGATCAACATTAGCATCATGAAGATAAGTATAACTGCGACCTACAAGAATCCAAACATAGGGCAGCAAGGTAGCAGTCAGCTAGTGTTCATCTGACAGGCGAGTGGAAGAGAAACTTGGAAATATGACATTGCAATACCTTCAACTTGTTCTCGCTGTCTTCTTTGCATGATTTGCACAGTGCCAGGACTTCAATCAACGGGAAGGCATGAAGGCTGGAACCTCGCAGGGGTCACTTGACTTATTAGCACTTTATTAACCCCTCCTGAGTAGCACCCATGTTATTAACCATTATTAACAAGTTATTAACAAGTTATTAACAGGTTGTTATTGTTATTAGCACGGTTGATAAAAATCAGGTTTTCGCTCGTACCCTAGACGGCGTGGTGGGACAATGTGATACAATTTTTGTGTCACCATCAGGGTTGTCGAAGTTGCAGAGATTTTGCTTTGAATATTGTATAAAAAATGAAGACAATACTTCGAACTAATCTTCAAATATCTAATGTGTGTGTGGACATTTTTACCTTGGATATGTAATAAATATGATTCAAAGTCGGAGAAGAGCTTCATGTAAACTTGACAATTGATATATCATCCATTGCACTACATTAGAGCTATGGGGGTCTATAGGTAATTCATTCGCTGAGGTTAAGATAGCTATGCTCCCCGCTCCAGCTCATCAAGGGCAAAAATCAAACACTGCTTCTCCGAGGCCTCCCGATCCACCAAGTGCTTGTACTCAATGATGCCCTTCTTCTCATACTCTAACTGCACCTCAAAGTATGTTATATATATGTCGTTCTGGTCCAGTTTGGCCTGCTGGACTGCCGTCTCAGAGCTCATTGATGACCTTGTAGCTACATTCGAGCACCTGATTGTGTTCAACTTTGGTGTCGTGACGTGTCTGGTCAGCGAGACACAGCTCCTGCTGCAGCCACTCAATTGTCTCATTCAATTGGTTGATTAAACACTTGGTCTTGCTATCAATTGAGCTGATATCTGACGAAGTGTCATGGCAGCGCACATAGGAACAGGCGTATGCATATTTGTCCTACATTCAATGTCAACTGATGTGTAATGGTGCATGACCTCGATGTACCATGTGAAAACACGCATTGCCCTGTTCATCATACATGCAATGCATACAAGCGGAGACTCCTGAATCCTAAATACAATGTCAACTGATGTGCAAATGCACAGTGATCTAAACGCACCATGCAAGAATTTGTACCTTCCTGCATATCAATCCTCTGATGCTTGTCATCCTGAAAAGAGCCAGGGCTGTAATCTGCAGGGTGTTTGAGTGTGTTTTCAGACATCATGAATGATTGCGGTCAAGAAATCTAAGTGAGCTGTTGAATATAGTAGATCTCTGAAGGCTAGGAGATGGGCATTTTAAATGGTGAAGAGTAGCGATAGAGCGAGATTAAATAGTAAGTGTACTAAGTACTGTGGATGTTTTGACTATGGACAATGGATGCTTATGCACCTAACATCTGACTGAACATGTTACTCATTATGTATTGTTGTGTGGCCGCTACATAATCAAAAATATTGCCACACGCAAAGCACTACCGCTTGTGCCATGGGCCATGACTATGGTATGGAAGTAAGGCCTGGAAATGTAGGAGGAGGGGAGGGTCAATGTACATCACGAGGTACACATTACATAGATATTCTCGCAATCAGAAATTAGTGCTAAATCATGCGCATCAGTTCTGGCAAAGATCAGCTTTGCACATTTTTGGGCCCCAACCCAGTGGGACATCAATTTGTGATCTGTTTTGAATTCATGGGCATCACTATGTCGTGTTATATGAATATATTAGGTCTGTAAGGACTTTTCACTTGATACATCTCTTGTTCAACTTTGCTCAACACCTGTGGCAAATATTTGATATTTGATATTTGAAAAACAGCCCAATCATATTATAAATTGGCTCCTTGGTTTCGTTCACCTACCTGAAGTATCACCCTCAATTCTGCAGGTATCATGTGCTTTAGCCTTTATTTTGTGGGATTGAAATTGTGGTGTGGTGGTTTAATTCCCCGATGTCCTACTTGGTGTGCTAACACATCACTTCAGTCAAACATAATTATTGATTCCTGCTGTACAAAGCCAAGAATGTGCCATTTTGCTGACTAACTACTGGAAATTTTGTGATCAAGCACAGTGAAACTTAATGTTTCCTCACCTGCTCGTCACTTCAATCAGTCAGCAGACCACGCAGACCATGGAAACCCTCACATACAAGGTGACCTGTAAATTTTATATCTGTTCTTCAAGATGCTAACTTGAGCATCATTCCTGCGAATAGAGCAACAGGGTGTGCGACCGGATCCAGAACACTTCAACTTAATGTGTCCCCACCTGGTCATCATTAACCACACCATTCATGGCCATTCTCAAGTCCAAGGTGACCCTTCATTAGATTTGTGGTTCTTTACAAAGCTAACACAACCATTATTCCTGTGCATAGAGTACGAAGCCCCGCGACCGGTCCCGGAACGCTTCGACTTAATGTGTCCTCGCTTGGCCATTACTCCGACCAGTCAGCAGACCATGCCGTCCATAGCCGCTCTCAACTCTGAGGTGACCCATACATTTGATATGTCGCATCGAGTCACTGAAAAAAATCCTGAACGGTAATTGTCTATGTCATTTCAAATCTCATTTCACAAGGCCAACCGCTTCAATAGGTGTGTGCACAGGCGTACATGTTGGCACTTGCAGAACCTGACAGTCAACAACAATCACACAGGTTTCAAGCACCGATATAGATGTGTCCGAGGGCCATGCACAAATCTTGTTCTCTCGGTTTATATCCACTTCCACCTTGACCTCAAAGGCTGAATCTTGAGCTGGCACGGATGCGGTTATCTCATCCAGCCAAGTGTATTTTTAATGAAGCATTTCTTCGTTTTTCTTGGTGGCGTCCACAGATGAATAGCTGCCTGTTGATGCATGCTTTTCTGTCCGGTCCACAGTGGACTTAGTAGGTGCAGAGATTAAAGACTTGACATCACAGAATGCAACAGATGGTAATTCCTCTGCCTCTCCATTTTGCTCCCATCACGCATGTACCTCATCAAGAAGTCATCCCAATTATGATGACTATTGTTAGCACTTTTCTAGGGCTGCAGAAAGTGTGCGAACACTTGACTAGCCCACAGGGCATCATCAATTAACTCTGGCTGGTAAATGAAATAATGCAATATACAAATCAGATGGTGAGTTATTATTTATAATCTCTCATACAGGCTACTTCTCAATATTCAGGGAGTTCAGGAAGAAATATGATGAAGAAACCTCAAATAACAATTTAGCGTGATGCAGATATTTTTCTCATTTATGCTCTAAATACTTCCCACCCTCAAAATTAAGTTAAGGCCAAAGAGGTGATGGAACCCTCCATAACTACATTCTAGCCAAAGAAAGGTTATTATGGCTGGAGATACAATATCACTGCAGATGAGTCAGGATATCTGTTAAAACATATCTTAAAAGTAGTGCAGGATAGACAGAAGTATAAGGGGAATTTAGAATTAATAGGACTGACCACTATAAGAAAAGAAAGATAACAGATATGCCTTGATTGTTAGATGAGAGAGCAATAAGTAAAAGTAGTTTACTAATCACAAATTCAAGTATAATGCAACTAGTTTTTATTTCTATTTTTTAGTCTCAATAGATTCTCCTTCAGGTTATAAATGACTAAAGTTCACATATGTCACTGTTATATCTCATTGTGCCAAGTTGTAACTATGCATTTACGTTAGTAAACATAGTAGAGTTAATTTTATCAAAGCAGTTTGGGATGTCTGAGAGTTATATGTACTTCTCATATCTATCTTAAATGATAAGACTTGTTGTTTATCCACACATTAGACACTATGTCAGGTATTTTATGTATTATGAAGATTTATAAACTTAAGCAACATACACTCTTTAACGTCCATTATATGTGGATTGAACTAGTTGTGCAATGATTAAAGGTCTTTGTCCCACTATCATTCAAATGTTTACAATAAAGCACCTTATGCTATCTTCTGCACATACAATATTCTTTGAACTTCAAGAGTCACTTTGAGTTGACTTGACAGAGCTTTCAGATTTAACCTCAGTGAAGCTGTGGCCTATATTATCAAGTACTTATCATAAGCTAAATAGTTATTGCTTTAAGATTAATGTGACATTTTTTTATATCTAAACTTGAAGTATACCCACTAAGCAGGCTCTTTCAATGATGATAGATAATCTCCAACATTTAAAAGGTTGACTTTACAATAAGGTATAACAAACAATCAAATATTTCAATTAATGATTTGAGTTGAAACTACTGTAGAAGGATTTCAATATTTTTGACTTCATTCAATAATAGATAGACTACCATACACAATTTTCCAATCTTATTTTATGCTTTATATTCTTTCAATCTCTGGTGTGTTATATAGCCTATTCAAAACATTCACATGTAATTTTTGTCTTTACACTGTCCAGTCTAATTAGCAAGAGAGTGCGTACCAATTTTCTCGAAGATATCATTGACAAATGAGTTGAGGAGGAGATGCCCGTATCAGAGTGCACCTGCCTCAATGCTCATTAGCCTTGGAGGCAGTCGAGACTCTGGCTTAGGCGCTGAGTGAAAGTGATTCCGTGTAGCCTGTTAGAGTAGACTACCAATCTGTATGAGTGTGAGTATAATAGCTCGTCCCAAGGGGATTACTACTGAAGGAAGTGAAGGAATTAATCCGACAGGCTTAAGATCTGTGCGGTGGATGCGCTGTGGGAGAAATTGTAGAAGTCCGCTATAGTGATAGTGTACCAATCCTGCTGGGTGTGAGAATAGTATTCGACCCAAGGGGATAGCTCTGAGAGCAGTTCCTCAAGTATATGAGCGAGAGGAACAGTGAGGAGGGAAGTGATATGCTGAAGACAGAACGGCTGCGTATGCGAGGATGCGCAAGGATGTGTGGGTGCAGAGTGAACAAGTGCGAATAGCTAGAAGGTACCAGGTATACGGAACGGGCAGAGTACCAGGTATCAGAACAGGTCTACGAACAGGATGAGTTAGGTGCCAGGTATGTGCGAAGTGTGCGGGGACTATGTCCTGAGCTTGTGAACTTCAGCTAAAACTGGCAATAGTCAAATGATCCAGACGATATGGTCATTCGCACAAGATGAGAAGCAAACAAGTGATTGTGCAAGTACGAGGGACAAATAAGACTAGAGCTAGTGACTCCGCAACACCACTATTGAAGAGGGAATGTAGGAAAGTAAAGTCCATACGAGCTTGAGATGAGTATATATATTGAGGTCCATAAGGATCCAGAACCATATACGCGAGTGCATCTACAAGCGAGGTCGGAAAGAGGTAGTATGTAAGTAGCACTAGGCAGCCTTGTGTATGGGAGACTTGTATGTAATGGACTTGCAATTGGTCAGGAATGACAAATAAAGATGGAAACGCACCAGTGGGGGCAGACAGGCTCGGATAGGATATGGACGGGGAATGTGTGGCAATGCAAGGCAATGCGAGGAATGCACAGATTCGCATCCACGTGTGACGGTCTGTAACGGGGTAGGATAGTCTGCATTGATCTGTGGGAGATAGGTGTGACATTGTCTAGCCAGAGGAAATGATGCTGTATGGGGCTGCAGCCAGAACGTCTCCTACAGCGTGAAAGAGAGTCTGATGTAAGAAGGGAATGTCTGGACGGAAGACTGTTCTGACAGAACAGATATCTAGCGGTATGATTGTCAAGGTATCAAGGTGGCAAGGTTTCAAGGTTTCAAGGTCTTGAGGTAACGAGCTACCAGAAGTGATCCGTGGAACGGAATGAGGTCTGTTGCGACACGTGATCACACGGACTTAGATATAAAATCCAAGGGAGTAAAAGGAAGTGATATTGGCAGAATACGACATGACTATCTATCATGATCTGTAAGAACTTGGAATCCTCTAAGCGGCAGTAGTACAGGCGAGTCCATAGTGCAGTAATATGTAAAGGACAGTAAGCGGCCTCATGTATGGGAATGTACATGTAATACGGACTGTTGGTTGATCAGAGTGATAAAAAGAGACAAATGACGCACCAATGGGGATGGATAGACATGGATGGACAGGAACCAAGGGCAAGTGAGGGAATTCGTCACAGGTTGCGTATCCGTTAGGTGTCTGGAAGGGACAGATGTCAATGGAAGAGGCCGGATGAATGTGGACACAAATACCTGACCAGGTGAGCTCCAGATCATGCTTAAAGGGTGATTGTGAGGCTAGTGCCGGAATGTTTGGTATAGCGCCATTTGATGATCTGGTGGTAGAAGATGAACTAGATGAGTAAGTGCTGATCTACTGAACATGACTGTAAGTACTTACCCGTCTGGTTTTCCTATGATCTGGTTGCATTTTGGCCACCGTCTTTGACATTACAGAGGCGTTGGGACCATAGTCAGAAGACAGCAGCGGCAAGCAACATGAGATTGGTGAAGGTAGTTGGAGATTAAAGACAGTGGTATGGTTGCAGGTTGTTGGGGGTGGCACGTGGATGTTGGGAACGACGGAACATCGTGGTCGACGGCGGCAGGTTTGAACATACACACAGACACTTTCAAGGGTGGGTGGTGCCAAGGTACAGAGGCGTTGGGACCATTGTCACAAGACAGCGACAGAAAGCGATGTGGGATTGGTGAAGATAGTTGGGCATTGTAGGCAGTGGCAGGGTTGCAGGTCGTTGTGGGTGGCACTTGAATGTCGGGAGCGACAGATGGTTGAAGTTTAAGAGCAAGAGAAAGTGATTACATAAATCGCATAATGGTGTTTCCTTAATAAGATCAACAAGTTGTTGTGGCGTTGTTTGCACAGCTTATGTAACACACACAACACCAATACCTACAAACAAACATTGTCTTGCATTACATAACACTTTCTCTTCTTCCTTAACCACTATCATCCCTATTACTTGCGTCACAGTCATCACTTAGGGCACCGTTTAGCGGCAAGTGGTCCATCGTCGCCAATGCTTGTTGGCAATCTTGCCCCTTAACTTGACCTCAGCCAATCTTCCGTCCCCCATCCATACCCGATGATGACATCTGGCATTGCCCACCTATATGGTAACTTTCATTCTTGTTTTTTACTTTCCCTTGCTAATGTTTTCTAGATTCACTAACTTTGTCCTCCTGATTCTTTTGACCCTCATTCCATCCAACCTCCCTAACTCTACACACCCAGCACCATCATTGTTCCAACCCTCCCCCAATTTATCTCCCCTTGGCGCTTCTTGATTTTTCCTGACCCTATTCCCTTCAGTGTTCACTGCTTACTCCTTTGCCACAATCATAACAACAACAAATATGGTTCATCAAGGCGCCTAATAATATCCGGCATTTGCCTTTCCCACAACCCTAACAACAACAAATATATTGGTTTATCAAGGTGTCTATTAAGTTCACACAGTTCATTCTCTTTCCACTACTTTACCTACACATAGCTCAATTCTTATTTTTTAGATGTCTACCTCACTTGCTTATGTCTACGTTCATCAGTATCAATCCTTTGGGCCCTTGCAGACTGCAGCTGCAAGGGTTCAAAGGGGATGCCTTAAAAGTACCAAAGTACCCTGACATTGTTCCCTGAGGTATGTTCCTATTCTCCATCAACCAGGTACTGACTTCTTTGAGGTCTAGCAATCTTTGTAGCAGTCCCTCATTGGGGACTACATGTAGTATGATTCAATCAATATACTTTTACTGATCAACCTCTTTATGTTGCAGCATCTCTGATCATTTAATCTTTCTACATCTGGCTACTAATTGATCTCTGCCTTTCTTTCAGTGCTTTTCTGCTTCATTGGGCTCTGCATGGACCATTTAGGAACTGCTGCCCATGTCCGTTCTGTGGCTCTGCATGAACCATCAAGGAATTGCGGCCCTCTTGTGTCTGGGGTAGTATTAAAGTCTGGGGGATTGTTTGGTGCTGCATGATCCATTAAGGACTGACACCTATTTGAGACTGGGGGATTATTTGGCGCTGCATGATCCATTAAGGACTGACGTCTGTTTGAGTCTGGGAGATTTATATATTTGATTCATCACTGATTGTCTGTCTAGTGATACATACAAGATCAACACAAGCAAGTCTTTAGCATTTTTACAATGTAATGAGAATGAATAAACATATATTTGGGGCATTTCTTCATGAGCTCATCAAACATAGCTTTTATGATACAAGACATATTTTCATAGATAAGTAGCTTAGATTATTCTTGTACCTTGCTAAGTGGCCCACTAGGAATATATTAAAGATAAATGTTAGTACAGTCCAAGCACTCTCACAAAGTGTCTTACTATATTAATGATCAATGACTGATTGCTACTCATCAGAGCTACATATTCATTGTATTTATAATTTTTTTGTATTTCATGTTTTCTATAATGGATATATACATATATATCTTCCCAATGCAAATACTCCACTTGTATTTAAGACTGGGACAATCAAAAAAATTATATATCCTTCCAACACTTTTAATATTGATTAGTAGGACTACTTCCACCAATTATTTTTTTGCACATATAGGCTTTCAAATTTATGATAGCAGCATAATATGATACAGTCAGATTTGTCCATTTATGATGGTATACACTATCTATCCATTTGTACCGACCCCTATTTATTTCTGCATTGGGCCCCAGTCTTTGGAGGCCCATATATCAGCTTGCTTGTGATCTCTTGTGCAGCTACATTATATGCCAGCTTCTTGAAGTTCATTCCTGTCATTCATGTGTTGGAAGTCATCCACACAAAGGTAATTTCCATTTTACTGGTTTTTATATGCAGTGTTTGCAACCATGGAGTGTACAAGCAACTACATATGAGCAATGTGCTGAGCATGCTGAAGAATAAGAGTCTTTTTAAGCCAATTTGCAATGCCTGAAAGATAAGAGTCTACTGAGTGAGGTTCAATATAATGTGATAATCAAACAACATAGAATGAGAGAGTATCCACTGTGGGATCAATAGACAGTTGATGCAGCTGGGAGAAAGTGATGTAAGACTTGAGATGTGAGTCATAGGTTGATGCAGTGGTTGATTCAATTGTGAAACCAAGTGCGACTGAGTATTTGTATAAGAGACATTCATGTGTCTAGGCCTCCCCAATAGTTTGTCTGAACAATGAAGAAACCTGCATCATTTTTTTATTGCCCCCAGTGCATCTCAAAGGGGTTCAAAATCAAAAAAAAACTGGCTGATGGAGCTAACTCCAAAATGTGTTCATTTGGGAAACATGAGAGTGCATTTGCCACATGATTGTCACAGCCACTAGTGTGCTCAACTTGCAAATCTACTTTATACTCCAGCAGAACATCAACTGCTGAGAGTAGAATGAAATTGTATAGTGGGTGTGCGCAGAGGGAGTTGAACACTGCTACTGTGTTGGTATATGCCTGTGACATTCTTTAGCTGCTCTCCTGTGCTCATTGGCTGCTTTAGGATGCTTTTCACTTGCTCTTCGCTAGATTTCCTCTATATCTACTGGGGAGAAGGTTCCTTACTGAAGTACAGATCCCTAGTTTGTGCTATGCCTTAGAATGCACCTATCTAAATCCAAGAGTTATAATCCAAGGGAGTAGAAGGAAGTAATATTGTCAGAAGATGACACAACTATCTGTCATGATCCGTAAGAACTCGGAATCCTCTAAGCGGCAGTAAGTACAGGCGAGTCCATAGTGCAGTAATATGTAAAAGACGACAAGCAACCTCATGTATGTGAACGTACATATAATATGGACTGTGGGTGACCAGAGTGACAAAAAGAGACAAATAATGCACCAATGGGAATGGATGGACATGGATGGACAGGGACCAAGGGCAAGTGATGGTATCCATTGCAGATTGTGTATCTGTTGGGTGTCCGGGAGGACAGATGTAGACGGAAGGAGCCGGATGATGATGGATATGAATACCTGACAAGGTGAGCTCCGGATCATGCATAATGGGTGATTGTGAGGCTAGCATCGGAATGTTCAGTACAATGGAACATGTGCCTAATGGACCTCATTGACAGTTATTTTTGCAGCACCATGTACTTTCAACTTGAAGTCCCATACAATTTGTGAGTAGGTGTTGAGGAGGAGTAAGATGTTAGGAATACGCAAGAAGATGTTTGCCGTATTTGAAGAGTCGGGGATTTTCATCGCTTCGTGCCGACATCATTTTGTGCTTCTGGCGTGTGATATGATCTGAAGCAGAGAACTGTAAGACCTTGTTTTGAAATCATTTTGTTTGCACTAATGCATTTCGGCAGTACAAAATATCTGTTGGCAATCATTGACAAGCTACTTACTGTGTATGGCCAAAATGGAGGTTGCGCTTACAATATTGGTTGCACCTTCTCAAAAACTTTAACCAATAGCACATTGGGTCCTTGTGCACACAATCTTGGCTTTCAGATGATGGTTGGTGCCTTCCATGGCCATGCGCACAATTGAAGGTGCCAGCTTGACTGGCACCCAATGTATATTTCGGGAACAGATCATACTGAGGGCGAGGGTTGTGAGCATATTTTCTCCACATCTAATGAGCTTGCCTGTAGCACAAGGCATGCTAACTGTTTCCATCACCACCGAGCCATCGAGGAACATTTTGCAATTTGGGATGCCAATAAGTATGCTGCACTTAGTACGTCATGACATATTTACAATCACAATACTAATGGGCCTTGCCATCAGGCAATTATTTTGGAACCATTACCGAGAAGCATTGAAATCGGTGTGGGAGAAATTGTAGAAGTCCGCTATAGTGATAGCGTACCAATCCTGCTGGGTGCGAGAATAGTAGTCAACCCAAGGGGATAGCTCTGAGAGCAGTTCCTCAAGTATGAGCGAGGGGAACAGTGAAGAAGGAAGTGATGCGCTGAAGACAGAACGGCTGGGTATGCGAGGAGATGCGGAGATGCGAGGATGTGCGGAGATGCGAGGTATGTGGATGCAGAGATGCGAGGTATGCGGATGCGCAGAAACGAATGAATGTCTAGAGGGTACCAGGTATGCGAAACGGGTAGGGTACCAGGTATCAGAACAGGTAATCGGGTAGAGCGAACTAGGTACCAGGTATATGCGAAGACGTGCAGAAACCACCTTGCAAAGGAACTCAACTAGGACTAGCAATAGTCAACTGTCAATGGCGATGCGAGTGTTCACGTGGGATGAGAAGGCAAACAAGTGATTGCTCAAGCAAGGAATGACAAGGTAAGACTAAGCTAGTGACTCCGCACACAACACACAACCAGAGAGAGAGAATGTAGGAAAGTGAAGTCCGTACGAGTCTGTGACGTAGTATATAACAGAGTCCGTAAGGAACCAGAACTGTATAAGCGGGTGCATATGCAAGCAAAGTCGGAAGGAGATACATGTAAGTAATGGTACGCGGCCTCGTGTATGGGAACTGATATGTGACTGGCCCTGCGAACAGTTAGGAATGACTAACTAAGAATGAGAACGCACCAGTGAGGACAGACAGATGCAGGCAGGACATGGACAGATAGTGCATTGTGATGCAATGCGATGCAATGAGTGTGTGGATTCCGCAACCTCGTGTGATGGTCCGCAACGGCCTGTGGAAGGTATGCGTGACTTCGTCCAGTAAGGGGAAATGGTGTCATTCGGGGCTGCAGCCAGATCGTCTCCTACATCGGTTCAGTTATTGACAGCTGAGCTAGAGACTATCAAGGCTGAGCTACACCTCAGCGACAATGATTTCCTGAGATTTTTCGATCAGGAACACATATATCTGGATAGTCTGAAGCAGCCAGCTCTGCCAGATCAGCTCTCTATATGTTATGTTGAGGTACTTGACGAGCTTGCGGAACAAAGGTGTCGTACATTAGCTAACAACTATTGCTCATCCCTGATGTGATCTTAATAGGGCTGAATGGGATCTCGCCCGTGAATCTGGCAATAATGCCCTTACGGGAGTACATGCTGGCAGTTTGGAACAAATGAGTGCTGCACTCAAGCAAGCCCACATCCAAGTTGATTCTTCCTATGCCAAATTACAGCATGCCAAGGTGCTTGTTCTCAGCTGAGTCGGTGAAAAAATAGTTCAAGGTAAATCAGATTCTGAAGTTGGAGAAAGGATTGATGCGGTGTAGGAACAAGTTCCTGGTTAGGCTTACTTTACCCCTATTTACCTTGCTTGTGTTGGCACTTGGATAGCTTACATAATCATGTTGGTCTTTACCCTTACCTTCACCTGGTGTGACTTTGAATGCAGTTTTCCTTACTCTCTCTCCCTCTCTGAGCTCTGAGCCTGGTCCAGAAACCCTGGGTCTTACACTGTCAACACTCTGACATAGCAGCTAGGCAGACAAGACCCAACACCTCAGATTCCCTCAATCTGAATTGTTGTACCCACAACTGGAGCCCACCGCGAGGGTTTCTTGTTTCTAGGCTCTCTATGCTCACCAATCATCACCCTACCATCCCTACTCCAAGCCTTATCCAACCACAGTCACTCTTTCATCAGTTTTCAGCATCACCTCCTCCCCCCTCCGCACAGATAAGCGATTTTCCCACGCGTTCTTCGACCGGATCTCTCGCAAATTCAGATTCGGATTCCCCTCGTTCAGGCCGTCATTTTGAGCCCTGGGTCATCCCATTTGGAGCAGAAGTGGTGGAGATATCGGGTTTTTCGTGTTTTTGAGAGGTTGAGGAGAGATAAGGTTGTTGTGGGAGTACCAAGGCCTGTCTATTCTAGCTCTTTTGGTCGTCCAGCATCCCTCTGTGGCTCTGCCCATCGCCCTAATCCGCTTCCTGAGATGACCAGCCAGTCCCTCCCTACTGCCTACCCCTTCCTCCTACCCCCTCATCGCCCTATACGCGTTTTTCCTATTTCCCCAGCCCATTTCGCATCGGAACCCCATCGACCCCAGACCCATTTTGAAGCTCTCGTCAACGCCGACACATTCACCGCATCAGTTTCCCAATTGGTCCACGTCTCCCCTCGCTATTCGCACTTCTCGCAATTTCCGCCCTTTTTCGCTATTTCCCCCATAACTTTCCCAATTCTTCGCCAATCTCCGTCAACCCCGTATCCATTTTGAAGCTCTCGTCCACGCCGTCACATCCGCCGCATCCGCTTCTCAATACGTCCGCCCCTTCACACGCTATCCGCATTTCTCGTGTTTTCCACCCCCCTGACCAATTCCTCTATAACTCGCCCATTCCTTCGCCAAACCCAGTGATCCCAATACTCATTTTGAAGCCCTCGCTCGCCCCTATCCATCCAGCTACTCCCCATCGTCATCCGTGCAGCCCTTACTCCGCTTTTTGCCGTTTTATCCTCCGAAGTCCTCCAGTACAGTCCTGGGGGCCAAGTTTTTGCCGTTTTGCCTGACCCTCACTCACTGACGCGGTTCACATGACAACAGTAGTCTGTGAAAACAGGTGTGTGGGGATCATCAGGTCAGTTTTCTCAAGTTCAGTTTAGTTTTGGCTGTATTGTGGAAATGACTGGGGACAGTCATGATTTAAAGGTCCCATGAGATGTAGGAACAAGTTCCTGGTTAGGCTTACTTTACCCCTATTTACCTTGCTTGTGTTGGCACTTGGATAGCTTACATAATCATGTTGGTCTTTACCCTTACCTTCACCTGGTGTGACTTTGAATGCAGTTTTCCTTACTCTCTCTCCCTCTCTGAGCTCTGAGCCTGGTCCAGAAACCCTGGGTCTTACACTGTCAACACTCTGACATAGCAGCTAGGCAGACAAGACCCAACACCTCAGATTCCCTCAATCTGAATTGTTGTACCCACAGCGGGTCAACAGATTTTAGTCAAAATGATTTAGCAAGTCCTTCAACTTGAATCATTGCGGCCGCCCAGATAGTGTGTACTTGTCACTATGACGTGGTGCGAATTCACTGCGGCACATTTGCGGTGCTAGCCTGACTGGAACTCCTACCTGGGCCTGTCCGAGTCACTGTGATGTTCATATCTAATTTTTCTTTATGATACCTACTAGTGATTCCACACTTGGCACCAACTACTCCATAAAGTGCAAGCAAGTGGATGACTTTAGGTGGGATGAGTTACTTCTTTTCTTACTAAACCAAACTGAATACATGGTCTCATGATTTACACAGGAATTGAAGCTACGGCATCTGGGAAGGAATTGTACATCCCTCAGGGGTATTGTATTATTTCGATGTCTCAATGGTAAGTAAATATTCGCCATGAGTGGAAATTTTGTTCTGCCATATCTCACAGTCCAAGTTGGACAGAAAACATATATAGGAAGTGGTGTAAAAAAATATACCTCCAATCAATTAAACAATCTTCAGAACTAAATAGACACAGCTCACAGGCAATTACAGGAAGACATGTGGTATATGGTTGTTGAGCCTGCAACAAAAGATAGAGGGGTTGACTCTGGAACAATCAACTGTGGCCTCATTGTTTTGGAGCACCGACTAAATGGAGAAAATGATCGCTTGCCTTATTAGCTTTGGTATGTCTCATAACATTGTATAATCTTCTCCTTTTTCTAAACAGAATTGCGTAGAAAACCTTCTTAACTCTAATGGATCTTTGAAGGAACAAGGTGTATGACCCGCCTTTAATTTCCTACCCAAATGGTTCATACACCATCCCTACCAGAACCTCATAGATAGCAAAGATGCTCATTTTAGGAAAACATTCTTCTTTTCTCCAGAATGGAAACCTTCACCTTCATCTTTTCCCATTCATATTGAATCTCCTGGAGTCCTTCGCTATAACACCACTGCTACTTGGTGCATTCACATCAATTGCATCTTTCATCTGAAAATCAACCATGACTCATGCACACTAATAGGAAGGATATGGAATGTTATACGTAAGTTGCAGGATCAACACTCCAAAAAATTATGTTTAATTTGCAGGGAAGGCCATCACCAGTTTCTCAACTACTATGGTTTGCCTGAAGCTTATCTGATGTGGACCCATTCAATTGAAGGAAGCAAACAAAACAAAACATCTGGTTTCTATCTTTGCTGGCGATAGCTGCTATGTTTTGTTGTTCCAGTACTGGTATTGGAACACATTAAAAAACTTCATATTGACAGTATTGTCAATTCTGCTTGATATGAGAAAGTTCCTGGACCACTTCAATGACAATAACATAAAGCACAGCACTCTGGTATGTAACCCACTATCACCATGTACTTTTTTAATCTATGTACACGAGGTTGATCAATTTTGAAAAACAGAACTAGTGTGTGCATATGCTGACTGACATCCTCCATATCATTGTCGCTTTTGGATTTCTCATCAGACTGCAGGACTAAAAAATGGAACCAAATAAGTCAGAAAGCATAGGAAAGCAGTGTCATAGGGAATGGAGATGATAAATTGAGGCAGTAACCATGACTCACAAGCAGTGTAAGCAATGACAAGCAGCGTAAGCAGTAACATGCAGCACTATGCAGTAATGATGGGAGAAATGTAGCTTAGCAGATGCAGCTGCAAGGGATAATGATAGCAATGCAATGATAACATGCAGTGATCATGGGATGAATGCATTCTATGAGACTTTTCTCTAGCACAATGAAGGATGAGTGTGGTGATGGATTGGCTGGGTTATTGCTCATCATCTCTTAAATGCTGATTGAGCAAAGAAGAGCACTTTGTAAGATCAAAGGGCAGACTGACTTAGAGGATGTAAAGATTTCAATGTGCATCTGAATTGTTGATAGCATAAGTTGGAATCCCAGTTCATAGCACATTGTATGTACAAAAAAAAAAGATATATGTGCCCCCTAGACAATTACAACCCATTGGTGATGATGCATAAACTTACTAGCATGGCTCACCTAGGATTCACAACCAGGGCACATATATTTACCTGAGTTGTATGTCAAGCTGCTGTGGAGCATACCTCTTCAACAGAGCTAAAATCTTCAGAACCACATATATCCCAATGACCACAAGAAGCTTGTTGATTGTCTTGGTGCTCTCTGGATTAGGCTATAGTCTTGTATCTCTGGTGACTTTTGGATATGACTATTGTACTTCCAATACTCCCAAGTGTAAGCTAGGGGTTGATGAAATGTTTGCCTCCCTTGGCCCTGCATAGTGTTTGAAACCTACATACTGTAAATCTTCCATGCTAAGTTTGAGAATCTTCTTCTATCGTTGATCAGTGATCATATGCTCAAACCTAGCAGCCATAAATAGAGGGTGGAGTGGACGACTGGCTTCCTTGAAATCCTTTGGTGGCAGTATAAAAAAAGAATGATTGAGATCATATAATGAGAGCTTAGATGCTTTAAAACCATGAGGGATCTGCTTTTCCACAAGTTAATTAACATGCAGCTTATTTTTTGAAACATGCACTAAGGCTCCTAGATAAAAATCCAGTTTCTCCATAGCTACGTCCACAGGTCAATGATGTCACATGAACAGACTCATGAGAATACTACTTGCACCTTTTTTCTTCCAGTGATGTCACTGTCTTGCTTTGGATCTTTTCCACATATGTTGACAGTCTTTGTGCCTTCTTCTCAGAGCTCCTTTTTCCACAATGAGTCTTATATTTCTTCTGGTACTTGATGGGAGACATGATATAGTCATCATCATGGTGATGATTAAGTGCATAGTGAATGATGTGTGCAGTATTTGAAGAAGATTAGGGAATGACAAGGGAATGACATATAAAGCACAGATTTTGAAGTGTCTGCACATCATGTCAAGGTCTAGCTGAACATCGAGGTTATCTGGGACAGTATGAGATAGTGATGGATGAGTCATGTGTACTCAGATGGCAGCTAAGAGAAACTTGGAAATATATTGTTAGGAGCCATGTGATGAATGTAAGTATACTTGGTGAGGTGTGAGTTTGAATATACTGTCAAGACTGTGCTCAAAGGGCAGATATAAAGGGCTTAGCTTCAGCTCATGCACTGCGCTCCTTACTCAAGTACTTGCCCTTCACTTCAGGTGGCTAGGTATAGTTTCTATGCTGGTAGAAAACTTAGTGAGGTGGCAGAAAATAGAGTAGGGCTACTGTAGACTTGTCTACGGTAGAAGGTGACAGAGGAAGACTACCCGAGGGTAAAGTCAGAGATGTAGTCTATCAAGAAATCAATCCTCAGACACAGAAATAAACAGAAAGCAGAAATGGGCAGAGTCTAGGATAATATTTGAACTGAGGAATATTCAGCGAGACTATGAGAATTTATATACTTCTAACTAGTACAACAGCAACATAGATAGCGGAGTTGGATGCTATGTCAGGAACATATGGAGAGCATAGAGGTGACAGGTGGGAATCAACTGACAGGCAGATCACAGAGAATGGAGACAGAAATGAACTGTCAGGCAGATCTGGGCATAGGGGTAAGTTTACAATGAAGATACCAAATGGGGAAAGAAGTGGAAAAGAGATCTGGATCAGATCTGAGAACATGGCCAAAGATTGTATTAGAAATTAGGTGCAAGAATGTAGAATATGACACTGAGGGGTAGCATAGCTAAACAGAAACAGAGGTAAGGCAGTTGGAGTAGCAGTAAGCCCTCTGACAAGACACTTCACAAGGTCAAAACCACTTACTAACTCACACCACCATACTAACCTACTCTGCCTTACTAACTCCTTCCTCCCTCTTCTAACTGCACCCTATCCTAGGAGATCACCAAACTTTTCTGTGAGCATAGGCTAGTGGTCTACAAACCCAATTACCTGATTCCTTTGCTAGGCAACACCAAATTTGCAAATTTCTGTGGACAACCAGGTGCCCAGTTGAGAGTAGACCATCCTATTATTGGTCGAGCACACTAGAGCGATGCTCATAGTGAAGGACATGCCCAAGTATCTGTGGGCGGAAGCGGTCAACTATGCTACCTGGCTCAAGAACCGCTGTAGAGAGTGATCTCCCTACAGGCTTGTATCCCCTCATTCCTACATCGACCTCATCACTATCCACAGGTAGGCGCGACCCTACAGAGACATACATTGCACGCACAACCATCAGCGCTCTTCCACATCATGCGCACCTTATCCACATACCGGTGCTCTACTCGGCATATCCTCTCATGTCCTGTCCTGTCTGTCTGGCCCTGTTGGT